ACGCTTAGCCTCGACCGGGCGGATATTTTAATTATAAACCTATTTATACGTTACCGCACCCGCTCGAACAAACCCTTAATAGCGAGCTTAGCTTTTTCGCGCTAATAGCTATTTATAATTTTGCCTTCGACCTCCCGTTTTATTTTTATTATAAACCGCGCTATAACTATAATGCGTATAACTTTAATAACGGCCGAATACCGCATCGTATAATTAAATACGTCCATTTAGCTATTATTATCCCGGATACCTATAACGGCTAGCCCGCTAATAACTACGCTTTCGTACGGCGACGAGTAATAATAATAGTCGAATAGCGCCAATAGCAGCCGTACTACTAAATCGTCTAAGCGGTCCTACTCCTTGCTATTTTTTCGGAATAAAAAAGCCGCCGTTATATTTTCCTTATTTTAGCCCGGCTAAAGCAATGCCTCTAAATCGCCTAAAATCTTATTTTATTATAGCGTTAGCTTATACCGCGGCCTTTTTTCGTCCTATAGGCTCTACGTCCTTTATAAATATAAAAGCAACTTGCCTATAAATACCTGGTAGCGTACTTACGCCTTTTTAGCTATAATCGGCTAAAATAGGGTATACCTTTTAGTTTCCGTATCGCGCGTTATTTCGAAAAAGGTGGCAGCGCCGGCTTCGAGGCTATATACCTGCTTTTGCGCTTTATTTACCATTTTTATATAGCTATCCTAAAATGCTTAGAATGCCGTTTCCTTTAGCCGCGGCAGCTGTAACGTGCTACGCAGGCGCTTTAGGCCCTTTTCGCTTTTAAAATCTGCTAAGTGCCGCGCTTAGCTTATTTTCCGCATTTACGGGTTCGGCTTTAGCTTTTCGTTTATATTATAAATCGCCCGGCTGGCCGATTTATCTAATAATACGCTTTTTCGGCTAAAAATATATAATTAGGTATTAGGCGACGATTAAGGCGGGGATATTTTAATAGTTGGCATTTTATATGGCGTTTTTGGCGGCTTTTTTTTTGCCTCCGCCTCCTTTTTTTCCTCCTATTATTATTGCTGCTGCTATAACACGTCGGCTAGGTTTAGGTCCGAATCGCCGTATATAGAATCTAGTATTTCGGCATCTTAAAGTCGCTTAAATAGTTATCCGTCGTATTCGCCGTCTCGCCCTCCTATTTATATTTTTGCTATTAAAATAGTATTTCCGAGGATTTCAAAGTATCGGCTGGCTTTTCGTCCTAGGAAAAACCTTTGGCATTAAACGCCCTTTTTTTATAAAACAGCTGCCACTTTTATATATTTTTTTTGTCCTCCTTATCTCCGGTTATTTACCTACCCATATTTTTATTTATAATGCTTTTATATTTTTTTAACACAACGCACGATATATATATAATTATCATAGGCTATATTATTTATATAAGGCGGGCCGAGGTCCAGAATCGGCCCGTACGTCGGTTTTAGGAAGGCGAAGTCGTCGAGCTGGCTTTATATATAAATAATACCGTATAGCGCTTATACGGTATCCCCGATAAATTTATATTTATTAATCGGAACGCTTTTATGCTAATTTTTAAATAAATACCGCTTAATCTCGTTACCTATATAAGCGTAACGGTATTAGCTATAAATTACGATACGGAAATCGGGCAAATAAATAAAGGGATAAATAGATAATGCTATTTTTTAACAATAAAAAAACCAAAATAAAATAATATATATATAAATAAGTATATAAAAAATAATTATATAAACCCTATTTTTTTTTTCCTTTTTCCTTTAATATTTTTTTTTTATTAAGGTTAAAGCAAGGGAAATAACGGGGGGATAAAGGAAAAAAAAGAGATAAAAATAACAAACGGGGATATAAATAAAGGATAAATAAATAAAAGCAGCGTATAGCAAAAAAAAAGGAGCGGAAAAGAGCGAATTTATATAATACCGATAAATTTACCTTATCGGCCCATTTTTTCTTTTCTCGTTTATTCGACTTTACTCTAGCCCGCGGCCGGGAAAAACGTCGTAATAGTAATAGTAATAATCTAATCCGACGAAATAAATATAGCCTTTTATTAGGATAGGAATAATTAAATTAGGTCAAATCCGTCTAGCAATCGAACGAATTTAACGGAAACGCGTAAAATTCCCTAAACTATAGCCCCGCCTTTTATAGCTGCTGCCAATTAGCGGACCCCGGCTAATTACCCGCGGGCGCGGGAACGGCCTTGCCGGCGACGAAACGGCCGCAGCGATTGCGGCGCCCGTCGGATCGCGATAAAAAATAAACCGTTAAAACCGCGCTGATCGGGAGGCCTAAATATTTAGTTTTTGCTCCCCGATCGGGTCCGTTTTCGTAAAATTCTGGCGGGATTAGCATCGAACGAACTTTATGTCCCCGACCGGAACGAACTCTACCCCCGGTCTTTTTAGTAGAGCCAAAAGTGCCTATATAAAACGGACGAGCCCGACATAGGGTTCCTCCGGATTAGGAGGATAAAGAAAGTAATAAATATAATAATATTACGTAGCCCGGGCTAAGCTTATATAAAAAACGGCGCGTAAAATCGACGTAGGATTAAACGGGCATAGGTATCGACTTTTTTTTTTGCATTTAATACCGGTAGCAAAGCATTATATAATCGCGGGCGTAAAATATAAAACTAAGCGTAAAATAATATTATAATTAGCCCGAAAATAGCCTAAAATAAAAAATAATAAAAGCCGATAAAAAAAAAGCCTATTAAACTCGGCTAGCAAAAATAATAATAATAATAATAATAATTTACGATTTTTTAGCTTAAAACGTAATTAAACCGGTAAAAAGGATAATTTAGGAGCTTTTATTTAAGCAGGAATAAGCAGCAGGTTTAGGAAAAGGAAAAGCAATATATTATAAAGCGTATAAAATATTAATTATAATCGAAAATAACGACCGGTAGCAGCTATAATAAAGCTAAATTATATAATAAAAATAAAATATAGCCGGGATTATATATACGCGATATAAAAATAAGCGATAGCTATTATTATAATTACGGGAATTAATTATAATTGCGATAAAAATAATAATAAGGATTATACCGTAATTATTATATATAATCGTCCGTTAATTAAATAAATAAATAAATTATAATAAGCGGGCCGGGATAAAAAAATAAAAGGCTAGCGTCCCCGAGGAAAGCAAACGACCCCTAAATAAAGGATAATATAAATATACGGCCAAATATTCCGCGGGCTTTAATTAAATAGCTATAAAATGCGGACGGAAATTTATAAAATGCAATTAGGCTAATTAGCCGGATTATAGCAACGCGCATCGATAAAATACAACCGGCTATATATATAATATTAAAGCCGGAGGGTCGTATAAATACGCGTATTATAATTAGCTAAATTACCGAAGAATTAAAATAAAAAACTAAAAAAAGAAAGAAAAAAAAAATAGCAATAGCCGTAAAGGATAAATAGGCTAAATAGGCCGGATAAAATAACGACGGGCCTTGGTTATAATCGTCGTTTGCTAGCCCTTTACTAATAAATAAGGGACCGCGCCCGTAAACGCCGACGGCGTTAAAAATCGTAAAAAAGCCGTAAAATACAGCGCCGCCCCCGCCTTTAATTAGCCGTATCCCTACACCGCCTTTACCCGCCCCCTAAATAGGGGGCGCCGGGGAATGACGGCCAGTTGACTATTGTGGCCACTATGGCCACTGGAACCCACTGGAATCCAGTGGAACGTTCCACTGGATCCAGCCTTACTAAGTGTGGCCAGTGCACCTGGCCATAGTGGCCCTGGGTTACAAGGTAACCCACACCATAGAAATCCATAGATTTCGATGGTTTCTTCGATTATGAATCAACCTTATTACTAATTAACTTAATTATAAATCCAGTTTATTAGTAATATATTCCAGAATGTTTTTATTGGTTGATTTTATGGGTATAAAAGGTAGTTATTCCTTCGTAGTTAGTTATTCTTTCCTTAAGCTTTAATAAATCAGTTATACAGCCCTATAACTACCCTCCACGGCCTGATTTTACGAATCATATAAACGCTTCCCTGTGCCTAAGTTTATGATCCACTAATTATACCTTAGAACAATTATTAAATTTTATTAATTTTAAAGCAATAAAATAAACTTAATATTATAATTTAAAAAATATTAATAAAGGAATAAATAAATATATATTATAAAAGGATTTTTTATATAAATAATTATTACTTTAATAATTAATCTAAATATTTATTTTACTTATAAATAAAATATTTAATACGCTTTAACGATTATATTTATAAATTAATTTAATTACCTTTATTTTTAAATATTTATTGCTTAATACTTTTTTTTCGAAGCTATCGTTCCCTGTTAGCATAAACCCTAATACCTCTTATATTGCAGGTTTATTTTAAAAAACCCGTAATATAATCGTTATATTATGCTGCGCTAGCTATATTTAGCTGTGGCGTCAGCGCCACAGTGGCGGTGCGGCACCGCTGCGCAATGCTTATATAAGAGGTTATTACATTAATTAATGCTTTATAATAAAAAATTAAATAATATTATTATTTATAATACGAATATTATAAAATATAATTATAATTATATTAAAAATGCAAAAAATAAAACTAATAACTAAAGCCAGCTAATAATTATAAGCTTATAAGCTTTTTATCGGAGCTTATTAGCTTATCAGCTTTTTATTTATATAATGCCGGCCTAATTAGCTGGACCGTGCCTTATTTATAATGTGACCCCCTTATTATAACGTATTAATATTCGTGATTTTAAAATATTAAATTTAATTATTAGAAAAAAATAAGATGTCGAAATTTAAATGCTTTTATATGAATTATACAATGCTATATTAACATCCGTGCAATATAACATAAAGTTTTATAAATATTATAATAAAATAAAAGTATTATAAAGTAAATATGCAAGGACCGTAATAATATGCGTAATAAAGCCGATTTTATATATTTTATTATATTATATTAACATTCGTAAAATATTAATTATTATATTTTTATACGCCTGAATCGTATTGCCCAATATTATCCGCAGCTACATATGCCTTCCATTTTGTGCATGTCTCATTCAATGCATTATAATCATATGTGATTTCGGACTCACGTTCTAAAATCTGGACAGCAAATCCCTCAGAAGTATGCCAGGCAATATGGCAATGCATTAGCCATGCCTGATATATCGGTCAGTCATATTTGCAGTATTATTAGCATTGATGGAAGAGAAGCTTACACCAGGGTTGTTCGTTTTGAAAGCAATGACAAGGTAGCCACTGCCTGGCATCATTGCGACATCTCTTCGTGGAGCATTAGTCAATTGCAAACCATTCGCATTCGTGGAATCATATTGTCCGTAGCCTGATCCGAGAACCCAAAAGTCGTGGCCATGCAAGTGCATGGGGTGGTCTTGGGCAAATGGAGAGTGTACAACCAAATAGACCCATTCATCGGCAGTGGGCAATTGGATAACCTGCTCCTTTGCCGTCCAAGTCGCATTGCCCTCGGCCACTTGGAGCAAGGTCGGGTTCTCCCAAGTTGTGCGGAATGTTGTCTTGTTGATCACCCAAAGCAGAGCATTATCTGTGATTTGCAGCCCGACATTCTTGTCAACGCCTTCATATGTGTCGGATGCCGCAATTGCCAGGTAGGGAACTAGGTTGCTTGACTCCTCATCGGCACAAGAGTCTGTGTAATCGTAGGCTGAAGTTGTTGGATCAGTGGTCGATGAACTGTCGTAGCGTACAATTCCTTTGATACTGTCTGTGGCGTCACTTTCAGAGCAGGTGGATTGTGGGATAGATCGCATCCAGAAATCACCACTTGTGAGATCCTTGGCTGTGACAATAATATCGTAGCGCTGGCCCATTCCGATACTCAGGTTGGTTGTGTTGTAAGGGACAATGGGCACAAAGTCAGTGGCAATGACCTCCATTGTGTGATTGTCAATCATGAAGCGGAAATGATTGTCGGCAGCGGCATTGACCAGGCGTATGCGGTATCGGACACCTGCCTCAAAACCAACCTCGAAGCGAGAGCCAACGGTGTCACTCCAAGTGTTTGTCCCATTGATGAGTCCATTGGGAGCGGTGGGCGGGCCACCCGTGGCAGCTTGTAGAACGAGTACGTCTGCAGTTTCGTGATACCAGTCATTCAGGAAAACATGGCCAAGATCAACATCATAGTTTGATGTGGCAGGGCCATTGATAATGATTCCACCAAAGACACCATCCCAAGCCTGGACGTAGAAATGCGAATGGTACCAACCAGTACCATATTGGACAGCCCGCCACTCGTAAGTATAAGAGTCTCCGGGTGCGATCGGACATTGAGTGATGCTGGGCACACCATCATTCTGATCTGTCCAATTCTGGCGAATGCCGTGAAAGTGAAGACCAGTGCCGTTGTTCTGAAGGGAGCTTGTTACATGCACACCTAGGAACAGTGAATAAGAATTTCTTGCAAGTAAGTCATTTGCCACTTACGGACAATATCGCCCCAATCTGCGATAATGGTGGGTCCAGGAAATGATCCATTGATGAGTTGTACAGGTAATTCAACGCCATCTGGCGCCGCCGTGGTGTTTTCAATGTTGAACCAATATTCACGAATCACGCCTGTATCTGGGACCTCATCGTAATAGTTTGTGGATATGTCAAAGTCGTCGCTCCAACATGAACGATTAGCGGCGCTGTTTATGCATCCAGTGGAACTCAATGTATCTCTGGCAATTGTTGCTGCGAAGATTGATTTGGAAAAAAAGATTGACGCAAAGAGAAATTGAAAGGAATGCATGATGCTATGTACACCAGTCCAGGTTGACGGGATATCTGATGAAACGATGGACTTGTAGTAATCAGTAAGAAATGAATGAGTGTTTTGAGATGTCAAGTCAAGAATCGTCACAATCACACCGTTTTGTATTATTCGAGGCCATCTCAATTCCTGTCGCCGAGAAGAGATTCGTATTTGCGACGATATCGCCGAGGGTGTTGCTTTGTCCCGTGCTTGTGGTCTTGAAATTGTGCTTGCGTCGTCATTTCTGTGGAGTTTGATTAGCCTTGCGAAGGAGGTCCCGGTTCAAGTATACCCAGAAGGATATCTCCATGTAGATCTCGAGTTGCAAGCCACTGCCTTGCGCTAGGCATCGGCTTGGGCTCTGCAGTCAACACAAGACATCCTGCTCTCCCCATGAAACCATATTTACGCAACTTTGTGACAATATGATTCGAATGAATAGCCAGAATTTTGTTTGTTATGTTTTGAAAACTGCTAATTCACTTGGAAGACACCAGGAGATGGCTGAGTATAGGTAAATTTGTACAAACACTTTCATTTCGAGGCCTAATATGCTTCATGAACATTGGGCATAAAGCATATCAAGCAAAATCAGATGGATTGTCGGCACTTGGCGGGAGATATCGTGCTGACTTATTGCACGCAAATAACACGGAATATATCACACCATGTGGAGATCTCAAAGGTACTCCTGCAGCCAACGCCAATCACAAATGTTCCGAATCATGCAAATGCCGTGCCAAGCGTGCTTATTTTGTCCATGGCGAGAGTGAATGCCGTATGATTGTGGGTACCCGCGCTTCCTCAGCCTCGATCCAGCCCCTTATGTGGATCAAGGAACTCGGCATTTCTAAATGAGATCTTGCCTAACCTTACTGAGTCAAGTGTACTATGTACACGCGTACGGAATATTCCTTGACACTATCATCATTGTAGCAACTGGGCGACGAACCCTGACAAGCTGAAGTTTTTGTTTGAATGCAGTGTATTCTTGATAGCCTAGGCAAGGGACTGCCTATCACAATTCCCTGGGGACGGCTCGGTGATATCGGTAATAGATCTCTGAGTGCGCCCTTCTCGGATGAAGAAAACAGCAACAGTGCATCGAAATAGCCTATTCAATCATGCCGTTTCCTAAATAATAAATATTATCTCTATTTTATCGAATAAGTCAATGTGATTGATTGACTTTGGAGAAGCAGCTCCTTGGTCTTTCCCATCTCATTTCAACGCTCATTTAATCCATACTATCTTCCACTCACTGCACCGCAGCAAAATCATCAAGTTCATACGAATATTTTCTACAATCGCCAAGATCCAGCTACCCAGATATCATCCAAACATGCAACTCCTGCTCTATTCTGGGATTTTCATTGCCCAGGCGTGCTTGGCCTCTGCCATAAGCATTCCTGGAAAGGTGTCTGACGTTTTGATAAAAAGAAAAGCCGAGACCAATGCCACTCTCTACGCTTATGGTGCTAACTCCTCGGCTTGGCCAATTGCTGCGGGGCGTACAGATGGTATGCTTGTTCTATGTATAACAAATCAAATGCACCTGCTGACATGAACGAACTGGCTGCTTGTACATCATTCAAGATCCTTCAACGACCGAATTTGACGTCGACGAGCTTCTCTGGGACCTGCCTTCGATGACGGGTGAAAACTGGATTGCAAATGCGACTTACCTCAACGGCACATCGGCTGGCTCCTTGTATATTCGCCCCGGAGACGATTATGCTCTAGGTGTCTTGCCAATGACCAGAGTGGCTTACATTAATGGAACGGTGTCGGGCTTTGCCTTGTTCGCTACCCAGCTTGTGTATAATAACAACTCATATCTTGAGTCACAGTTTTGGGCCACATCAACAAATGACAGCAGCGCTTACAAGCTTGTTTGGAACGCCGAGGATGAGTTCACGGATGGAAGTTTCCCAGTTGTTGTCAAAGGTGTGGAGAACTGAAATAATATATTGAAATGGAGGCGCTGGGACTGCGGCCTGTTCACTGGTCTGGCTATGGGGCTTGGCATGGTGCGGTTCAATGGTCTATGGGGAAATACAATGCACTAGAATTCGAAAAGCTAGCGTTCAACTATGGGCGTCCCCCCGCTGAATCTAATCGCTGGCTGCCATGTGCAACCCACTATCAACAGCGTGGTCGCATGGAAAACCCGAGTGTCATTAATGAGTAAGACATCATGTCACATTGCTAAGAAGACAACGCAACTATTCGTTTTCAACTTGCGACCTTGTCGAGATTACGAGATGTTGGAAGATGGCACGATCAAATTCGAATCCAAAATCTAGGAAAGCCAAAGGATCAAGAGCTGCATTAATGCATGTGCCTGTGCAAATCAGCTGCGCTTCTACATCTATTGCAGCATGTGTAGGTATATACATGATCATTCTATGCACATTTGGTCTACTCCAACACGCTCTCGTCCACCAATGTGACATTACTGATTCAAGATCGCATCCTCAAGGATCATTGCAGCCCCCTTTTCTCCAATGGCATATACAGTTGCCTGAAGGTGTGCACTGATTTGCAAAGGCATCACACTGGCATCGACCACCCGGAGTTTCTTGACCCCATAGACCCGAAGTCTCGCATCGACAACTCCAGTTTTTGCACCCTGCCGTCCACCCATGGCGCAAGTCCCGACGGGATGCCAGTCGGTGATTGTTGTGCTGGTCAGCCAATCTTTCCAAAAAGACTCATCTTCGTGGCCCTGCGAGAGTGGGGGAGGGAAAGCACGCCCTCGAATAATGCTGCCAAGAGGCAAAGTTTGTGACAAGCGGTATGCTGCAAAGCGTGCGGCATGGATCATCAAGGAGAGATCGATCTGTCCGTGGTTGCCAGCGTAATACTGTGGATCTATCAAGGGCTTGTGATCAAAGCAGCCAGAGGTGATGTGGATGGAACCCTTGGAGAATGGATGTTGCAGAATAATGAGACAGGTTGCGTATTTCTTGTCATCCAAGGCCCCTGGCTGGAAGCAAGGATTCCAGTTTCCCAAGTCGAAGATGTACTCAATTTGACCAATCTCGACGGATGAGGTAGGTTTCAAATAATTCTGGCGAGTGACATGTTCTTGGCCAAGGTTGTCAATCACCGAGGTGGCAACGGATGACAGATTTTGTAGCTGCTCTGAAGGAACAATTTGAGAGAATGGGAGATAGCAAATCGAATTTGCCAAGATGGACAAGGGCCCAGAACCATCAACCTTGTATTGTTGAAGCGCCGAGGCTGCTACATCCTCGTCTTTCTTGAGGTCGTCGGGCGTTGAAAGGCATGAGTCTACTTCAAAGATCATGGCCGCCACTGACGTTGTCAGCTACTTTACATTCAAACAAAGCTGGGATACCTACTAATGTGGTCTTGGAGGTTTTCTCCCACGTTTATATTGTCAACAACGACAGGAATTCCTGCCTGGGTGAGAACATCTGGGTTCCCAATTCCAGATACTTCCAATAGCTGAGGTGATTGGACACTTCCAGCGCAGAGAATTATTTCGCGAGAAGCACATAGAGACAGGGAAATGCCATTATGCTGGAACTGTACGCCCTTGGCTGTCACGTCTTCATCTTTTCCCTCCAGAATGATTCGCGTCACTTGAGCCTCGGTCAGGATTTCGAGGTTGGGTCGCGATGCGTTCGGCAGGTAGTAGGCAGTTGTTGAATATGACCTGCGACCTGTGGTAGGATCAACGGATCCAAGATTGGTCCACGCCCCTATATTCGATCCAGAAAGATGTGCTTTATTGGTATGAATCCCAAGAGTGTTCATCGTATCATGCCATAGCGCATGCGATGCAGAGTATTCGGGGGCATACCCTATCTGTACTGGGCCCGACTTTCCCAATGCATTCTCGTCATAGTACAAAGAGTTGGTCTTTTGATTGCAGGCTGCAGGTGAATGGAAAGATTCAGATTTCTTGAAATATGGCCTTGCATTGCCAATCGAATATTAGCAAAAGCATAGGACTAAGAGCAAGAATGGTCGCTTCAACCTACAAGAGATCATCCCAGCCCCAGCCCTCGTTGCCGAGATCTCTCCAAGAATCATAGTCTTCACGAGCTGCACGATTCCAAGTCATAAAGTTCAGCGCGCTTGTTCCACCCAGTATCTTCCCTCTCGGCCAGTCCAATATGCGTCCGCCAAGACCTCGCTGCGGGGTTGTTTCAAATTTCCAATCATAATCTGAGCCCAAAGTCTGGCCGTAGAGTCCAGGAATGTCGATGGAATCAATCCCAAGTACCGCTGGACCAGCTTCGAGTACACCAACATTTAGAGCGGGGTTCTCGGAGAGCCGGGCGGCGACGACGAGACCAGCAGTTCCACCACCAATGACAAGATAGTCATACTTGCGGCTACAAAAGTCTGCAACATTCGAGATCCGGATTCGAGGGTCCATTGGAGTAATCGGAAGAGGCCGTATTTCTTTGCTTCATGAGGGGATGAGTTTGCGCCCCAGGCACAAACACCTGTCCCTTGTCATGCACATGCTGCTACTGCGAGTTGATCTATCTCCAATCACAATGCATATTCCCCCCACCAAACTTGCTCATTGTGGGACAAATCACAATGCCTCTTTCAGCTGCATCCATTTGGTCGGTCAAGTGCCGTCTCGCCAATTCTGCCGCGACCAGTTCTGCCGCGACCCAAAAGCAACAAGGCAAATCAGCTCGGATGATGACCTCAATCACATAGGACACTTGTCTCAATCTTACTACTGTTCAACTGCTGCCAAGGCTCGAAAGTAGGATTGCTGATATCGCTCCCTTCAGCACCCATTGCACCAGCAGCTACAATTATTGGCAATGGCATTCAGTCCCAAGACTGACGCAGAAAAAGCCGCGAATGCAATCACCAGCGACATTCTGTCACCTCAATGCACGGAAGATCATGATGCACATGCCACAACTCCAAATCCCCATCATCCTAAGCCAAAGTTCAGCGTACGTGGTCGTCTTGGGGCATGGAATGCACGCCTGGAATCTCTTTCAGGCTTCGAGGCTCGCGGCAGTACGCGCGTGCCACCTTCCGAGCGGCGCCCTCCATCGCCATGGGACGACATATCCGTATTGCTGGTCTGGTTCTCTGCCAACATCTCTGTGAATAATCTCACAGTCGGTCTCTTCGGCCCTCTCGTCTTTAATCTGGGTTTTCTGGACTCCGTCATGTGTGCCGTCTTTGGCGCCTTGCTAGGCAGTATCTCAACGGCTTATATGAGCATTTGGGGTCCCATCAGCGGCAACCGTACCATGGTAGTGTTGAGATACTTCATGGGGTACTGGCCGGCCAAGATCCCAACACTCTTGAATATCGTGCTAATGGTCGGTTACTGCACAATCGACGCAATTCTAGGTGGTCAGATGCTCAGTGCAGTCAATGGTGGAGGACTGTCCATCACGGTAGGCATTGTGGTAGTTCAGACTGTGTGTTTGGCGGTGACAATGTTTGGGATGAAACCCTTCCATATGTATGAGAGATTTGCTTGGATTCCCCAGATCGTCGTTCTTTTGTTGCTTGGCGGCATTGCCGGACGACATTTCAATGTCCAAACTCAGTCGATTGGATCAGACATCACAATCGCTGCTAATCGACTGAGTTTCTTGTCATTATGCCTTTACGCGCCGAATTCATGGGGCGCCGCAGCCTCGGATTTTTATGTATACTATCCGGAGCATACTTTGAAGAGGAAGATCTTTCTGCTTACCTTGATAGGGCTGTGGCTGTCATTCTCATTTGTTTATATCTTGGGGATTGGGCTTGCAACAGGTATGTCGGGCAATACCGCATGGCAGGACGCATACAACGTCTCAGCGGGCGCATTGGTTGTTGCCGGATTCGAGCCCCTGAAGGGATTCGGACGGTTTTGCGGGGTGGTTGTGGCTTTGGGCGTCATTTCAAACAGCATTCCGGGTACCTATGCTGCTGCCCTTGATTGCCAGATCTTGGGTCGATATGGAAAGGCCGTTCCACGTTGGACGTGGTCGTGGGTGCTCGTCGTGGTCGAGCTCGCCTTGGCATTAGCTGGCAGAGAGCATCTCCTTGTCGTCATGCAGAATTTTCTTGCCTTGATGGGCTACTGGGTCGAACTCATGGTTGTGATTGTCTTGGTCGAACACTTGTGTTTTCAACGATCGCTGAGCCTTGACTGGGCTAGGTGGGAAGACAGGTCATATTTTCCCCTGGGCATAGCAGCGCTGGTGTCTTTCCTACTTGGATGGGTCGGGGCAATATTGGGAATGTACCAAGTGTGGTATACTGGTCCATTGGCAGCCCGAGCGGCATCTGCAGATGTAGGACTCTGGATAGGAACAGGGTTCACTCTAGTTACTTATCCTTTGTTCAGATGGCTGGAACTTGGATATTTCAAACGCTGACTGGGAATTGTACAGATGTTGGCAAGGGGCATCAGTGGGAGATGGCTTGGGGTATGCCGAGACAGAACGAAAGCCGGAGCTACGAGTCTGACCGTGATACGACCACCAGGAGTACAAATATCCTCGAGATTCAATACCTAGTAGTCTTAACAATTCCTCGAACGCTGCAGGTGCCAACGCAATGGAGTCAGGATACGGAATTTGATTTGCATGACACTTACTCGGTACGTACATTGGAACTCTCGTTGGATTGAACCGTGTCGCACAGCATGTGCCTAAATATCACTTCCCTACTCATTTCTTAAAGTGCACGCTCATTATGAACATTGGACAACCTCGGGCTGCCAAACCCCGAATCTGATCTTATGCGATCCCCTGGGACAATGAGTGTATTACGCTGGCTGACACCCAGCTTCCATCCATGGCGCCTGGGCAGCTGACACAGCGGACTTCGGATCGTAAAAGTGACCGACATGGTGTATTGTGAAAACAATGGGCATTTCTGATCGCACATAATGTACTTATGAGTTTGATTCAGCGATCGGCCTTTATGAGCTGTGAGCTACACTTCGCTTCTAGATAGCATTTGTGGAGAGACGCAATAAAGGTTTTTTCCGTTGTCGTATGCTCGCGTGCTCTCTAGCCATAGTGGGAGTTCTAGCGTGTTCGCCGCGTGGATGTGCCCCACAACCCTGTTGCTCTAGGTAGCTCTAGCGGGTGACCCGGACTGTTGGTGATTGCGAACTGATGCAGGAACGGAGAATTATAAGACGGGAAATCATGAACCAACCACGACGGGCAGTTCGCAGCCGAAAGCCATGCGACTCACTCTGCTGATAGCAGAGGCCCAAAGTCCGACACGCCGACGCGGAGACACGGGGTTGATGAGCAGACCACGTCGCTTGTACCACAGCTTCTTGGGTAGCACATTTACATGTATACGGAAATTGCATGGCCTGCCAGCACTGCAAGACACAGCCTTGAGGGAGGCTTGAGGGAACAGTGAGATGATCGACTGACCGACTTGGAAAGAAATGGTAGTCTGTACTACAGTCATCCCACGAAAGTCAACAAGGGAACGACACGGCATTGGAAGCAGGACATGTCCAAGACTGGCAGTCGGCCATGTGTTTGCTCGTATCAAGGCTCGGTCGGTACCTTGGACCAACCGGAAAGCACGGCAAGAATTTGCGCATTCTGCGTTTTGGTGTCAACGGGCACTTACTACGCCCCGGTTCCGTCGTAATCTGACCATGACACTTCCTTCGTCTGCCGACAAGAAGCTCCGGATGCGCCCTGATTGGGCGTAGAGATCCATATCAAGAGAACTGACGGTGTCCACTGTATGCCTGACCTCGGCGATAGCAAACAGACGTGTTGGCGGTTAACAGGCCTGACAGGCGTCTTGATCAAATAGATTTGCTGTATAGTTCTCATTGTGGGTCTTGGTGTCAGACTACCAGGGTCATGGCTCGATGCGCACACAACCCGTCGATCCCTTGGTGGGTATTTCATTGGAGACTTCTATATGCTATTGCGCGTCATTGATGTCGAGGTATCTATTATGAATCCGAAAAATCCGAGCATGACTGCATGGGACAAATTTATCCATAATGCCAAGCAATATGTGTTCCCTTGAATCTCGACCCAAGGCTCCAGCCCCTACCTGGGGATCATCTGGAATTCTTATTTCAGCCCTGCAATCTGCCAGCAGCAAGAGAAATTTTCTTGTTCTGGAAGGTTTGGGATTTTTCTCGGATTTCCTTGTCTGTCAACCTCCGAGTTTTCAATCATTACCTGGCAGCCATGGGTATTGGCGCATTCGCAGAGCCTCTTGTGGTGGTCACACTGCTGTTTGGCGGTGTATATGTGAACCGAAACACTAATTACAAGCTATTTGGAAAGAATGGTCGTGGTTGGGAAGAGAAACGATTTGATCATGGTCGCGACGAAACTCCTACTGGGTCTGAATGGCCCTCTCCACGGTCCTCTGCCGATACTTTACTCGAGGAAGCTGTAAGCCTCACGCAGTCCGAGCCAACATGGAGGAAGCGAGAGATTTCTCTATGGAGACTTCGCTTTGAGGTGACATCGCCCAACACTGCGGTTTTCCAAGACTATTTCCTAAGCCAACTGCTCCGCAAGCTTCCATTCCTGGCCGAGTGCTGGTACTGGGCTCTGATATATTGGGTGAGATTTCTCAGCCAGACAAACCAAGGACTACACTAATCAACTCGAAGGTTTACCAAGTCGGAAGAGCGATCAGCGCACTCACCCTCGACGAAAAGACAGTTGATGTGGCTCGACACCACGCTTTGCAGGTGATCGCCTTGGAAAAGCGACTCAAGATTTTCTGGGAACCATATATCCAATCGGTGTTTATGCAACACGAGACAATGATGCACTGGATCAACAGGATATACTCTTACATCCACATCCCTGGAACCATCTTCTTTTTAGTGTTCCTATACTTCTACACAATTACTCGCAAGCGAACCGATGAGAGACAACTCAGTGGAGACTTGAGTGGCCAAGCAGGCTCCAACACTGGCGCCGCATTGTACCAGGCCAGGCGACGGACCATGGCCATGTGCAATCTTCTCGCCTTTATCGTCTTCACTGCTTGGCCATGCATGCCACCCCGACTGCTGAGCGATCCCAATCCTACAGGAGCCGAGGCCGAGCTTGGTCGAACATATGGCTTTGTCGATACTGTGCACGGAAAGGGTGGTGAAAGCAGTGTCTGGACACAAAATAAGTTCTGCAACCAATATGGTCAGTGTTCGGGCGAGTGACCCAATTGTTCGCGGATGATTACTGACACGTATTGTAGCCGCCATGCCCTCCCTGCACTTTGGTTACTCTCTCATGATCGGACTGACTATTTCCATGCTCCCGTTAGCGCCCCAGCATCGTGTTCCAATGTCACTGCGGGTTGCTGGCCTACACTTGAGATTTCCTTCTCTTCGCCGCATGCTATGTGTTGCAGCAGGATTTCTCTACCCATTCATTATCCTTATCGCTATTGTGTCAACCGCCAACCACTTTATCCTTGACGCCGTTGCGGGAGCATGCGTTTGTGCCCTGGGATGGTGGGGAAATCGGTTTCTCTTGAATTTGTTGCCACTCGAAGACTACTTCTTGTGGTGTTGCCGCCTTCACAGACCCATGTAGTATCAAACTCGAGTGAGGAATAGAATGGATGCCTTTTTCTTCAGGGGGTAATCTCATGCACAAGCATGCTGTACAATGACCGCCGGGAGGTATATACTTGTCATGTGCATGGGCACCGAGATTGTATTGGCCAGATTTCAGACTCAGGACTCCCTGCTGTGCCTAGCAAACCCAATAATATTAATTGACACAAAGAGATGATGGAATTCAAAAAAGATACCACTGATGTGCAATCAGTTCCTGGCCTAGAAAGCCATTCATGGAGCAGGAATATTTAAGACTTCAAGATTGTTGCTGCTTTCTGATCACCAGGGCCTGGCGGACCAACGATCAGCAGCCGGACCGTACCGGACCGCTGGTGTAGTAGGTGACAAACCGCCACAGGCCGACCCCACCACGTAGTTCGATGAGCCTGTTTGAGGCTTGAGCCCTTGACGTGGCTATCTCTGTACCCAGCATAATACTAGGTGAGCAAGGTACCTATGCATATCCATCCCATTCCAGTGGCGGCAGTCCGGTGACGAAAGCTTATCTTCGGAGGATCGCTCATCTCACAAGTTCCATCTCCTCTTCCTCGCCGTCCGTCAAACTTGATTCTCGAGATAATAACTGTCGGTTCGAGATGCGATTTCGTGATGGATGAGGTGCTGCTCGTCTTACCCATGTCCTGCGAGGACCCGCCGCAATACCATAGTGTGCCCCGCACGGTCATTTGGTCGTAAGTCCTTCACATTGATTCTTGTCAGTACTAGTATTTATTCAACATATCTTGGACATTGGCCCCTGCGCCGTGTGCGTCAGTATCTCTCCGCATTGCAATGTATACTCAGCTTTGATACAGACTTCTATGGATCGCCATCATTGGCGCTTACATCCCGCAATACCTGCGCATCCGCAAAGAAGGGACCAAGGGAATATCACCGTACTACATCCTCAATCATGGCCTGTTCTCCACCACAACGTTAGCACTCCGGTTTGGCCACAGGGTTTTTTATAAGGCATTCAACTGTGTTGCCAGTGGCGAGCTGGACGGATGGAAGGGCTATTCCGCGTCGCTTGACTTCCTGGCCGTCTTTGTGCAATGGGCTTGTGCCATGGTCTTGTAAGAATCCTAGGCCTCTGGGCCCGTGCAGAGCAAATAAGCGACATGCTCACATCAGCTCTTTAGGTTTGCCATCTATCTCCATTATCGCACACCTGCCGTGCTGCCAGATCAGGCGCCTATCCGCCGTCTCTCAGACTGGCAGCCCGAGGATCCGCATGAGCACAAGCTCACGTCAGCCATTATGAAAAAGGTGCTCATTTCATACTCGGCCGTCACCCTCCCGGTTTCACTCTTGCTCCTTTTTCTCAACGGACAGCCATACTTTCAACGGAGCGGGCCGCAAACAGCTTTTTATGGCGTGTTCTGGTCGCTTTGGATCGCCTTCCTATGCATAGTCGATGCCTTCCTTGTTGCCTTCCAGTTTGTCAAGCAGCTCAAGACAATAGGACGTCTGAGATCGCGCGGGTCGCTCAGCATTGCTTCCGTGCTCTCCTTGTCAATCGTGTTGATTCTTCTGGCGTTGACCCAGTTCTTCAGGTCACGAGGAAACATCTCTCTTCCCCGTGAGCGGCACTCGAGCTTTGGGCGCTTCCTCCAATTATTTGGGTATGTATATGGCTGTGTCAGCGTTGATGTCATGTATCTAGTTGCAGGCCTTGGATACCTGGTTCTATTTCAGCTTTGTCTGGTTTTTGACTGGAATGACTTGTTTGGTACTCGGTTTGGCAGGATCCAACTAGTTTGAGAAGTAGGCACATCTTCGAATCCAATAAACATGTTCATCTCGCAACCCCAGCGTGAGGATGACCTTATTGCTGGTGCTTTAGAGTCTGGTTTATGCAACCTTTCTTTGGCAAAACTGGCCAGCGGTCAACCTTGAAGCTGTGCCTGGATGTCGTGTCTTAATTCAATGAGAAAGTGTCAAGAGCTTTCCCTTATGCATGTCGAGCTATATGGCAATGTTCTCCGGTACGACCTCGAATGAGTTACAAAGCCGGCATTGACGGTGGGCAAAGGGTATTAAGGCTAAGAGGCTGCGAGTGGCTCGGAAATGAAAAGAAGCTGACCAAGATGACACTTTCTGTAAAAGGATTCAGGCAACTTCTCTGCAAATATCCATTGGCAATTGACGAGCCCATGGGTCGGCTTAGACGCATCATCCGGCCCGCAGACGCGTTAGACGGTCAAGAAGTGGGCCGCTGATCGACCTCCTTCCCCATGATAAATATGGATAATCATCCCGGACCTATACTTTCAATCCCCTATCATTGGCAGTGTATTCAAGAGTCTTTCAGATATTCTCCGCAGTCACTGTCAATTAGTGGATACCAGTGTCCATGAAGTGTACGTATGCCACTATTCCCAATATATACCATCAAGGCTGAGAAGTACACGATACCCAGCTGTTCACATTACAGCTTCTATTCTATGACGAAACTGGTGTATATCGGATGTGAAGCAAATTCATATAATTCATCAACTTTACAGGCAACATTCTCTGCATTTAATTAGTTAGCAGTCAACATCACACACCCCTTTCTATGTTACATTAAACTCTCAAAAATATAAATGACCATTTGGCTATTGTGAAGAAGGATGTGGTACGTACCTACGATTCAATCCTAATCAAATCAAAGTGGAAAATGAGATCAAAATAACAGGAATGAATAGCCCTTATTCCTATAATCAGTGATTATGCCAGCACACATTGCCAGAGTGTTCTCTTATTAGCTAAATCGCAAAGACTGGTCCTGGTTTCATGTACCTAGGCACGATGCTGGTAATATTATGCTGCTTAGCATCGTCATACTTAAAGAGTTTATCTTTAGAATGACATATTAAAGGAGACTGGACATTAGCTAAGCTGATGCGTTCACTATTGCGATGGTCGAAGTATCCTTCAGCTTCCTGGGTATCCTCCTCATCCCGACTAATCTCTTGGAACACGGGCGTGGTGGCTCGCGACTGGAAGGTACTTTGCAATGTATATAGCTTTTGAGGAAACTGTTCTAGAGTGATCGTCAGTCTTGAAGCCGAACGGACCTTTGAGTATCCATCACCAAGGGGAGACGTGGGGTATCGCAATGGGGCTCTTACGAAGCTTGGCTTCTTCCAGCTTTCTGGGAAAAGGAGTAAATCCTTGTAACGGCACTCGGGGAGTACGCCATGCGCACCTTTCGACGGACGTGTTGGAGAGTAGGCGCGCCGGATCCGGGCTTCCGCCATGTCGGCCACATGTTAACCAGAAGCTGCCAGTTATTATACTCGTCATACAAGGGTGCCGTTGTTCTTTCGCTAGAAGCAAAGGAATGGAGATGATTGCCGGAAGCCATTCTAGAACATGAGAGAAGATTTATCAGTTCCAAGACCCAATGATATCCACGTGACCCGTCTAATCAAAATGATGGGCTTTCACTCAATGGATAATGGCTTTACTGCCTGTGACTTTGGCAAGATCTGGTGGTCTAATGATTTATGTTCACCTTGAGACAGTAGCATATTAGCAACGTACCAAAGTTTCGCATTTTGGTGAAAGTAATTCAAGAGGCAAGCATCTATCTGGACTTCATTCACCAGTATCACAATGGACAGCCACTGCCACTGTGAGAAGCCAAGACACCAAAGGCACCCACCTTTCATATCACTGCACGGCCGCCGAAATAAAACGAGGTCCCATAATGATCGACATATGCCCACGTTTAAGAGACATGTATTGATTTTTGGATGAGCTTTACGTTGATCCCCAAGACCAATGACAGCTCAAATGAGACGGTAAATTGGGCCAGCCAGTGTAACAAGCTTTGCTTAATTGTACGTCGCCATAGAGTCTCTCATGACTGATCTGAATTCAATCGAAGAACTGATAAGTATATATAAGTAGACAAGACACTCTCTCAAATATCGTCCCGCATCACAGATAGCAACAACAACTCAAACAGTACAGTCATTCATTCTTCATCGCTCTCTTCCATCTACCATTTATACTTTCTCCATTTGCCTGCATCATTCAAAGCCAACTCTTTTCATCATCAAAATGCGTTTCACTACAGCCATTGCTACCGTCATATTGGCCTACACTGCCATTGCCTCGCCTCTGCAGGCTCGTCAGGAGTCTTGCGAGACTGCGTACGACAAATGCTTGACCGCACCAGATGCCAACATGTCCCAGTGTGTTGCCAACTACAGCAACTGCTCGGGTCACCTACCCAGCAACAAGCGCCAAGATCCATGCCAGGACGTCTACAATCAGTGCGTCACAGCTCCTGACGCCAACATGTCCAAGTGTGCCGCCGACCAGGCTACCTGCCAGAAGAATCCGAAGCGCCAGGACAGCTGCCAGGACTCTTACAATCAATGCGTGACTGCACCTGACGCCAACATGGCTCAGTGTGCTGCCGACTTCAGCAACTGTTCTGGTCATCTGCCCGGTCAGAAACGTCAAAACGCTTGTCAAGATTCTTACAACCAGTGTGTTACTGCTCCTGGTTCCAACATGGCCCAATGTGCTGCCAGCCAGGCCACTTGCCAGAAAAATCACCCGAAGCGCCAGGATACTTGCCAGGACTCATACGATCAATGTGTTACTTCCCCTAAAGCAAGCATGGCTCAGTGTGCTGCCCAACGCGCTACTTGCCAGTCGGGCCATTAAGGTGCTTTACTCGCGGAAAGCCATTATGAAAATGTGCGATAAATTGATATCCAGGAGGACAGGCTGAGACAGGGAATACACTAATTTTTCAATAATTTACAATATACAAGTTGATTGTGTTCTCCGTCGTTAGTTCATCAGAAGAAAAATATCACAGCTTTGATACCAAGTGATGATATGCAAAACCGCATATTACATTCCTTCTTCATCTTCAGTTCTACCAGGCTCCTGAATCCTTGTGACTGGAAGAAAATGACTTTGGATTTGCCTGCGCAGGTCACGACCTCAGCTTTCAGAATTATTATTCGGTTGAGAGGGAGATGCAGATCCATGCGGCAACCAAGATTATAAATCAAGTTTCAACACACAGGACTGGACCATTGCGACATCACAACAGAATTGCCATGAAATTCACATCTTGCAAGATCTCTATACCAAAAAATGATCTCGCTAACTGCAGTATCAAGTTGACCACATTTCTATTTTCATTTATTGTAGCGTCAAGTTGTTTATATAAGTGTGTAGCCATACCCAGTCATGACATCATGTCTCATCAATCATCATCCAGTATCATACATTGCATACACCATTTTTGGACAAGGTCCGGCCCACGGTTCTGATACCAGGTTCTCTGGTCTCTGTTCCTTTCTTCTACCTTCCGATGCATCAAAGTGGTCACAAATGTTCCCATCATCAAGTTTAGCAACGGAGAATACCACCCAATTCCACGGCGACAGAGTGTTATCTGGGGACTAAGCACCACACGAAGGCCTCTTGTGAGCGGAACATGAATTTGCAGGGAGGCGGTCAACGCCTAGCACTCTTACCCTTTAGATCAACACTTAACCCTGAATCTAGATCAGCACCCTTCAACAATTCCCGCAGACTACCTTCTGCATAACTTTTTGCTTTACTGCGCTTCCGGGCCGACGAGGCAGCTTCTATTGTCGAGTTGGTACCTCGCCACGGGATCCAGTGACTGATTCCGGAAAGTAGACTGGAAGAGTTTCTGGGCTCGTCCGGTCTTGAGATTGCAGCATTTGCTACAGAGTCTGATACTGTGGGGTGCGAAGGTTCTCGGGATGGCTCATGTGTGTAGTTCTCCGACAGCTCTTCTTGCGTAGTCCGAATTTCCAGATGACTTTTTGACGTCTTGGGCTTGGCAGGTTGGCCAACTAGAGCTGTCCCCGAAGCCCGTGGTGATGTGGTTTCGCCCTGACTGTGCTGGCGGGTATTGTCCATCATCGCCGTGGCAAAGGAGGCAGACTTCTTTCGAGCAACCTGCTTCTGTTGCTCATTTGAATCTCCAGTGCAACTAGAGGAAGACCCGCTATCAGCTTTGTGATGTCTGGCTGCTCGTCCTCGCACCTCGGCGGTCAGTTCTTGTGCCGACTTTTTCTTGCTCTTGTCTTCTTCTGATGAGCGACTGGAACTCATGATGGTTTCCAATGTGCCGTACGCTGCACTTCTTCTGCGTATGCCACTGCGACGTTTCCTGTGTCGACTATTGCTCTCATCGTCGCTTGATATTGCTTGCAAAGTGGGACCATGGTGACGCGAGGACGATGCTACCGAGGTCACAAAACTAGCCCCAGAACCATGTGGTGCAACATGCACTTCATATTGGTTGCTTAGAGAATACTTGGATCTGGCACATATTTCAGCAATCCTGTCCAGGTCGGCGCCAATGTCCTGCTGTATGTCGGCCATGATACTCTTGAAACTAAAAGCCTCCAGCGGAGGAAGCTTGGGGTCATCCGCACGCTGATGGACCTTCTTTTGGCCCTTATTCCGAGCCATGCTCAATACCATGCCATTGCGACCTGGGCGCCAACTGGAAACGCTTGAGGCGACCGAAACGGTAGACAAAGGTATCCTGCGACTAGCAGGGCGACTGCCAGCTGAAGAGGGAGGAGGACCCGAGTACGTCCGCACTATGACTGGCTGCGAGTGCGTCCCCGTCGTCGTTGTCGTGGTAGCGCTGGGCGCACCACCACTCTTTGAATAGCGATGCCTTGACGACGGCTGCGAGCGGTTCAGTTGTCGCAGTGCAATGGTTCGTCCCGCAGTCGAAGAGTCGTCAAGAGGGACTGGTTTCCCCTCTGCAGTGGAGGGTATGAGTGAGATGCTAGAGGTGTTTGGCTGCGCGACAGGCGGAAAGGTCAGGAGTGGAAGCGAGTGCCGACGCGACTTTGATATCCGAGTAGTGGGAGCAGGTAGATGGGAAGCGGGTGTACCTTTATTTTGGCAGAGAGCAGCGTGAGAGGCATCTAGATGAGGTTGAGGGCGTGGTGGAGGCGTCCCTGATATGAGTGGCGCAGGCATAGCTCCGAATGATTGCTGGGGTGTTCGATGGACGTATGCCATTTCATATATGCATAAAGAGTATTGTAGGGAGGCAGAAACCGGAACGGTGTCCGGCTAGAGTCAAGGTATCAAGCTTGGTTGCTGCAGATGGTCTGGAAGCAAGCAAGCCCTGGACGGGAGTACCTGTAGTCGTGGACCCGTATAGTAGTACCCAAGTTTAGGTATGTAGGTAGGATGCACCAGACAGATGTATGTGTGTGCTTTCGGATGCTAGGTATGCGTCTCTAGCTTACAGCAACATGTGTGCCCGTTTGACACATTCCGCTTGCGGACGGGAGAGGACGAGTAGGAGTACGGTTGCACTTCTAGGCCAATCCTTGAGTCGGACTTCAACCTTTCTTGCAGCTGCGGACGGTAAGGGTCGAGCTTCAGTGTTGACGGCAAAGCATTGTCTAGAACGGCCGTTGCAGAAAACGTCAAGAGGCGAGACGCGAGCGCGTTGAAAGCGGGTCCTTTGCTTGGGGAAAACGAGGTCAAGACAGCGCATGTACTATATGCGCATGTAGGTAGGTGAGCGTGGTGTATGCGGAATGGTGGTTGATGGTTGACGGCGCGTGCAATACATACCACCGAGGATGAGACGTGGGTTTGGTGTGCAGGGAGTAGGAGTAAGTGGAGTGGGGTAAAGATGGAAGAGGGATACTCAAATCCCACACGATCTCCGGGGGACAAGAGCTTGGGTCCAGATATCGTTTTTTGGTTCCTGAGCTGCCGAAATGACTTGAGACAGACTAACAGACAACCTACATCAGATATCCCAGAGAGAATATGGATATCCAAATGACGAGTGACAATGATGAAGACAAACTGAAAACCAATTGGCAATATTGTCAATCAAGGTCCACGCGATGCTCGTCGTCGTTGAAAATGATGCAGCGCAGCTCTTGATGTTGGTGGAAATGAGCAGAAAGAGAGACAAAAAGAGTCAATCAAGCTCGAGATCCGACAGGAGGATTATCGTCTACAGAATACGGATGAACAAGTGGACTAAGGCGAGTGCGATGCTAGGCAATAAGAGTGCAGAGATGCATTCTTTCTGCTTCCGGCCGTCTGTCTGCATAAGCAAAGATCAAAGCCTCGCGATGAGTGGTTGTTGAAGTCTAGTAGAGAAGCAATGCGGCCTGCACGAAGGCGTGGCAGCTCGATCGTGGCCGACAGGGATCGGAGAGGGGAAGATGTGGTGGATATATACCTGGTAGCTATCGATTGGCTTGCACATCTAGCCAGGTATTACTAGTAGGTATGGATTTATGGATTGTACCTGGGCTGGGAGGTACCGGCCGGTAGGTACTCTGTGTTGGCTATATTTCATGACCGCTTCCACATGTACAAGGGATTAGAATAGCATGCTGATAGAGTAGGCCCAAAAGCAGAAAACCTACGATGATCAACGACTCAAGAATTCCCATGAAACAACAAACTTTTGTAAACGGGAGTTGAAAAGTGCTCCAACCCGATAAAACAATCCAGCTGCAGAGGATTAAATGTTTTTGTTGGAACTTTAATATCTTATTCTGGGCACTAGGCATCTGGGAGAGTCCTATGGGGAAATACGGAAGTCGACTGTTGGAGTACCCCGCCTCATCGGACCGCCCACGGCACCCTATCAACAGTATGGTTTTTGGATTCGAACACTCCCGAACCGACCCTGCTTGGAATCATTCGAATTAACCCAATGTGTGGGCACGATCTGTGTTGTGCGTAGATTTTCAGGATTATTAGATAAGTCCGTTTTAGATGAGCATGCTACGTGTACATGCAGCTCTGGTACCATAGTATAACCGGGCTGCCGCCGCCGGTCTACAATCAACAAAGCACACTTCTGCAAATTCTCGAGAGATACAAGCATACAGCAGAACACCTTTATTGGACCTCTGCCTTGTAAAAACCAAAAAAAAAAAAAAAAAAAAAAAAAAAAAAAAACCTAAAGTGTCACCCGAATAACAGGCTACCAAGTAGCCAATTGGCAATCCGGTGAATTCTGCTGAACTGTCCTTCATTGCACCCGCGTCTGTATCCGACGGCATGCATCGCACATGTCCTGTCGAATGCAAGTATAACTCATCATCGGATTCAATTGGCAGCGTGAGAATTCAATTGTGTTGTATTACCGGAATCATAATCCCTATGAACAGAAAAGCAGCATGCTTCAAATCCACAACATCGACAAAGATGCAATCCCACAGCTTCGGACAAGCCCGGAAAAGCAAGAATAGGTTCCGTGATTCATTCCATGCCAGACCCATTATGTAATGACTGCCGTCTAGACTCGCGGGGTTGGCTTGTAAATGGTCACATATCCCGCCTGGTCAGAGGGTGGCATAGTTTGGTACAGGTGGTGCCCAAAATCAGCCAACCTCTACACTTCTCTAATGCCCTAGGAGGTGGGAGGGACCATGGTGCCGTATCCATGTCCGCCGGTTTGTACGCGATCACTGTACACTCCAGCAGCTCTTCGAGCGGCGAAGCGGCCTTCTCTAGCCTGCTCTCGGCGGTCATAGTAGACATATTCAAGGTAGAATGCGTGGATGTGGCCCGGGATGTAGCTGGAGGGTTGTCGCAATTAGCATGATTGAAATGCCGCCATGCGTACATGGTGTATGCCATTAGGCTTTGCTGAAACTTACCCAAGCAGTGTCAAGCAGATGTTGATGAAGAGATCAGCGCCGCATCCTGCGATAGCCCATACACCCACGGGGGGTACTGTGACAAGTCAGCTTGACTCTTCCAAAGGCTAGAAGGAAGATGACAGCTAGTGTGCGGTGGGAAGGTTAGAACTGACAGAGGATGGTGATCAGAACAACAAGCAGAGCTGAGGCGGCCATTTTGCTGATATTGCTGGAAAATTGTTGTGTATAGAATACAGTGTATTGAGTTGGACTCAAATGTTCAGGGTGTGGCTGCGGTTGCGCTGGCGTCGCTGAAAACTATTGACTCTCTGTATGTCGAGTATCGATCTTCGTAGGTGATGTTGTGGCAGATTTCATTCGATCAAAAAGTCGGACAGGTTGGTTCAGTTGCAGCGCTTTATGTATGAATCACAGCTGGGCGGCACTCCAACTAATGCAAAAATAGATTGTCGTCTTTAACATTCGAGAACTGCCAAGTTTTACCCTGCGAGCTTCGAGACAAATTTCGCCCTGCTGCCGACTTCCATCTAGCAGGCACCTACCCTTGGTAGCAAATGACACGATGACGTATACAGGTCTCGCACGTGCCAAGCTTTCCGGCAACCGGCATAGTCGAGTCGTGTCGTGTCGTGTCGCGTCGCGTTGCGCTTCTATGAAGATTCGAACTTTGGCCTCTCATGCATATAAAAACCATTTGACCCACAGGCAAAAGTTCTAAGTCATGAATGGCGGGTTTGGACAAGTTCTAGGAAGGATAATTTCTGCGAAAATCACTACGCATGAACGCCAGGCAGAACGCAGCTGAAATATCTTGACCTAAAGGGAAAGGTTTGGCTCCTGCTTCAAACGAATTGTTCGTGGCGCGAGGCACGCCAAACTCGCAAGCCTTTTGAGTATTCCAGATATAGATGCGGTAATCGAAGAATGCATCACCTGGTATTCCAGTGCTTGGGATATTTGCGTAGCCTAGTAGACAGATGCTTTCTTCTTCTTCTTCTTCTTCTAGAGTATTCCTCTGCGAAAATGAACGTATCAAGTTCAAAATTACACAAATTCTAATCTGGTAAGCCCTTGCATTTCATTCCGAACAACAGCAAGCCAATAAGCATGACTAAGGCATATTAGATTTGTGAGTATTTGAGTTGGATCCTGATGGAATATCATTCTTGTCTGCTTCGGCGCTGCTTGTGAAGCTTTCTTGGAACCCACGAGCTGTGAATTTCTGAGAGCATGGGTGTTATTTGAAATAAAGACAATTAGTTTAGTATCCTCATACAATGATAATCTATCTCTCTGCATATGGCGACAGTGAAATCATTGCAATCTATGAAATGGCCCATGTAGGCAGCGCAAACTTGGATACAATCTTTCATTTTAACGCACGCTATTTGTTGGTTCGACTCATGAACAAGGTCTGTCGAGTTCTCGTTCGATTTGTGTGATAGCAAGCATATATCATGTTGGGTGATAATAGGTTCAGTAAAACAAACAGGTACCTGTATTTCCATTCTTGGTGCTGCGCTAAGACACGTTTTACCCAGGGGAAAAAAAGAAAAAAAAAAAAAAACCTAATAAGCGCCTCCCCCAGCAAACTACATGCACAGCAGCGGGAAGGCGACTGGCGATGAGGTAGGTAGGTAGGGTAGGGGACCTAGGTATTATGTATGATACGCACCATCTCCTACATTTGCTGCATCCAAGGTGCGCCCATCCCATCGGGAATCCGCCTTGCGAAACAATGTCGACATCACTTACTCAGTCCTAGCTAGGAAGGTGTTTTGGTGACCAAAGTTTCTCTTGTGCATTAGGTAGATTCAATGCTAAGTGCTCTGTAAAGAGGTAACTGGCCACTGCCTGTGTATCTGTGACGCTGACAACCAAAAGCCAAAACATGGTCCAGCATGTCACGCCTAACTTAGAGATGGTGGCCGATTACGCTGCAGAACCGTTGACAAGGGTATGCAATATACTGTGCTCATAAGGATTTGGAGATACCATCTGTTGACTATTCTTCGATCCAGATAAACCGAAACGAGTCTAGATAATTTCAAATGATATTTTATACTGCTAATACTTCGGCATGGGATGGATGGGGGAGATCCATTGCCCGCCGCACGATTTAACACAGCAAAGAAAGTCAAAAGGCATAGAGGACGACGGGATAGATTGATCTTCAGGGTACATCAAAAATATCTAACACCGACCTAGCCGGTATGAGATTTGTCCCTGTTCGGAACTGGTTGAGGCCAGAGCCGTTGGGGTACAACACCTCCTTGGACTCTACGTAGTGACAAACTCGACGAGGTCGACGGGGATACCTTGTTGCTGCACTACTGCAGTACTTTAGCTCACTTCTTGTTGTTCATGGTGAATTGTACAGTGGTAAGCATGTTTGCCTGCCGCTAAAAAGGTCCCTGTTTTTGTCAGATCCGATGCTTGTTGCTTGACGGGCTCCAGAGTCTCATCAGAGTTGAGCCCTATAATCGATCGAAATGACTAGTAAATGGTACGTAGCGCGAGACTGGCTTTTAGTGTCTCGGATCTCAGTCAGTAAGAAGGATGAACTAGTATAAAAAGTCTTAGATGGCGACCTCGAACCACGTTGTGCAGTCGCACGATAATCCTGCTGAGAGAGGCTTGGCAGAGTGCATTGCTTCATTAAAGGTATCAGGCCAGTTAATTGGAAGATTGCCACTCGCCTTCGAGCAGCACATATATCTTCTCAATGGACAAGGTACTGTAGCAGCTTGGAGCTCTGTCGACCGAGGACAAGCCAGTGCTACCTTCAATGAATCAATGCTACTGTATATTCTGTGGCCCGGGTACGGCCTGTGCAGGGACCAAGTTTGCCTGCATCCTTGGACGTAGCAGCATATCAAATACGTAGCATGGGTAGCGGCGGTGTAGGAAATGGAAGAATGATTCTTGCTCATAAAAGACCTGTGAGCCATTTCGCAGCCGCTCTTTCGAAGTTGGAGGAGCAGTGATCACAGTAATATTTGTGCTTGGGCTGATGGACGTTTTTCCAAATGAATTGGATTTGTTTCAAGCTTTCTCATTAAGCAGGCTCGTCCGTTCCGTCTGCTGCTGCAGGACGGTTCTACCCACCGGCTAAGGTAAGGTATGCAGACAGCGTTGACCCATGCCCATGTTCGTGGGCACATCTACACTGCGACTTGCGCGCGCTACGGTTAGTTCTGAGGAGTACTTGCGCTAGTAGGCTTCGAGCAATAATGGGTCTTAGCTTGACCTACGAACAAGAGTCAAGAGGAGAAGAAAAAAAGGGACAAGGAGGGAAAAAAAAAAAGACATGTTCAGTTTTTTGGGGCAATTGGCACAGGTAGGGCCCAGCGCGCGAAAATCGTGACGAGAACAAGAAAAGAAGTGCACCAACAGAAACCCCAATTGACGCGGAATCTGCTGTAGTATCGAGAAAAGCAGTCCGGCAGCATCCATTGCAGTGTGTCCACCATCTTTTTGAGAGCTCTACAGCACACCAAGCAACGCAAGGCCTCAAGAACTATTGCCCAATCTGGTCTCGGGACGAAACTGGTCGGCGAATCCAGGGAACGTCCCGTCTGCTCCTCTCCTGTTCTGTACCTACTCCATCTTCGGCTTGCGCTCTCCACTGCCCAGAGTCAACACCACCTCATCCCCTTCTCTCTCTCAATCCCATTGATTCTGGAAAAACCCACTCTCTTTTTCCCACCTCCTCCCCCCTCCTCCAGCCAAAGCCTTCACCCGACCAGCTTGAGGGATTTGCGAGGGTCAACCTTTCCAACGGCCGCGCGATTGTTCCTTGTTCGACTACAGATCTGAAGAAAAAAAAAGAATTCTTTTCAGTTCGCCTTGAGAGTACTTGTCAGGTTTTCGCTCGCTGGAAATACCTGCATGCATCTGTCCCTGAACGACAATCCCAAGCTACAGACAGCCAACAAAGCTCCCTCTCCTCAAGAAGAATCCGCCGGCCCAGTTCCCTCCGCCAACAATCGTCTGGCAAGGCACCCCTGACACCTCAATCTTGCTGGGTAAATTTCGCGGCACCTCGACCGAGCGACTCCATCTCCGTCCGTATTCTTCGACCTTTCACTATTTTTTTTTTTCGAAGCTCAGGCAGCTATCCCTCGTCGGAAATATTCCTGTACCGAATAGTATCTTGCGCTCTCGGTATATGTGCCGCCGCACTTCGACGTTATATCATCTGTACCATACAAACGCTGTATACATTGAAGCTGCCCATCATGTCTACTGTACCGCCTCAACCGCCGCACTTTGACCGATACGTCGTGATTCATGTAGCCACTACATGCGACGAGCACGGCGTCTATGTCACCAAGGACTCAGCCGAGGTTATCGAGCTTGGATGGATTGAGCTTGACGCCAAGTCACTGGAAGAGGTATGGGCAAAAACTGGAGATTTGAGAAGCTTTCGAAATGGGCTCGGAGAATCGCGTCATTGGTTCTGTGTTGGTGCTGACCCGTCTCTTTCCCCCATAGCTTCACCGCGAGAGTGTGCTCGTGAAACCGATCAACACGCCCATCACGCCTCTATGCAGTAAGTCTTGGAATTTGTTGCCCTCTGCCAGCCATGTCTAGACGCGGCTGCGAAGCCTCGTGTCAGAAAGCATAATTCTATCACGACTGGAGCTAATTTCGACAAACTACAGCGAGCCTAACGACCCTCACCTGGGAGCATGTCCGTAATGCGGGAACGTTTCGAGATGCGATCAACCGGTTCGATGCATTTGCGAGTGAACACTTGACGAATCAAAATTTGGATTTCGTCTTCGTCACACTCGATGCCTGGGATCTCCGCGTCCAGCTTCCCCGTGAAGCTCGGGACAAGGCTGTCGTCCTCCCGCCTTACCTGCAACACTCGAGGACTTTCGATCTCCGTACCGAGTATCAGCGCTGGCAACAACACCACCCCGAATCGCTACCGTTCGGCCCTAGCATGCTCTCTAACATCTGCGCAGCGCTTGAGGTTGAGCCCGTACAATCGAGCGCCCCGATCAAGCACAATCTCCCTTTCCACCTGCAGGCCCTCGCCCCTGCCTCGCCTCGCCGTGCTATGGAAGAAGCCATCACTCTGGCGCGTGTGCTTCGCGGTCTCATTCGCAAGTCGCAGCCTGCCCACGAACACCCTGATGTGCTGACGAGGCCCATGGATGCCCGTGCTGATGTTCGTGCTTTCCTCTCGGAGCGCAGCAAGGTTTTGCACATGTCTGGTCTGCCCCATGACACCACTCAGTCCGAGCTCGAGAGCTGGTTTACGCAGTTTGGTGGAAGGCCTATCGCTTTCTGGACCTTGAGGACACCGGAACAGCACAAGCCAACTGGAACCGGCTTTGCAGTCTTCTCATCTCACGAAGAGGTAAGTCAACTAATGGAAAACACGATACTACATGACAGCTAATCCATTGGACCAGGCCGCCGAGAGTCTTTGCATGAACGGACGCGCTTTGAACGAAAAGGCCATTGAGGTGTCTCCCTCCTCCAGCCGAGTTCTTGACAGGGCTGCTGAAATCTTGACGCCGTTTCCTCCTAGCAAGAATCGCCCTCGACCTGGTGATTGGACGTGCCCCTCCTGTGGCTTCTCAAATTTCCAGAGACGCACTGCTTGTTTCCGCTGTTCTTTCCCAGCTGTCGGCGCTGGTGGTCCTCAAAATGAGATGAGCAGCTATGGTGGTGGTGGAGGCGGCAGTGGCGGCTATGGCTACGGCGCTCCTCCCATGATGCCTCCTCCTCACCACGGCGGGCACCACCACCACCACGGCGGTATGGGTCATGGCGGTGGTCGGATGGGTGGAAGTGGTGTTGTTCCTTTCCGGGCTGGCGATTGGAAGTGCGGTAATGAGGTCTGCGGCTACCACAACTTTGCCAAGAACGTATGCTGTCTCAGATGTGGTGCCAGCCGCGCCGGCGCCGCTGTTGTTGCGGACTCGGGATATCCTTCCCCAATGGACAGTGGATCAAACTATGGTATGGGCTCGCACTCTGTTGGCGGCACTCCCGGACCCGGCCCTTACGCATCTGCTGGCGGCCCCTTTGGCGGAGCTGGTGGCGGCTACGGCCAGCACTTTGGTGGTCCACCCAGTACTTATGCCCTGCCATCCGGCATTGGCGGCGGAGCCGCTCCTTACCCATCAGCCTTGAACACTCACATTGGTGGCCCTGCTCCTGGTTCCCACTCGGCTGGCCCCTTTGACAGCCGTGCTGCCGAGGCTGCTTTCCAGTCTGCCGGTAACGGCCCTGCATCTGCCGGCCCTTCCAACAACTTCTTTGGCTCACAAGCCGAGAACGACCCCTTTGCCTTCCTATCGACTGGAATTGGTGGTCTTACCGTTAGTGGAGATGCTCGCCAGAATGGTTCTGGCGCTGGCGGTCCACAGAGCAAGTCTCCTGCTGCCTAGGAGGCGCCGGACCTCTGAGGACCGCTCGAGTTGGATGGTGTCTTGAGGTCGCATCTGCCAGCCTCATTAAGCTTCTTCGACTCGACCACGGCACTCCAAAGTATGGCGCTGTAAAGGACACTTCGCGGTCGCTCATATTGTCAACTTCTTTAGTGCAACATGCTTGGTACTTGTTCTACAAGGTGTTCCAGGCTCCCAACTTGCATTTCGTCATTAATTTCTGCACCATATTCGGACGAATTTTTCATTCGATAGACTCGAAGTTCCCTTGGCGATATTCCTCTGGAACTATCCGCGTTGCGGAGTTGTCAGACTTGGACCAGGGTAAAAGGAGGGGAGTCAAGGTTGCGGTTACGGTAGGCGCGGTGTTGTGTGTCATCAAAATTCATCTTTGAGGGATGCTGGAAAGACAAAAGCACGGAATTTGAGATTGGGACTTCCTTGTTGTGCCACGGCACTACTACCTCGCAAGCAATACGAGGCATGTGGCATCGGCCGCCCATGTTTTGCCCAACTTGCCAGTATTTGCGGGGACGACATATTTACCCGGCTCATACTATGTTACTGTACATGGATGGAATTTTGTGTGAATCGGACTGGTGGGTGCATAGCGCAGGGAGTGTAGGGTTTATATTCTGGCCTCCGTTTTGTGTCCAAAGTCTCTTTACTGTTTCTTTTGCCTTTCTCTTGTTTCACAGTCTTGTATGTTATTTTTCTTCCTCTTCTGGTACCTACATTCCTTTTAGTAGTTCATGTGCATCATTTGCAGCTACATTGGTAGAAAAAGCATGGTCAAAGGATGGACTTGGCCGGATGGTGACTGAGTACTCTTTGACGGCGTGGAGTCTCATGAGGATGCACTCGGGGCTGAAGCACCCGATGGCTGGTGAAGACACTCAGGTGAAACCCATAAATCGATTTTGTTTCTATCACTTTTTCTCGTCACATGCGAAGGGATATCAATGCTTCCATTCTGCAAAGCGTACGGGAAATCCACCATAATGAAGCTATAAAAGACTGGGTTCATGTCTCCATTGGGACCGATACCAGGGCTGCCTTGAAAAAAAAAAATATCGTTGATGTTCGGCTGGAAAACCCACAGACACTTTGGACTCTACCAGGGGCGACTGGCCGTATCCTTGAGTCCCATCAGGTTTACGTGCATTGCCCATCATCACGAATAACGAGACTGGTTTTGGCACCTTGAGGCGCAAGTTATCCAGGAACCTGAGCACAACCCATCAAATCAAGACTGCGCGCTACCAGTCTGGTTCAACATATCCATCTACGGTTGATTGATGACACAGGTCTAGAGCTCATGGTTAGTCACTGCAAGCAATGTCACGACAACATCGGAAAACTTGTACCTGGGCAAATGCCGAATTTATTTACTCATTACTTTTCCTCATACTATGGACTAGGAACTACCTAGGTAAGTATGCACGAAGGCATATCCTTTTTGTTATACAGAAATGACCTGTGACGGACACACTATCTGCTTAGGTTGCCACGAAAGAGCAACAGCCATTGAAAATCATACATCAGATTGAGCCAGAGAGGGGGCATTGGGCTTTACCTATCACTTAGGACGAGCCTTTATCATCAGTGCTTGCCCAAGGAGCGAACGCGGTGTCTCTCAAGTCCAAGAATTGCTGCCACACCATTTCCCGATCAGGCTCATCGTCTCCCTCAAAGCTGACATCGCCATCAACTGTCTGGTTGTCTAGATTCGAGTTCTGGTCGAGGTCGTCATCTCGGGACCGACTTGTAGAGCCGAGCGATGTTGCAGCTACGTAGGGGACATGCATATCATGATCCTCTGGAGACGGCTTCCAGGCGTACTGGAGCTTGGTAGTATCACCAATGGCCGACTGGGCCGTAGGACTATCGGTACTAGAGTCGGACTCGTATCCGAAATCGTGCTCATATTCTTCCTGCACTTTATTGAAACTGCTTGTGATGGGGCCAGCTGCCAATTTGTCAGGATCAGTGCTTTGACGCGGGATCTCGTTGCCGTTCTTGTCGACTTTGAAATCAGGGTTCTCGCGGTCAACACCAGCATTCTTGAGGAGCTTCTCTTGCATGTCGCGATTCATCTCCATATTCTCCTCTTCTGTAAGGTCCGGATCGTCGAAGCGGTGCTCGTCCCACTTGTAGACAGCCTCATGGCGAACTTGTTGTGCCAGTAGGATTTTCTTGCGGTCATGTTCGTCCAGCTCGTCCCAGCGAGCACGTCGGAGGTGGAAGGGCTCAAATTCGAGATGCGTGTCGAGGGCGCGATTCTTGTAGTCAGAGTCGCGCATCCAGATCTCGGCCTCGCTGGGCACAAGGTTTCGTCCAGTCTCATGGTCCACATGTCCCCAGAGCAGGAGACCCATAAGATGTTGGTCGAGACGCAGATCGCGGCGGGCAGCTTCAGCCATGATGCAAGCAGATGGACGTTGCAAGGCTGGATGCATGGAACCCTTGGTGCCCCAATGTTCGAGTTGAGTGCGGCCGATCTCATTAGGCGGAACTCCCAACAGGCCAAGACCGTCGGGTCGCAGGTAATCGGGGTCAGCGTCAGCCCCGAGGTAGGCCTGTCCCAGGCGCCAATCGCGGCCAAGATCGTACCGAATCTTGCAACGGAGCAGGGACGGGAGATCACGGTAATTCTGACCAAAGAGCATCTGCCAGAGCGGATAGAGAGACCGCTGGCCAAACATGAGCTCGGAGAGATCGGCGGACTCGGGTCCATAGATGGGATCGCTGAGGCGAAAGTTCACCTTGGTCATGAAAATGGTCAAGTTGACCAGGTCTTGATCAGTAAAGACTTCGGTCTTCATGAGAAGCTCTTGTCGCTGCTTGGTGGTCGGCTGGTCCATGAGCATCCACAACTTCAAGACTGAGTCCTTGGCTCCCTGCGGGCAGCGCAAACCATATCGAGCCAGATGGGCGAGGATGTCAATCACGACATCGTCACGAAAGGCGACCATCTGGTAGTATTTCATGCTGGGCACCCGCTTGACTTTTCCGAGCAAAGGACGCGTGGATGCATTATCCTCATCTTCAGAGGTAGGAGATGCAAGCACTCGACCCACAGGGTCACGAATAGCAAGGTGTTTGTATGTGGGATCTGAATCCCACTTGAACACATGAATGGCATTTGGGGCCCATTGACGGCTCAACATTACTACAGTGGACTGTAGATACGTGTTCATCTGGACGTGAAACTGGAGGGAAACCGAGTATAGCGTCAGAACATCGCGAGGGGGTAAGTACTCAGCGACAGCCATGATGAGCTCCGGAACGCGTGAGAGGGCCGTGATCACATCAAAAGGAGGCTTGTAGCATCCAGTGGCAGGAGGGGGCGACTTGGCCGAAAGAGAAATGCGGCTGTGAATACCGAGTGCGAGCTGTCTCAATCTTCGGGTGTTTCCTCTACCATTATGAAGAGCTTCGAGAATCTGTTCGGTCCGGCGAGGACGATACTCGGGCTGGGTAGGGTTGAGCTGACCTGCGATGGCACCTACCTCGTTCTGGTCAACCTGATTAGTGGCTTCAAATTCAGCACGCTGTGCAATCGCCATGTGTCGTGCGCGAGCGGCATTGCTGAGTGCAGCAGTAGCAGGAGTAGCCAAGGTGAACTTCTTGAACGACTTGACCAGAGCAGAGGCCGGTGTTTGCGGAATTCGCTGAATCTTGAAAGGAACAGACTCATCATCCAGCTCGTCGGACTCGAGGTTATAGATTGGCACCTTGAGGAGCTTGGTGCGCTTGTCCAGCGGAGTCTTTCGAGCATTCTCAAACTTATCAATCTGAGCTTGAAGCTCCGGTATATTGGGTTTGTGAGTTCCCATGTAAGAAGCCACTGCCACGTAGTGAGTGGCATCATTCGTGGTCTTGCGCGGTGCAGCACCAGGAAGAGAGAGATTCAGACGTGAAGGAGCAGCCTTACGCTGAGATGTTCCAACACCAGCAGAGAAGCCTGGAACATTGTCCCCCATCTGTGGACGAAGGGGAGAAGGGGACGAACCCGAAGGTATACCTCCATGTCGACGCATAGGTGATCCTTGAGGCGAACTGGTTGCGAGTACACAACTTCTGGGAGTGGTCGGCAATCCAACGCCCTCATGAGTTGGCTCAGGTGTGAGTTCACGGGTATAAGAGCCCTTTGTGTCTGAGGGAGCGATTTCCTTATTGTGGCTACTTGAAGCGATTGAAATGTGCTGCTCGGTCGTAGGGCGAAAATCGCCAAGGGGAATGTGAGCTGTCTCATAGGTTCCAATGCGAACCTTCTTCCGGGGAGAGGAAACGACAAGATCCTTCTCAATGTCACCTTGGCCTGAAAATCCCTTGCTGAGCGCATCCTGTGCAACTAAAGCCAACGATGGGGTGTTGATGATAGACATTGTCTGCATCTGCTCGTCAATGGCGAGTTTGCGGAGTGCCTTGGCAAGATCGCCGGCTGTGACTTCTTGAACATCATGGAGAAGATCTGGATTCGGGAGTTGGTCCATGATATGGTCATGGAAGGCCGACTCCAAAGAGTCAGGTCCAACGAGAGTAGTGCCCCCCATGGCTGGTGAGTGGCCCCAAGATGAGCAGGAATGATTCGTATCTTTGTTTTGTGAATGAAGTGATTGATGGGATATTGCCAGAGTCTAAGCTTGAAGCTTCTCTTAGAGTTTGGGAAGAATCTTGGAGGAGTCGACGATTGTGTTGATGAATCTGTTGATTGTGCAGACCGCAATCATATCTTCAGTGTGACTCTTCTGGATTGAAAACCCCCAGGGTGCCTGTATTGAATGTTTAGTTCAAGTGAGAAGTCACCCTGATGATGATATTATATACATCGGGGAGCAAGGGACAAATCCATAGACTGGGTGGTTGCATCGGATGGACTCACTTATTCTATTTCTGTAACTGAAGAAGAAGAAAAAACCGGTCAAACAAGAAAGGTGTTTGCACACTGACAATTGGTGTCAACAATGTGTAGGGTCTGCAGGCATGTTAGTCACGGTCTTCTTTTTCTCAATGATGAAGGCTTGGGAAGTCCGAGCATGTCACCAGACCAAACTCATGTTAGTAGATTCGCGGCGCTGATTGGCCATTCTATATCTGGGAGACTCAACGGGAAAAGGGGAATAAGTGACACATACCTTTCCCATGGGCGTGTGCGACCAACGGAAACCAAGAAGATAGGTACTGCTCGCAAATGAATATGGGAATCAAGGACCGAACATCAAGTTGCTGGCAACGAAGCAGTGAGTGGCACCGTCGAAGATGCCTGACACAAATTTGTCAAGTGTTCGGTAAAGTACCAAGCTTGACAAGTAGAGGGGTGCCGAAAAAAATGAATTTGCGATCTCGTAGATCGCCTTGTCCATCCAACAAGGTACTCAATGATTTGGAAACAATCCAACGCCTGGAAACGCGAATTGCCGTCTGAACTTCACCGGCCGCCGTTGACCGGACTCAGAGGGGACCCACTCGAAACAATCGGGGCAGAGGCAGAATAATCCAGCTTCCGATTGTCTGAAACTCGACACCAGTGGGCTCGCGATTTTCGTGGTGCATCAATGACTACGTCTACCGGGATATCTCAGAATAAAAATTCACTGCACCTAATGTAGCTGGGGAAAAGACAATTATACCTTCGAGCATGGGCTGCGTTTGTTGATGTTGGAGATATCTCGCAGTTTGGGCCCTCAGCTCAACAAGTTACAAGGACAAAACGCAAAGCGTCTTTAATGTATTGTCACGGGACAAAATTAAAGATGCAAGAGTACGACTCCGGGATGCGGCAGCATTTGTGATTAGTTAGACTCGTCAGACCTTGCGATGTCAAAGATTCCTGGCAGACCTGTCAGGTTTAGTCGTGTCACCATCAAAGGATGAAAAGAATGCCACTGTGCTCAACTTCTGTGTGCGAAATCCTAGAGGCCATTCAGGAGGCAAATAATGCAGCATTCAAGTAATAAATCTTTCAAACACAAAATTATTGGGAATCATGTCTCATTCAGAGTGTGGCCTGAGTAAAAAAACATGACAGGTCTGTAGCAATATTACAAATCCAACCGTCCTAGCACTACGCATATGCATGCTAGATCCCTTTACTAGACGACTCCTCGATCTCAGGGTATCAGAAATTTGTTTACTGCCTCTCAGCTCATCCATCTCTAGCCTACCCACAATTCAAATAGGACAGACCATGCCCTTGATTGGGAAATCACTCTCATCCGATGAATGAGAACCATTGCTTCCCAAGAATGTCTGTGGCTGCATAGACAAGACTGAAATGCCTTCTACTCTTGGCGCGGATACAATCTATCGACCCATCTCGTCGAGATTAATATCGGAATCATCTTTACCCACAATGGAGTCTGCAACTTTCCAGATCTGCAGCATATTATCCTCGGCGGCCGAAGCCATCAGCCAGGGCTCATTCTGGTTCCACGAGAAATCAGTTAGGTGGTTGGTGTGGCCACCATGCATAAACAACCTGGTATCGATTAGTGGTAATCGCAAAAAGGGCAAAATTATTGAAAGCTTACAGCTCAGGAGCACCATCCTCCTGATCATCCGGTTGCTGTTCTTCACCAACGCGGGCCAGGTCCCAGAAAATGATTCTGCGATCGTAACTCGCACTTCCAAGAATGCCAGCCTCATGAGGATGCCAAGAAATGGCAGTAACGGCGTCCTGGTGGCCCTCAAGAGTGTGTACCTTCTCCTTGACGTTTCGGAGATCCCAAATGCCAATGGTGTTGTCACCAGAGGCTGTAGCGACCAACGACTCGCTAGTGGGATTAAAGGCCAGGGCGTTGATTGGCTCGGTGTGACCGTGTCTGGCAACGAGGGCAGCCTGGGTTGTGGAAGACTGCCGAGTATCCAGAATCTGCAGGGTCAAATCATCCGAAACAGTGCCAATGAAGTTCTGGCAGATGGGTGAATATTGCACGTCATTGACGACATTTGTGTGATGCGTGTAGACTCGCGAAGCGTTCAGTGTGGTTTTGCCAGACTCCAACGACTTCAGGTCCCACAAACGCACAGTCTGGTCTTCGCTGCCGGATGCGAGGGAACCCTCGATATGGGGGCTCCATGAGAGACCGAAACCCTCCTTGTCGTGGCCTTCAAGAGTGATCTGAGGGTTGACCTTTCCGTTTGGAGTGTTGCTGTGCTTGGTCCGGTCAAAAATCAAGATGTTGCCGTTGCTGGTCAGCGTAGCAATAAGATCAGGGTTTTGCGGGCAATAGCGAGCCTTGTTGACCTCACTGGGATGGTCAATCTTTTGAACAATGTTCCACTTCATGGCGGTCTTGTCACCCTTGCCATGGCCACCAATCTCGCCTCGCTCTTCGTCGTAGTCGCGCGGGTTGGGTCGAATATCCTTGGGAATTTCGACTTCGGCGATCTGAAGGTAGTTCTGCTTGTCGTCCGAGGTGTGAGTTCCAATGAGAGCCCTGTGAATTCGCACGTTTCTTCCCTCGGGCTCCTTGACATCAGGAAACCATTGGACGGTAAGGGTAGGCCAAGTCAGGGCGGTGCTTGAACGAGCTGATTAGCAGGCAGTTTGCAGATGTAGCTGAAGTAGACAAAATGGTCAGATACCTGAGAATCATGTCGTAAAGAAAGGGTGCGTTCTTCTTCCATGTCTTGTACTCCTCATTGATGATTCTCTGAGCTTCGTCATCTTCCTCGCCGCCATAGGTAGGAACGTCCACTGTAAGCAAGGTCAGTGCCGTGCGCAAGATGCTTCTTGGTGGGGGGAGACGGTGAACTAACTATCGGCGTCCTCGACGATCGGAGCAGGTGCCATGTTGGGCGAATGTAATGGCCGCCGGTAGGCTGAAGGGAATTGAAAGTTTCAGTTCCAGAGAATTAAGGACTCCACGAGCGGATTGCTGGTCGATTGATTTCCGCGCAAAAGGTAGGTATGTGATGGGAATGCGGATTGAAAGTCAAACGAGCATGGGGAAAAGCTTCCAAGCCAAAGACGCGGTTCGCGTAAAGTGGTCGAGAGCTATCCAAGGTACGGAACCCTTCCAATTGGCGTCTTGACACGCTAAGGCAGAAAACGGCTTGGGCTTCTTTTTTTCATTCTTGGCGTCCATCTTACATAATCTGCTGGAGCATGCAAAAAGCTGCTACACTACTATTCGCTCTAATATTTCGGGTAATTGCCGGCAACGGCACTGTACGTGTGGTGGATTCTACACAGTAAACGGCGCAGGGGAAAAGTCCACAACCATTCCCAGGCCCCAAATTCCAGCCTGTATTCCAGTTTCATTATACTGTGTCCAGTGTGTGTGTCTACCGTAGTTTATGTAGTACAGTGGGCACAGGCCCCCCGAAGCTCAGCCTTGTGTCGGGAATCCATGACCGACTTGATTGTTCCTCGCCGACCCTCTATTTGCCGCCCGTTGACGGAGTCATTGACCTGGTCTCACCATTCCCTCCCTCCCGCCTACCTACCCACCTAACGTCTGCAACCTTCAATCTGCAACACCCACACACGTTGGCCTCGACTTTGCTAGAAAAGTCCCAATGTGCTACGCGGGATCTTTGTCAACTTCAGTTTGCAATACTTTTCTTTTCCGTATAGGTTCGTTCCGGAGTTTAGGATTCTATATTTCGGCCTAAGTACATAGGCAGAGTCATTGTCCTTGTCGCCACCGTTTTGTCTATTCTCTCCTCTCCCTGGCATTGCGATCACTTCGTTTCCGCAGTCGAACTGCGCAAGATCTGTTGATCGATCTCGTCATTTCGATAGTGTATAAACACGACTGTACACTTATACTCTGGTAGCTTTGGCTACACGCTCAGCTTAGCAACCAATCATGGGGTTTGTCTGCATTTGCAGCATGTTGCTGCGCAATTGTCGCATTCCATATCTTCTAATTCGCTGATTTCCGTACAGTGTTCCCAAGTTCTTCAGATGGCTCTCGGAGCGCTATCCGGCCATCTCTCAGCTCATTGCTGAAAATCGAATCCCCGAATTCGACAACTTGTACCTTGATATGAATGGCATCATCCACAACTGCACACACAAGGACAGCGACGATGCCACCTATCGCCTCAGCGAAAAAGAAATGTTCATCCGCATCTTCAACTACATTGAGCATCTTTTCGGCACCATCAAGCCGCAGAAACTCTTCTTCATGGCCATTGACGGTGTCGCCCCCCGCGCCAAGATGAACCAACAACGTGCGCGCCGTTTCCGAACTGCACTCGATGCCGAGAAGGCTCGTGAAAAGGCTGTTCGCGAGGGCATCGAATTGCCCAAGGAGGAGGCCTTTGACAGCAACTGCATTACACCAGGAACTGAATTCATGCAGAAATTGACTCAGCACCTCAAGTATTTCATTGCAAAGAAGGTCTCTGAGGACAAGGACTGGCAGGGTTGTGACATTGTCCTGTCCGGCCACGAAGTGCCCGGCGAGGGTGAGCACAAGATCATGGAGTACATCCGCAATGCGAAGGCCCAGCCCGACTACGACCCAAATGTGCGACATTGCCTCTACGGTCTCGATGCTGATCTCATCATGCTGGGGCTGCTCAGTCATGACCCCCATTTTTGCTTGCTGAGAGAGGAGGTCACGTTTGGCCGTGCCTCGAAAAATAAATCCAAGGAGTTGGAACATCAGAATTTCTATCTCATGCATCTTTGTATTGTTCGCGAGTACTTGGAGTTGGAGTTCCAGGACTTGAAAAAGGAAGGGGCCTTGCCTTTTGCATTTGACATGGAGCGGGTCATTGACGATTTCATCTTGATGGCGTTCTTTGTCGGAAACGACTTCTTGCCGAATCTGCCATACTTGCACATCAATGAAGGTGCGTTGGCTACCATGTTCCGCATATATAAGGAGATCCTCCCCCAGACCGAGGGATATATCAACGAGGGCGGTGTTATCAACCTGTCACGACTCGGATTGCTGCTCGAAGAATTGTCCAAGGAGGAAACCCGCCATTTCGAGCATGAAAACTCAGATGAGAAGTGGCTTAGAAGCAAGCGTGCAGTAGAAGCCAAGGCGGAAACAATAACGAGAGCAAAGGGCAAGGTTATCATGACAACACCGCAAAAAGATCTTTGGAAGCAAATTCGCAAGTATATACAGAAGCGCCCGGGAGGTGACCTTGACTTGGGCACGAAGCTGGCTGCGGCCGACCGGAAATTCGTCCAGGATGCTGCCGACAGTCTCCATGTGGAGTGGCGCACCTCCGAGGATGAAGATGGTGAACGTCATCTCCTGTTGTCCATGCCCGCTAAGGCCGAGGGGGGCGATGAGGATGATGAGGAAGAGGAGGAAGGACACTTGGCTCTTCTCCGCGTCATGAAGCGTTATGATAATGCTCAAATCATCGATGAGACGCCCGAGGAAGCTCAAGCTTCCATGCAAGTCAAGTACAAGGAGAAGTTCCTGGAATGGAAGGAGAAGTACTACGCTGAGAAGTTTGAGGAATGGACACCTGCAACCAAGGAGACAGAGTTGCGCAAGCTTTGCGAGAATTACGTCCAGGGATTGCAATGGGTGCTGTACTATTACTACCAGGGTGTAGCATCCTGGCCTTGGTACTATGCTTCTCATTATTCCCCCATGATTTCTGGTACGACCCGTAAAGTTTTGCCCCTGGTTTATATCAACCTTGCTAACATACACCAGATGTCACCAAAGGCTTCGGTGCAGACCTCGACTTCAAGTTGGGTCAACCGTTCCGTCCTTTTGAGCAGCTCATGGGTGTCTTGCCAGACCGAAGCAAGAAGATTGTCCCCACAGTCTATCATCCCTTGATGACGGAGCCGAACTCTCCAATCATTGACTTCTACCCGCGAGATTTCGAACTTGACATGAATGGCAAAAAGATGGAGTGGGAAGCTGTCGTCAAGATCCCCTTCATCGATGAGCAGCGTCTGCTTTCGGCCATGGCTTCGAAGAATGATTTGCTATCCGACGATGAAAAGGCTAGAAATAGCTTTGGTGTCACGTTGAAGTTTACGTATGATCGCACGTTGGATTATACTTATCCTTCCTCGTTGACGGGCGAATTTCCCGACGTTCAGCATTGCAAAGTGGTTGAGAACATTTACGACCTTCCAGTGGCTGAGGGACTTGAGCTTTACCGAGGTCTTGTACCCGGGGCAAAACTGAAAATGGAGGCTCTCGCTGGATTTCCCAGTCTTGCAACTCTGCCATACAATGCTGCTCTAGGTTTTCACGGTGTCAAGGTCTTCCAGCAAGAAAGTCGCAATGAGAGCATGGTTGTCACGCTCTCAGATGTCGAGGCACGGGTCCGAGTCGAGTCTGCAAAGGCCAAGCTTGGTAAGAGATGTTTTGTGGGATATCCCTTCTTGCAGGAAGCCAAGATTGTTCGAGTTTCAGATGAACTATTTGATTACACCCTCGCTGAAGATGATTCCGGCCAGGTGGTCACCCGTAATCACCATGGCAAGGAGATTGACGACTGGAGCGCCAAGGCCGACCGCATCGAATCTTTCTACAGTACCAGGCTAGGAATCATCATCGGAAACGTGGAGTCCATGGTCCATGTTGATATGCTCAAAGGCCTTACCAAGACTGATGCTGGTGCATTGATCAAGGAATACGGCTATATTCCTGGCGTCGAGACTGATTATCCCTCTCAAGTCATTGTGGATGAAGTTGTCAGCGAGGACCAACGATTCATTGAGAAGGCTGCTCTCCCTATCGAGGAAGAATATCCGCTCAAATCTCGTGTCTTCTATTTGGGCGATGCTGTACGCGACCGAGATTTTGAGGCATGGGCCAAGGCCTCTGAGCAGGCTAAAGTCCTCGGCCCAATACCACGAGAGGTACTAAGGCCGGTGTACGGTCGTCCAGTCGAGATTGCCGGACACGGTAGCAATCGTGCCAAGATTGTCACTTCTCTCTACATTCTGAAACCTAATCTTGAGGCTGCCGAAGCGGACGAGCTCGCTCCCAAGTTAGATCGCTTTGTCAAGACCGAACCAAGCTTTGCCAAGGGAATCATTCAGCAGGCGGAGCGGGAAAATCCTTATTGGCCGTCATACTCACTCGCCCAGAAGTTGAGGATGCCACCACTCGTACTCAGCAAGATTACTGCGTCCTTCTTTGTGCAGACCATTGGTGGAATGCGCGTCAATCTTGGCCTCAATCTGAAATTTGAGGCCAGGAAGCAGAAGGTGCTTGGCTATTCTCGAAAATCCAAGACTGGTTGGGAGTTCAGCCCAGCAGCTGTGCAGCTAATTGCCGAGTACATTGCAGCGTTCCCTGATTTCTTCCAGGCCATCAAGAACAATCCTCAGGGTAGCGAGCTCAATGAAACGGACATATTCCCGGACCCTAGCTATGCTAGCCAAAGGATCAAGGAAATGGGTGCTTGGATCAAGAACACAGATAGAGGCAACTTTGAAAAGGTTCCTCTAGAGGCCGAGCAACTCGATTCCGATGCGGTTCGAAGTATCGAGCAAGCTGTCGATGCACTGCTTTCGGATGCACCACAACCTGTCATTCGGGTCATGAATGATGTCCCTAGAAACGCTCTGATCCGGCCTCAGGATGTTGAGCAGCGGCTGGGTAACCAGCAATTTACTCTTGGAGATCGAGTTGTCTATGTGCAGGATTCAGGCAAGGTGCCCATCGGCTTGAAAGGCACTGTCGTTGGTATCAGCAATATTGGTAGCACCCCCATGTTGGATGTCCTCTTCGACCAGACATTCATGGGAGGGTCGTCTCTGAATGAGAGATGCTCTGCTTTCCGCGGTGGAGTGGTGCCAGCCAATTCCGTTCTCAACACCACCTATCCCCAACTGCTGGCTACTAGCAATGCCAGGCGCCAACAACCTTCTCAGGCTAGTCAGCCCTTCTCAGTCACAGGTTCAGGGAACCGCGCCAACAGCAAATATGTGTCGCAGAATGGGCATTCTTACCGAGAGGCACCTGCTCCCGGAGCACTGCACGGAAGTTACACTGGAGCAGTACAAGGTCATGCATCGACACACCGAGCGAGAGGTAGAGGCGGGCACCCGCAAGTTGGAAACACGAACGTTGCTCCCCACTTACAATCGGCTAATTTGGTCTATCGTCCGGCCCCTGGTCACAATCAGCAAAACCCGAATGGCCCTGCCCGTGGTGGTCGTGGGGGCAGGGGTGCTCGAGGCGGCGGTACACTATACAATACCCATGGTCATGCGCAACCAACAGGTCACTCAGTGGCAAATCCTCCCACTCAGGGTGGATACAACGCAGTCCCACCACCAACGAACCTCAATCACAGTGGTCGTGGACGTGGTAGAGGCCGTGGATCTAGGGGCAGAGGTGGCCCTCCTCGAGGCAGAGGAGGTGCTGCTCAGGAGCAGACCGCCTAATCAGAACGGTCTTGGGTCAGGATTGATGAGTATGAGTATTTGACAGAAAGTATAAGAAAATGAGAGAGAAAAAAAAAACAGTAAATAAATTTCATGCAACCCAATAATGTGGCTCGGTGCTTTGTAATTGCAATTAGACATGTCCTGGCAGTGCACTCTTTCCTCCAATGGTTTCATTGGATACTGACACCAAGACGTGGAGCATATGACTTGATCAATAATATCGAAGGCAGAGAAACAGAGGATCGTCACCGCAAGATATCAGTTGCGCGTCGCAACCTCAGCGGGATGCTCTTGACCATTCTACTCCACAGCTCATCTACAATACCTAGAGCAGGCCAAAGCAATGAGCTAGTCTCCTGGAATCGATCAATGGTGAATCATGAGCTACCTATGTTTTACTACTCACAGATACATATTATCATTTGCAGCAATAAAACATTGTCTGAGCTAGCTGCGGTTTAAACGAAGATGGGCGGAACGCAACACAACAAGACTCTGACAAAGGCGCAGCATAGACTATGATGAAAGAGGGAAATGGGACTATTTTAAATTGAGCAAGATGGTGGTTTTTATGTTGCTCTTGCTGAAAAAAAAAAACACTTATGTACATTCTGACAAGAAAAGTGATCGTCCTTTATGAAAGCTAGAGAATCAATCTCAATTTCCAAAACATACTGGTTTGCCACGGCCAACGACAATAATGCTCCATTGCCCATGATTTAGCGTGGCCTCACGAAACGAACTGTCACATTTATGCAGGGCCGCTGTAGTGAGCAGCAGCCTTGGGGTTGATGACCTTGTTGGGGTTGATGCCGACAGTGGCCCAGGCAAAGATACCATCATCAACACTGTCACCGAGGTAGACGTACTGAAGGACTGGGTCCGAGGTGGCAGCCTCTTGAGCCATGATACCATCTTTCGAGTTGACTGTGAAGGCCTGGGTGTTGGTGCTGTAAGGCGAGACCTCGTCGACGGCTTGGTTCAGTGTCTGGTCAAAGAAGAGCTGGCCGACCTGAGCGACATGTCCGCCACCAATGGTGCCGTTGGCGAGGGTGGTAGCATCGATGTGGGCCATGACTAGTAAGCGAATTAGAGAACTGTATTGACTAGACTGGAACGGTGGGATACTCACTGTGAATGTGGACGGCACGGCCAGTGTAGTGTCCAGGCATGATGGCATCAAAGGACAGAATACCGTCATCGTCGCTGAACTGGATACCACGGAGGGCAGTGTTGTAGAAGCTGTCGGGATCGTTGGGGTTGCCGTTACCACGGGCCTGGACACCACCGTAGACACCAGTGGAGTTGCAGTACCAAGCTTCAAGCGCAACGTTTGAGAGGGGCTCGCAGGTGGTCGTATCGATGAGTTGCACGTCGAAAGTCAAAGGGACACCGGGTTCGGCGTCAGTGATGTCCTGGCGAACAAGCTCGCCAGAGACCCCTAGGCATATTAGAGTGGTTCATTAGAAGATGGTATGATAGCAGCAAAGCAACTTACAGTAGGGACCCTCAGTCACCTGGATATGATGTCAGTAATGATTCAATGCTGTGGATTGATAAGAGCAAAACATACCTGAGGCTGCAGGATACAGGAATTGTCGGAGCCGAAGATCTCCTCGGGGGTAGAGTCTGGGGTGACCGTCTTGTTGGAGTGGTGGCTGGTGAGGAGAACGTCACGGAAGCTGCGCTTCTCCATACCGCGCTTCTCACGGAGCTTGGAGAACTTTTCGATACGAGCATCGACCAGCTTGGAGTCGCGGGCCTTGATGCTGGCCTCGCAGGACTTGAGCGAGCGGTACTCGGGGTCGGCCTGCCAGGCAGCGCGAGCGGCGATTTCAGCCTCAATATCGGCGCCGGGGTGGGCCATGACACCTCCCATCAGGGAGGTTGCCAGCAGGGCAACTGTGGAGAAGTAACGAGCCATGGCTGATGGTTGATCGACGTTTGAGACAGAAACCAAGATATCAGAAGTGGAATGCTTCGACCGTTGAGAACGTGTCACAAAACGAAGGCACGGGATAGCGTGATCGACACTCTTATAGCTCACGTTCAACGCTTGAGAGGCCGGGCGGTTAAAGTCCTCCTCGCGGTGGAAAGCCCGTCCATACTCTATTAGAATCGCGTACCAGCGGACTGGTCTTCCATAGTACATGTAACCTTATCCCATTGACGTTGCGGTCTTGAGTGGAGCCGGGCTATCATGCTTTCCATTGTATGAGCCGACGTAACTGTGAGCGCCCGATTGCTTTTCTTGCCTTCCTGTATAGTCATTCTCCGCGCGGCTAGACTTTGCAACGAAGACCTCAAAATAGAGTCAAAGTGATCGATGATTAGGTATACTCATTCACGACCTCGTGCTGCATAGTCACTCCTGCCGGACAACTTTGGCCGACCGGGATGTGGGTTAAACTCATTTGACTATAAACAGATCCCAGTTGACGTGCATACACGTGCCGAGATACCATGTGTTGAATCACCCGAATTCTTTGAAATGATTCCGTTCCCATAGGCTCGTTTGTTGCGAGCTGACTATTTGGGCTAGGGCTGCGGCTTGGGGTAGGGCGCCGCAACTGACGCGTCCTTTCTTGGCGTTCACTTAAAAGAGGCAGGACATCAGTATAACTTGACCGTAAGTTTAGCCTCGATCGTGAACGTCCAGGCTCCAAGGTGCATTCTTGGCTGCGAATAAATTGCGCCAAGTCCTTTCACTGTTACATATTTGTTGAACTTGAGACTTGATGGCAAGCGCAGGATGGCCGCTGGCTAAAGGCCTTCCACGATTCTGCCCTATCTACTCTGTACACAGCATTCGTACCGGAAAACAGCGATAAGCGAAATACACTTGTTCATAAAAGTGACTTGGTTCATCCGCCGCAGGCAGTATGCTAAATTCAAGATTTGCGATTTAGAGTCACAGCGCTGCCTAATTGAGGAGGTCTGTTCATATATGTACGTAAAGTATCATCAACCACACACTCGGATCCTCGCCGCGGAGCCTCGCCGGTCAGCGCTCTCCAGCTTTCGGGCGGTCTTGAGAATCTGTGATATGCTTTGGTACTTCTTGATTGCAGCGTCCATGCATTTCGCTGGCTGGGTACCTCCTGGGTCTTCTGTTTGGAATTATCGAGTGTGGTTCAGCATATTTTGCCTCATACAAAATTTAAGTTGACTATGATCAATTGCAGGATGCTAATAACAAATTGTCTTAGTAGACTCAAAAGACAATATTTGACATTAAATTCCCTCTAGATGTGTCTAGGTTGGCCACTCTTTGAACAAGCAAAAATGGCCAAACTCGTTACAAATTCAAAAACGACGGACAGAGAGTAAACTTCGAAGCTTTTGGGACTCAATGGTAGATATAGTGTGCAGGTTCCGGATGTTACCTTCCAAGACATTTTCTAAAGCTTGTTCAACATTTGATCAAGTCTTGCCTCTTGCCAAACAGAGCCGACATGAAAAGAAACCATGAAGAGAGGTACCCACGGTTGCCATGATGTTTTTAAAGCGATTGCCATTGTCCATGTAGGTAGGTCATGCAGGCCCTCGCAGTCACAAGCTTGAATGTTTACATACGCGGGTGAAGAGTCTGCTGACATTGAATATATTCTGATCACGAAAAGTGCGAAACTTAAGGACAAATTGGCCAATTTACTAGGCAGTAGTACTATCAATCGTAATAGTTCTGCACTTTCAATCCTTTGAATTCGAAAGCAGTCCCCTCGCGCTTGTCCAATACAGTCTTATGGTGAACATCCTTGACTCGGGCACGCACATACTCAACACCACTTGGAACTGGCCTGCTCAAGTCTTTGTCCTCGTCCGTCAAGAGGCCAAGGCGGTCAAGCACTGGGGATGGCACAGGGCGCATTGGTGTATGATCTCCAGGTCGGCTGAAATACAGCAGACCTAGGCGTGGAATATTCATCTGATCCTTCGGTGGGGTCACGACGCGGTGAATAGTGGACTTGATGAATCCTATCAAGCGTTAATATTGATCAATGATAGAGGATGTGACCATGGCTTACCCTTTGTGAGAAAGGACAAGGTATCTGCGGCGTTACAAGTGATGCCCCCATCAACTGGTCGAACATACTTCCACTCGCCCTCGGGAGTTCGGATTTGTAGTCCGGCAACATGCTGCGAGAACAATAGAGTCAAACTACCAAAGTCGGTATGTCCTCCCTTGGAATAGGCCTGGGCCTTGTCCCACTCCTCCTGGCTTCTAACATTATAGATCATGTAGCGCAGGTGATCATCAGACTCATCGGTGTATGCGTGTGCGTCCGACAAATAGTCCTCGGGCAGCTCAAGAATGATGGAAATCAAAACAAAGAGTTTGTTGATGACCCTTTCCCACAAGTCGCGATGGAATTGCGCAATCTCATCATAATTCTCTTCCACAACTCTGTGTTTTCCAATATCTCTGTACGCGGAGATAGCTTTTGGCACGTTGAGCTGTATCATGTCAGCCATGGAATTCGCCCATGAATTTGCAAGAATTACCATTTCAATGTTCTCCTTGACTCCCGTGTCACCAATCCAGCGCGAGTTTTCGCGATACCCAAAGTACTCGCCCTCGGAAAAATTGCAAGGAAACCTTCGCTTCTCCTCTAGAGGCTCCTTGAAGAAAGTGTTTCCAATGCTGAACTGGCGGAGGACGCGCTCATCTTCAATCCCGGTGTTGACGACGGACCAGAAACCAACTTTGGTCACTGCTTCGTAGAGCTGCTTTGCCAGTTCTTGTTTACCACCTGGCTCATCAAAACGTGACAGATCAATCTTGGGCAGGTCGGCCCAATCCAGGTTTTCTGAAGTCAACCTAGGCCGACTCCATGGTTTCACGAGCAGACTTTTGGCAGAAGCGGCAGCAACAGAGTCATCAAGTGCAATAGGTGCCATTCTGACGATATATTCAAATACAAGTGATTGAGACTTGTTGGTAGGGTCAAAGTTATAAAAGTCAATTCCGGATCGTGGAGAGGAACACTATGGTAAGATACTCAGCATATATGTCTAAACACACCCGAGGTTGCTTAAAAATGGTCGAGACACCCGGTTCATTGATGTTCGCCTCCGCCTCCGCAATGATCGGTAGAGCATCCCGAAGCAGCTGCGTGCAGTTGAGCATGATTGGCCCGATGAGTATATGACGTGCTTTCTGTGACAAGTGCGTGCTCGGCTTCAAGCGACCTCCCCGCCCCGCATCCCAAGTTGAGCGGCCGGCAGACTGTCCGACTCTGGTCGACCCCATTCCATAGAATCCTTCTGTTTCCCGACTACCGATGGCGTTATAGCTAATGCAGTGTAGGTATTATGCAGCCCCTGCTAGATTCGTCGACTTGAATATCTTGCAAGTCGCCAATCATAATCCTTATTCTTAGCTTTGACCACATCTCCGGGCCGGATTCAAGCCCATATCATCGGATGTATTGTCCCAGCAGACGTCCCACGCCATATTCAATACTATGTCGTGATGGTATGTGGATCATGTCAATACGGCGACAAGCGATAAGAAAGCACATACGCATTCAAGTATCATGTCGGTGAAAATGAAAGGAAAGTAGACTGAAAGTACTTATATTTTGACCATGGCATCCAGGGCTCATTCAATTCGATTTGGTTAAAGTTTTTGTATTTGATTTCGCTTCTTATAACGTCAACAATGACCGCCAAGGCTGAAGCCAAGACATTGGCCAATGGTGTTTCAATACCCGAGCCGGTGGATGATTCAGGTCGTTCCTCTCACTCTGGCATTCAAGTGACGAACAAGGCCACTGAAAAGCAGATCATTCGAAAGATTGACTGGTGGCTCGTTGGCTTCTATTCCGCGGTTTACATATTCCGTGTGATCGACTCAGCCAACTACTCGAATGCCGCAATCATCAACCTGGAGAATGGCACAGGCATCAAAAAGCAACTCCGACTAGACGCCAGTCAATGGGCATGGACCTTATCCATTTTTTCATACAGTTACCTAATTTTTGAACCGCCAAATACACTGCTTTTGAAGACTTTCCGTCCTTCACGATGGATGTTCGTCCTCATCCTCGGCTGGGGCATTTCGGCCTGCTCATCGTCCGCAGTAATGGATTTCAAGGGGATGATGTGCGCAAGATTTGCTATCGGCTTAGCTGAGGCTGGTTTCTTTCCAGCCGTTCTTTACCATGTAGTATGGTTGGAGTCCAGGAATGCTCTTATTGTTGTAGCTGCTGACCAAAAAAACCAGAGTGCTTCCTGAAGTAACACTTCTTCAAGATAACTCCAACTTCCATTATCACGACATAATCATGAGAGAGTTATTATGCATATAACTCTAACATTGCTCATAGATGGCATTCTGGTATAAACCGAAAGAGCTTCCGCAACGCGTTGCAATATTTTACTCGGTAGGACAACTATCTAGTGCTCTCAGCGGGCTCCTCGCGTATGCCATTGGATTCATGGTAATGCCCCTGTTCTGTATCAGAGAGTGACATATGATAACACATTTTTAGGACGGATTAGGCGGTCTTGCAGGATGGAGGTGGCTATTTCTGCTGGAAGGCCTCCCCGCTATTATCTTGGCATTCGTGGCCTTATTTTGGCTCCCAGACTACCCTGAGACTTCCAAGATACTAACGGAAGAGGAACGTAGCTACGTTCAAGGACGATTGGGCAAGTCTGCGCCGTCGGGAAAGAAGGGTCATTGGGATATCGCCACTCTAAAGGTTCTGTTCAAGGACCCCACTCTCTATACATTTTCGATCTTCTGGATCTGTCACGGCATTGGCGGCTTTGGCGTGGGATATGCTTTGCCTACAGTGATTTATGAGCTTGGATTCACGACAACATCAAAGTCACAGTTGATGAACATTGTAAGTCATATCGTCGGAAGGACCAAAAAAAAAAAAAAAAAAAAAAAAAAAAAAAAAGGAACATCCGTGCTGATGCGCTACGTTCAAGCCGCCTTACGTCGCTACGTTCCTCTTCCTTAACACAGTAGGCTACCTTTTACACAAGAAAATCATTAGGCCATGGACCACAGCTGTCGCGAGTAAGTAGAAAAACATGATGGCGTTTTACCGCCAGTACCAGGCTAATCGATAAACAGTCGAGTCTACAATCATCATCTGCTACATCATTCTAGTCACTGTCCCAAACGCAGTTGTCAAGTATCTTGCCTTGATCGTAGCAGTATCATGCGCCGGATCAGCGTACCCAGTAATATGGCCGGAACGCATTCGTGCCATTGATGGAACCGTAGCAGCAGGCATCGGCATCGGATGGACCAATGCCATGGCCCAGTTCAGTGGTATCGTGGGGCCTCATGTATACAACACTAAATTCGGTCCCACGTACCGCGTATCGTACGTGATATGTCTCTGTTTCTTGGTTGTGGCCATCACAGCGATTCTGACATCGTGGTTCCTGGTTCATCGGAAGGATCGAAGGCGGGCAGAACAGCTGGAGGAGTAACAGGAAAATCCCTGCTGCCTTTGAATTTGAACCTCCAGTCCATTCTCATAACTCATGAAGAATCACCTGAGATACAACATTTCCCGAGCTTCCCCCGGAACAGATTCAAGTCAACAAATACGATTCTGATATAGCTACTGAAGCAGTGGTGTCTCTTCATTGCTCCCTGCCTGCTCTGAGCTGCCGTGACCTTCATCTTTGCCATCAGGGTATCTCTCAATAGCCTTCTCTCTCAGGATCCAAGCTGCCGATAGTCCAGCTCCGGGGCCCAGTAAAATGGAGAGCACGATGAATGCCAATGACACTAGCACTCCAGCCTCGACCAATATCCAGTACAACACAGTGAGGACAATGATGACAGCGTCAATCTGAATGATACGAATTGTAGCCCTCGTCATTTCCCTGCTGTCGTCTGGACTGAAAATGTTCCAGACCAAGACACCGTGGGCCAGCACCGAGCACAAGATTGGCACCACGTAGACCCCGACAAGAGGCCACCGTCGGGATTCCAAGTGATAAGGCTCAGGGTCAATAACAGAGTTGACCCCCACTACCTTGACCGCGTACCGTATCGCCGCAACCCATATCGGGAAGAAGAGCCACACAGCAATACTGATCGGGTGGTTCAAGATCAGCATCGCCAGGCTAGGAACTACGAAGCCCAATGCAACAGCGATCGGAATGGCCCAAGCCTCGACCTGGCTCGATAGACAGCGGACCTCTCGGTCCAGATCCGAGTCGTCCTCTCGGAGCCTCTCAGCTCTGGCAGATTCCCTTGCCGCCTGGACGTCCTTGGCCCTTCTCAGGAAACTCGGGATGATGACAAAGTCCCAGACTAGGGCGCCGCCGATGAGGTTGAATACGAGCCAGGGGAGTGTGGGCTTGGAAATGACACGGCTCGGCTTGTTGCACAGTCGTGCCGACTCGACCAGGCTAACGGATAGCAGGGCTGCCACAAAGCTCAGGATGACTGCCATGCGGGCAAAGGAGCGGACCGAGGCGTTGGCGAACTGGAAGAAGCTGACAAGGAAACAGGACGGCGGCCCAATGACGTGGATACGCGAAAGGCCCTGCATGCGTGCGTGTGCCCGGCACTGGGAGTAAAGGGCTGGCACATCATAGTCCGAGTGTAGAATTACCATGGCGACGGCGAGCACCGCCAGGAGGCTCGGCACAACAAGTAGCCAAGGGAGGCGGAGGCGGAGTATGAGGGGCCGGTGAGTGCGCTTTGGGCGAGAATGTTCCATCTTTGGTGTATTTGACGCTGCCAAAGGAGATGCGATTAGAGTCTACGAGGTGTATCTAGGTATAAAAGGTGTGGGCAAAGGTGGAAAAGCGTCATGGGAGTCGAGGTGTTGATGAACTGGAAGTCAATAAATTTGGTCGCTGATTGTGGTTAGGCGCGTGCTGGCGTTACTAGTACATCCGCCAAGCAAGGTCCGCCAGATGCAGCTGTCGCTCCTCTTGACGATATCAATTGACCAAGGTGCGAATTACAGTTGAATTCGACTGCAATTTCTCGCCTATACGCGACTTGTATATAGTTAAGTCGGCGCATCGTAGATGCAGATACCTCTACCTTGGGGCTCTAAAGTGTCAGATGCTACGCAATCTTCCGATGTTTCCTCGTTTAAATTTATCAAACGCAGCACAAGAACCGTATTAATGAGCCACCTTCTGCAGCATTCATCTCGCATGCCCATTGACCGGCCCCAGCTCACTTTCTGAACACACATATTATGCACGAGGTTGCCATGTTTGATTCGTCATCATCATGTAGTGTGTCTTTCTTGGTAGTAACATTGTCACTTGGCTGATCGATCGCCTGCAGCCAGCGTCAACATAGGTACAGTATTTTGTACATAGTATTACACGGGATCTCCTTCATTTTCACCTCCATTTATGCCCTAAGCTTCTTTATTATTCGCTCCCTGACCACTCTGCTGGCAACTTTTCCGCCATGCTGTAACGCAATGGCTCCCACGATCGCGTAGAGCGCTCCCGACATGACGATTGAGATACCCGAGGCCTTCAGACTTTCCGGCTGTTGATAGTTAGCATTCCGATGACTCTCACGACCTTCCCATTCTTGTTGAAGGGCTCACCTTTCTCGGCTTCCACCTCACCACTGTGCTGATTCTTGTTTCGACAGCCAACCGCCGCATCTTTTCCAAGTCGAAGACGGAATCCGGTAGCTGATGGCTCAGCCGGTCTGCCCTGTCCAGCATATCGCTCTGAAATGGTTCTCTGCGTTCTCCGAAAAGATCCTTCTCCATTGTCTTCTCCCCAAGTGCTCCTGCGTTCTCGCTGAGAATACTTTGCATGGCCTCTGTAACGGCAATTTGCCTGCCCAAGTATGCCAAGCGGTCATTGAAACCCCGACGGCCCTGGTCGAAAGATTTGTGCGTGATGGCAAGCCATTTAAGCTCATCGGGAAGCAATCGCTCACCACCATTGCCCAGCAGGTTGTTTAGGGCGTCGTCGAGTTTCGCCGGATCTTCGTTGACAGTCCAAACAGAATTTTTAGGGTTTTTGGTAATATGAGGCGAAAATGAGGCCTTCATCCGCTCGGGTGTGCGTGCCCATCGACGGAGTTCTTCTGCCGGAGACGGAGATGGGGCAGCATGCTCTTGCGACCGGGGTTTCGAGGTTGAGAAGGGCGCCACTGTCGAGATCAAGGGCCGCAGTGCAGAGGAGCAGGAGACTGACGAGGTTTTACAGCTCCGAAGGGTCTGGCTAGTTAGCCTCCTAGCCGAGCTCGAAACGCTGGGAGACATTGTGTTGGTTGCAGATCACAAATTGACAGGTCGTGGATCGTGATGCCTTCGCTGTTCCTCAAGGCGAGCGAGAGCTCTTTGCGACAGGGAAATTTTTGGGGAACTCATGCCGATACTGCTAGATGCGCTGTCACGTGGTGCCGGACCGCTAGGCCTGACGGAGATCGGTACAGGTAATGTAGCGAGGGTAGCTGGAACCACTGCACGAATGCACTATGAGTGGGGTACGTACCATTTTCGCCAAGGTAAAGTGCTTAGCAAATTAGTGCTTAAAACCCCTGCAGCTTCCCCAGCTTTGACGCGACTGAACCGCGACTCGGCGCGGGCTTGATAACTTATTCCAATTTGGCACTCGCTGCCGGTGGGCGATTGTCCGTTGCTATTGCTTTTCGTATAGTAATGTTTTGCCTGGCCTCTGCTTCAATTCAATTGCCTGTCTTTCTTGGAATGATGGCTCGTTGCTCAACACCAACCCCCAACCATGGCGACAACTTCTAGACCCTTACCCGAAGCTGGCACAAGCGCACTTGTCGCTGAGCTTGCCCAGGTCCTTCCCAAAGGCGCCAAGTTTACAGCATACCACATATCGACGCCCCCAACCATTTCTGAACCATTGTGTTACGCCCCAGCGAACCCCCAGACACAAGATGGCGGCAGTATGTCCCAGAAGAATCTCCGAGCGAGAAAACCGCTCAAGACGTATTGCGAGAAGCACTTCCTAGCTATTGCCATATGTCCATTGGGGTCCACTGAGCAGGTCCTGGCCTTTGCGCTAGAATTGTACATTTATACAACAGCTCACTCAAGCATCTTGTTCGTTGCAAAGGCAGACTCGACTGGGTACTTGGGTCTTTTGAATCTGCCGAAGGGCATGCCTTCGCCAATCCGAGAGGTCACAACGGCATTCATCTCCTACCTCGTCACGAACCGCGCGCGCAAAGGCATTCAGTTTGTCGTCAACCTCTTCGCACGATCGCAGTCGCAGTACCTCTTCCCTGGAAGCGTCAAGAATGGTGGAAAACATATCCTAGATGATCGTGGCTTGGTCAAGTGGTGGTGTCGGGTGCTGAATCCCTTGCTCGAGAATCAGACTGCGCACGCACAGAAAAGATGGAAAGACATCCAAGGTTACCTGATCATACCTGGTCTGGATGGCTATGAGACTCGCGCCTTCCTGCCTCGTACCGCAAACGCTACAAGGAATTGGGCTCTGGGACATCCATTGGAGCGTATCTCTCCTTATATTTCTGACCCTGTCATGTATGGGAGCAACATCCCAGCACGATGTCTAATACCGACGTATCCGGACGACCCCAAGGCCAGATTTGTGGAAGAGCTCGAAGAGGCCACGGCAGAGAAAGCAAAGCTCGCTGGAGGCTGGAAAACGCCGCGAAGCCTAGAACAATTCTGGGAGATGATGGCCTTTCGACAAGAGTGTTCTAGTGGAAGGCTGACAGGGTTCATATGGCTTGTCTTTGATCCATATTCATTGCGCCGACCATCTACGAATATGGGAGACTCAGCTCGCGGTACTGCCACGGCTGTTAGTGCTCAATTTGGACAACCTCCGCGACTCCTAACTCCTGAGCCAAGCCAAGGACCGTTGGAGGCCATGGTGATGCCTTCATTGCACGCAACACCTATCAAACCCATGAAATTGAATGAGGACAAGAACAAGGAGAAGAAGAGAGCACTCAAAGGTCGTATCATTCCACGCGAACCTAGGGTCAAGACTCATCAGCGGGCTCATTTTCCCAAGCAGACGGAAACAGCATATTACTCTTGGCCCGAGGAGGGAAGGGGCCAAGTGATACTTGACGAATCTGGATACACTCGAGCCGTAGAACTCCTGCTGCATCTCGAATTCGGCACTCTGGCGCATGCCATCAGCAGTTCCGCGCGGTGGGATAGAGAAGTGAATTTTGGCAGGGATTGGAGCTTGACAGCCATTGGAAAACGCGAATTATCGCTTGAACAAAGAACCAGCGGTGCTGGCCAAGCTGTGAACGACATTTCTAGCATGATCAAGAAGAAACGCCCCGTGGATGATGCAGCATTTGAGGAGTCAAATGCGCCTAGGCCCGAAAGCGCTGCGGTGAATACTCTTAGTGCTGGATTGGTCAGGAAGAAGGCAAAGACTACCAACGACGAACCAGCATCTTTGCCGCCGAGTATGGAATCTACAAAAGTGAACACGCTAGGATCTGGATTGATCAGGAAGAAACCAAAGCCAGCTTCAGGTTAAGACGCGGCATCAATGGTCGACACCTGCAAAGTGTACTTGAATGTTTTTTTTTTCTTTACCTAGCATAGGCGCTGGTGGATTCTTTCTGGACAGGGCTTGAATACTTCATACAAAGGGAGAAAGTTCTATTTGCGCAAGATCAGTAATGGTTTATGGCATGATTATTGGTCTTTCAAGAAAGCTCTCTCCCGTGACTGTCCCGCTGACTTTTCGGTGCTCCCTCCAAATACCCTTCGTACATCTGCTACAATACTGTATTCTGCAAAATATTCGCACAACAAAATGGACCTCTTAGTCTATCTTGAGCCAGTGTATGTTCACCGGTGTGATGGGCTCTTTCCCGCTCAAGACTGACATAATGTTCCGCATTGCCAATTCTTCAAAGCCAACATGCGTCTCAATAGTACCACCAGCATTATGGCAAGTCAGCAACGCCCTGTCGCCCGTAAACGCCCTTAGCCTCTCGTGAATCCGGGGCTCATCAGAATGAACATCCAGAGCGATGCTACTGAGCTTTCCTTGCTCTAGGGCATCTGCGAGCGCCTCCTCATCAATAAGGCTCCCGCGTGCCACATTGACAAGTCGAGATCCAGATTTGAACCATCTCAAGCTCCTTTCGTCGATGAGCGGCCCACCACTACCAGAAGGAGCACAGAGAACCACACAGTCGCTCGCCGTACACAGCTCCTCTAGGTTGGTGCAAAATCGTGCCCCGAAGCGGGCTTCCAGCTCGTCCGCCTTACGTTCGACATCATAGTAGAGTATGTTCATTCCGAAACCTGACCCCATCCGGCGTGCGATCTGCTGTCCAATGTTGCCCAGTCCGACTAAGCCTAGTGTCTGTGATCTCAGGTTCCGACTGTGGGCCGTTGCCGTCTCGTGGCACGTTTGAAACTGCTGTGAGTCGCCGCTACTTGCCGAGGAGATACTGTAAGGCAACGCGCGAAACGTCGAAATAATCATGGCCACCGCGAAATCCGCCACGGCCTCGGCGGCAGCGAGGCCACCATTACAATATACGATGCCACGCTTAGCGAGCGATTTTGTGTCTGCCCACTAGAGAATTTTTGCTATCAGCCATTGTAGTCTCGGATTTGCCTAACAATCAAGAAAACCACCTATGCTTCCACGATTATCGTCTATCGATTCAGACATATCATATCCTCGTAGCATAGGCTAAGATATTGAAACTGTCTGGTAAACTCGACTTAAATACATGGTGGACATAAGGAAACGGCTACTAAATACTCACGTCAAAGCCGGCTCCGGCGCTCGCAAAGACGCGCACGCTCGGCGGCAGCAGGGATATAAGTTCCTCGTCCCACTGACCCATCTCTCCGCCGGTGCCCCAAAACGGGCGGAAGATAGCAGCAAAGTCGCCCCATCGCCTCTCTGTAAGGGCGCGGATGAACTCGGGGCGTTGACGCTCAGCTGCTGACGGCTGCACAACTGTGAAAAGCGACGAGAATAGCCGAAAAGTGTCCGGGTTATATTTGACGGCGTCTCCGATGTGCAGCACGACCGGCTTGGTTAGCGAGAGAGACGCAGCAGAAACCGGGGGCAGTGGCGGCGCGGGGGAACCGGAGCGCGGGGTCGCGCTGATTGGAGTGCCCGGAGGCATGGGGGTGTTGACTGGCTCTGCCATTGTTCTCAAAATTTCACTTTCTCTTTTACACTCAGATACCGAGCGCGTGTGTCTGATACTCGCAGTAATCGACAGTCAAATTCCAAAGCCTCTATCATGGGGCGGGTCATGCGAACAGATGGGTCACGCTCTAGGCTAGGGATTGATGTACTCCCATGCGAGATCAAAACAAGGTACAGATTCAATACACACATTGATTAGCTACCTACAGACGGGAAATGGATCAACGTTGGGCCCAATATGACGCATGCATGGCCCGATAAGTCACATACCTACACTACACAGTAAAAATACGACAACCAATCTGTGCCTGTGCTTCACCGCCCAATTGTCTCCCAATTGATGGACCACGGGAAAAGGCATTTTGGTTTCGCCATTCGTTTTATTCTCTGTTTAGATGTCTTGCATCTTCGGCCACCTCTTTCTTTCTCCCTTCATTGCCTACCTACCTCATCACAGTTGTTGTAAAATGCTCAGCACCACATATATTTCAAAAGTTCCTCAATTTTGAAAGAGTCGCAAATACTATTTAATTCTTTATACTGCTCAAATTTAGGTCTGTAGGCAGATGGTAGCAAGTTGCAAGGCGGCTACCCGAAATGTTGCCTACAAGTAGACAGATTTGGTGTCGCAATTGTGCAAATTGCTCAGGACGCTGGTTTGCACTCTCGTCCATTCGTCTCCATGGCCGTCAGCTCCTCATCTGATTTGCGGAATTCAAGTTTTCTCCACCACTCGATGTCATCCCCCTCAATCGTCATGACCAAATATGCCATTTGGTTACCCTCCAAATCCTGCAACTTGCCATTACTTTCCTTACTTTCATCTATCTCCCCGTAGAGCTCGGCCCACTTCGCCCTCGAGTATATCTTCACAGGAGCTCTATAGGTTGCCGTTGCCGTTATCACGATGGCGGAAGGGGTTTGCTTGGCTTCCATAATCATGTCGTCCAGCTCGGATATCGGCCCAGCGAGACTAAGCAGTCTCCTTGTTGTCCTATTGTAACCATACCAGATGGCTATCCATAGCGGTGTAGTTCCATTCACAAACTTTCCGTTTCCTAGGTGAATGTTAGGTATTCCGCCATGTTCAAGGAACAAGTAGTCCACCACCTCATCGTGGCCTCCTCCGGCAGCGATATAGAGGCCGGACGACATAATTGGGGCTACGCGATGCGACAAGTGGTTCACGTCGACCTTTCCATATTTCGCGGAAAGTAATCGCAACATAGCGAGTGAGCCAAACCGACAGGCCCAGAAGAACACATCACCGAGGATTTCATCGCGTTGTTCTCGGAGTGTTGGTGATAGAAGTCGAGAGCTTGGGTGCAAAAAGACATCACCCAGAAATACAAACAGTGCTTGATTCCCCTCGCTGTCGTTTTCAACAGATGTTAGAATGCCATTCATCAAGGCATGTAGAGTTTGATCCTTGAGCGTACGCCAGTTGTAGTCTCCATTTTCGGGATTTCGGCTCTCGATGTATGGAAGAAGGGTTTTCAAAGATTCCCACCGTCCTACACTCAGGGCTCGACAAAAAGCAGCTTCAATGGCATCCTTTCTCAAATCCGTCAGAGCAACCATGGTCGCTTCGTCAAATTTGTTGCGGTCCAACCGAGGATACTTGCCAAGTTCAAGAACTAGATCAAGCATGTCAATCTCCTCGCTTTGAGCAGCCGCTTCGAGTGCCAGGGGTGTTGCCAAACTGGAGGAATCAATCTCCAACTCCTGCGCTTTGAACAAGAGGGCTTTGGCGCAAGCAATGCAGCCACTACCCGCCGCAAACTCGAATGCGTTCGTGCCTGGGTTGCGCTCCTCACAAGACGTTTGTCTAATAGTCAAGTCTGCGCCCTGACCAAGAAGGTATCGGACAACTTCTGGCTGCTTCTTGAAGCAAGCACGCATGAGAGGCGTACCGCCCAAGTCGTCGGGGGTGTCAGGCGGTAATTGGGCTTCTTCAACAAAGACTTTGACGCAGTCCAGGTGGCCCTGCGCTGCAGACACATGTAGCGGTACGAGTGATAGATCATCGCCATCAGCCTTGACAGCAGTCGGCTTAATCCCTTGGCTGAGAAGAAATCTGATGATGTGCGCCTTTCCCTTGAGAGCCGCCGCCCACATCATGTCCAGTGAATGATCTGGCGCTTCAGCCAAGAGTTTCTGAAATGCGTCTACTTGGCCCGACTCGCTCTGTATGGCCCAAATTCTCCTCTGCACGATTAAATCTTGACCCATCGAATCGTACCAGTCTGGATCGCTCATGTAGAGCTCGTTTGGCGGCCATTGCGACCAGACCTGATCTTCTGGAACCTCGGGATTGACCTCGTGAGGGGTGGGCCAATACTCTTCGCCGTTGATGGTAATCTTCGATAATCTAGTAGGCAGATTCATTGTCATCGACTTGTTGTCTGTCTGGATCCTACGCGAGAGTAAACACAATGAAACTAGGCATTTATAAAGCCATGATCAACCATTATCTGTGACTGTGCCGCTTCAGTGTGCCTGATAACCCTTCCGATGCAGCAGTTACCTCAAGGCGCAGGCCAACTCCTGAGTCCTACCCCACTTCGCCGCCTGGCAGGCAGCAAACTCTGCCTGATCTGCCGGTGCTGATCGCAAGTCTTGAAGCACATTTGAAGACTACAAAGAGAAAGGGGGAAAGGGGTAGAAGAGAAAAAACAATAGGGAAAGTACAGATTACGGTCGTCGTGGTTTGGTTACAGTGGTATTTGCCCTTGTATTCACACAAGCCATTTTCATGCATGGTGGGATAAAATAGACTTCAATTAGTGCCACCCTGTGCACATTAAGCTTTGCTATTCTGGCAAGCCAAAGATTTGCCTTTATGGCTGCTATCGTATCACCTAAGCTGACATTGAAACAAAGTTTGAGAAAAACAGAAGAGCATTTACTGCTCAGCATGCCTGGTGGCCAGCGACCTTTGCCAATGATTTAGGCCGTCATCTCCGCGTCATGCCATGAGCCCCATCGCATACACTTGGAGAGAACTTCCCATCATGAAAGAAAGCTGAACGATTCGGCCTAAAAGAGTAGATGAAGAAAGAAAGAAATGATTAAGAAAGGATATTATATCCGCGATATCGGGAACTGAGATTTAATAGCTAAAACCCCATCGATTTAATATCTCCATCTTTCCTAAAGTTTATAAGCTAGTCTTGCCTAGTCTTGCTTATAGGAACGAAAATGGCATTAGATAGATATGTCTGCACTCTTATCTCCGCGTGAACGCATTACTATGCGAAGCCGTATTCACCCTGTTCTCTGCTACATATTCACACGAGTACAAACTTAAATTCAGACCAGCCTAGAGGGTAAGCGCTGTTTTGTAGCGGTCGCCGCCTAAGTAACTAGGGCTGATTCTAAAATGTTCTGCGTTCCTAATAACGCAACTCACTGTGGGCGTAAAGGTATCATTTTGGCTTGATAGTATCGATATGGAACTATTATATCCAAGCCATGTCATCATCACAAGGCTGCAATCCATTACAGAACATCCTGTGACAGAGGATGGGGTATCTACTCAAGAAGAGAGGAGCTTCGCCTGTAAGAAGGTCCAATGTGCAAATATGCATCCCATCAAAATTTTGCCCAGCTGTGTGGGGTTTGGACTCTTTAATCGAATATCTCAGACACGGGAGTGCTTGTGAAAATATATCCCAGGTATTGGCTAGCGGTCATTGGCTTCAACAGGCTCAGCTGGTTCTGAGAGTACGCTTGCCTTAAGCGCCCGAATCCTTATCTCCATAACCTTGAAGCATGTTTCATCCGACGTCTGTTAATTTCATGTAGTCTTGACCAGGATTTTGTGTTACTAAACATGACGGGCCAAGCGAGAAAGTGCTTCATTCAGTGGATGTGGCACTAAGACGTTTAAGTCCGGGCCTAATTGTTGATCGTGAGCACCAAAATGGAGATTGGCTGCCACTATATAAACAATATCTCGTACGTACCTAGATATACACCCTAGTAAAAGACTGCTAAGTGGCCTAGCAGCTTCTTATATACTGCAAGGGCTTACTTCATGCTTTATTCTAGGTATGCTCTTACATTTAACACCATCTATGTCCTATGAGTGTAGACCTACGTCAGAAGAAGCGCTAAATCATGACGACCGTATTGACTTGAATGTTATAAGAAGATGGCTTCCTCGACATTTCTTTTTATTGTAAAGCTTTCCTCTCGGAAGTTCATGCGGTATCTACTGAGCCTTGAAGGACAAATTCTTTCGAAAAGAATACTACACAAAATAAGATGACGGGACCTGAAGCGGCTACCGACAACAAGCCAACCCAAGACCAGGGAATGGCTGCGTATGCGGCGCCCTCACTTTTCCAGCCTCACAACGCAAGACAGGCCATCCGAGATGCCCACGAGAGGAGAATTGGCCCAATTCTATGTGTCTATTATGGTATAAGCTCCGTACCATTGGCACGATTGTTGGCTCCATTCGGGTTTGATGCTGTTTGGATTGACTGGGAGCACACTTCGTGCAATATTGAAACCATGACCACGGTACGTTCAAGCTCTATTGCATACATCTCATGCTATAGAATTGAGAATTTCTAGATGGTTCATGAGACCATGTTTATGTCTGGGGGAAAGACGATCCCATTTGTTCGGTAAGTCTTGGCACTGAGGCCACGGGCCTAGACGCTTATCGATCGAACCGTTATTTACCTAGGTATCTATTCATTACAGTGTTCCTGGTCACGATCATGCAGCTATCGGTTACGCGCTCGATTGTGGCGCCAGTATTGTCATTCCACAAGTCGACACTGTGGCGCAATGCAAGCACGTTGTCTCGGCCGCCAAGTATGGTACTAAACAGAACGGCACCCGTTCAGCGCCCCCTTTCCGACTGATTCCCGGAGTAACGGACATGCCCATGCTGGGCGATGACCTACACAAGTCGGTCAACGATCAAGCCGCCATAATGATACAGATTGAGACCCTTGAAGGCATTAATAACCTCGACGCCATGCTCACCGAGTGCCCAGACGTCGATATCGTCTGGCTGGGCTCGCTTGACTGTCGTGTCAGCATGAACTTTCCCGCAAATATGGGGAGTAAGGCAACTCTCTACATTTTCCCAGGACGTTTGCGAACAAACTTTGATAATATGTGGTAACATTCTGCGATTAGTGGGTGGTGATGAACCGGAATGGATTGAGGCAGAAAAGAAGTTTACGGACACGTTGAAGAAGCATGATAAGCCACGCGGCGGTTTCGGTTTCGGTCCCGCTGTCAAGCAGAAGGCGGACCAGGGTTACTCATGTTAGTTATGAGATCTTCCGTTCTTATGCTCTTCTCCCCTTCACAAACTGGTTCGAAGTACGCTAACTTTTCTTCTTTCTTCTCCCCAGTGATTAGCTTCGATGCGGATATCGTTAAGCTGGCCTCATTGGGACAGAGCTTCCAAGAAACAAAGGCCCAAGTTGCATCTTGTATCAAGAAGTAAAATGACCCAAATGTCAGAAAAATGACAGATTGCAAGACATCTCAAGCAGTAACGCCTCAAAGAGCTTGCCCTCTCTGTTGTACAGATGCGCCAGGAAATACGCCATTTGCATCAAACAAAACGCGTGTAAAGTAAGTGCTTAGTATCACCAAATCAGAAATCCGATTACTCAATGTGAAATTTAATCTTGATTGAGTAATTCCATGTCGCAACACATTGCCTTCGATAAAAGACACCGTATTCAAGCATATACGGCCAGTTACGACAGGACATGAATCAGGAGCAGCCAGATCCTGAGCATTATCAAGACAGTTGGTGCACGTATCTCTTCTCAAATTTAGTGAGTCCAACTATTACGTATGAAATCTACGTAGACAATGTGTTTCCGAGTTTTATTGCATCCCTCGCAAGAGAGTCCGTCTTGTGGCGTAGAACCTGCCCCTGCCGTACAGTCCAAGAACAGTTTCATGCCGGCGCAATGCTTTAGTGCACATTCTCCACCCTGAAATTTGACAGGCGGACGACTCTCTCCGTATATAAGGACTAGAAATTCGTCAAGATCGCCAAAGGGGGCCTTGCACCATTGCTGCCGAACGGCAGATGCCCAGCCACGATTCCATGCGGTTATGGTTAGGCCCAGACGCCGAAGGCCGCGGCCCGCTGGGTCCATGGCCATCACGTCAGAAAAGAGACGCATCAAGTGTCCATAAGCCACATCAGCACCGAGGAGGACCAGTGTGTCGATGGCCGGGTTAATGAACAAACGTCGGGTGGAGTTCCGGTGGCCACCTAGCGGCAAGGCGACGGTATAGAAGGACAGGGCCTCCCGCCGTGACTCGGTCGAGACGGAGAGGGCGACCGGGTTACCGCAGCTCGAATACCACTGCGCCTCAGCTGCCAGGAAGTGGTTCCACGGCTCACCCCCGTAGTGAAGCTCTAGTACCCGCGAATTAAATGTCTGGCGCCAGACCTGGACCCTAAGCTCCGCTGGGAGTCTCGGAAAGGACGTAAAGTCCACCACCACGGGTGCATTTTTGCTCCTGCAGTCGTTTCTTGATGCCATGTTTCAAATGGGATTGGGTGCGGTCTCATACACGTGCGCAGCGATGCTGCAACCAATACCCTGGCCAGTAGAGTTACGGGCTACCGCGGTCGATATTTGAGTATGACGTTATTGGGGTGAGGTTGATGTCTACAACCTGGCTTATCTAGACACAGGAAAACAAAACAAGAGCAGTAATAAATCCACATCCGATGGGACACTCTGTACAGATACGTTGGATAGATTCGATAGAATCACGTCAGGACTCTCCTAGGTTGGGACTCCAATCCATCAAGGTTGCAAAGAGCAAGGTCGGGACTTCAGTCCCGACCCCACTTTATCTTAAAGAGTTGTTGATCTAAGTTAGGTACCTAGGTAGGTAGGCAATCAATCAGGAGGGGTCCCGTGCTATCACGTAATATTCGCAGAGTTATTTTACATTCTCAAGAAAAAAAGAATGCTTTCAATCCATATAAAACTGACTTCATAATTGGTGAATTATTTGCATCGTGTTCTTTCGAAGATCATGACATGAATCTTGAAATTCTCGGACCAAGAAATAATCTCCCCATGATACTGTCCCATTTTTGTCTATTCCTGTTGAGCAGTTTTTACCTGCAATCACCACCATCACTCATCCATAAGCATGTTGCCAATATCATTTATACACTGGTGAGGCACTCATGTACGATGTCACACCATCGCCATGTTTGGCCAAATCACCTCAGGTACTTTTCTTGTGCCTCAACATCGAAGAGCCCGCGGTGACTAAATTTCTTATTGGAAATCAGAGTCACAATCACGAATGGGGTAATTCGAGATTCTGCAAGCTGTGGAGGGCTTCCCGCGTGCCTCTGAACGTCCTGCGTTGAAATGTGACTAACAGTCACCACAGTCCAGCTACCACAACAGTAAGAGATCCAGAGGCTATAGCCTGGACTGCCAGCATTGGCGCTCTTGTCCCAATCGCGTGGGAATTCTAGGCGATAAAATCGGCTCGTTGTTGCTACCATCTGCCGGGGCAGATTGGGATGGTGGCAACGAAATAATCGGTCCGGTAAAGTTCATTGCATTCCATGGACATTTTCTTTCCAGACTCAGCATTCCGTAATTCTTATATGCGAACACGTTTTTTTGAGCCTTGTCGTTGGTCATAAATCATGTTGGATACTGCGGCGGTCTTGGCTCTACGAACTGACGACCAGGCTGAGAAACTGTCAGAAATGTTTTCCACAAATGGCGCGGTGAAATCATACTGTCTGCGAAAGATCTTGGTTTAGCCACTCTTGAGAGAACCAAGAGACTGATTCGAGACCAGTATTGCCAAAAGACTCAAAATTGAAGTCAAAACCGTCCATTGCCCCTTCAAAGGCATTATTGTTATCCAATCCCTCGGGTGGATCCACTGGTGGTAGATTCGGTTTGGGCATGTTCATATCATTGATGTAGGTGGGAACTTCCCCAAAGTTCACCGGCCTGGTGGATGGGGTTGGATGCGATACAGGCGTGTGGTGGTCGGAGCCGCCGCTGATGTTGCTGTGATTCAGAGGCGAGAGAATAGGCACCGATGGCGACTGCGCTGCTGGAATCTCGCTGTAGTCCACGACATTCATCTGATGTACTGGGTTATGCCGTGAGAGTATCTGTCTCGGCGGTATTCGAGCAGCTTCGGGGCTGCCCGGGTGACTCGGTGTTGTGCTAGCTGAAAGCCCGTGCGAGACCAATTTCTCGAGATCGGTATGCTGAATTGAAGTTAGCCTGATGGGTTGAGGTTATAGTTGAAACGAACTCACAATAGCGAGACCTGCCGGTATATGCATCATATGCCTTGTTATCTGTAAGCACTTTTGCGCATGGTCATGCACTTGGTCGGCGGTCAGTTGAAACTCATTTGAATTCATATGATGAGCAAAGTAAATCATGCGTGCGCACTGATAAGCGCACGCCGACAGGTCAAGATCGGTAACTGGGAGACCTCCATCTAGTGATAGGGTGAGTCTGAAAATGTCCACCATGGCGATTGCGTGCTCGTAGCATTGCCGCTCACACAGAGCCACGAATTGTGGTGGCAATCTGTCAAGCGAAGAGCGAGGAAGCGCCTCTTTCAGACCAGTCATGACAATACGGTATAAATCGCAATAGCACTGGCGGAACCAGATGTGTATCATGATGAAGACACACAGTCTAGGAGAATAAGCTCGGAGTCGCAGGTTGCTCTCGGAGAAACGAAACGAGGCTGGGAGATGTTCATTAAATAATTTGAGTTCCTGCGCGAGCACCTCGACAAGCTTTGGCAGCTCTGCCAACTCTGTTTCGGGCATAGCGATCACATTCTTGGTGCAGTACAGGATCCGACTCCTGATCCACAGAAGTCGAACGTGAAGTGCCAAGGACCCAACATCATCAGGGAATGGAGTTGTAGGAATCGGCTTCAGGTGTCCAGTAACCTGAGGTAGATCGAATTCGAAGTTACGCTCATTGCATGGCAATTGTATGTGAAGAGCCTCGGACGGCAGTAGCGTGAAATCCGGGTAGCCTCCGTTGATGCCCGAATCAATCGTCAAAAATGCCCACATCAACCGTCTTCGAGATTCCCTGGCTAGAAAGCAGAGGTTGGGATTTTCATAGTTTAATCGGAGCGCATAGGCAAAGCGCCCAGCCATGGCTGCCAACATGAATGCTGCAGTAAAGCGACGGTTGAGCATTCGGTGCTTCATGATGAAAACCAAGGCTTGGATCTTGATCGTGGACGGGTTTTCGAGATCAGCCAAAATCATTCTCTGGCACTCGTCGATACATTTGGTTCCATATTCCCTCATCCCTGGCCCTAGGTCTGTGAGTAAGGATGTGATGCCCACCAGTGCCAGGAGCAGTGGCTTGTCCATCATTCCTGCATGATACCGCTGCATGAGCGACGCCCGATGCAGGAAGGAGAAAACTGGCACGTGATGTATATGACGAAAGAAATTGTTGAATGTCCTTGTGATGATTGTTTCATCGGGAAAAGCAATATTTCTGTATCGCGATTAGCAAGTTGCGCTGACAGAAAAATCATTGTTGCGGTCTGCTAACGGTTCATGATTTGGAGGCCACGAGCTGTATCCTCCAGCAAATCCAGCATTGTCGTTAGTTCCGAGTCGTCCATTTCTCGCGCAAGCATCTTCATTTGTCATTCTCCTCTTTTCGGGCGGCTCTGAAGACACGGACTCATGATCGGAATTGCCCGCCTGTCCTGCCACAGCACCTGACCTTTTTGTCGGGCGATAGACACACTCGATGCCCTGGGACTGACATCTCGCACAAGTTGGCGTCTCGCCGCTGCAGCGCGCTTTTCTTGAGTGGCAGTTGATGCAGGCAAGTCTCACTCGCCGTCGCGGCAGAGATACCTGTGTATTATCGCCGTCACCTTGAGGAGATGTGTCGGCGAACGAGCATGTGAACCCCAGACGCTCGCAGTTGGCGCACGATGTTCCGTCCCCAATGAGGCACTTGACTTTTCTCAAGCGACATGGTTGACAGGTCTTTAGTAGCCAATAGTGAGCACGTCATTCATTAGGTAGCGGAGTTGCGCATTGTGTGTAGTCATGGGTATTATGAAGTAATAATCGAAATTTAGACATACCCGTGTGTTTGAGGAGCGCTTTGCAGGCCGGTTGGCTGGATCGGCCACGGCGGCCTCAGCGGCGATCTCAGCCGCCGTGTCCTTCTCGGCTACCTCGAGACTCATGTCTTCCATCTCCATGACTGTTTGGCAGGCAAAGACACGGCCTGTCTCAAAGGCAAAGCGGGACGAAAGGTTTACGGCGACACATCCCACTAGTGCAACAAACTAGGAAAACCGAAACCCGGAACAGTCATCAAAAACAATAATGAATGCGACTGGGATGAAAACCGGCGACTAGATGTGTGCAGTAGTAGATTCGGTCAGGACTCAGGACTGCGCGGGGCGACAATAGAACGGAGACGCTCCAACACAACCTAATACACCACATACATCGATTGATACACCACACTCTCGCACACAAAAGAAAAACAAGTCGGTTTGTTATCCACGTGGAAATGCTTCCCACCAAGAAAAAAAGAGTCCGAGAGCAAAGATCTGAGCGAGGATGAGCCCAGCGGTTGAGCAAGGCTAAAGCTCTGGCTGGGGGGCCGCCGAGAACGAGTCAGCCACTGTGATTCGACGCTTTTCAGTGGTTGGAGGTGCGACTCTCTCTTTTTTTATCCACTAAAAACGGACAAGCTACAACCCTGGACTGGTCCGATCAAGAACCTACTGGATTGGGACCCATCGCATCATCTGCGGACAAATTTGCATCACTCATCTTGAACGGGCATGACATTGGGGGGATTTCATTAGCGCACCGTTGCCGGAGTCCCGTCTGCTCTGTGTGAAATGCCAAGTACAAATTACCTCTACAGGACTACACCACAAACATTGACTGTAGCGCCTTCTGACTTTTGGCAAGCCGCAATTGGGCGCAAACTTGGCGGTGCCTGTCGGTCTCGTCGCGGCTATCTAACGGTTGTTTCCCATCTCGATCAGCGATTCCGGACCTATACAACCCCATTTCCCATTTCTGGGCTATTGCATAACTCTGGCATTTGAACAGAGTGATCAAGCCCACCAAACTCATCCATACCTTCAGATTCAAGTCAATATACGTATCTTCCAATGTAATGGGTTGAAAGCGTCTTCCAAGTTGCCAGGCACGTGTGCAAAACACTTAGCGAGCATGTCGACTCCGAGGCATGTACAAGAGGTAGCACTTCCGGCTGACGTGTGAATGAGCTCAGGGATCCGACAGATCCTCCGGGCCTGCATTCATGTTGCACGGTTGTCCATTTAGTGGCTTCAGACTTGTTGCTTTCAAATTTGCAGGAGATCTTGGACTAGCTAACAGAATCGCAACAATAAGTAGTAATGCTGGTTCCAGCCCATGGGGAAATCAACAATGCCAGTCTTTTGCATGGGGAAACCTTGAGATTACCCAAACTGTGTCTGGTACTTTACTTCGCGGGGTTGGCTCATTGACCGCGGGACAAGACGGACTACAAAACCTTGGAAGACCGTTAGCCTCTGGCCATGAGAGTTGGCGCGGGCCTTGTAACACACACCGACATTACACAGACCTGTCAAACGCGTGCAATTGAAATGCTGCCATTGCAAGCTCAAATGTCGTGATGGCCAAGACACGAAATGAGCTGCGCATTTTTAGATTACAGCCTGCTTGGAGCCTCACATTCTCCCTGTCACAAGCCATATGGTTCGTTCGGTACTTGCTTTCATATATCACATCCGAGCGGACTCCTCAATAACCAAAGATGCAACTTTTGATACATTAATGATTCATCCAACCACCGTCACATACTACCAGGTTCAATGTCAGTGAGGGGTTTTCCACTCTCGCCTCTGCTTTGGCATCCCATCTCGCCATGCTCACTTTGAAATGCTACTACGTGTTTGTATGATGTCGCGGTGCACAGGCTGTCGGCATCTGATGTGACGCTTCTACCGTGACCTGCCGACAGAGTTGCATACATCCCGGAAGACTTACATAACTTGACGCTTACCCCTTGGGACAATTATGCGCCCAACTTCCCGGGGTTGTTATACATGATCTGCAGTATATTGCGTGATGTGGAACCTCCCGACGCAGGAGCAGTGGGGTGGTTTGGGCGGCTTCCTGCACGATGCCGGTTGTCGGTCACCCCGTCGGGACCCGGCGGCAGTCGGTGCGGTAGTCGGATGCATCCTACTCACTCCTTGCAGACATTGTTCCATCGTGAATACCCACACTTCGGTCGACCGATCCGGTGTCGAATCACGGACGGAAGAAGATCCTTTCTTAAACTCCGAACTGGTCACCGACAAGATCAGATAAGCCATGATTTGTTTGAAGACCTCGTACAACCTCTTTGGGAAGTGTACGCGCCTGAAAACTTACGCACATTACTAGAACGGTTCATCCATCAATTGCACAAAGGATTGATTTTGATTCATCCGGCGACTGCCTTTTACCAGCAAACCCAATAAGAAGTATTCATAAAAAAATGATATACCTCTTCGACCAGGGGGGTTTGAGACTGTATCGACCATGCTAGCAGAATCAGGAAACACGCCAGCTGCCTTGCCCGGTACGCTCGGAATACCTCCGTCTTATCGATCTATTGGATCCCAAAATCGAAACACCATAAATCTTTGCTAATTATAACCCAGCAAGCCTAGTAGGTAGGTAACTATCAGCTTGATGCGTTGAATACACATCTTCACCAAGAAGATCATTGTGCCAACGACGTTGCATATGTTGTGTCATGTCGGATACTATTTCTAGCCGCCTAGGCGCCTGGCGGATGTCATAGTGATTACTTTCCCCCAAGCATCATCTTGAGGTTTCTTTACTTCTCCTTTCATACTACTGCTTCTTGTACTTCTTACTTGTGTCTGTTCTTTGCCTGTATTCCCCTGGTTTGCGGCGGCAATAGTTAATCCCGCATTATTGCCTAGAGGAGGTTGGCCACGTGTCTATCCAGTCCGCCTAGCCCAGGAGCCTCTTGGGCCTCCTTAGGAGGAACCGCACCACTCCGAAAGTTCATTCTGCAATATGCTTCCGGCTCTCCGCCCTGACTTTCAACTGTCGAGGTCTCTCGATCCCTTTGTTTATTCACTTCTCCGACATTACTCGGCGCCTACCGTGGCATCTCCCTACGGCCCCTCGGGCCCGGTTGGGTTGGGCGGCCAATCCCCGCCTCGGCGACTCCTTTGCCCAAGGCTGGTTGACTGGCTGACCCACTTCTGACCAATCCATCGTGACTCGAGCAGAGCAGAGTTTTCACACAAACATGGGATGCGATAACGCGCTCCTCTTCAACAGCAAGCGTTGAGATCTTCACAGCCCGGTTAGCTCAATCGGTAGAGCGTGAGACTCTTAATCTCAAGGCTGCGGGTTCGACCCCCGCATTGGGCTCAATTCCCGATGCATCTCAGATACTGAGATATCTCGACACTTTCTTTTTTTTTTTTTTTGATATTATATTTATTCTGTTGGGATACTCGTCCTTTTTGATATGCTGTGGACAACATTCGATCACTCAATATGTCTGCATTGTGTTGCGTTGGGAACCCAGTGACCGCTTCTGCTATTCGTTGACACGTATCAACTGGATCTTGTCTTACAAGGTCGGCTGATCCTGGATTTGTGCATCAAATTAATACCATGTCAGATCCATCAAATATCTCGATCTTGTGGCGTTCAAGACAGAGTATTCGTTATAGGCATAGGCATATCTAACGACTGGCTGGGACAAATATAGCGCCAGGTTTTGATTCAAAATCAGGTTGCGCGAGTGGCTGGGCCGGCGAGATACGATACTACGTAACCTGATCAACAAAGGAGTCTCCAATGCACCACGAACGACTTGTGCAATCAGGATGGAAAGGTAGGTATCTTCTTCAGCGGCGCCCGCCTTCTTATGAGAGCCATTTGCACATGGCATAGACAATTATGATGCTGTAAAGAGAGAGAGAGAGAAAGAGAGAGAAAGAGAGAGTGGGGGCTCGATAATTCAATGTGATTTCATGATATAATTTTGAAGTAGGGAACCATGAGTCCGATGCTGATAAGACTGACGATAATATTCATGACATGCCATCTGACCCGGTGAGTATGCATGTACCAGTTGTTACTGCCCCTCTCTGCTGCCATAATAAACACTTCCTGAGAATCCCCGAAGGCTGGTCCATTGAATGGCTACCAATCTTTATAGTAACTACAAATTGAGCGACCGATAATACAACTTGCAAGATCACTTTGCTCATTAGGACACGCTAGCGAAATCGCCATGGTCTTCTCCTCCATGTTAAGGATGCATAATAAGATGAGTGAAGATATTGGTTTCCCATTCTTTGCGGGTATAGTGTTCATCTTACCTAAGAGATACTGGACTCTTTGCGGGCGGACGATTTCGTCGATATAAAGGTGGGATGCTTCTCTTGTAAGGGCAGTAGAATAATACATATTCATATATGGAATGATGAATGGGGCATCATGATGATGAAGTGATTGTGGGCACTTTGAGTCGCCCGCGGCTCACAGGTTCGAGAGGACCACGGGTCTTTGGGTTCGGAGACAACAAGACCCTGGCGTTTGTCAATGTTTTTCAGTCAGCTCAGCCATTCAAAGCTCCAACGCTAATCGATAGAAGTTGATAGCATAGGATATATACTTGCACTTCTCTGTTTTTCTTTTTTATTCGCACAAAGAGAGACAGAAATGGTCGCGGTGGAAAAGACTATGATTGTGTTGGGAGACTGAATTCACACAGCTGCTAGCGAGCCAAGCTGAATTAATAGGCTCCATAAGCGAAAGAATAACGTCTCCTTGACATCCATAAACTGAACTTTTATTGTCGTTTGAATGTGCGATTAGCACTGTTGTGGATCTAGATGGGCTGTTTCCATATGATCATTGCGTTGGCTAAACTGCTTAGCCCATCACCAAAACCAAGAAAACTGCCCACGACACCTCGATGGTCTGCAAATCTTAGCGCGTATATTATAATGCGTCACGTTCTCATAGTACTTCTATCGGTAATAAGGCTCGTACTCTAAGGAGAGCGAGAAAGCCAGAAGCTCTAAACCTATGGCGTGTTGTAGTCATATCGAAACGTATATCGAAACGAATATTCACATCTTCTGCAGGCGCACAAGATGGACGTATACAGCGCCCTCTCCTGTCTGTAGAAGACGTTGTTTTTATCCAAATCGATAAGGGTGCACAATTATGGCGGCACCATTTTGCCAATTCTTATATTACTCGGCGAAAGTTGATGGACTGCGACTCCTGATCCTTAGTATTGCGATCATCCTCCGACCTTAATCGGTGCGAATTAGTTTATACCGCTTGGTTAATTCTAGGCGAAATGTCGTGCGTCTTAACGTACGACTTTTCGTCGAGATATTAATGCTTTTGACTCACGTCGAGGCATCGAAGATGCCTATTATTCCTCGGATTTTATTGAGCAACATCGTTATGAGTTCCTTGGCTTGACGATGGTCATCTAACACACACAATATAAGTCGTCCATGTGTATTAATGCGCTTTTGTGCAATAGCTTAGATGCTGCGAGTAATCGACGGAGGTATTCCATATCTAAACACAAAGTTTACTTCGCGGAACATGTTGCCTTAGAAAGGCTTGGGGAACGGAATTCGTTCCTATTATTAGTGACTCCGGGCCTGCAGGTTGCCGACTATTAACATGGCGATTATGGGCTGACCCGTTTGCTGGGGGGCTCAGTTTCGCTGCATTTGAAACAAAGTTCAACTGGATCGATGGCTTGAATGGTCGTAGCGGGGTAGTAATTGCTATGAGAAACTGTCGTCCGCACTTCGAATCCAAGAAGCCAAGAAAAAAGAACTCCCGTCGTGAGGTCTGCAATCGTCGCATACCTTATGTCGCACGCAGACGAATTATTATCGATAAGATCACGGTAAACAGCGAGAATACAAAGGGGAGGGGGGGGGGGGGGGGGGGGGGGCGCTAGTATAAATACCGGTTGGCGCTCTGGGATTTGGGAAACATTTCAAGTCGCCATTCAAGTTCTCCCTTCCGAAAGAATTTGGTAAATACCCGGCGTACGACACTCAATTTAATCCGCGATCTTTGCAACTCAATCATGAGATCCATGATTCCGGAGTATGTTTGTGTAGGCGGCAGCATCCGAGAATCTTGTTGTGCATCTTGATTCTGAAATACCAGGGAATTATTCTGGTTAGATCCCGCCCCGACTTTCAATCACGCCGAAATGGTTGCGATCTGCTGCGCGGCCGTGGGCGCCACGCGCATTACCTAGGTCAACCTATATGTCCCGGTCTGATTGTGAGGCAGCTGGATCGTGTTGCCAGCAAGGTAATGCAAAATTGTCGACTGGCTTTGTGGTCAGATCCGTCTATGGGGTGAAAACCGCCTAAAACAGACAATCGAATGCAAGTAGGACCAAACTGAGGAATTTCAGCTCAGACCAGAATATGGACGGGCTTTGGAATATATAGAGTCATTGATATAGAGTATATATCGGCTAAAGACTAGATCATTGGCCATGGTATGGTAAGTGGCTCTTCCGGCTTGGTTTACTACATGCGAAATATAAGGAAATTTGGACTTTCCAGAATGGAGCCTGGCTGTTAATGCTGAGATTGACGATGGGGAACCATGCTCACATGATGCACTGCATGTTCCCAGCCAAGAAAGCAATAGTAACACGACGGGACTTGGAGTTGACTCGCCAGTTCCCATGGTACTGCGTCAGTACCCCAGAGTTATATTAGGTCAAGAGGGGAAACAACTGGGGAAGTGGACCCTGGAGGCTGAAAAGTGCCAATCAGCAAGCTGAACGGCCGCCGAAGGTTACCTAACTTGTTAGTCTCTTGCCTTCTACCGCTCATTTGGCAATTTTGCCCGACCACGATCGCCTTTGCTGCGTCTGCCGTGAGTGATAGAATGCATTAGCTTTTCAACATCCGTACACAGCATGACAGCAACCTTCCTACCATGGCCGAAGAGGTAATAGCCCAGGCCTTTGCAGTCGGTCACAATGCAAGACTTCTCGAGCACATGGGCAATAAGGTGAGAAATCCCCCATATATAACGCGGGATCCGACAGTCGTTGGTAGAGGGGTCTTGTGTTTGTTGTCACCGAATCATCCAGTCATTTCCTGCGTCTTGCATTGTCTAAGAGCGAGAAACCGACCCATTTACAAAGAAATCTCGAAACCCAAAGACGAATCAGCTCTTGACACATACTCACAATGGCACCTATCCGCAAGCTGAAAGTAGGAATTGCCGGTCTCGGCCGCATGGGCGCCCGACACGCCCTCAACTTCCAGAACCGTACGCCTCGAGCTGACCTCGTCGCCGCCTTCACACCGGATCCCAAGGAAGCGACGTGGGCAGCCACAGAGCTGCCTGGTGTCAAGGTCTACACCGACTATGACGAGATGCTCAAGCATGAAGGGCTCGAGGCCGTTGTTGTAGCCTCTGTCACCACAGCTCACGCAGAGCAGGCCATCAAGGCAATTAATGCAAACAAGCATGTTCTATGCGAGAAGCCCCTTAGCACAAGCGTCGAGATTGTGAGTATCCCCGCTTGTACGACCGTCTATTACAGACACTGATTCTATTTTCCGCTCCCCAGTCACAATCGGTGGTAGATGCTGCTATGGAAAAGCCACACCTCAAGGTCATGTGTGGATTTTCAAGACGCTTTGATCAGTCGTACAGAAATGCATTTGAACGCATGGATGCTGGTACAATTGGCAGACCCTCAGTGTTTCGGTCACAGACCTGTGACAAGTTGGATCCATCCGGCTTTTTCGTAGCATACGCCGAGTTCAGTGGCGGCATCTTTGTCGATTGCAACATCCATGACATCGACTTGGCCCTATGGTACTTTGGCCAGGATTCAGTCGTAAAGAGCGTCGTGGCTATGGGAATCACGGCAGTGCAGCCAGACTTGCGCAAGCACAAGGACGTGGACAACGGAGTGGGTGTGGTCGAGTTCTGGGGAGGCAAGATCGCCTATTTCTATAGTAGCCGCATGATGGCTGCCGGTCAGCACGATATGACTGAGATTATCGGCACTGACGGCAAGTTGACTGTCAACGCCAACCCCATCGGCAGCCTGGTTGAAATGCACGAGCCCCGCGGTATTCGCCGTGAGATTCCCGCCGACTACTACGGCCGCTTTGAGCACGCTTTCGTGACAGAGGCCAATGAATTCACCGCGGCCTGCCTGGAGAACACCCGCCTGCCCTTCAAGCTCACCGGCGCCGTTCAGGCAGTCAAGATTGGCTGTGCTTTGCAGGAGAGTTTGAACACAGGGAAGAAGATCAACTTTGATGAGACGGGTCGACGCATTGAGGGCGCCAAGCTATAGATATAGATAAAGCGATATGTGAAATTAATAATATTATCATAAACACAAATATTTATTTTCCACAAAAGCTGGGCGCGCAGAAATATTAGTCTCATGGTCACTAGACATACGAATTATGATTGCAGATTGCGATGTCATGATCTTGATAATATTGGTCCGAAAGAGATTTTGGTTAACTACAGGATCAATGTGTCGTGCAATGCATTTTATGGCAATCGCAAATTTCAACTTGGATGTTTGTTACAAATCAAGATGTGGAGGAAAGATGCCCTTCGACCAAGCTACCCACTAAGACGCTGTACGGTTATGGACAAATCATAGAAACTAATCCTCCCCAAATTTATTTTACATCAAATGTGCATTATTCATTCCTAACATTAATAGTCATCCTAAAAACTGATATATTCTATCGGGGTATCTTCACATTCCAACCAGATGCTCAAACCCAATAGCACCTTTAAGCAATCATGTAGACCCATTTGTTTAGATTACCACATGCGCTCCCAGCATCGTCTGGCAAAGTTCATCTGGGCAAGTCTTTCCTTCTCAATCTCCTCGATACCACCCTCTTCCCAGTGTCGGCATTCGGCGTCAACCTCTGCCTTGCCGCTGATCAAATCAGCCTCACTGGGCTTGACCAGGCTGGTTCGCTTGACCACCTTCCAGACAAAGTACATGATGATGCCAAAGGCAAATCCGAAGTAGGCGGTGATGAAGCTACGGGTATCGAAGGGGACGAAAGTGCTGTAGCCGACGAAGATGAGGGCTAGAATACCGAGCAACAAGGCCAGGTACGCGGCCCAGGGGTTCCATGGTGCGCGGTAAGGGAGTGTCGCCGGGTCCATACCCTGAACGACGCGAGCACGATAGAATCCAAGGAAAGCTACCAGCATCATGGTATATGTCATAATCAAGGCCGTGGTGGTCAGGTCGACAAACCAGTAAAAGACCTCGACAGCGGCGTTCGACGAAACCAAAAAGGTGATACAGGAGATTACTGAGACAGCGACAACTGACCAGATCGGAACACCAGACTTTGTACATTTCATGAAGATCTTGGGAGCTTGGCCATCTGAGTTCAAAGAGTTAGAATACTTTTGCAATAACAATAAAAGGTTTCTGACTTACCCTTTGCGAGACCGTAAAGAGTACGCGATGAAGAGTAGAGGTATGCATTGCCGCAAGAGAGTCCCGAAATAAGGATCAGGGCGTTGACCAGGTCAGGGAGAACACCAATGCCAAGGTTCTTGATGCCAACAACCCAGGGAGATGCAGCAGCTCCAGGTTCGCTGTTTTCGATGGCACCCAGGAGTGTAGGGTCACGCGATGAGCAGATGATGCCCACGCAGAGGACTCCAACAACATAGAAGCCGACGAGACGGTAGAAGATAAGCTTGGCGACACGGGGGATGGTTCGGCGGGGATTCTGGATCTCGCCAGCAGCAAGGGCAATCACTGTCAAATCTCGTCAGCGTCGAGTCATAGTTGGGCAGGTGTAATCAAAGGGCACATACTGTCGGGACCGGCAATGGTGAACGCGGCATAGATGACGACCTTGAACCAGCCTAGGAACCGTCCAGTATCTCCGGTAGTATAGTACTCATGCATGGCGTTTCCACTGCCCCAATTGCGGAATCCATATGCATCATGCTTGGGGTTTCCACCACACATGGTTACCAGTGTAACCATGCAGAGACCAAACAGAAGCAACACCTTGGTGGAAGCCATGACAAACTCGGACTCTCCGTAGTACTTGACAGCCACGACGTTCATCAGAAAGCATACACCCAGGGCCAAGGCGATCCAAGCGGCCGGGTTTATGTCAGCGTTCCAATATTGCATGACCGTGGCAACAGCTGAATACTCGGTGCACACCAGCATCACGCCGGCAAAAAAGTAGGTCCATCCCATGGCGAAACCCAGAGCAGGGTCGACAAATCGAGAGGCCAGTTCAAAGATGGATCCGCGGATGGGTAGGTATGCGCACATCTCGGCCACGCTCAAGTTGAGGGGCCAAATATAGAGGAGTCCCCAGAAAGCATACCCCAGAATAAGCGAAAGTGGACCGGCCTTGCTGAGAACGCCACCAATACCGACCTATTGTGGGATCCATTGTCAGTCCGGTCGCTTCTCACGATTTTTTATGTGTCATCACCCCGGGGCAGTAGAAGCAACGATTCAATTCCGTTTGTCATCGCTCCGGGGTAAAGATGCGGAGAAGATGATAGAGCCTTACCCAAAGTCCAGTTCCAATTGAACCGCCGATGGCCATGAGTTGAACATGGCGAGGGCTCAAGCCGCGCACCGTCTCTCCGTATTGAGCACGATTACCAGTAATGACCTCTCCGGATGTGTTGTCACTGCCGCTCATGACGGCCGAGAGGCCGCCGGTCTTCTCAGCGTCCATGGTTGCAGAAATCACTGTAAAGAACTCCTGCAGGCTGTTGGGTTGATTGTTGGTCTAGTTGCCGGGTTGCATATCATACGAGAAACATTGATGCTACAGGACATTCCCGGGGGTTGATTATATAGAAACTTTGGCCATGCGATCAATTGCCTCTCGTCTCCGATTCCCAAGACCCCGGACCGCTCGTTATCAATTCGTGCAGGTCAGACTCTGCATCTTGGCGAGAGATAAGCACATATTCGCCAAGACGCCCGCCCGAAATCTCCAACCAGGCGACGGCAGAGGTTGCTATCAATCTTGGCAGACGTTGGTCAAGCTGCCAGAATTTCAGCGTTGATGCGCGTCCAATGCCGTTTCGTCCTGGGGGCCTCTGCCAAGCTGGTAGCGTTGCTGATAACGGGGTGGCGCTTGGTCGCTCCCCAGGGCCTGGAATGACTAACGAGTCAGACCATGATTAGCTGATCCCAATTGAGATATCCCCCAATCCAGGCACGTATCCATCATCTCCCTCTCCCCCCTTACGGCGACTCGTCAGCAGGCTCTTCAGCTTGCGATACACAATCAACATGGATGAGAGCCACAAGGCTTGATCCCAAGCCCACGCTGCCGGCAGCCGCACTCGAACAAGAGGTCTTGGCTTTCGCATGGACATGCCCGTTCCTGGCAAAATCGATGAATTTTGCGCATGTACTTTCCCAATCTTCCCTAGGCTCGTGAGCCTGCCGTCGACAGCCAAGAAAGTCTAGAAGTTTTTGTGAGTAGCACGTTGTGATAAAAGATTCAGCCCAGTCGCGCGCGCCGGGCGCGCCCATTGCCCCGGATCCCACCAGGGACCATACTGTGCATCGACGCATCACCCGTGAAGTGATGCGGGCCCCAATGGATCCTTGATACGGAATACCTGTTGGACACTTCCTGATATCCCCCGGCTTAGAGGTTCATTCTGTCGTATGATGTTAACGATATGCTACACGTCGATTTGACCCAGGACATGCCCCAGAAATTTTTGCTCAGACGAGCTGCCATGTCAAGAATCACTACTGTTCCTGTTAGCCGACATGCATATATTCATACATTCGAGAGGGTATGAGAACTCTCCTGAAATCTACCGGTACGAGAGTCTCATCTCACGATGCTTTCAGCATACCTACGCATATCTACTGTAGATAACACTAGGCGTAGGCTGTCGACTACATGGTTGCTAAATGCTACACTAATGAGATACCTATTCAAGAATGCACGCTTCGATATACCGAATCTGTCGGTGGTGTCACGCGTTTCCAAATGGCCAACCATGTATCAATCAGCTGAGGCCTTAGCTTGAGGTTCTAGAGTTGCGCGTCTCCCCGACCGATTGATCACTGATACGCGAAACTTGATATGGCATGCGAAGCACCATTGATAGCGCGGAAGCTCGAGAAATGCCAAGACGCGGAGGGATCCCGTCGTACGACCTGTCTAACAAGCCCTTTACCTTTCCTTGCTATACCAAGGGAGGCTTGGAACTGAACTATCTGTGATTTCAGCCTGATTTGAAGCTTATTGCCCTTCCAGCGTGTCATATGGAATGCCAAGCGCTTCGCACTGCGCAGTCTCAACGAAGGACACTTGTGCTCCATTCCATTGCAAGAGTCTCATGGTCGGCTTCTGAAAGTCTACAGCTTCCCACAAACCCGCCAGCTCAATTTGTGTAAGAGTGTTATAATGGCCAGAGGCATTGAGATAACCCTTGTCTGGATTTGGATCACCCGCCCGAGCAAATGAAGCCCAATAGTCCACCGTCAGTTGCATAAACGGCACATCTAAGCCGTCCCGGTCAGGTTGACCAGATCTCACAATATTCCCAAAGACGACGAGTTGCTCGCCCGCATGGCACTTGTAGTATTCCCCATCAGGATCACCGTGAGGTCTTCCTAGTGTTTGGGGCGCATCACACCACGGTCTTGTGTATCCAGATGGGCTGTATGTACGGTTGAACTGGAAGACATGTACTGACTTGAAAGCTTCATGTTTGGCAGCCGAGTACGCCTTGGCCAAGTCAAAACACACAAATTCGCCGTCCGAGGCCACTCGTAGAGTTGCGTTGAAGACTTGTTCAGGCGACGACGCATTGCTCAGCGAGAATGGGCCTTCAGGGACGCTGAGCGAATAATTGTCGGGGAGGCCTTGATCAATCCCCACGTGGTCCCTAAAGTAGGTAGCAAATGTAGTGCCATTCTTAGGATATGCGTCTTCGTCAATGTACACGCCGCACTCGTCTCGATTGGTTCCTGTCATCACTGATATGCTGGATGCTATCCCGGGCTTACTGACGATGAGTTCTTGTTGATCAATGTATGTTCCATCCACCACGGGTCCACTACTACTATTAGTATCGGGAATATCTGCACGGAGCCTTGAAATATACGTACTTCAAGTTAGTCTCGAGATTCACTAGATCAAAACCATCAATACTTTTTAGACATGAAAGTTGGTCTTTGGCGTTGAGACAACCTGTTTGGTTCAAGACCCCCGTCGTTCCGTCTCGATATGCATCCTCAATACTGGCATAGCGAGGCCATGTAAAGCCACCGTGAGGGTAACTAGTAGGATCGGACTGCATGATGGCTCTGTGAAATAAGCCTTTAGCTGCGGGAGAACTCAGCAAGATGTGCGTTCCCTGAGCTCCGGCAGATTCTCCAAAGACCGTGACTCTATCAGCATCCCCACCGAAGTATTTAATGTAGTTTTGAACCCAAGTCAGTGCTGTTACCATGTCCGAAACGGCGTAATTTCCGTTGTGGATGCCATCCAAAAAGGCGAGGAATCCTACGTTGCCAACTCTATAATTGACGGACACCACGACTACATCACCTCGCGAGGCCAGGTTCGTACCGTCAGTGTTAGGATTCTTGCCAGATCCACTCGTGAAGCCACCACCGTACAGGTAAACCATGACTGGTTTCAAAGGTGGCAGGTATGATGCGTTGCTCGAGTTTCCGGTTAGTGGTAGACTCGACGTCCATATGTTGAGGAACAGGCAATCTTCACTACTTCCAGATGTGACTTCTCCAATTGGCTGCACACAGTCTGCCCCAGCCGTAATCGCAGATACACTCCCGGGTTCTAAGAAAACAGACGAGTATGTAAATCGGTCGGGCTTTTTCGCGAAACGCACCCCGCGGAACTTCCAGGCGTGATAGTCGCGATAGCCCGTAAAGGTAGAACCGGCAACATTGTGAGTGATCTGCCATTTGACTGCAGTGTCCGAATGCGACGAGTTGGAGACGGGGGCACTTTGCGTACACAGCACGGGCAGCTGACTTTCACAATCGAGTGAGTGGGCATGGCCGTTTGTGTCAATGCCCTGGCAGTTTCCATCATTCTGATTTCGAGCCACCCAGAACAATTGGTCTTTTGCTATGTTACCGACGTAGACCTGTCGTAAGATGGAGTTATCGAGACCCGCATTGAAATGGGCGGAATCAGGACTCCAAATGGTTTCGCTCAGTTGAGCACAGCTGGTATTGGCGACAGCATACGATCCTGGCTGACTGATGAGTATAGCTCCCGCCCCATTGTTTTGAGCGCCTAGCAATAAGGTTAGCGAGTGTTGTTGCGATTTTGACATTCTACAACCAACCGTCAAGGGCATTTGGGGCGAGGATTGATATATCTCCAGTGGAGGAGCTGTTCAAGGAAATTGCCTGGATTTGACCCAGCTGCCAAAGGAAAGAGCCAAACCAGCCCAAAATCATTTTAGTTGAACTATTGTTCACTTCGAGACGAGATTCTGATTCCATAGCTACTATCAAGTGCCGGGGGCGGGGTTTATAACAATATGCGGGGGTTGATTTCCGACGTGAATGAATGTGCCGGAAGAATCTTTTGACATAAATTACCCGGAGGCGCGGGACGCAACCTCTCTGCACCCTTTATAGTAAACACGGGATATCGACAGGCTCGTGCACTTGATACGAGCAAAGCCCAAAGCCGGGTATTCTCCAAGTGATTATCATATGATTAATGCAAGGGTTATATGCCGGTTCCGAGGCGGCCCAATCACAAAACGCAATGATCCAGAGCTTGCGCCTTCGCGTGGTAATATGGTATTGCAGGCGGCAAGCACCTTGCTGTGACGGTGATGCATTTGTGCACGCCGATGGGCAAATTCTCCAGCGGTCGGGGGGATATTATCGGATGTTGACTATGCCACTGACACTGACAATGACGATTGAGCAGCTTCCATGTAGCCTTGGAATTCTGTAGATGCTGTATCTTGAATTGTGGGCTCAGGAAAAGCGTTACAAAGGATGCTTCATCTCAGTGTATCTACACGATGCTCATTCCGTGTGCTCTAGTCTATCCTTTCGCCCAAAAAGAATGCCCCGAACGTTTCCAACTGCAACGACATCTTGCACGGAATGTGCACAGATTCTTGAGTAATTGATCCGACATAACTCATCTACCATATAGGCCAAATCAAGAGCTAGTGTGTTTTTCCCAGCTACAAGGTTTTCATCATTAGAACAGTGTTGCACAGTAAGCGACAGGGGCAACTTACAGATCCAGGAACAACTTCCAAAGAATCGAAAACAGTATCCCTTGCAAGCCATTGGCAAGGATACGGGTGGGTAGGCCGCGCCCGAAAAGGCCGGAGATACCGTCTTGCTGAATGACCAATTTGGCAGCTTCGGCTGAGTCCAATGTCAGCAAGGCAAGTGACGTCAGGTCAGTGCTTGACTTACAATACGAGACCTCTGTGTCGTTGACCTGTCGGTACGTCTTGACAACCCTTAGTGAGTTTGAAATGGTATCGGAAACTACCGAGGCACAGAAGCCGATGAATGCCAAACGCAGCAGGTATAATGCCAATTGATCCTTTGGCGGTTGCGTGATGAAGTCGGTGAGGAAATTGTACTGCACATCACCGGTATAAGTTTCCAGTCATCTATCAAGACAACCGAGGCGAAAGACTTACCGTCGCGAACCAAGGATAATGCCCTACAAATGTGGCTGCAGCCGTGGCGAAGGCACCCCACCACAAACTTCCAATGCCATCCGTCTTGACACGTTGACGCAAGAGAGCCGTACCCCGAGAACCTTGTGCTTGCAATGTTGTCTTCAAGGTATCGATAGGAGTCAGAATCATGCGAAATGCAGCGGCACTGGTTGCTTTCATGAGACAATATCAAGCAATATGGACAGGTTCTGGCTTACCACAGAGATGCGAAAATGGTCTGGACCAGCGTAGGCATACGAGCCAGATAAGAGTTGGACTGCAGTAGAGCAAGGATGCCCGCGTTGGCGGCGGTATCGCCGAAACGTGATACAGGCCCTGTTCACAACACACAAATTAGCCACAAACCGTGCTTTCAACTTGAAAGATTGACAATACCTTGAACAAGTGCTGGTAGAAGACCGGCATAGTATCGTCGGAACCCTCCCTCATGGTATAGCGTTTTGGTTGCCACGGGGAACGAATGTCCATGACGATATTGGTAGTTCATAATGGTACGCAAAGGCTGAAGAAGCAAGTCAATAATCAGGCACTTTTATGCAAATAAAGATATTATTTGACACATACCATGAGCAGCAGTACTTGGAGCACCATGGCGGCAGCACCGCTCAATCCTCCGCCAAGAGCCCGCTTGAGTGCCTTTGAGAGGTCGAACTGCACAATCCAGAGTCAGCAATAGATACGAGGGGTTATTTGCAAATGGTGACATTTACGTTGGTATCATCAGCATCTATCCACCCCTTGATGAACAGTGCAAGCACCAGAGCCGCCGCGACGAACCAGAAAATTCGCCACGCCCACCAGCCTTTGGTACGGGGCCGTCGCGGCGGCGGCTCGAGCAGCGAAGACTCGTCGTGCTCATTATCCCGAGCTCTGCTGTTTCGCGACGCGGGGCCCGACTGGTGATCGTCCTCTTCCTCCTCAATGGCTACGGGTGGGATTTCCCGCAAGAGTGGCGTCCGCTCGTCTCCCTTCAGGGAATTTCGTTCCACGTCCTCGTCGCGCGCCATGCTGTTGGCTCGCCAGATAAAGGCCAAATATCACAAGATCTGGATATTCAAGAGGAATGTCTACCTGGCTCTATAGCGCGATAGTTGGACGTATGTATGCGTGTACTTTGTAGGGATTTTTGCTATTTTGATTCCTCGATTTAGTTTCCGTCGGATCTCCACCGATAATTATGGCGCCATTTGACCCGCAATCGCGAGCTCCCGAAGCCGCTTATAAATCCTCCCCGCTCCCAGCCGCTTTTGGTAGTATGTAGTAGCAATTTCAACCTGAGCTTCGACAGAACAATAATAATTTCGATTAATAACAATAATTCTTTCTTCGTCAATATTGGCTCTCGGACAAATAATCGAGATGGTTATTCTAGAGTAGTCTCAACTGGACCGAGGGGTCAAATTCTCATCGATGGATTTTGTACCTGTTCTATCTGGCTGCTCTGTCTACCGGGGATGGGCAATTAGGCCCATCGTGTAGATACCTTCGTCTAGACGTTGAAAAAACGTCGCAAGATAATGGGACTACAAAAAAGAGACTAACCCAGTCTTTCATGGGAGGCATATCCCGCCCACATGCGCCAGAATGCTCTCATGGTCATCTTCTAGTCAGCTAGGAAGACAGGAGCGTCACCCTGGCCAACAACGCATTTTTGGCCCACGAGGTCTTGAGGCACCGACCACAATCCCGATGCGCATCGCTGGAAGGACTTGCCGTCAATGCAGTTCCAACGACCCTCTTGCTGACATCCACCTTCCATAGGCAAGTTTGAGGCCGCTCCTGTAGGCACGGCAGCCTGTGAAGTGGCGGCACTAGAAGGAGGAGAAGAGCGCGTGGAGGTGCGAAACTGCTGCGTTGACGGGTCTGTGATTGCACGGCTGGTCGAGCCCATCGCTGACTGAGATGAGCCGCCACTCCTCTGCGCCGTGGCCCCGACAGAGATGGCATCGACGGGTGTATCAGCGCCTCCGGTGGGATGAGAGTAGGGCGATGTGTGAACCATAGCAGGATTCAGCTGTCCAGTGGCGGCAGAGCACCACTAAAATGTGTGTTAGCCATCAAATTCCAGCATATCCTTGATGGTAATTCAGCTCCTCCAGATATTTTTGCCTCAAGCTTCTGGGTTATAGTGCACTGAGAGAAAAGTTTCTCATGAACAAGCTTGGAACAGATTCTTCTTCTTCTTCTTTTGCGGTGGGGAGGATCGCTTACATTGTACTGTGATGCGGCGTCGGGGACTTGACAGCCGTTCCCGCTCGCATACTGGAACACATTTCGATCACAGCCATCGCCATCGCTGCCGTCGCGGGCAATATTGGTGCCAGGGTCGGGATACAGCAGATTATGCCCCGGCTCATTCTGGCAATCGGTTTTGCCTGCCAGGTTGACAATATACATCTCTGGCAGCTTTGGTTGTCCGCCGTCTCTGCTTGAAACCTCTCGTTTCCCTGACTTGGCTTCCAGCGTGATTGGGGCGCAGTTCATGTAAAACTCGGGCAGGGCCGAATACTTGGGCACCCATGACCATGCTAAAGAGTAGTTTCCAGGTGGGAAAGAGCTCGGAATGGCATACGCGTAGTTGTCCGGGTAGCTCAGGGGATCCAAGGTATCAGAGTAAGGGGTGCCGTCAAGAGAGGGACAACCTCCCTCAAAAGACTGAATGACAAAGAACTTTGAGCTTGCTGTGGGCTGTGTGTCGCTCGTAATCGACACTTGACACGAACCACCTGCCTGCCGAGTTAGTAAATTCGAGGAAACAAGCCTGGGACTGGCTGAATGGGTCCTGACCTCCATGGATAGCACATCCCTGGTCAGGGCTACACTGGAAGGACATGGTTTGTGGCTCGTCGGCAGCAATAAGTGTCGGGTTTGACCAGTCATAGAATTGAGTAGCATCCATTCCCTCTGGCTTGCCACAAGGGAAACGTGCAATGGTCAACGGATCAGGCTTGACACTTGTTGCGCCCAGCTCAATGCTACCAAAACGGCGAGGTTTCAGTAGTCTCATGTGAGCTGCAACAAGTGGTAAGAGCAAGGCGCCAGCCCGGACGACGCGAAGGAGACGCATGGTAAATTCTTCCCGTAGTTTGTGCGATTTACTTAGTATCAGGTTTTGTACGAATAGGATGGTTGTTTGCAATGAAGATAATTTGTTGCTGAAATGATTGTGGACAAGGGCAAGGATGAATTGGAGACGACGAATGTTGCAATAAACTTGTAAAGTGGCCAGGACGAAATGGAATGAAAAGAATGCCGAGTGTCTACTTAAAATGACTGAATGTGGCGGGATGAAGCTGCTGCTGGGTGTCCGTTGGATAAAGAGCCTTTGTGAATCTTGCGAGTGAACAAAGCGAGGGACCAACTTGAAGGATTATTCACTTGTGCATTGAGCCAGAACATCTTGGATCAAATTGATGAGCTAATTATTTGGCCCCTTATTGTCTACAGAGATTGTGAATTTCCTTCTTGGAACGTCCACAATTCCAACACTTCACAAACTCTTCCACCAATCACCAACATGTAAACATATCTCGATAGAGTAAACAAGAATTGAATTTAAATTTGAATTGATCAAGTCGCTTTTATCCACAACGTGTCTGGTGATGTATTTCCCATGAAATCTACTTCTTCACGACAGCAAGCTGGCCTCTAACCGGCACATTCTCATCTCTGCCGACTTCTGGGAAGCCCTCAACCTTGACGCCTTCTCTAAATAACAGAACGTGACTGGATCCACCAAAGTGGAACATGCCAGTCTGTTCGCCCTTCTTGATATGCTGTCCCTCCTTGACAGTGATTTCGCAAGTACTAACCTCGTCCATGCCCACGCCGATGAAAGCCATGAGGCCGATGTCTGGATTATCTGCCTCAATGAAGATGACTGCGCGCGTGGCTAGAGCAGTGAGGTAGCCCTGGGCAACGCTGATGCCGCGCTTGTCGATCTCAACCTGGTTGTTCTCGCCAATACCTTCAAAGAGCGGCTCAGAGAAGTAGGTGCCTTCGACCAGGAAAGCCTTCTTGACGGTGCCGCTAACGGGCGAGTGCCAACGGTGGTATGACAACGCCGATAAAAAGGCCTGGTAGATTGTGGCATGCTGAAATTCGCGTGCAAGGGGGTCGTGGCCCAGCATGTCAAGAACCGAGTAGGGCTGGCCCTTGATCCAGAAATGATCTCGCAGCTTGGCCCCGTGGCAAACGTTGTAGACTTTCGACTCGCAACAGTTGGCGATGACGCTATCATCATCGGGGCTAGCAACTGGGCGAGCACTGTCATGTACCTTGCGGGTAAAGAAGTCTACCATAGAGTCAGAAACTGTGTATCTTGGTTGAGCCAATACATTTTACTCACCGTCCCACGACTTGTAGCCATAGTACTTCTTACTTGGTTCACAAACAAACATATCTTCAAATTTGTGATCAGTCTTTAGCGGCTTATTGGCAACTTCCATGACGTCCTTTGTGGCATGTTCGCCAAACCAACCCTCGGAGTGGTTCTCCAAGACGTGAGCAGAATCCTCAGTCTATTTCGTACGTTAGTATCGTCTAGTATGTTGGATTTCTCGAAACACTTACCAGCAAGTACTGGCCCCACTCATTCAGCACCTTTTTCACGGCAGCGTTGACTGTTGGGTCCAGGAATGCTGCGTGACCACTATTGACATCTCAGCCTTTGCGTCACCGGATGACAAAACCGTACAGTAAAAGACTGGCCACTCACCTGGGCGTGGCCATGACATAGTCAAAGATGCCGCACATGGGCACACCGACCATACCGACACCGAAGGCGGCATCGGTCCACTCGGGTGCCTTGCTAAGAATGTGATTCAGCATGTCAAGCATGTGCTTGTAGTCCCGAATTTGCTTCTTGCCGACGGGATCCGTCAGGTAAGGCGCTTTCTGTGGCACCTCGTCCCACATGGCGGTGAAGTACATGTAGATGCGAGGGTTGGTCTCAATCTATCGGAAAGACGGAGTCAGTGTATTGAGACCGGGGGCCAGATCAGAAGCGGAGCCGCATACTCACCAGATCTTTGAACTCTTGCAGCGCCGGGCTGAGTGGCTTCTTCTGACCGGACTTGTGTTTCTTGTCAACATGGTCAATCTGTCTAGCGAGCCATTCATGTTGTGTGCGATGGTCTGTGGGAAGCCAGGCACCGTGCCTAGGAGAGCGGAGAGTTAGTATGTACCTAGACGTGTGCCCGAGTGCAAGTGTGCTGCTGTGGTGGAGGGGTCACGGTTATGTCGCGACACATGACGTACTTGTGGCGCTTGTGCTCTTTGGGGATATCGTGGTGATCTCCGTGCTGGTGGACCATTTTGAAGATTGACGTGTGTGATGTCTAGTATTTTCAAAGGGCTTCTGTGTCTTGCAAGTTGAAAGAAGTAAATATCAAGAACGCTGCCAAGCTGAGTGAGACGAGTCTTGGCAATGGCTTTATACTTGTGATTTACCATTGCTGGGCAATGCCAAGAAACACTTCCCAGAGAACCGGCGCCTTATACCTTCACTGATCTGAGCGATCAGTGCGGGGGCTACGGGGCCTACGGGCGCTAATGCAGGGAAAGCTTATAGTGGCCCGTCATGATGTAATTGCAGAGCCAATTCAACGCAAGTTTGGTCCTGTTTCGTATGGGCTCTTACTAAATGACCTATGGCTGAGATCCAATGAGAGCATCCAGCTAGGCAAGCAAGACAAGCAAAGCAAGATTTGCAATCACTCTAACCAAGGATCTTTATTCCGAGTTGTGGCTCAATGATGTAGCGGGCATTCAAGGTTGGATCGGCATGCCAAGTCATCTGCAGACCGTGGTGAGGTAGGTACATAAGCGTAGTATGCACACATGTACTGGGTATTCACTGCAATGCAACTCTTTTCAGGTACCTGCTAGCGTTGAACGTGTCTTCTTCTTCATTTCGTCTGTCTGAGGTATTTGGCTCCATTTTTTACGTGTACTATTGGTGTACCTTTACTATTTACGATGAAAATGAAACCAGCACATATCCACAGTGACTCCATTGATCCTCTTACAATCTAGACTTAGGTGAAGGCAGGATTTGCATTGGTAAATAGCTGTTCAAAGTAGGCTTCAAACCAGGTGCCTGCCTCGGGAGCCGGTCTGTACACATTCAAGAGTCAGCATGGCAAACGAAACTATTATGGTTTGGCATCAGAAGAAAGGGAACGAGGGCAGACCAGTTTTCGCCCGAACCCGCCAAGTCCCCAATGAAATACAAGATACGTACTGAAGAGCATCTGCAAGACCACAATGGTAGTCGTAGCGTGTCGCGGTGGTGTTGCTCGTTCCATCACACTCGCCGCCAGGCTTTACCCAAACGAACGCATCGAGGAGGTCACTTCCCGTGTTAGCAGTGGGACGAGTACCAAAGCCAGTGCCGATGACGTTGCACCAGTCTCCCCAGGCGAGTTGACCGGTGGGCTGCTTGCCGCTGCGGCCAGTGTCGGTGATAAAGTGAGCATCGAAGCCGGCGGCAGAGAGGAGAGGAGCAATGGCAGCAACATAGTGTGATTCGTCGTAGTTGGCGTTGCCCTGCGTATACGACGGGGCCGAGCTGACGCTCCAGCCATTGTAGTTGGCAACATTGGTAGCAAGACCACGCAGAGCGGCCGGAGACCCGGCATCGCTGTAGACCTGTGCGAAAAGTGTCGCGGCAGGGGACAAATTCGCCGGCCATCCAAGCCACTACAACAAGATGTGTTAGCAATTGCCATTTTGGGTAGATGAATGAGTTTAAAGCAGCTCTTTTGAGCAATTTGTCTCAGTCTGCTCTTATACAGCACCATTTTGGGCAGTCCTTGTTCGAGACAGCCCAGAGAAGGGGAGAAATGACACTGGAAGGTGCTTACTCCTGCGTGGCCAGCATCGAGATACATGGCAACGTTTGGAAGATTCAAGTTTGTTAGGGCATAGTTGATGCATTCCAGGTAGGCACTCTGAGCATTGGAACACTTGGATACGCTCAAGTTTGTGACCAAGTTGGCTAGACTATCGGGTTCTGGATGCTCATAGTCAATTGACGGATTCAAGGCTACCATGATTGCGAAAAACTCACCAATAACGAGTAGAATCCGAACATCCGAGTATTTCTTGACAATGGCAACGATTGTATCGATATAGTTCTTGTAGTTGGCCACCCCATTGTTGGCGATAGAGTATTCACCATTCGAAGCTGCCGCTGCACAGTCGCGGTCGGGAAGATCATAGACGACGAAAATACCGGCGTTGGCTGGACTCGCGCCAGCCTGGTTGGCAGTACGGATATCAGCCAGTGTATCTTCCATCAAGTCGGTTTTAGAAAGGGTATCACTGTGACAAAAGGTTAGTCAGACCAATATAGTTAAGGTGCGTTCGTCAAGATCATCTAGCACTGACAGCCACATGAAGCTGGGCACATCTGCAACGGCCGCAGCTTTGGCGCCAAGAGTTGGTACAGCATATGCTGTGACCTCGGATGCGTAGTAATTATTTGCCCACTGAGCAACCCCTGAAAATGGGTTACCACTCCATGTAGCAGTCCCACTCCCGACTGGAGCTGTCGTTGTCTTTGTAGAAGCCGAGCTTGCACTGGTCGTAGCCTTGGACGTCGTGGTAGAGGTCTTTGTCGATGTGGCAGCGGAAGTGGTTGTCGATCTCGTTGTTCCGGCCGTGGTTGTTCCAGATGATGGCAAGCACTGAGAATAGTATTCATTACTTAGAACACATGTGCCTGATGCACAGCAAGTCGCCCCTGACCATCCTGTTCCACCACATTGACCGCTTGACTGAGTTAGCAACAAGATCGAACAACATTGAACAAGCCAAGATGAGAGCCTACTAAAGTGCAGCACAGGATTGACGCTCTTCAATTGGACCATCAAGAGGAATGGCTAAAGCGAGAGCACTGAGAACAGTGAGAATCCAGATCTTGACAGCCATGCTGCGATATGTTCAATGTCCGTGTTGACAATTTGATAGTCGACTACTGCGTGTGCCCAACAGATGATCTTGTCATGGAAAAATCAGGATCTTTTATAGATTTTGGACCAATGCACTGCAAGTACGGAGAAGAGACCGGAATTGCGGGATCATCTACCTTACGACACAGGAAACATGGTATAATTAGAGCACTTTGAACTTGGGAGGCTCGCTTCAAGACCGTATTCGGGACACGTTCACACAGGTCCATGACTGCAAGTCGACCAAGCGAGAAAGCTTGTCCTCGGAATGCGGACCGAACCTCGAGTGAAAGTGAACGATGGCCGTCACTGCTGAGAGATATCCTGGCCGCCATGTGATGCCAATGGTATCTGGGAGACACGCTATAGATGTTCAGTGTAACGTCCGACAGAACGCAGGGACTAGGCCTGCCAAGCAAATCCAGACACTCACGGCTGCATGACGATCCATGGCTTAGTGCCAAAGAGGGAGTAACTCTTTTGGAGGCTGTAATCTCGGAGGCCATCTTCCATATAAGACAAAATAGGCGATGGCGTGGTGCGGGGCGAATGCAAAAAGTAAATATGACAGAAAACTGCGGAATGGTTGCTTTGTGTTTCCGAGTTTTGGGTGATATCGATAGAACATCACAAGAACGGATAGAGAGGATGACTATCTGAATCCATCTTCGGTAGGTGGTTGGAAAGATGGGAGGCCGAAAGCAAAATGCAAGCCAGCTACAGAGCTATTTAAGGTTAGTAGTAGGTACCTAGTTAAAAAGTCTCCACAATGACTGTCTTCGACTGTCATGTTGCGTTTGACCAACGTTAGCAGTAGAAGTTTGTGATCGCAGCCGGCTACAACTCAAGCATTCATTTTCATATCGACTTGCAATCGCCAATTACTCTGTAGCGGTGGGTGAATTCTGATGGAAGGGTAGAGTAATCGTATTACGAGTAATACATGGTTAAACCCAGTGGTTGAACACATACCTAGGTATATAGCATCGATTCGCACCAGAATAGCAATCAATAGATTTGTAAAATGCCAAGAAGCCAGCTGCTCGCTTTCTCGGTTCCCGGAAGATCATAGATGAAGCGGCTCGTGCCAAGAGGAAATAAATAGATTGCAGCCTGCTGAGGAAATGATCAGCGTCGTGTAAATTGTGCCACCTACATTGTTGTGTATGTACGTACTCACACTAGCCTTAGGTAGTGGATGACAACGACATTTTGGAGACATTCGATACAGCCAGTGATTATTTGTTACCAAGATGAAGATGAGATTGTTAACGAGAGAAGGGAGTATTCCCCAGAAAAGAAGAATGAAATAGGCAATTAAACGGACAAATGAACCACGACACGCAGAATGTAGTTGTCAATAAGTCGCAGAACGCTCCATTAGATATGGCGCGGGATCTCATTACTGATGATTTATAAGTAGAACAAGTTTTACTTGGGAAATCAGGATCAAAAGCGAGGAAAAGGAAGACAGTGGGTCTCAAAAGACGATAACTATATCTGTCTTGATCGCTACCAATCCACCTGCTTAGAAAACATGCAGTAGCCTTCCGTCGAGGATCTGGACATTCATACACACGATCTTAACGTTGATCAACTACTACTAGTAGGTAGGTAAGTACTTGGGCATTTGTAGGACTACGTTGTGTTCTATTCAATGTTGCACATGTCCCCTAAGGATGGTGGGGCAAGGGCCTAACATTCTGGCAGCGCACCCGACCAAGCCCCGGGGCCGACTGGACCATACGAATATGTACCTAATTACTGGACCAGGAGCCGCTGGATTCGAACTGAAGTACACTACAGCGGAGTCGCCAAAAGTTAACTCCGATCGCATGCCACAGAACCCTGCACACTTCACCCCAGGCTCAAGCTACAAGGTCCCCACGCTGGTAGGGGGTAGCCTCTGGGATGCCCCTAATGCAAGGTAGCAATTGTGGGCTACTCACCAGCCGCGACATCTTGGACACTGTTCTACTACCCCCAACATTACCGCCGTTGCAGCTTACAACAACCTCCAACGCACACTCAATCGTCACAAAGAGTACCTTGGACACCAACGGCAGCACTTCACTAGGGAGGGCGCTCGTCCAGTCGACAAGATGTTATCTGGTATTCTGATTTTCAATCAAAAAGGCGAGAACCTCATCTTTCGCGCCTTCAGAAACGATTGCCGACCGCGCCTCGCCGACGTCTTTCGCATCCAAGTCATTTCGAATCCGCAAGTACGGTCACCGATCCTCACGCTGGGCAGTACGACCTTCAGCCATGTCAAGCACGAAAACATCTATCTCGTAGCGATCACCAAGAGCAATGCCAATGCAGCGCTCGTGTTTGAGTTCCTCTACCGACTCGTCCAGCTGGGCAGGGGCTATTTCGGCAAATTCGACGAGGAGGCCGTCAAGAATAACTTCGTGCTTGTTTATGAGCTCCTGGACGAAATCATCGACTTTGGCTACCCTCAGAACACCGAGACCGACACCCTCAAAATGTACATCACAACCGAGGGCGTCATGTCCCAGAGAGCTCCGGAGGATTCGGCCAAGATTACCATGCAGGCCACTGGCGCCCTGTCCTGGCGCAAAGCAGATGTCAAGTACCGAAAGAACGAAGCATTCGTTGACGTTATTGAGGACGTCAATTTGCTCATGTCGGCGACGGGGACTGTCCTCCGCGCTGATGTCACGGGCCAGATCATCATGCGCGCATACCTTTCGGGAACTCCAGAATGCAAGTTTGGACTAAACGACCGCCTTCTACTTGACCACGATGGCCTGCAATCTCTCCCCAGTGGAAATCGGCTCGGAACAAAGGCAACCAAGGCAGCTGCGGGAAGCGTGACGTTGGAAGATTGCCAATTCCATCAATGCGTCAAGCTCGGAAAGTTCGATTCGGACCGTATCATCTCTTTCATCCCCCCAGACGGCGAATTCGAGCTCATGCGTTACCGAGCGACCGAGAACGTCAACCTACCCTTCAAAGTTCACGCCATTGTCAACGAAGTGGGAAAGACCAAGGTCGAATACAGCATTGGTGTAAAAGCAAATTTTGGCAGCAAACTGTTCGCCACTAATGTGGTTGTCAAAATCCCGACGCCTCTAAATACTGCACGCATTACAGAGCGATGTACACAAGGAAAGGCGAAGTATGAGCCAAGTGAGAATGTGATCATTTGGAAGATCGGTCGATTCAGCGGACAGAGCGAGTTTGTGCTTAGTGCCGAGGCAGAGCTCACAAGCATGACGAACCAGAAGGCATGGTCGCGTCCTCCGCTCAGCATGAACTTCAGTCTTTTGATGTTCACGAGTTCGGGACTTTTGGTCAGATATCTAAAGGTTTTTGAAAAGAGCAACTACTCCAGTGTAAAATGGGTCAGGTACATGACGAGGGCAGGGTCCTATGAAATCCGGTAAGTCTCTCCCGACTGTCTGCATTTGACAAGATTACTGACAGATCTCTGCAGGTTCTGAGCGACGCATCCCAAGTGGACTCCTGTTCCGCATATAAACTGCCAACTTTTGCATTGCGGTTCGAAACATAGCCACAAAGCCCGGCTTTTAAGAAAAAGAAACACAGGGCCCATCTCACAAGCATGCGTCCACCAACAGCCTCGCGTCCCTGAGGACCTGATTGCATACAATGTGTCCAAGTCACTACGACCCCAGGCATAATCCTCGGCATTTGCAGCTACATTAGTTTAGAGACTTTCGGCCGTATTTGTCAGCGGCACATGCAGCAAACCCCGCGGTCATATATAAATGAGCCGGAAATGCAAACTACCTAAGTAGGTACGGCTCTGCTGTATTACTCGCAGCACACGAAAATGATTCCACAGCAAACGATTTGGTATGCAGTGTCACCATGAAATTCTGCGGAACTTTTAGCGCAGAATTACATACCTCATCCAAGTTCGGGGTCACCAGGTAGATTTGACGAAGCAGTGTCGTCATTCTTCAATCAACGAGCAGACGCCGAATTCGGTCAAATAGGTACATTGATATATAAACCTGTGATAATCAAAACCAATGCAATACTTTTTTTCTTCCCTGCAATAGCTCAAAATCTCACGTTCCTCTTTTTGTTAGACACGAGATCATGACTTCAGCAACTCCCGTCGCGTCATCTAGTGACATCGCCAAGCATGGTTGGACACCTGTACCCGTGGATGCGGTAGAGATATTCGGCGACAAGCCGTATCGGAATGAACCGCCAGCAGTGTCCGCAGCTCAGATACCCTTTCCTTCTGATGATCCCATTGTTGCGAATGTGCAAGCATACGCCAAAGACCACCTTCCTGAACCTACTTACAACCATTCGATGCGTGTATACTACTTTGGTAATGACTCTTATGTGCTCTACGGGATATGCTTACTCGGTATGCTGATGGACATTAGGTTATTGCATTCTGAAATACCAATTTCCAGATCAGGCTGATGTTTTATCCACGTCAACATGGGCGCTTACCTGTCTACTGCACGATATCGGAACCACACCAGATAATCTGCGCTCCACCCTACTCTCATTTGAGTGGTTTGGCGGCATTCTGGCGTTGGACCTTCTGCGATCTCACGACTCGCCCCAGCCACAGCGTGAAGCCGTGGCCGAGGCCATCATCCGTCACCAAGACGTTGGAACGGTGGGAAAGATCACGTTCCTCGGTCAGTTGATCCAGCTGGCGACCATTTACGATAACATGGGTGATCGTCCGGACTTGGTCAATGTGCGGACCAGAGACGAGGTCGTAGCTCTGTTCCCAAGACTCAAATGGAGTGATTGTTTTGCCAAGACGATCCGCGAAGAGAATGGATTAAAGCCATGGGCACACACTACGCATCTCGGCGAGGAAGACTTTCCTAGTGGCGTCGAGGGCAACAAGCTCATGGCGCCTTATGAGGGCAGGGAATAGGTAGTGTTGTGCGCTTGCGATTTCGTTGTTGGAATGATGGAATCAAGGGTTGCGATACATTATGACGAGCTTGATGCCAATGTCAGCAATTGAACCATGTCTGTCCTCTCTTTGGCCGTGGCTCAACCTTTTCCCTTGTGCTCATCAGAGCGTTCGCTTCTGCCTCAGAACACGACTTGTAGAATGCGTAGTCCAGGCATCAGCTCCCTCTGTTTCATGGCTTAGGGAAGTACAATTGAAAGTTCACTGCGAATATCCGAGCCAATTCTCTTTCTGCCAATTTCTGCTTTCCAAAGTCGTCTCCCTCCCTTCTGAGTACCTGCCTACCCAGTTCCTATCGCCTTTTGTCATAATTTGAATTTCCATCTAGAGCACAAATTCGAGGCAGTAACGACCCGGCTTGATCCTGGAATTACCGACCTACCTACACATAAACCTTGCCCGCGTCACTTAAACTACTATTCACGGTTGCATATTTGAGTTTTCCTCTGATGGCCGACAACAGCGATTCTCACCACTTGCAGGATACGCAGTCGTCCCTAGCCAACTTTGACCGTGATCAAATTTTCGACAGCCTCAAACGCAAGAATGTACCGTTCATCCGAAATGACAACCCAGCATGGCAGACTTATGCACAAACGTATAACCAGCGCCTGTCATGTGAACCTCTCGTGATCATCGTTCCCGAGACAATTCGACACATCTCGGACGCAGTCCTTTCCGCTTCCAACCACGGCGTTCCAGTCCAGGCCAAGAGCGGCGGCCACAGCTACGCAGGCTTCAGCAATGGAGGGTTCGACGGTTCCTTGGTAATTCACATGGGCCATTTTCAAGATGTGTCGGTCGACAAGGAGACTGGCATCGCCAAGGTCGGCGGCGGCACTCGACTAGGTCCTCTCAGTCTGGCTGTTTGGGAGCAGTGCCAGCGCGCCCTTGCCCACGGTACTTGCTCTGCTGTTGGCATTGGTGGTCACTACACTCACGGTGGTTACGGCCACTTCTCGAGAGCTTGGGGCTTGGCCATGGATCAAATCGTCGCTCTAGATGTAGTGCTTGCCGATGGAAGGTGTGTTCATGTTGATTCGACTCACTATGACGACATTTTTAACGTAAGTAAACGGTCTGTTTTTGTCCTATGTCCTGATGGCTTTGAAACTCGACCCAGCAGATCTCTCTTTTTTCTTAACATCCAATAATTTGTGCTTATTACTCCATCAGGCAATGAGAGGAGCTGCGGATATGATCGGTATTGCTATCAACTTTTACCTTCAAACTCAGCCGGCTCCAGCCAAGGTCGTCAGATGGGAGCTTGATCTGGCCTCGATTGCGCCTGTCGTCGACATTGATAGAGCTACAGACGCCTTTATGCATCTCCAAGAGGTGGCCCATGATTCCACGGTTTTCAACGCCAATATATCGTTCGGTGTCGTCCTTGGGCCAGCGCGGTGGTTCCATGTTGCTGGTATTTACATTGGCTCTGAGCAGATGTTTCGGGATGCCCTAGTTCCCCACCTGCTGAGCGGTATTTGCAAGTCCATGCAAGTCAAGTCCACAGAGCTGGGCTGGATTGACGCTCTCAAAGCTCTGGCGGGAGATGATCTAACGGTCACTGAAACGTACAGCGAGCGAAGCAACTTTTACGCCAAGAGTGTCACCATTCCCGAACCGGGCGCTCCGCGGGATAGTATTCGGACTTACATGGAATTCATTGCCACAGTGGGACAAGAGCAACAGAACTTTGGGTGGTATGCCATCCTAGATCTCTACGGAGGAGCAGGAAGTACAATCAATATGAACCACTCTTCTGCAGCCTACCGCGATCGTGGTTCTATGTGGGTGGCACAACACCAAGCATACGTGGGAGGTGATGTACAGTTTCCTGAAGACGGGTAAAAGAAATGTCTTTATTTCAGTATTGTTAAGACCAATGCTAACTTCACTGACAGTATTGCATTCCTCAATTCCCTAAATCAGGCCATGAGTGGCATGCTGGACACATTCGGCGCATATCTTCCATACGTCGACTCAGAGTACGATAGAACTACAGCAAAACACATGTACTACGGCCAGGATTTATACGCTCGTATCCAGAAAGTCAAGCGTCGTTTCGATCCTACGAATGTCTTTGCCAATCCTCACTCCATCAGACTCGATGAGTAAGAAGGAGGGAGATCCTGCACTGCGCTTCTAAATAACGGAGTCTCTGCGTGATCTAGCATCCGTAATGATGGTGAAATTACGGAGAGAACAATCAATTGAGCGATATCAATCCAAATCATTCGATGAACTTTTCGCATCTTTCTTTGTCTCTGTGATATTAAATGTTTAAGTTGCAATGCAAACAATGTGTTGCTAGTGGATCGAGAATGTAGATGCCGATGGATTTAAACCTCTCAGAGCACCGCGCCTCGCCTTGGCAACCTTTGGTCTCTACAGACAATGTTTTGACAAAAGTTCATGCGTTTTTGAAAAGTGTCATTAGTTCCTTCGTCTCAAGAGTCATCGTAGCTGCGAGCTTTGCATTCCCCATCGAGATTCTCCATCGAAGAAAGTAACCCTGGCTGTAGGTTAAAAAATCTCTTCTCACAAGTTTGCCTACGAATATGTTATTGCTAATAATAAAATTAATTCCAAATCTAATTACCAAATCTTATTAGTCAGAGTGTGTGTATATTTGTATGGAGATAACAAGCAGCTTTTCATAGATAGAAATCTCAGAGTGTTCTGGGTATTGATAGAAGTTCTCATTTAGCAACAATACAATCCATGTTTTGCGAATTTGGTACAGTTGAGCTCAACTTGGAGGGGCTTTCCGACAAACACCATTGACCTGATGCCCCCCAACCCTCTATTCGGATACGAATTGGCATCCCGGGTATCCAAGCTATACACAGTAATGATCGTTGCCAAGTACCTACTATGGTCTTACGTTATCATCACCTTGGTACACTTGGGACCCCGCACTTCGGCTGTAATTACACCGTAGTACCAGAGCACAATATTGACAGAACCAATCAAGAAGCCTAGAAAAGAATGTTGAACAGCTTCGGCAGATTCATGGCATTGGCTTCGAATCAGAGCAACAAGAACACCAGGAAAGCAACGGATCCGTATCAAAACCAGCAAATTATTTCGCATGTATATTGTTGATCCACAGAAAGTCGCATTCGATGAAATTGAAGCGTGTTTGCAATGTGATTTCTTGATTTTCCTATCTGGAACGCATTTCGAATACAGTATCCGTGCAAAGAGATGTTGTTTGAGTTTGCGTGGGTTTCTATTGTAAGAATGACCCGCCAGTCTTTTTCACCATATTTGTATAATACGCCTGGAAGTGGAGCCAGCCCCTGGACCTCGCACCCAAAATCTTTGCAGACTTGACTGCAATCTCCTCATTGATCCTCTTGGGGCCGCCATTGAAAGGTGATGCTGCGTCTATCAGCAACTGAGCTTGGCAGCACTTGTCGAAGGAGCAAAACCAGTAGCAAGCTTCATCAATGGTGGTCCCAATAGATAGTAGTCCATGATTTTGGAGAATGACCATATTCGTATCGTCATTGATCACGCCAGCAATCGCCTGTCCCTCCTCTGTAGATAGCACGGGACCTCCATATTCGTGTAAGATGCTGTGTCGGCCGTAGAACTTGAGAGAGTCCTGCGTCAAAGGCGGAAGAGGTTTTCCGAAGGTACTGTAGGCCTTACCGGCGGTGGAGTGAGCGTGACACACGGCGTTTATCCATGGGTGTGCTTTGTGAATCTCGGAGTGAATGGCAAACCCAGCAGCGTTTACTGAGTGGATTCCGTGGACGACCTCTGCCTCTTCCGTGACGCAGACCAAGTCGGAGACAGTGATGTCTGCAAAATGCATGGTGTACCTGCGACACGAAAATATCAGTCTGAGCCATCCGGAAGTACCTGCGAGGGAACTCACGGGTTGATCCAAAATGTGTTTGGGTTGACCGGATCTCTCAGTGACATATGTCCGCTCAGTCCCTCGTCGAAACCATTGGCAGCAAACACTCGGAATGCGGCTACAAGATGTTCCTTGTGGTATTTCTGTTCTTCCTCCTTGGACTTGAAATCCGGCAGGGTGGGGACCGTGCTTTTGCCATTAGCAGCGCCCACGGCAAGGTTGACCGTGTCGGCCCCCTTCATCTTGAGGATATCCATTCCTCTGCCAGGCTCGCCGGGGATACTAGTAGCGTTTGAGATTGCAGAGGGGGCCATATTGAAAATCTCCAAGGCGGTCAATGTGAATTGAATTTGAGTTTGACAAGACAAGTCTGAGGTCTTAAAGCTAGGGTGAATCCACTGGAGTGGATTGAGTATATATCCGAATTCCTAGCAACCCTTCTTCTCCAGTATCATCCTGCCTGATATCCGGTCTGCGGCGTCTGGTGTAGGGTGTGCAAATGCACCGGAAATTGGCATCCTGACATAGGATGGGTGATTGTATGGGCCTATCTCGTGTGGGATATACAATCGGCCCCGCGTCAAGGTTATCCGACTGCGGGCAGGTGAAGGATGCCTCTATAGTCGCGGGCGGAAATGAACCGACGCAATATCCGACACGCCCGAGCCCTATAGCCGTCACTAGGTAGTAATGTTCGTATTGAGACCTTCGCGTGGGAGAGACAAGCTAGACTCCTTCGGGTCAACTTTCGGTAGCTCGCTCAGCTTGAGGCGATTATATAGTGTCTACTTCCCCCGGGCTCAGCTAGTCTCTTGTGTGGTTAGAAGATTGATCTTGAGCGGGCCTTACACCTTGGATGCCAATAGAGCCTCGATCCATTGGTGAAGTAACTAGACCATATCTTGTAGGCTGGCTTCAAGATTCATGAAAGGTCGTTCCTCATATATGATTGTCATTTATTGGGGTAATGTGAAGACTTTATAGATGTATTTCCCCCTTTTCGCCAAAACTTTCCTTATTGGGCGTGTGCAGTAGACCAGTCCCGGCCCTCGAGTCCATCCACGCCGACAGCAGCAGTATGACGGAGAGAATAAAGATGAGGAAACTTGATAACTGCCATGGATCAGGATGCAGTTCCTCGCGAGTCAACCAGATTCCCTGTCCGAATGGATGCGACTTGTCGAGACCAGCAGTGCCGTAGAAAGGATGACTGGGCTCAAGCCCGTTTCCCTGGCGGATCAGCCTTTCACAATGCCTGTCTACGTAATGGTTGAACGCGAAGAATACTGTGCTGCCGAGTGCAAGTAACGAGTTTGCCAGCAGGGAAGCTATGAGCTCGCGCCGAGGCCAGACTCTTGTCTACCAGAAGTTGTCAGTCTTGAACCCCGTGACGCATCACTCCAAGCTGGATGACATACCTCGGAAATTTTCTTCCGCCTCATATACATAACAACCACCATAAATACTGATAATACCAAACTGAATCCCGTCGTCCAAAGGAGTATCTGCCCTGCTATCGCAAGTTTCCGATATTGCTGTAACACTTGGAATCCTGGCTCCAGGCCGGTAATTTGAGAGTTGATCCCCATGGCTGTAATGATATGCCGCCCAATTTATCTTTTTGTTTATTTCCAGTCGATTGTCGATGAAGAGATTAAACGTTTGATTTGTTCTAAGAACGAGATCAACCTCCACGGCTCTGGGAAGAAGAAGAAAAAGATTAATGATTGATAAACATTGGTTGGTCGTGTTTGGGTGATTAAGATTCGCTCAACGTCACGGCAATTGAGGAATGTAAGACGCAGCTAATGTAGTCAGACGGATGCTTCGGAGCGTTTGCAACGGGCTACCAACAAACTTATAAGTCAGCAGCACATCATTCTCGCTGCACAAGCGCGTCCTCGTACCAGATCATTGTACAACAGAGGATGCCTGGCCGCTCCACGCCAGCCTCGAGTCCTACCGGTCTTCTTGGAGGAATCTTCCTTCCTGCATACCCAGATGTCATCCATTCTGCCATTTTGGTGTCCGCCAAGACGTCGAAGCCCCAGCGGTGCCTGTTTTGGTGGACTCGGAAGACCCCGGACAGCTGACGGGTTGCTAAATTTGTGGATTTGGCGGGAAAAGGATGTGATGCAACCCCTACCAAGCTATGCCTAGCTGCGTTACTCTAAGGCTTAAAAGCTCTGCCATTTCCGGGGTACGAGGTATGATGGGGTCGCTCTCCTCTAAGCTGCGCCCGCGCGCCCACCAGAAGGAATTGGCCGTGGTTTTTTTTTTTCCCTCCTTCTTTTTAATACGATGTGAGGGGTATGGACGATGGACCAGAGTAACAACTATGTAATGTAGAAGAAAATTCTTACAAGAGAACTTTGTTTGTTCAACATTTAGGAAGTCATAAGCCGACGTGACATAAGCTTGATACGACTCCAACACATCTCTCCACGTGGCTGCCCTCAATGCCAATGTTACCATGGGCCCCGCGAGCTGATTACTATAGAGGTGGCTACCTACGCTTGCTCACGTCTTCTCTTGAAACCCAGGACCGTTTCCGAGATGCAAGTCAGCCATATTCTGAGAGCAAAAGTATTTGTAGATTTCTCCTGTCTGTGTATGTAGCTTGGGATTTCCCCGGTCCATTTGACATGCCCTGAAGAACCCGAGAACGCTCAACGGGTCGCGATTTGGACATCTATTTCTGGCGCCCTGGTGCGTGCTGCGCCGCGTTCATACGATTACACCGAGTGTCATGCAAATCTTATTCCCCGGCACCCTTCCACAAGCTGATCATATGATGGTGAATCATTTTGTGCTCGCTGTTCGCCCTTGCGTGATAGACACCACAATTACTTCGTGTAGAACACGGCAATTGAAATGAGCGTAGAGTCCGTTTATCGAGCTGTGGCGCCCCCGCGGTTAACACGATGGCGAGTTGATTAGTGTGTTGGCAACATCCAGTGAGTATTCCAGAGTACGTACCTAGTAGTGGATACATTAGTAAAGGAAGTGCTGAGTCCTGACCATCGAATGGCAGGGGTACTCAATTGTCGGCACTCGTTTCCTTTCAAATCACGTCCGTCAACTTGCATCCCAACTTGATTCGAAATTTCTGATCTGACTGCAGCATCAGGATGTCCAAGTTAACAAAAGGACATACACAGTCCCAGGTTTACTACGCTGTTTGTTGCATTGGACCATTACAGGCCATTACAGGCCATTACAGGCCATTACAGGCCATGACATCGTGGATCCACCGAGCTGCATCGGTATGCTGATTTTGCCTGGACCAGGAAGTACCTATCTGGGTAATGAATGCACTTGGCCAAGCCTTGAATGAGTTATGGTCTTTCTACGAGTTAATTCCGCTCTTACTGCTCCTTGGCTACACTGCGGGCTTACCTCAGGCAAGAAATACCCGGTTGGTATACCCAGGATTTACCACCAGGCTTACTTGGCTGCGCCCCCTGGGAACTGTGGCATTGCGGCTTGTGCGGTACAACACATGGACCATGTCCTTGCTTTTGGTCATTACCAACAATACCACCGACAGGAAGATAGAGTTACGGTCTGCCATCGGTCACCGTGAGCCCAATACAATTCCAGTCAATCGTACACAGGTAGGTGTTCGGCGCGCAATGGGGGGCATCAGGATAGCGACGTACACAATAACCCCGTCGACATGCATTTACCTGAAACAGTATCTTTATGCCCTCAGGATATCTAGGTAGATTTTCCATTGCAATATTTACAGTCAAGGTATTTACGGTCAATTTGCAAATATATACATTGAATGTTGTCCGACCCAGGGCCTAGCACTAACTGAATGAATTGTTTAGCCTTATTCATCAACTTGGGCCGTTCAACAGGTGAACACATCAGGGCCGGGGACAGTGTAGGTCTGAGCCTGGTACGCGTCGTAGGTGATGCCGGGGTCGGAGCTGGCGTATGCGCCCGGGAAAGAAACCAGATTACTCGGCTTGGTGGAGCCAGAACTGGTCACCTTAAGCTGGTGGCAGCCTGGGTAGAATTGCGCGCCTGGATAGCTGTATGCTGAGTGGAGGGCGATGATCTCGTGGCGCACCAGGTAATAGCCTGCAGCAAGACATGAAGGGATTGTGTACGAGTATCCGGCATTGCCATTGCTCATCAGCGGCGTGTCGCCCCACGTATTACTCGTGCCGTCCCGGCCGTCCTCGGCAATCTTGAACCAAACGGCGTCGTCGCCGGGCATGTAGTCTTGGCAGCCTGGTCCGGTTGTCATAGTCAGCATGAATTTTTGACAGATGGAGATGAGAAAAGCCAGAAAGGGGTTCTAACCTGAGCTAGGGCAAGCAGCCATGTAGGTGATAGTAGGTCCGACGTGCGACTCGGGCCACAGCGTCCAATGAAGGGTGACTGTGGAGCCAGCCGCAGCGTCTGCATGAAGAACTGCGGGTGACGAGCCGACGATGCCTCCGTCGGTGTAACCGCCGCACTGGAGATCGTCATATGTTAAGTCAGTGACCGGACCGTTACCCTGGACCGGCCTGGAGATTCTGTCGGGCTGTTACGCTTTGTCAATTCTATACTTTCAGTAGGCTGATGACAGGGTCGTTTACAGTTGGAGATGTATAAGGGTCCGTGTACGGCTGATAGAACTGGTAGTAATTGCCGTTGATCGTCGCGTTGTCAACATATCCATGAGCGGCGACGAGAGCTGCGCTCCCAAGCCCGAGGAGAGTTGTGGTCAAGGCGTGCATGGCGAATAGAATAATTTACGAGTATTGAACTCGAGCTAGTGATACTACAGCTTGCTGATATGATCAACGGAGAACTCGACTGAAATCCCATATCCAGGCTACACAACTAGTTTTATAGTCACCAAAGGGTTGAAAACCCCTGGCTGCTTTGCCCCTGACTCTTGTTCTTTTCATGACAGGCAAGCGCGTGCAAACACAGGTCAGCTGCATGCGTTCTAGATTAATTGTCGTGGCAGCCACCCATGATCCCGGTATCTTTACGTTGACCTCCTCCGACATCATTCGTTTTTCTAGACAGTTTGAATGTCAGTGGTTGGTTTGACAAAGACAAACGGCAGTTGACCCAATATGTTCAACGGATTTGTTCTTTTTGGGCGATCATCCGGAACATTCATAGAAACGACCGCCTTCATTCATTGGATGCATTTTGCAAGTAAACTAGGCTTTGCTCGTCCTGAACGGGACTTGTGGTCCCGTGTCGATGGTGGTTGGTGGATTTTTCTCATATGGTCGAAACGTGAGACGACGGCTCCACACTCTTGGCAAGAGCCGCAAGTTTAGGACATATCTATCAACATCAGACGACTAGCCAGAATTGCTCCAGTATTCTTACAGCGGTGATTCAATAATACGCTTTCAATGAGTTCTTCTTCTTCGCTGCAAGGACTAGGGCCGACGATGGCATGAACAATAAAGACACTTGCCAATGAAGGTCTTGGCCCTGACCAATGCATACAAGTCAGACTCATTCAATAAGAACAACCTGGGTGTGGCATCACAACTTATCTTATTTTCTTATGTCTTGAGCCATATTAGTCATCATTGACCACAATTGATCTTCTTCGAGTAACGCCAGCGTATGAATGAAAAGAGGCCCCCACAATGGAAAGCGGGTAGTATCCCGCCGAACCTGCTCCGTATACTGGGGAACGGACGGCGATGGCGGAGTGCTCCACCGTGCTCCGTTCCACCGGAGCCGAGCTATCTGGAACTCCGCAGGCCGAAGTAGCTTCAGTCGTATGCATTCACGCAAAGTCATCTTTGGTTCTACTCGGCCAAGCAGAAGTCCACTGAGCAGATAGCGGATTATGCCATCCTTACCCGTAACTTGAAAACTAGCAGACAGACAACACATGACCAATTCTCATCAACACAGGAGATTACGAATGAGTTGGTGAGTGCGCCTCAAGCTACAAATATAGGTCTCTTGTCATTTGACGATCAATTCATCAATGGAGTGGTCCAGAAGATTGCAGAGTCTTTCCCGTGGATAGCTCTCGGCTGTCGGAATTGAACCGGCTGTTCTCTCAAATTAGCCACTTGTATGTTCTGTAAGTATGGCTTGCGTGGTGCGTAATAGAAGTCGTAACCTTGATCGATGTCATGATGCCATCGTCTTGGCAGCATTAGCCCAAGTAGAGTGAATTGGAGGTTTCTTCAACTTTGGATATCAGGGATAAGTGAAAGAGACATTGTAGAAAGGACTTGGCGAGTATCTACCTATTAGCCTTTAGGTACTTCGGCTGCTTGGCACTCGCGATTAGACCTGCTCTCGAACAACAACGACGACGTCATCAGTATCACCGTTTGAACAGAAATCTTAGATTGCACCTATGTATATATGTAGCACTGGACTAGGTAAGCAGATGTATGTTGAACTAGAATGTCATCGACGGTCTGCATTACCAGTATGTAGTCCTTCCGGACATATGGTACTCAGTCTCGAAGCCCCTCTCACTTTCCATCTTCTGTAAGGACCACGTATATCCAACATCTCATGACCTTGGAAGACGACGAATTGTATTCTGCGTTTTGTAGCTGTCTTATTGAAAACTTGAATTGACCATATGCGAAACCAATTATACGACTGCCCTCCTCAGCACAGCCTCAAAAATTTAGTTGAGCTACTGCGAGCTTGGTCATGGCGCACTAATAGGCACGCTGGTCGGCCGACCTTCCGAGCCAAGACAACAGCGGCACCTCAGCCGGCGGGGCCAACGCCTTGGTCTTCAGCTGGACGGCCAATCACGACAGACAGTACGGCCTGGCGAGAGTTCCTCAAGGAAGAAAACAGGCAGCTTAGCTTGACCTGGGGGGAGCAAGTCAGCTTCCAAATTCGATCTGCCATCTCTAAACAAACATCCGAGACGAAAATGCGGGGATAAGCTGCGCAAGGTGCCTGAGGTGCAGAAACGGTCCAATCAGCATCAGTGGCTGTGAGCTAGATGCCCCTTGATGGCGTTTGGACTGACGACATAGACTTTTGATCCTTTCGTTCGAAATAATCGCGCTGTATGGCGCGAGACGAATCGAGCACGTAACATATTGCCCGTTGGGTCCTGCTCACTTAATCCTTCGTGATGCATTCCTTTTGCGGAAGGCAATGAAACGCTGAATGGCGGTTAATACGGTATGAAGCGCGAACACTAGGTACAGCAGCTGCCCCCAACCAACTCAGGTATAGGATTCAAGCAAGCATACAGGATGGATGCAACTTTGAAGGGGTTTCCAGCACCAATACTGACTGCATGTGTCAAAAATAAGACTAATTTCAAAGCAGGCAGGCAATGGTTAGCTACTAGGTAGGTAGTACGCCTGTGAGCCAAACGGATAGAACGGGTTGAGACATGCGGTTTAGTGCAGCCGTATTTGACTTTCATGCAGAGTCGACTATGGGGCGCGGGCTAGAAACCACACACCTAGCATCGTGATGGGGTTATACAAGTTAGGACCCCTGCTTTCCAAGCCAAGCTGGAACTTGTTGGTTCTGTAGATCGACATCATGACTTCGTTCTGTCTTACGACGCAAAGCAGTCTAATTGAGGGTGTAGGTGGCCACCGCCAGGTCTTTAAAGTAGGTCCTCTCTGGAAATAACGCCTTTATAAATGCTTGTGGTAGCTCCATGTCCCCATCTTATGTTCCTGAATCTACAAACAAACTCATACTATCCGGCCGCTTCGTTTAAAGTATTGCACTTTGAGCCCGCGTGGAACCAATCAGCATAATGCAGCTCAAGAGAATTCTGCCCTTGGCTATGGCCAGCGTAGTCGCAGCGCAGGATCAGAATACCAGTCTGACAGATGCACTTGGAGCTCAAAACTCAAGCTTGTCGGCGCTCAATGGTAAATGGCTCCCAACAAGGTGACTTGTGTATTGTTCACGCATACTGAATACACATGGCTAGGACTCCTCCAAAGCAGCGGACTCGCCCAGCAACTTGACCAATTGAGCAATGTGACAATTCTGGCCCCTAACAATGATGCCTTGAGCTCATTACTGAATAATTCAGACGCTGCATCGGCTCTGTCCGACTCCGGCGCCGTGGATGCCCTGCTGTCTTACCATATCCTAAATGGCACATACTACGCCGATAGCTTCACTAACACATCCATCTTCATTCCAACATACCTCACCAACAAGACGTATGCCAACGTCACTGGAGGTCAGCGGGTTGAAGCCAGAGTTTCCGACGGCAACGTCACAATCTTCTCGGGCTTGAAGCAAAATGCAACGGTGCTAACACCTGTAAGTCTGCAAATACCACAAGATATGTGAGCATCCAATTGTAACTAATATGTCGTTTAGAACCTGAACTTCACCGGTGGTGTCATTCACATTATGTAAGTGGTCAATATCTGTGGTGTCCTTACCTTTTTCATGTTTTCCTAGAAGCGCCTATCTTTGAGATTTCCCGGTCCCGTAATTTGGTCTTGGGAAATCCCTGCCTACGTGGTAGCGGTAGCTCAAGCACTTGGTGGAAATTTCTATACATGATGAAAAATTGAGAGAAGCTAACATATTTCTACCCACCAGCGACTCAGTCTTATCGGTCCCCCAGAACCTCACAGCCACGTTGTCTAATGCAAACCTCACCGCGGCTGCCGGTGCCATCACGACTGCAAACATTCAGGACACTGTCAGCTCCCTCATGAATGTAACAGTCTTCGCACCAAATAATGAGGCCTTCAACGAAATTGGTAGCATCCTAGCCAACCTATCTACGGATGACCTCCGTAGCACTCTTGGATATCATGTTGTCGAGAACACCGTCGCCTACAGCTCAGACATTCAGAACTCGACCCTGACAGCTTCGAACGGAGACGAGCTCAATATTTACAACATCAATGGAAGTGTCTTTGTCAATGCCGCACGGGTCACGATCCCCGACTTGCTTGTCAGCAATGGTGTTGTACACGTTATTGATCAGTATGTTTCCCACAATTGGGAAGATGAATTTAATTTTCCCGCTACTGACATTATCGCAGGGTTTTGAATCCAAGCAACTCTACTGCCACTCCGGATCCTTCTGCTACCAGTGCAGGACCCGCATACTCGGGCGCTTCTAGCGGTTCCTCTGGTGTTCCTTACACCAGTGGCGTCGCTACGCCTACAGGCACCAACCCGGCGCAGACGTCAGGAGGCAGTGCCTCTTCTACCACCAGCAACCCTGGTGTGCCAAGTACGTATATTCCTTTCACCTATCATGCCATTGCGACAAAGTCGCCGTGGAACCTTTACTCTGTGAAATATACAATAATCTGGACTGCTGCTGACCTGGACGGTTACAGTGAAAACCGGTGCCGTTGGTGCTGCTGCTCTCTTTGGTGGTGCGGCCATGCTCGTGAATTTTTGATATGGCCACAGTAGAGCAAGCTTTTTGAATTATGGTTTATCGACTACAGGCGTGATGTATCAGGATGGATCCATCTTTGGAGCCGGATTAATGACATGATGGGGGTGGGTTTGTCCTAATTGTAGTCTATCCTTAGGAATTTGCCTCTTGTAGGACTAATTTACTTGACTTCTTTTATTGATTTAATTAGATCTTTGCATCCTGTCAAAACTGGTCAGGCAACATCGGCCACCCTCCATTTCAGGTAGCAATAGATCTCCACTGCTGCACTTCAAGCTCCGAGATCTCTCTCAACTTGCCAATCTCCGGTGGGCTACCTGTCAGTGCTCCGCGCGCGACCTCTGCGGCTCTAGTAACAGCCGTCTTGTTGGTGAGTAGGTAGGTGGCGGTCGACGTGCGGACACGAATAACGCCGAGGCGGGGATCGTTTTTGGAGCCATCGTGCTTCCCGTCACCCAGATCACCTAGCCAGGCCTTTAGACTGGAGCTGTAGTACTTCTTGACAGTCTCACGATCTGTTTCGACATGTGCGTCCCCAGCGATGGATGCCCATTGGCCCGACGAGTCGATAAAGGAGATGTTAACGTGCGGATCCGCTGCCAGCTCGTCCGTCTTGTGCGATTCCGTGTTCGTCGTGAATACGAGGTCGATGTCACCGGCTTCCTATATTGTAGAGTGGTACATTGTAAGCTTCATTGGAAATTTGCCCGAATCAAACAGAAACGAGTTGGCAATATTATAAGTTGAATGTTGACGTACTTTGCCCGCCAATGCCATGGCACGAGAGACTAGCTTCCCCGTTTTGACGTCGCGTGTTGTCATCATGCCAAACTTGCGTGAAGTGATAAACTCGCTGAGATCCTCAATCTTCTGCTTGAGGGGCACATTACGGTCAATGTTTGCAGCAGTGGTAGGATCGGCTGTTTTTCCAGCGGTGTTGGTATTTGAGAACGTCGACATTTTGCGTTTCCTTTGAAAAAAAAAAAAAAAAAGTGGCTGATACCTGTCGCAATGGATTGTTGTCGATTGTTGTTATGAAGGAGTAGGCGTTGAGAGTAGAGCCAGGTTAATTGTTGATGAATCGAGGCAAGCTCAGGTCCGTACAAATAAAGACGTGCGTAGTGCGAAGCTACGTCATGATTTTATAGTTTTGGGGACTTGTTCTTGTCCCGCAAACCTCCTTTGAATGTCAGAATGACGTGGCTGTACCAGGACAATCTCCAAAGAGTAAAGCAACTCCCTAGGGGCTGAGTTGAAAATGAATAAGGGCAATATATGTCCTTATTCGCTATTACCAATATAAGTCTCAACATCCACGCTCTGACTATACTATTGCGCTGACTCGACTCTCCCTTGATGCCCCACTTGGTTCACGCTGGGATCTCGGTACCTGGCCTAAGTGGTGGGGACGTATTAGTAGGTACATGGTATATGCTCGTAAATCTCCACGACACATGTCACCACCCCTTGCCTACACAAGGGGAATCTATCTTATACTAAATTTCCATTCATTCGTTGTTTAGTTTCTTCTTTTTTCTTTTCTTTCAACTCGCTAAATGATTAAATGAAGTTCTGCTTGTATTTATTCTTCTCGTACAGCTAAAGGTACGCCTTTAGTTGATCATGCGCTCAGGCGATGCCCTGTTTCCTGCCTCGAACACAATTATACTTCAGCAATTAATAATCACGCGAGGTAATGACTGTTGGGTACCATGTCGCCATGGTGCATCTATACATTATCATCGAATCATTCAGCTTGGGGCTCTCATAAGTAGGTACGTACTCCATCACATGTGCTGTGTTAGTGGGAGCTCAGAGGCCCATGCCGTCTAAGGCCAGCCTTTCCCATAGCATACGGCAATATCATATGCTATGTGCCAGAATTTGGACTGAGGCTGGTGAAAAGTGCGAGTTGCGATGGGAGCTTTGCGTTATCAATAGTAATGGTAGACGACTGCAACACCTTATGCTTGAGGAGCATCCCGGCGGTGAGCATGCCATCCCGTTGTCGTGGGAGGTCTGGTGGATGGAATGGATCGTTTCAGAAATCCGTTGTGTAAAGGCCCAGGGGCTAACGGTCGAGAAACTAGAACGTTATTGCAGATCTTGGAATTAGAAGAGTCAGGGCCAGTCCTCATCACGATTTATCGCGGGCTGCAGGCTTGGGATTCATGACACTATCTAAATACATGCGCAACTTTTCTATCATGGGCGCTAGATCTATGCATCGTGGTGAATCCTTTTACCACGCTTTAGACCAACTAATTGGAGGATCTCTGTCCAGAATCCCACTGGAGGCTCGTTGAAGCTGGCTTCATACGCTTCAACAATCGGTCGCTCCCAAACCAAGTCAGCCTCACTTGGCCGTATGATCTTAGTTCGGTGGATGAGCTTCCAACTGAAGAAGAGAACAGGCGCGAGGATGACCATGGTATAGTAAATAAAGAAGTTCTCCACACTCCAAGGCACGAAACTGGAGTAACCGTAGCAGAAGACAACGACGGTCATGCCACATAGGCTAATCCAGGCGCAGTACGGCTGGCCCCATCCGTGATAGGGAAACGTGCGTCGATCCACACCCTGAGCCTTGCAGGCGTAGTAGAAGAAGAGGTACGTGGTACTCATGACAATGTAGTCGATGATCCCGCCAGCCGTAATCAGGTTCACGAGCCAAGTCAGGACTGTGCCAGAGCTGCTAGAGACCGAGAGAAAAGAGAGGAAAGGGAAAAGCATGACAATCGCGAAGCAATAAATCGGTACACCGTTCTTTGTACATTTGCGCAAAAACTTCGGCGCGCGACCTTCCAATGCTAGGCCGTACAAGTTGCGCGATGCACAATAGGTGTAGGTATTGCCAGCGGAAAAAATACTCGTCAGCATGAGGGCATTGGTCAAATGAGGGAGACCGTTGATGCCAAGGTTTTTCATGGCAATGACATCTAGACACCAGTCGTTAGCCGTTAATTTCCATCATATTATGATCAGAAGCTTGAGAAGCTGAAGAGTGCCGTTCATTCTTTCCCGATTTTCACCAAAAGAATCGCTTAGAAACACGGGCATTTAGTACTTACAAGGCGAGGCAGCGGCTGTGCCAGATCCTCCTGTGCTGCCGTCGTAGATACCAACGAGAGTCTCATCATCATAGGGAATAACGATGCCGACGCAGAGGGCACCCAGGATGAAGAAGATGCCGAATCGCCAGTAGACAGTCTTGAAAGCGGACTTGATGTAGATAGAAGGGCGCTTTGCCTCGGCAGCCACCATGGCGATGTACTCAGGCCCCACAACGGTAAAGGAGGCTGACCACAGAGCGGCCAGGAAGCCTTCGAAGCGACCGAGGTCACCGCCTGCGAGGTAGGTGTTGAAAGCGCCAGGATCAGACCAGTATCGAAACCCATAAGCGTCGTGCTGCGGATTGGCGCCACACATGGTGAACAGGGTGAAGAAGAAGAGGATAAAGATCAATATGACCTTGCCACCAGACAACCAAAATTCTGCTTCTCCATAGGCCTCTACAGCCAAGACATTCAAGAGACTTGAGATCTGTTAGTCGATATTCTCGGTTCAGCTTAAAGAGTGTAACCCACCCATAGAGGACAATACAAGCTGCGCACACAGCGGCAACAGGTATGTCGTCGCGCCAATACGTCAAGACAAGATTCAAAGCGGTGATTTCAAAGGGAATGAGGAGTGCTTCGTAAAAGAAGAAGTTCCAGCCAGCCATGAAGCCAAAGGCATCATCAACCCACTTTCCGGCCATTCTGATAAAGCCTCCACTGACAGGATGCAGCGTAGCCATCTCAGCCATACCATTGTTTACCAGGGCGAGTAGGCAACTGTAAAAAGTATAACCGAGGAGCAAACTGGCAGGACCGCCATTTTTCAGACCACTACCGATACTGACGAAAAGTGCTGTTCCAATGGAACCACCAATGGCAATGAGCTGGATTTGGCGGTTGCCGAGGTGGCGCTGCAGTTGGTCTGCATTGTCAGAAGTACCGTGCTGAATGTCGGATGTGGGAATGGCTTCCTTGGAATCGGAAGGGGGCCCTTGATGGGACGCATTCGGGGACAGGTCCTTCATCTTCTCCAAGGGCTTTCTTTTTTGGTGGAAATCCGGGGAAGATGGAGTTGACCAAAAGAGAAGAAAACCGGCAACTTCCCTCGTCTCACTACGTTTGAGCAAGAAGCGTACTTTGGCTGGAAAACCAAGACGGCGCGCGACCGAGGGCAGCGGTACCTTCTTAAGGTAGCGTACGGGCTTGTACGACTACCTCTTATCCACAATAGCGGGACGGCCTCCGCCGCCGATGAGGAGCCTTTGGGAGGCCCTTGACCCCATTTTGCTCGGCGGGCTAAGGCAAGGCCAGGGCAGTGAAGTGAGTGAATGGGACACGCCCTGACGCCTCCAGGCGAAATGGAGTCCCGTCTGGCACCGCGCGTGCAACATGCTCTCGGTGCATTCTCATCCTTGAAGCTGCAGATCTAGCACCCAACTAAGACTAGACTGAATCCTGGCTTTCTAGGGAGTGAACCTTGGCAAGCTGGAAATGTCATACGGCATCAGAAACCGGTCACGTGTAGGCTCTGGTATCTATCTCTTCTTCTTGGTCTTCCTCTTCATGCTTATCATCTTGATGCTACTTGGCATATGAAGGACTCCAGTACCCACGGAGATGGCCGGGGTTGGTTCGGGCAAGGCCATCCAGGCGCGCGGGGGAATTTGGGGGAATTTCCTGGAGATCTCAAAACTATGACTTAGCCTGAGGCAAAGTCTTTGTCTCGCAGAAGCTTGTAGGCGTAGCCGACGGGTATTACAAGTTGTGGATGGTTGGCGCAAGACAACTAGGGTCAATGCAAGAACTCTCATTGGCTCTCGCATTACCAAACGCTATTCACTTTGGGCATAGTCACACGACACCAAACAGCAGCAAGGCCAAGGATCTCAAGGATCATGTCATTCTCGGTCTCCTATGGAGTACAAAGACATTAATCGCGCAAAACGTGCTGCAGTCATTCCTACTACTACTTATAAAGTTGGTATTATCTATTTGGATTTTTGCCGCCCCGAGACGCTTGTTCGGCTGTATATAACCAACAGGCGTAACGTTCCAGTTTTCTTGTGGCGGCTGGGCCACAGGATAATTCAGTGCACGAGTAGTATGTAGTTCATGGCCAGAACAAGGCTGTCTGCCACCACCCAAACCTCCTCGTCACGGCCGTGCTAAAAGGCGGCACGTTGCGTATAATACCGAATACACAAGGGGACGCGGTAAGAATGCCGGGTCAGGGATTGAATGCTTGGCGCTGCAATATTGGTGAAGCCCAAATTCAGGCATGACGTACTTAGCGAGTCTGACTAGACGAGACTCGGACAGAGTCCGAGTAGTGGGATTTGTTGTACGTACAATTATCTGGTTGATGCTCATGGAAGGAAGGGATGGAATTGCAGAACCATGCCCTTTAACTGATTGGATCAAATAGATTGACCGAGGTCCTATCTTTTTGCACAACTAATGCAGATAGTTACATTGGAGGATGCCGTTTTTATATGTAGTACTGCGCATGCTAATAGTCTAATACCCACGACAACGTTGGCCAATTCTTTTCATGTTGTTATATCACTTGACAAGTCCCATTCTACGTCCACAAGATAATCCTTTGAGGCTGAGTATGCCTTATCAAGTCATCTACCCACCATAACCTAGAACTCAACACTTTACCCACACATGCTTTCTCTCTATCCTATCGGCTGCCTCAAGCCTTACCTCTTATCATCCTCCGCATATGGTTATCTACGAAGTTGGGCCCGCCACTCTTCTTTGCCCTGCATCTCGACAGGGGCATTCAAGCTAGTAGTAGGACCATCGCGATCAATCAGACGGCAACACTGATGCGCTTGTTCATCAGCAAAAGCTAAATACACCAGCCAAGCCTCAGCTGTGCCCTTGGCCTCATTTCCCCAATATCTATTCCGGAACGCCATAGCCGAAACCTCCATCTCCGGCTACCAGGCTGGGTGCATGATCAGTGCATGATCATGGTCTGTACAGAGTACTCAACCGTACGGACAATGCACATCTGTACCGATAAGGCCTAGGTCCCAGTCTGGCGGGCTTCAGCGCAGCTTTCGCCCGCGGCTCAGCGTGCCGTGCCGTACTAGTATAATATGCAGAAAGATCATATTTCTTATCGCATCTACGCTTGCCCGCATTTCCGAAGCAGTCTTGCTGCAACAGCTGCTTTGCACCTACATGGTAGATGAGTGATTACTTTCATCTTGGAAGTACATAGCATGCATCACTCGCGAGTACTCTATACATGTGGCTGCCTTTGGGCTTGGTCTTCAATAACAATTGATTGCTTATAGTCATCAGTTATAGGACTCCATATAATCTCTGCTCACTCAACGACAATTTGTAGACTCCTAGCCACTGAAATTTTCGTGCTGACCCTTAGTACCTACCCCGATAGATCTTACAGAAGCCAGGGGGTGTCCGCACGCGCGAATTGACATGAAAGCTCTTGGTCTGTTTAAATGCCAAATTCACCAAAGCAATCTCTTTGAAAGAGGGAATGTTGTCTCCCAGTTGAGCTGTATTCGTGGATCTCGTCCAACATTTCTTGATCCGGCGCCGTCGTGCGCAGCCGTATGAATTGGAGATTAGTCACTCAAAATGAGATGATCATAATTAGACCCCTATGAGAATGGCAGCAGTGGCCAAAATGATACAAACGACGTCCAATACCTCAGTCATGTCTGTGCAAAAACCCCCCTTTTCACAACGCCAGATACAGCTCGAGTCCAAGTATCATGATGACGTGATCTGGCTCATACAGAAACATACCTGTAAAATCTATTTCGATGAAGAATTCATCAAGTGTAGGTGCACTGGAAAAGGCTTGTTGCTGTCATGACTTTCGTGCACTTAAGAAGCTCTAAGTAGTACCTAGCATAGCGTGCTCAGTACTGCGGGCGCGAATCAGTCAAGTATATTCCGTATGTGTAGCTGGAGCGGTGAGGCACGATATCAAGATCCTGTTAAGCTAAATACCAAGGATTAAGGATTGGATTACAGTCAACAAGCTTCTCATCGGTACCTTCTGGGAGCAAGACTTGCAGCTGCCAAGACAATCTCATGCTGTTGATCGCGGCCTCTTTTTAAGAAAGAGGCCGCCTGCTGAGATAGTGTCATATTCATGGAAGTAAAGGTTGAGGCCGCGTCCCATGACCTCAAATGAGAGCACGGAAAGAATGATTTGTTCTCAATCCACTGCTTGTTCCATAACGATACAGTCCTTCAAGGTGATGCTTTGATAACGGCTAGGCCTTGTAAGCAGATGGAACTACCAATTACATTGGCCATAGTACCTTGTCTGCTAAAAAGGTCTTGCTTTCCTACGCTCACTCATGCGCGTGGAATTCGTGCTGCAGCTCACTTACTTGCATTCGAAAAAGGAACACCTGGGAATGATCTATCATGTGCTTAGTTATTAAACAAATGCTTCTGACCTAGACCCCCAAACGCCCCTCTGCTGAAAGCCCATGTCTTTTATCGTTTCAATAAGTCGTTTATGTTGATCTGCCGGCCGCCCCCTTGTTGAAGGCTTTGCTGCATCATCTGTGCCTGCAAGACGAGAGCCTCCTTAGTGGCGTGCCACAAACGCAGGATGGCGCTGGTATGTGTCTCGCGTCTGTTATCTGACGAGTCATGTATGTAGAGGCCCCAGACCTTGGGTTCGCCGTTACTGCCCATGGTCTCTATGTAGAGCATATCGCCTGATTGCTCAAAGTTGGTGACAGTCGCCAGATCCAATCTTAGATTATCCGTGCTCTTGCGATTCAGTATGAAGACGCTGTTCTGGACCTCGCTACTGTTGAGCTGGCAAGTAAACAGAGGCCCCTCGATGTTGGCCTTTTCAAAACCGGCGACATCGCTGGTGGAATCGTATGCGTATACAACTGCGTTGGATGCAATGCTGTAAATTTGTGTGAGAGAAGGTATGTAGCGCCTCAGCACAGTTATATTGATCTCGTCGTTGGATCGTTGGGCAAGGGCGGGATTGGGCAAGGCTGCGTGAGCAGCCATGTAGCTCGCAGTGTCGGACTCATAGTCGGACGTGATCTGGTTTGCTGAAACCGCAGCTTGCGCAGCAAGATGTTGGGACCGTGTTCTTTGATGGGCCTGCGAAGGAGGGTGTGCATGGTTGGCTGAGTTGTTCTGTTGGTGATGGCGCTTCCTGCGCGGGGTGGAGGACATTATGAAGGTCCCTTTTCGTAGACGGCTGATTCGGTAGGGGGGCGGCAAAAGGGTATCTATTCTGTGTTGATGAAGATAAAGTTGTTGGCGAGGAAATAAAGATGTATGAGTCGTATGGTTGTGCGCGGCCAGAGAGGTTTTGCGACAATATTCTTCTGTGTGAGGTGAAAGTTGGGTGGAAATCGGGTACCTGGCAGTTGCTGGTAATGTACCCATCCCCAAGGTAGCTTCGCGATGAAGTTGAAGCTTGGGGTCAATCCATGGCTTTTGGTTGATGCGCCTTCCAATGAGCTGCCGCCGATAGGCCCAGCTTATCGATGGTCTGAGTGCTGGCTTTGGGCATGGGTTTGGTGCAGTTCAACTAATAAGGGCTGCCTGTCAACTGTGCACGACAGTGAATACAGGCCCTATCTCAGCAATATGCGACTTGCCGCTCTTGTGCTTAGTTTTCGTGGAGGCGCATCCAAGAAAGAGATCATTTGAACAAAACCGAGAGTTGATATCTAATGTAAAACCTTTATATATAATGTAAAGCCTAGATTTCTTCATGTTCCTTTTCTGCGACACGACTTGATTTTTGCTGTTACCTCTCAACTGTTGCAAAGGACCCGCCAGCTACCCCTCCTACGTCACCGCAGCCGCTCAATTGTTGCGACGGGGTTCTGTTCGGCACCTTGTGACCAGCCGTAAGAGTCAAGTTCTGCTCTGGAATTTTGATGCCCACGCGACTTGCTTGACACTGGCTATGGTGCTGCTTTTACGGCCAACAATGATAGATTCAGCATAGTTTACGTTCGTTCTTCTTCAGTCATATCACCCTCTCCTTCGCGCCTTCGTATCATCACACATGACGCGAATGTTTTGAGGATCGTCGCACAGCCATAAAAACTCGTCATGGCCGCCGATGGCAGCGCTGCTCAGCCGTCAGTGCCGGAGCCAGAAGATTTCGATCAAGACTTGAATCATGCTACACAACATTCGCTGTCCAGCGCCGTTCATGCGCGCAAATCGGAGTTCGTAAGGCCGCACCGGATACGCATCAAGATTGGATCGTGGAATGTGGCCGCTTCGCCAGGAACGGATAAGGACCTTGCGAGCTGGTTCGTGGAGGGTAGAGGCTTAGAGCCGCATTTCGATACCCATCTTGCCGACCAAAGCCTGAAGGCAAGCGGAACACTCGAAGACGATACCGGCGATGGTAGCAATGGTGACGATGAGGATGGCGACACACAGAGTCAGGATAAGACTTACGTCAACGTGTCGAGCAAGAAACGAAGCGAAAAAACTTCCGAAGCCGAATCGCACACCGATGACGATCCAGACAATGTTAAGATTCGTCTTGTGGGAGGCTCCGATATTGGCCTGTATGTCTTGGGACTTCAGGAGATCATATCGCTCAATATCATCGCCGGTTATGCAGACACAACAGCAACAGAAAAGTGGCAGGCGGCCCTCGAAGCCGCAATGCCGCCATACTACAAGCTGATCGCGTCGCAGCAGCTGTCGGGTCTTTTGCTTCTGATATATGCATCACCAGATGTTGCAGCAACCATTTCGAATGTGTCGACTGTCGCAGTCGGTACTGGATTGCTTGGGTATATGGGCAATAAGGGCGGGGTGTCGACACGTATTGTGATGGGCGAAACGACGAGAATTGTCTTCACCAACAGTCACCTGGCCTCCGGCCACGACCAAACAAATCTCGAGCGCCGTTGGTGGGACTATAATCGGATATTAGCACAGACTCAGTTCAGCCCTATCAGTCATAGTGCCATCCCTCAAGAAGAAGGCGAGAAGATCGGAGACGAGGATTTTGCATTTTGGTTCGGTGATCTGAACTTCCGTCTAGACGGGCTGCCTGGGGATGACATACGCCGTCTTCTTATGCTCCATACTAGAGGTGAATATGGTGCGAAGAAGGAAATTGGCAAATCTATGTCTGATGAGGATGGTGTCATCATTATGCACAACAAGGATGACGCAAGCTCAGATGGCACCAATACGCCAGGCATGGTCTCTCGAGAAGCGAGTTTCGACCAGGGCGATGATGACAAGGAGGAGCTCCCTGATCCAGATGACTTTGTCCCAGATCCTCACGATGATCCGGCTTCTCTTCAGGCCACGCTTGACTCTTTGCTACCTCATGATCAGCTTGCGCAGACTATTAAAAAGCGAAAGGCATTTCACGAGGGTTGGTCCGAGGGTCCCATCACGTTTCTCCCTAGTTATAAGTACGACATTGGGACCGTCGGATTGTTTGACTCTTCAGAGAAACGCCGTGCTCCAAGTTGGTGCGATCGCATCCTGTTCCGGACAAAGACGGATCTGGATAATTACAGGACGAAAGTCGTGGAAGAGGCGGAGGCCAAAAAGCGAGATGAAGATATGAAGAAACGAGGCATCGACACGGCAGCGGACGACGAGAGCGTTCTATTCGACTATGATCCGGACAAAGACGTTTCCTCTTCCTCGGTCAATGATAACGCTTATGATTATGATGAGTACGACGATGGAAATGAAGAAGCTGAGGGTGAAGGTCAAACTGTGTTCACAAGAGAGGGCTTTGAGGATCATATCCGTCTGGATCTCTACACAACACACCAGCGTATAACTAGTAGCGACCACAAGCCAGTAGTGGCGCTGTTCACACTTGACTACGATGCCGTCGTCCCGGAACTCAAAGCCAAAGTCCATGCCGAAGTGGCTCGAGAGTTGGATCGAGCAGAAAATGAGGGAAGGCCCGGCATCACAATTGTAGTCGACACCAAGGAGGGAGGCCATCATGAAGATGAAGGCGATGATGGAAGTGGCGGTGTCGATTTTGGTAACGTGGCATTCTTGCAGCCTTCAACGAGATCGCTTACGATTGCGAACACTGGCGGTGTACCTGCAACAGTCAGTTTTGTTGAGAAGCCAGGCATCGAAGACGATTCGGACGACACGACCAGGAATTCTGATACCGAGTGGCTGAGCGTTTCGTTGCATCACTCCCCCGACACCATGCTTCAAGATAGCGAGACTCAGTCCAAGAAGGAGACGCACGAAATTGTGCTCGAACCGGGGGAAACAGCCTCGGCAACTCTCGCTATCTCGGTGGCTTCGATTTCTCTCCTACGGTCTTTGAACTCTGGCACTGCATCCTTGGAGGATGTACTGGTGCTTCGGGTTGCTGATGGTCGGGATCATTTCATTCCAATACGCGCCGAATGGACACCAACTTGTTTCGGACGAAGTATCGAAGAGCTGATTCGTGTCCCGCCACGGGAGGGGGGACTTCGAGGCTTCATTGAGAACCTTCAGAGGGAGGAAAAGGACGTTGGAAAAGATTGGAAAGGCGGCAGTATTCCGTACAGCCTAGACGTTCACTCTTCGTCGCCTCCCGAGCTTTACAAACTGACAGCAGCGGTTGAGGCTCTGTCAGAACGAGTAATTGCGGACGAGACCATGGTTCAAGAGGACGCTGTGAGAGTCCCACGAGACAAGGCAGGGTGGCCATTTGCCGAAAAGCATCCTTCAACGGACCAAGAGAGTGACCGCAGCACTCATCTTGCGTCCATCATTCGCGCGCTGGACACTGATAATCCCACCAATCTCCTAGATGCTGTTCCCAAGACGGAGATCTCAACCCTTGTAAAACTCGAAATTTTTGCCGACGCTTTGCTCATCTTTCTGCGATCTCTCACTGACGGTATCATACCTGCTCATTTATTTGCGAAAATCGAAATGTCTCTCCCATCACTTGGTTCCAGCTCTACAAGTACGAGATCAGCTCAGGAAATTGAGGATGACAAGAGTGCTATTCTTGACATTTTGTCTGCAGCACCGTACAACAACATCTCATTTGTCTTCGTTACGAGCATGTTGGCAAAATTGGCCGCAGACGTGACGCCTCTCAACACAAAAGAACTTGAGATACTAAATTCGGATGTCAAGAGTAGGGGCAAAGCCCGAAGTCTGAGCTTCAGAAAGAGCATATTGGGCGCGGCTGGATCTGGCGTGGATCAAGCCGCACTTCAGAGGCGAACTGGTTGGGAACGAAGGGTTGCAGAGATTTTTGGACCTGCTGTGTGCCGGAGCGGCAACGCTGGTGGCGACAAGAACAAGGAGAAGGACAGGAGGGCGAGCGAGGTACGGATGGCCGGTGTGATAGAGATATTTCTCAGGAGAAGAGATGTGAATCGATAGAGTCCAGAAATTCAGTAAGGCAGCATATATAGTGTGATATAATGTTTGTCGTTTTCTATCACATCAAGCTTCCCCAACACTCCTTTGGCCGGGTTTCACACTATCCAACGGCGATTGAAGTAGGCAAATTGTAATGAGAGACAGAACTTGCACGCCAACCCAATATTTGGTACAGTTGCTCAGTTGTCGCACCACGAGGGATATTGTCTTCTACTATTAGAGTTGCTTTTGTTTCTTTTCTTTTCTTGCTCGCAGCGGGCAAAAAGAGTTTCCCTTGGCCATTCTTCATACTTCTAGAGTGAAATTAGAGAGAATATAGGAAGTACGTCTTCTGAATTCCCAAGTCATACTCTTGTATATATGGCCAGCCTCGACCACTCAGCTCGCTTCGCTTTGGTAGCGTATTCCTTGGATTATATCACAATTACTTTTCTTATGGAATTAGTTCTCTGACCAGGTGGTAGATGTGGCGCGCAGTCGCTGGCCATGTATACCCACCCTTGAAAAATTACAGCAAAATGGCGATGGACTGGAGGTACGGCCAGATGGAAAGCGTGACAATTTGTAGCCGTCTGGATTCTCTTCTATTAACTAACTTGAGTTCACGTCCGGCTCTGTGATCGTCAGATTCGGCGGCTCCTTGATCGACATAGATTCTCTCTGGGGTGCATAGGTACCATAGTTTTACGTTGCGACTAAGCACGCATAGGTTTAGTTGACCCTGATCAGCACTCAGTTATTGCAAAGACCACGGCCTGAATAATGGCACAGAGAGATATTGTCTCTTGATTGACTCGCGGTCAGGGACGGTCAGGAGCTAAATAAGCGGTTCCTGGGGCTTAGGTTGCTTCCAAGCATCGGTCAATATTCCTGAGGACAAGACCATCTTTGCATCCAAAAACATGCAGACGATATCGGCCACAGCATACCAACAGTCATGGCCAGAGAGTCGCACCGCACAGGAGCCGCGTAACCGGTGCACTCTACCCAGCCGAACGGCCGACCTTGCCGGCATGTGGCCAGGTTAGAAAACAACAAATACGATGTGGTAATAATTTTGAACAGTCAAATGCCTGGAAGCCAATCAGCGCTCGAGCGCAAAACTGAAAAAATGACCATGCCTTGTACGAAGTATCTAATCTATGAAAAGCGAACGGTCCCCTGCAAGATCAAATCATTCTTTTGGGCAAGATCAAGTCTATCATTCGACGGACAGGCACCCTGTCTTGACGCTAGTGAAATCCATCAACAGGTGGGCTTCATTCTCGAAATTGGCCAGTGTGACGGTCGGCGGGAGCTAAGCAAGCACCAAAGAAAGCGAGCATGATTCCAACACACACGCTTTTGCCCAACTTCCCCAAAGACTTTCTTGTGGGTGTTCTGGTCGAAAGGGGGTGTGGGTTCTTCTTGGTAGGCTTGATGGTGTGCTGCTGCTGCGGCTGATTTTCGTGTGGGAAACAACCGCATATGTGTCGAGATAAGACCAACGATCCCGACAGACTGGTCACTGGTCACTGGCAGCAACTAAAATCACCTATCTTAAAGGTAGCGCGTGGGTGAAGGGTCCCGTTTCGGGTATTACGTACAGAGTTTCATGGTAAAGCAGATCGTAGGGCAGAAGGAGTGGTAACCATTACTTAATGGAAAAGAGGCTTATATCAATCTTCAACGACATGTCTAGATTTGTTGCAAACAGTGCGCCATTAGAATCAACGGGTTGCATGGAAAAGTAGGAAATTGAGATCGATTTCCCCGTGTCGTGCGCGAGATTGAGAGGGACCAGCTCGCCGGGCCGCCGGGCGAGAGCTTGGAGAGGCGACATTGAGGTATCGGCGCCAGCGGGCCCCTGAATAAGGTACATTAAGGTACGTACGACGAGCAACATTGGCCGCCTAGGAAAATCAAAGCCCACGGGTACGAGTGAGGTATAAACAACATCGATGAGAAGACTTATGCCTCTGCTTAATTCCGTTCTACTCTAGTAGTTGTCGGGTTTCTCTTTCGCCCCCTCCAATTACAAGATGCCTACAAAACCTGCCGTGCTTGCCGCCAAGTTGTGGTTTTGTTGACCAGTTTCTTTCCACTAAATCCACACGCCATAGTGCCTCGCGCGCCGTTTGCCCTGATCATATGCTGTCGGGATTCAAAAGTCGCTGCCCAGTGGGTAGGTATGTAGGTCTGTCGGCTGATAGGTGTATCTCATGCATACGCCATGCCGCCCGCCATCTACGCCGAAGATCACAAAAGTCCCCAGAATGATCAAAGATTGAACAGTTTGAAACGCGGAATAATGTACGTTATGACCAAACGAGATCCACGTGTATGCTGTACAGTAGGTCCGGGAGACGTGCCTTGCCGTGCGTACATATACTTCCTTGAAGCTATCCTGGAGAAAGCAGTGCGCCTACAGCGAACAGACTCTTGTCGGCTGCCCTGAGCGCCTGTGACTAATGTACACACAGCACACACAGCACGCGCTGCATTTGTTCAGACCCACGGGAAGTCGCATCGGAAATCGGTCACTGTTTCGAGAAAGGTGTTTTGCTGGTTGAGTAGGTACATCTTCCGCGTCCTTGTCCGCTCCTCTACCTAACAGGTAAGCGAGGAGAGGAGCAATGAGGATTCGAGACGAATGAAGGTGTCTCAATGGGCTGCTACTTTGTTTCTAGGGTCCTGGTCCAATTGCCCAGGCCCATTCGCCCCGGCTTATGCAGCGTCGTCTGCTATTGGTTCTTGGTTTTTCTTATCTCTACGTCTAGTGGATCCCGGGAAGCTTGGCGGCTTACCGAAATGCAAAGCTCGTCTTGCCATGACCCTAGGCAGGCCAGGCAAGTCGACTTTGCTTGGGATGTGAAACGATAGGGAGGGAAAAAAAAAGATATTTGGCGCGGACGACAACTTTTTGATGAATATAGATGGAGATTAATACTACTATGGAATCGAACAACGGTAGGAACACTTGTGTAATCGCCCTATTTGACGCAAAGAATACAGCCGGCTGGCTAGCCACGTTCGCCCAACAGTCACTTACCATGTGGCCAGAAAACCAATAGTTCAACCCTTGACTCCATGAGTATGCTGGTGTGGCCTATTGCCTCCATTATTTGAGGATCCAAGGATGAATACGCACTTCGTTTTGGGGCGACTCAAGCCAATCCTAGCGACAGAGGGTATGTGTCAATTTGGTATAATCCCAGATCAAGTACAAAGCATTCGGTAGCTACCCTAGCTTCAAGGGCTTGAAACATTATACACGACGGCGTAATGGTATTATCTGGGTTATCGATATATAAAAATATGCTATAGAGAAAATCCCCGTACTACTTGGATCAAGAAACGTCTAGACTTACTGCTTTGTTTCACCATTGTTCATCCATTCATGGCGATTGAGCGGGAAAAATTAAGAAATGAAGTTGAACTTCTTGGGGATTGTCAAGTGGACTTTGGTGGAGCAGCAGCACTGCCCCACCATCGTCGGATGGCCGCCGAGGACTTTTTCTTAGGAATCAGCGTGTACGCATAATCCATAACTCCCACCTAAATGTAGTATTTTCGTGTTTGCTTTTCGCGTTTGAAAGCTCACATGGCAGATGTGCCAGACCTGCTGAGTATTGCTTTTTGAGCCGTCACCGCGACTTCTAGATGTCCTGAATCCCTGCGTCACGCGTCACTAGTATATAGTAATAACCTTGCGTCGCTCCACTAACCGTTACACGCAATGCGTGTCTGCGCTGCGCGGGGTATGTCATGATCGTCTCAAGAGGCTCAAGCCCACCATCACGTCTTTGACTTTGCTCTGGGGCTCATGTCAGAGCTGCATATGGCACCTGTGACTGAAAACTTTGATTTTACCTTACCGACTGACCATGCTGTGTAAGCTAAATAACCGCACCACATCAAACGGTGTAGGATCAAGAATTCTTAAATTTGATTTCGCTGCAGAAAATATATCATAATTAGGTATCCTCTCCTTGCGTTGGCTTATTTCTTCTGCATCCAGACTCTGAGTTACCACTTCGAGTTAAGCTTCCACTTTCGGATACGTGCGATGCGGTAAGCTCGTCATGTAACACAAACCTAGTCGTCGTTCAGCTTCTGCAGCCTTTTAAGTTCCCCGCAGGCATCTCCGTTCGAACACACCCTACGTGTCTCAAACTCTGAATTGAGATTTACTGCATAGGGCTCACTCAGGCCAAAAATGGCCCGGGACGGTGTGCGGATGCAGGGCCAGCAAATGCATGGACAATTTGATGAATACCCGACGAGCCTAGGTACCTGGGCAAACATTATTCAACAAGTGGTGTTCACACGGAGCCTCGTCGTTTCTTCCGGCATCTCTGCCCATCTTGTCTGTGCCGCATGGTCATAGTTCAGCTCTAGCGGAGTGTGACGGTCGATTCTCGGACGCCTACATCGAAGGATTCATGCCCCGAAGCGCACCTGGCCTGGGTCAACATCGTAATACTATAGTTTTATTCGAGGACGAATGGGGATCGAAGGCTTCCGATCTCGTCGGCTTCCCGCGCCACGATTGGATGTGCTACCAAACGTTGGTAAGATAGCTGGACACTAACGGCGCCTCTCCCAGATTTCTGTACGTATCAAGATTTCCTTATCTGAAGCTCAACCCCCGCCCCCCGTTTGAGACATGATCGATGCCGTGAGATGCCTAGAAACCTTCAAGAAAAATTCTCTTGGCCTGGCATCAGCCGTGGCCGTGTTGCTCGCACCCTCTCGCTCAGGTCAAGTGTCCCCCGTGAACATCTTTACCCCAAGCGCCCGATGCACCACACTGCTCGAGTCCACGTCTGCCAAGCCGAATAGCTTGTCAACCTGGCTGTCCGGTCGAGCCTTGGGATAGCACCACTACAAAATACGCACGTTTGACGAGTTGCGGCATTCTGCCAGTCATACTCGTCTTAGCTTGCAGGTACACAGGCCCTGCAGTAGCTCTAGCAGCACTGCAGCACTGGGAGGAGCAAGCAGCAGCAGCAGCGCCCGGAGGACCGTTTCTCTTTATGGTCATATCGGGATCCACCTGCTAGTGCCAATGGTCAATTCTGCCAAGCAACAAGGGCCTTATGGGGGGTCCCCCATGCAAGCAGGGGGGGTCCGTAGTCCCTCGTCCGTCCGACTCTCGCACCATACCATAATGCTACTGTGTACTACCACTACCATGTATTTTTCGTACTATGATGCCCAGCAGATTGGAATGTATCCCTCCAAGCCGCCGCGGACGCGACCCTGGCAAGAGGATGGCCCCATTGCTACTCTTAACTTCTTGGTACCTCTGTTCCAGCCCGGCGACTGTTGATGGGCGGGAAGCTCCAGCTTGTCTCTGATCATATTTAGCCTACATACCCTCCCCCCAAGCCGGACAAGTGCTGACTTTACTCGCCCTCCTTTCTTCTTTTCCACGGCTACTAGGTATATATCGAGTCGTTGTGAAGCAAACGACACCTTGAGCAAGTGTCAAGTAAGGTCGTGCTTAGCGCTACCTCCGGCGTCCCAATTTCTTCCCACGCCTTAACAACTGCTTGACAAGATGTCGGCCGGTCTCTATGTCGAGGAATACAATGGCACCATCCCAACGGGTGGTGACTCGCTCACCGAGGACTTGAATGTCTACTATGAGGTATGCTATATCATGGTCAATCTGTATTATCACGATAACACGCAACTATTCCGGATGGAACAGGCAGCGGGAAACTCAGCTAACAAGGTACTCACAGAGCGGTGATTTCGCTTGGATCATGACATCCTCTGCACTCGTGCTTCTCATGATTCCCGGTGTCGGGTTCTTCTACTCGGGTCTTGCTCGTCGCAAGTCTGCCCTTTCTCTGATATGGCTATCGATGATGTCGGTGGCCCTGATCATGTTCCAATGGTTCTTCTGGGGCTATAGTTTGGCTTTTACACACACCGGAAACAACCCCTTCATCGGTAACCTCGACAACTTTGGCCTCAAGGACACCCTTGCAGCCCCCTCGGTTGGTAGCTCAAAGGTCCCGGATATTCTCTTTTGTCTTTTCCAGGGCATGTTCGCTGCCATCACGTAAGTTGGATCTGATCACCGACTGCATCACTACATCTGGGCAAAAGCAACTAACAAAATACCCAGCCCTGCTCTCGCCATTGGTGCTGCCGTTGATCGTGCCCGCATGCTTCCTTGCATTGTGTTCATGTTCATCTGGTCTACCATCGTTTACGATCCCATTGCTTACTGGACATGGAACTCGACTGGTTGGTCCTTCATCATGGGTGGTCTCGATTTCGCCGGTGGCACACCCGTCCACATTTCCTCGGGTGCTGCCGCTCTCGCCTACTCTCTTATGCTCGGCAAGCGAACTGGCTACTCCAAGGCTGCTGGTCTTCCTTACCGACCTCACAATGTGACTCACGTCATTCTCGGCACTGTGTTCCTGTGGGTAGGCTGGTTTGGTTTCAACGGCGGCTCTGCCCTTGCCGCTAACCTGCGTGCCGTTATGGCCTGCATGGTCACTCACATTGCTGCCTCAGTCGGTGGCATCACCTGGTCCATTCTCGACTACCGTCTGGAGAAGAAGTGGTCTGCCGTTGGTTTCTGCTCTGGTGCTGTCGCCGGCCTTGTTGCCATTACCCCTGGCTCTGGTTACGTTGCTCCCTGGGCTGCTGTTGTCTTCGGTGTGGTTGGTGGTGTTGGATGCAATCTTGCCACCAAGCTCAAGTTCTTGATTGGCATTGACGATGCTCTTGATATCTTTGCTGTTCACGGCATTGGTGGTATCCTCGGCAACATTTGCACTGCCTTCTTTGCTGCGTAAGTTATACCAGCACTTTTTCTGGAGCGAATCGGCACTAACTCTCTCATAGCGATTACATTACTCACCTCGATGGCTTCAGCGTCATCCCTGGTGGCTGGGTCAACCACAACTGGATCCAGCTCGGCTATCAGCTTGCCGACTCCGTCGCCGGCTTTTCGTACTCGTTCGTTATGACTTGCCTGATCCTGTTCCTCATGAACTTGGTTCCTGGCTTGAGCCTTCGCGTTAGCCCCGAGGAGGAGGAGATTGGTCTCGATGATGGCCAGCTTGGAGAGTTTGCCTACGACTACGTTGAGCTCCAGCGTCACACCAGTGATATCAGTGCGGGCGAGTCCTTCACTGCCGAGCACCACAGCCAGACTCTCAAGAATGGCGAGAAGAGCCCTACCGAAACCGTCTAAATGCGATACACAGGACTTTTCGAGATAGCACTCTCGGGGGTGACAGGCAATTGGCTATTTTTGATGTTACCTGTTGACGGCCGGTTCGGTACTACTGAGAGAATGATTATTTGTCGGCGGCTCATCATGGTGCATCGTTTTGTTATGGATTGAATATAATTACAAGGTCATCACCTGGCCTCAGTTGCCAGATCATTGTATCTGGTTGGACATACTTTAGAAAATATATACCCCTTTCTTTTCTACCACAATACTCGGCATTTCTTTTTGTTTACGATCAAACTCAATGTTGTGGGAAAGTATTGATCATAAAAAGGATACTACTACCACCGTTCTGCATCATTATATGCTGTCTTGAATTACATCGACTTGCATCTGAAGCAGCATATAATTCGGTAAGCGCTTGAGTTTAATGTTCGTGTGACGCTACTCTGTACTGGCATCCCCCGCTGTGCCTTCGGGAAGTCTAGTCATCGAGTGTTGTTTCTTTGCGAGATACCTTGTGTCGTTGACGCCTTCGTACGCATATACCTATGTCCAAGAGGAAGCGTCACTCCTGTCACGCGTATGGTTCATAACTCTTTAGGCTCGTATCCGGTACAGATTGGCATGAACGCATCATGAATGACGAAAAGGCAATTCATTCCACCCTTCTAGGTGAATCAGCGTCATTGTGTCACGAAAATTGACGCAGTATCCATAGCACATGTTCCTAGCCTTAAGTACGGCTGTAGCTGCTCATCTCGCGGCACATGATGAGTCTATCAAGCCCGCTCTGCAACACTGTCAATTGCGATGATCTGGACTCATCCATCACCACTGGATGCTAACAATAAGAGCTAAAATTCCTGGTGAGTATCTGTGATTCTTCTTTGAGTGTCAGGACGTAAAGGTTACTAGTCCCGTGCCTGCTGCCGCTGTTTTGCCTGCACCTTGCCAGTCCTATCACAGCCACCCAGTGCAAACGACCAAGTGGATGAGCGACATTTATAATGCCAAACAAGCCGCATTCTTTCAACAACAATCCGATGTCGTCTAGAGGTTTAGGATTTTGCGTTTTCATAACATACTGGTACAGAAGACCGCAAAGGCCAGGGTTCGAACCCCTGCATCGGAGTTTTCTTTTTGCCCTCCCTCTGCAAACATCATAGGGATTTATTATAACGAAACAGGATTCTAGTCTAGACTGGACTTTTCAGCTGGCCTATCCGTATCTTTATACAAGAATCTACTACCTGGAAAGCCCATCAACTGATTGAGATGTTCCTCACAGCAACGGTGTAGCTAGAGTCAGCGGAGTGATTGGTGTCACAGGTGGCTCTTGCAGTAGCTCCCAGCTAGAACTTATTGCTGTCGACATTGGGACCTCCTGAATCTCAAAGCGCAACACAGGGTAGTTGGTCTCGTCCTGGTGGCCATTCACATTCCACTTGGTGAAATGAACACAATGATCTCAAAACTCCTGTCGGCGTCCTTTATGACTCGCCGATTCGAGAATTAATAACATATTGTGGCAGTTCACTCTCATCAAAATCCTGAAACTTCAGCGTCTGCGCGTGTAATAGTCTCATTGTTGCAGCAACAGATCCTGAGAAAGCTTCACCTTCAACCGTCGTTAAGCTGTCTGTCCACAATGTAAACGTGGGTATATACTGTAACGCCGCGACAAGAGGTTCCAATGAATCCTCCACCTGCAGAATGAATGGGCGCAGCCGGAGCTTGTGTCTTAGTTTTCGTGCTCGTCGTCTCTTTCAAGGTCGGCCAGAGTTCTATACAACGAGCGCTGGTTATTGACTGTTTGGAGAAGTTCACATACAAACCACACTCATGAAAGCCTGGATGCGTCTTAGGTTGTCAGTAGCAACTTGAGTGACTGGTGCTGGCTATTGCAGCCTTATCATTTGTAGGTGTTCATGGACACCATGAGTGAGTGCCCTTGAATCGGGGCGTAGCCTTTTGGAGCAGGCAGGTGAGGGCTTGCCGGCACACCATTTCTCCGAAATGTTACACACCTACCTGTTGCCGGGCTCATACTGCTTAGTATAGATTACTAGGGGTTACTACCACACACTATATTCTTCGGGAATGTTCACTCTATACTCACGATTCATATGACAGAAAAGGAGTGGAAGTATGCATCGATCAACTCTGAGTGCGCCTATTAAACAGAGTTGGGACCAAGATTTCGATAGATGGACGAAGCCAGTCATCACCAAGCCATTTCTGTCTTTTTCGATGTTCACAGCGGCCAAACCAGGGCGGAAACGGTGGGTTGGACTGGCGGCATTGTTCCAGGGCTTCGTGGCGAATGGCTTTATCTTGATCGAAAACTCTCAACACAAGTATCTGCATGGCTTCACAGCCATACTTCAGTGGACCCATTTTCGGCCGATGTGTCAACCCGATTGATATTCATGCAGCAACTGCAAGGGATCCGGTCAAAATCGAATCAAAACGAGGTTGCCGTCCCTTGGCGTGCGCTGTACAATACCCGTAGCCTACGGATTGGCCAGAATATCGTCAAAAATAAAACCGTCCTCCAAGACGGACTCCTGCTGCATGTTTCCCGTATCATTTCCAAAGTGTAATGTGTCGTCGGTCTGGCATGCAATTCCTTTAACTAGGGAACCATGCGCAACCTCAGCTTGCTGGCCTCGGTGTTCAGTACGACCGTGTTCTTCAAGGTCATATGCCATCTCTATGTAGAGATTCGATGGCTGCTTGTAGGTAAAGTGAGCCAACCTTCTTGCTTGCCAAGTGCTCCACCGTTCGATCAACTACAAGCAGTTCCGTACACCCCATCTCCCGACAGGACCAGGGCGCATTCATTGGCTCGCATCCTGTCACGTTTCCAACGAAGGCCGAATTGTAGTAGGGATATATCTGAGTCAGCCGCCGTTCTTCAAGCTTGGCACTAGTTGGCGATTAGCGACTCCGCTGAGTGTTCAGACGCGCGTCTGGGATTGAATGGATTTCGGCAATCTTCGAGCCATTCTGCTTCCAGCCGACAAAAATTACAATGGCAATAGTGATTCCAATACATAGTATACTAGGTTGGTGTTCGAATTTTTCCTGGTTGGGCAGCGATCGACAGCGTTGCACCAACGGCAAGCTCGAAAAGTGTTAAATGTGCACGGGCACACTGGGAGGGCAGCCTCGAGATAAATGATGAACGATATTTCCACAGAACGAATATGGAAAATAGGATGAATACGGAAAACAGCCAATATGAATGAGTTTTTGGCGGCTTTCAATGCGCCCTCGGCAGGCAGCTCACAATGTGACAATTTGGAACACTAACAGCATCCAAATCCCCACGATGCGTCCCCGCAGGGTCTCTTCTGGGCAAGCTCTAGTCCGAATCTTTTCAGTTTTCTGGGGAACGTTTTTTTGATGTGGAGTTCTTTGTGAATACGGTGGTACGTACTTTACAAAACCATGGCCACTGACGATGGTCATGTAATTTGGCATGATCTCGGACAGACGTCGAGAACATTGAAGAGTATTTGCAGCGCCCATTCCATGTTTATGTTTACACCTCCTCAAGGATTATAAACGTTAGATCGTTACTTGCCCCACGCGATGGCCCAGCACCTCCCATCGGAATTTTACCACCAAAACGAAGCCAGTTTTCTGGTTACTTCTATGACCAGTGCTGGAAGCTTCCACAACCCGTATACAAACAGCATAAATAGTAGGGATAGATACCTAACAGATCAGAGGGTTAGTAGGTGGAGCTTTGTACCAATCTAACGTTTATAATCCTTGAGGAGGTGTAGACTGATTCAGCCTTACCGGCAACACGGCACCGAGCCAAGCAATCAGTGTATGTAGAGCTCCGCTTTTCTTTCCCTGAACGGGTCACGGCACCTGTCCATAGACTTATACTGTACTCGTAGACGCCGTGCCGAGTTCCGTCCACGACGCGGAGCCCAGCAGATTCCTATTTCAACCAAGACTTGGCATTCCCGCCCCGTCTTACAGAACGATCCCCTTTGAGCATTCTCAGCCTCTCTTTTGCACATTCCGGGCTCAGAATAGAGCAAACATGCTGCGGGTAATCTATGGGTCATTGTGCTCCGATGCAAGTGCCCACTTGACTCATTGAAGAAAGACCGTCTATCCCCGAGCCACGGACACATTCTTTTCTGCTTCTTGACTCCGACGTCACCAAAAACGCCTGGCTCGATTGGTCACCGGGCTCGTTCCATGAACCCACAGTACCCCCGGCATATTGTCCGCAGCTTGGAGAGAGTCAGTCAGTCAGCTGTCCTTCCGTACAAAGAACATGCAGGGTGCTGAGAATCTGGGCGAAATTTAGCACAGGCCCGCACTTGCCGATCTTATAAGTTCGAGACTCCAGTTGATCCCACATGGTTTTGCGGACTTGGAACAACACTCCTTTTGCGACGTCCTCGCAATTCGAACCTCGAGAGAAAACACCATGCCGGAACACAGGCATTCCGAGGAGATCCCCCCGGACGCCATGTCGGCCCCAGAGAGGGTTGAATCGGGAATACCAGTTGAAGATGAAAAGTTCGAAGATGAAGTCCTACCGCCGGTTCTCGACCTCTTCCAACCGCTGCCAGACATCGTGGGCAGTCAGGCAGAGGGCGATCCGCTCACCACCCGTGCCCTCGTCGTCGGTGTGATACTCGGTTCTCTTGTCAACGCATCCAACATCTATCTTGGTCTCAAGACAGGCTTCTTGTTCGGAGCATCCATGTTTGGAGCCATATTCGGCTATGGTATTGTCAAACTACTGACAAAGATGTTCCCCAACGTGCCAATAATGGGCCAGCCTTTTGGACCTAAGGAAAACTCCATTATTCAAGCGACGGCAGCTGGCGCTGGCGGACTTGGGGGACTATTTACAGCAGGTCTTCCCGCAATGTACCAACTCAACCTCTTGTCTGAGGACCCCTCGCATGACTTCTCGAAAATGGTCACTTTGACCTTGATATGTTCCTTTTTTGGCCTCTGTTTTGCGATTCCACTTCGAAAGTTCTTCATTGTCAACATGGCAAGAGAACTGCGACTCGTGTTCCCAACTCCGTAAGTCTAAGGCCTTCCCCGCCTCTGTGTCACTCGAAATGTTGCCCAGAGCTAATCAACACTCAAGTACCGCCACGGCCCTCACGATCCAATCGATGCATGCTGCCAGCAGCGAAGGCGCGCAGGCCATAAGACGGATCAAGGCTCTCACGTTCACTTTCTTGGGGGCATTTATCCAACGCGTTGTCTCTTACTATGCGATCGGTATCTTGTACGACTGGCACATATTCACCTGGTTTTTCATCTGGGGAAACTACAACAATGCAGCGATATTTGTTGAGAATTGGGGCTGGTCGATTGAATGGACACCCGCATTCATCGGGAGCGGCATGCTGGTTGGTATGAATACGGCTGTGTCCATGTTCTGTGGCACGTTATTTGCGTGGGGCATCTTGGGCCCAATATTGGTCCACTATGGCGTTTGCATCGGCATTGCCATGGCGCCCGAAAGCGAGCGCTGGCACAACGTCGTGTCGTTTTCGCAGATGACGGGCGTTGACCAGCCTGGATACGTGCCTTCACCTCGATACTGGTTTCTTTGGCCGGGAGTTGCTGTTCTCGTCTGCTGTTCACTAGCAGAGCTGCTCGTCCACTGGCGGAGTTTCTATTACGGCATCAAGTATGCCTGGAAGAATTCATCGTGGGACTTTATGCGCAAGAAGGGTGGGCGAAGCAGAACATATCTTTCTAGCCAGTCTTCCCGGCGTCGACCTTCCATGTTCAACGAGAACGTGTTCACGCACGAGGATCCTGCCAAGGAAAAAGACCAAGTGCCGACTTGGGTTTGGGGTGGAGGTACGATAGCCATGGTCGTCGTCGCCTGCATCATCTCAGAAGTTCAGTTCAACGTCAACGCTGGACTGGCATTGTTGGCATCCATATTTGCCATATTCTTTGCCTTTCTCGGAATCCATGGTGCTGGAGTGACGGATATTGCTCCCTTGACGGCTAGTGCTAACGCCGCGCAGCTCGTCTTTGGTGGCATCACTTCCAACCAAGGACTGGCGGTACCACAGCAGCAGACGGTCAATCTCGTGGCGGGAAGTATTGCTTCGGGAGCTGCGGAAATGTCTCAGGAATTGACGTCGGATTTCCGGACGGGCTATCTACTAAAGACTCCGCCAAAAAAGCAGTTTTATGCACAAGCGCTCGGTGCCGTGGCTGCCATGTTCATCGCACCTGGTGTTTTTATCCTATTCACGTCGGCGTATCCATGCATTATACACCCAGACGAGTACGCAAACTGCGCCTTCTCGGCCCCCTCCGTTACTGCCTGGCGAGCTGTGGCCCAAGCCGTGACCGAAGACAGCCTCGACATCCCTCCCTCGTCGGGGATATTCGCCTGCGTCCTGGGAGCTATTGCCATTATACAAGTGGTACTCAAGCACATGTACCTAAAGGGCGAGCGTGAAAAATATCGGGACTACCTGCCAAACTGGATGGCTGTGGGTGTGGCGTTCGTGATCCCCCAAACGGTTTACAGCACCGCAACTTTGATGGGAGCCGTGGTTAGTTATGCCTGGTGGAAGCGCAGAAGGATGAGCTACGAGACATACTGCTACGCCGTTGCGGCTGGGCTTATCGCAGGCGAGGGCCTCGGCGGTGTCATTGGCGCTGCGTTGCAGCTCGGTGGTGTTGGCGGCGATGTCTACGGCACCCAGGCGGGCTGCCCATTGGATTCATGCTAGATTTGATAATGTAATGGCCTTTGACTTTTCTGATGATTATCACATAATCCATAATGTTGATGAAATTGATTACAAGCTTTATACCCAAGCATGCAAAATGCTGTTACTGTGACAAGTGCATATTAGTCGTGCTTCCAGTTGAGTAGAGGCCTTCCACTGATTGTCATACGTCATAAATTTGGCATGTTCTGTCTCAAAAAAGGATAACCGCCGCCAGAACTGCTATAGCAAAGGTGATTGTCACTGGCCCATGCGATCTTGAAGCCATAGAAGCTGAAGAGTCGCTTCCATCTCCAGTATGATTGGCTCTCGCGCATGTTAGTTGCACAGTGGGCTTTGTGCCATCAGAAACGTCGGCTCGGGTGTTCCAGCCCCAGACCACCAGAACCGGCCACACCGTCTTCACAGCGTTGTCATAGGCCGTGTTATCGTCTCCATCATGAGGGCCTGATGCCGTCACAAAAACCTCCGTCCCATTAAGGTGATCGAGGGCATATTCTGCAGGGATGTCAGCCCGTCCATTGCTTATCCGGCACATGATGGAGGTGCCAGAACGATACGGAAGGTGTAAGACATACGCTGTGTTGTCAAGTTGGCTTGACTCAATGAGTCGCCGCAACTATCGGGGATACTTGGTTGTCTGTAGCAGTCCTGGAGCTTGGCAAACTGGTCGGCGTACGCATCCTGAAAGTCGGAGATGCACTGAGAACTCAGCGAACTGCAAGTGCCATTGTCAGCGGATGACGTATCGTCCTCTCCAGGGCCGCCTGTCATGACTGTGACACATATCTTCCAGGTCGTGTTGTCGGCCGCAGTGTCCGGGTCCAGGGCTGCAATGACGTCGTCGGGTGCTCGAAGGTATATGCTTGTCCCTGTGTAGACTTGGCCAGTCGCATTGCCTGGATTCAGTGTGTCGGCATCAGAGATGCTACTCGTAACGTTGACGGCGAGCTCCCAACCATCCACAGTTTGTGGCGGAGACGTGAAGGCCTTGGAGATGTCAAAGCCCGTGATGGGGAAACTGCCCGTCGCATTTGGACGCTCCAGGTTTTCCTCCCATGTCGATTGGTCAAACTGGATCGCGTCGCCCTGAATAATGGTGCCCGACCTCGGCCAGCCCGGAAGGGCCATCGACGCTGGGAGAAGGACGAGGCCAAGAGCTGCTAGAGCTGATTTGCGTCCGGACGTGTATTCCATATTGATGAATGATTGATAGCCAAGGCTGTCTAAGGGGGCCTAAATAAGCTTATACTGCTTCAAACACGGCATCCTCGGCTCCTGATATATATAGTGTGGTAAATTGGCTCAGAGTCGACCCATGCAAGTATTCATTTTGGAAAATCTGGGGAACCCCCGTCGCTTTGGCGCCCTCCAAACAGAGCCACGGCATTTGGGCATGCAAGATGCAGATCTCGTGTTAGTCTCGTGACGGGATGACGTTGCAAAAGTAGCCCGGAGGGGCGTGAGAACAAGTTTAGGTCGAGTAGGGCTGTGCCCAAGCCCCGCGATCCGCTGTCACACCAAAGACTTCGGGTGTCTTTCTAGGCCAAGGAACGTCAACGACTGGCTTTGAATCTGCATGTGGCTGCATGGAGGATGCGGGGGAGGGGCTGACGTTGGATTGTTTCATGTTTCGTTCAATGTTGGACACATGGACGGGAGTAGGATACCCCTCACTGGATGCCGCGCCTGTAGAATCGGCATGTTCCTTGATGCCTTACAGATGAGAAAGTACAATTGATTCAGGCCGATTGCCTCCGCAACTCCGAGGCGAGGGGTCAGATGAATTGATCCATATAGCAATTGGAAAAATCAATCCAGTTGAGTGATACTGGAGCTTGGGATGTACAATCAGTAAAAGAGCTCTCGATTGTCAGGTTGTACGGTAGACTTAAAACTCTTCGGCAGAAGAAGCGGTTCGGTATCTTGGTTTACGAGACTTCGGGTCATGATTTCACCAGGATTAGACCGGCATTCCGACGTCTACTTCCACCCAGATGGCTCTTCAAGGGTAGACCCGTGTGTATGTGCGTGAGGGTAGATACGCCTCGGCATACTGTGGCAACAGTCCGTTGCTTCAGCAATGTGCTCTTCAGTGCTTACACTTGCGCCAGACCATATGCTCAGATCACAACGCGAAGAGATGAACCACAGGCCTCCGTGATCGCAGCAATAACACCGTTCGATATCAATGTAAGGTGGCCCAGCGATCGCTAGCCTTGGTCATGTCGGCCATGCGTTGTCAAAGTCCCAAACTCGTGAATTTTGCAACCCAAGCCTGTTGTGCTCCTTGGTGTGCCTGGTTCAGCACCTCATTCCAGTCTCACAAAATACGAGAGAGCATGCTTAAAACTCATGGCAGCTGTGCTTTAGTCCAGATGTCATATGTCGAGAATTGATGAAAAAGTCCATCTTCAATGATAAAATACTTTACGAAACCTTGTCGTTCTGGTGAAAAGTGGGAGTTATATTTACAAGATCTTCTGATATATTGGTAGCTAAACAAACCATACGCAGATTTGCGTGTGGTCAGCGTATCCCGACCTAGCTTTGAGGCCATTTCTGAAAAGATGCGGCTGATTTTATTTTTCAATGGATATTCGCGTCTATACCAACTACATGCTCGATAAACATCCCATTGCCAAGTTGATCCTTCAAAATGGACGACCCAACGGGCGATTCTGGGGGTATCCCTTCATTCAAAACCGTATCTGTAGCGTTGAAACCCGTAGTAGAAAGAGTTGACAGAGACTAAGTGGAAGAGACGTCCCATTCATCTCTTTTGTGAGCCAGATGGTTGACGTCGGGATCTGCAATACAACTATTTTAAAGATCGAAGTGGGTGAAAGAGGGAACAGAATCACTCTGACCATTGCTTGGATAGACCATGTAGATGTCTTTGGTGTTTGACGAGTTAGTTCCTTGTTTTTGAGTATCAAGAATTCTAGTGTAATCGGGGTTGCTTAAATCCAGACAATCAAGTTTCACTGCAGCGTTGGTAACGATTATCTCATCCGTGTAATGTTCCCACTCGTCTGCACCTGTCTTTTTGTGTACCAGGTATTGCTGCTGAAGTTCCAATTTGCCACCCGCTCCAGGTATTGGTGTTGTTTGTACATGCGACGCCTATATACCTAGGCAGCCCAGCATAGGCTTCATCAGGCACGAGCTTATGATAATGAGAAGGCCGGCAATATAGATGAATAGTAAAGCAGCCATGCTGAGTCCTTCCAATTATCTGTGCGAAATTGTAAATTCTCGTTGCATGCTGTATCAGTCTGCTTCTGCTACATAAAATTGGACGGGCGGGATCGGGATTATTGGCTAGAGGACCTTGTGAGGGCTTTACGGAAAATAGCATTTGCATTGGTCGATACCCTGTTGCGGACTTGCCATCGAGGGCGACTTCATACGGCTACAGTGGTAGAAATATGTTGCTGTATATTTACATGCTGCGACGCAGGGCTACTAGGTATGTAGTTGGTATCGGGCAGTAGCAGACATATTCTAGACTGGCAATCAGGCACAGTCAATAGGTGCCTTGTGGAAGATCAAGACTGTACGAACATTTTGTTCGCGGTTTTAAGTCGCGTCAATTCAAATGATGTATGAAATCAGGACAATTGGATACTAGGTACCGAAGACTTGTGTGTTTAAACAGGATGTTGCAAGAGCGTATCGATATCCTAATGACAGCTCTCTAGTACTCTGTAGTCTTGGATGTTACATTATTGATGCAGGTAGTACGGCACGATAGAGCACTTGAGCGTGGGGGACTTTGCCCCGCCCGCCAAGGTACCTAGTTCACTTTACTCGGGTATCTGATCTGAGATAAGATGATATAGCAGCAACTAGCTGCTCTCCTCTCCTCTACCATGTTCTATTCTTAGGTACAATCTTCCTGCAATATAAAGACTCGCTTGCAGTAGCCATGCAAGTCTCTCTGGACGAAAGAGCCTCCGCGCTGTTGCTGTGCCGCAGCAGGTTTCAGCAGGTGACATGAACTCCGCATAGGACTGGAGAAAATAAGGGTATTAAATCAATCAACACAGCCTTTCTAGTCTCCGCCTGAAGTCGCTTCTCTCTTCAATACACTGATCAAATGGACCATCGTCATGGCTAACATCATGTACCACGGAAACTGCCATTGTGGTGCCTACCGCTTTGAGGTGGCCCTCCCCAAGATCACGCAAGTAATTGCTTGCGACTGCAGTTTATGTGCTAAAAAGGGCCATTTATGGGTTGTGCCATCCCCTAGCGAGTTTAAAGTCACAAGAGATGATGGCAAACTGGTTAAATATCGCTCCGAGGCCTTGCATAACCAGGTGAGGACATATACCTACTCTGCCGAGACAAACTCCATGTACCGCGGCCAAAACGACGGACTTTGCTTACAAAGCGATTTGGCAGTTTTGCAACATTTGCGCTTCACCGGTACTGGGTGAGCATGTGGCTGGGCCATTGGCAGGAAAGCTAGCCATTAACGCCCGCACGATTTTGGAGATTGACCCATTCGAGTTTGAGTATGCTTCGCTATCAACACTTTGGCCATCATGAAAAGCTAACTTGAGCGCCCCAAAGGGTCGCTAATATCCATACGGATGACCACAGAGAGACACCAAGCACTGTCTCTTCGGATGGCACCGGAGCAATACACAAAGGATCTTGCCATTGTGGCAAGGTACTGGTAGAACTCTTGACTCCTCTAGAAGATGAGTTGAGTGAAGACAATTGCAGTGCTTGCCGCAGAGTAAGCTTGTCCCAAAGAAAATCTGTTGACCTCAGTGCATGCCGCATAGTTCTGACTTTCATGACAACAGACTGCACAGGTACTGACCTATCCTACCAAAGAACAAGTCCGCATTGACGGCAAGGAACATACACTGGAATATGCCCGGGGAAACAAATGGACTGCATACGCGTTCTGCGGAACGTGTGGCGTCAGTATGTTTGTGGAGAATTACGGTCCACCAGAAGGTGCAAGTTTCTTTGATAGGGTCCCTGCCGAGAGACGCGAGTTCGTCCTGTCAGTGTATCAGAAGAACATAAACTCTCTACCCGTGCAGGTCAGAAGTCTGGATTCAGTTGACTTGGGATCATTAAAGGTGCAGCGCAAGAACACTGGAACCGAGGGCTACGTTCTAGACCCGTAGGAAAGGGAGGGTGCATAGCTCTCTTATTGGGGATATGGTCGCTCTACACAGACCGGGCATGCGGTGACTCATCTCATTCATGGGCAAGCTAGTAAAATAGGGTTGTATCAGTAGTGAAGCAATGATGGATTAAATGATGTGATTGTCCGAAGCCAATGCTGCCTAATGATTTCACCCTTCCGCCTCTGCTCTTCCGTCCTCATGCTGCTGAGTCCCTTCAGACCATGAAATTATTACGCCGAAGCCACATTTGACACAATTCACCAAACCTGATTCAATCGTTTGTGCTTCATCCTTCAGTTCATATTAGATTCGCGGGCTATCCTGCCAACATCCCCGGGCCAGAATATCCAGCATCCGGCGGACTGTGGGGCGCCCAGGTACCCAGTCAATAAGGCCCTTTGCATAAGGTCACTTATGATCAACTCTACTCAATTCCATCTTATGCACCGACACAAACGTGAACTCTGTTTAAACTCCAGGTTTGACCCCATCAACCCCCTTCTCTCCTGTTACGACTATGTCCTTTCTCTTATCGCCCAAGCCATCCACGCCTGTTATGAATTCCGGCTGCATCTCTAGCATGAAAGGTGAACTTCCACGCTGACGCTCCTGCGGGAAGACGAGGTATAACAGATAATACGTCGTGAAGGATGTAATAAAGCCGTAAAAGTAGGCAATTTGATAGAGGTGATCCCATCCATTATTATTAGAAGTTCCCTGAACCGCTCGCGCAAACCCGGCTGTAATGTGGTCAGAGAATTACTGGTACTTGTCGGCAGAAGACTTACGTAGCAACGGCGCCATCCCCAGAATCCATGCAGCGAAGCCTCGGAAATTGAACCCATGTGTATACCAGTACGCGCTTCGATGATCGCCCAGGTACAAGTCGCCAACGTGGTACTCTCCGCGGCGGACCATGAAGTAGTCTGAGACAACAATGCCTGTCATGGGGCTAAGAAAGACGCTCCAGCCACTCAGGACCGTGATAAAGGTGCCGGGGTTTCTATCATATGCATCACGTTATTATCATCTGGCAAACGGATTCATGTGAGGGCGTTGACCTACGTAACGTAATTCCATGGACAAATGGCAATGGCCACGACGGTCAAGATATAGCAGCCACGGCGAATATTTATCCACCTTGTCCATATTAGTGGGGTGCTTGTACATCATGGGGATAAAGGGACATACTTGGGACAGAGAGCAGCCATGTCCATTCCGGTGCTTACACCATTCAGCATTTGGCACAAGGCCAACTGGTCTGTCAAAAAGCCAAGCCCTGCAAAGAAAGTCCCTGCGCGTGCCGCCGGAGTCATACTGTGGTCCTGAATAGTGAGAAGCAGTTCAAACGGATTCCATATGTACTCTCCGTAAATGGTTGCCGCTCCAGACGTGATTAGTATACCACACAGGGCTGTGACCACAATAAAAATGGGCGCCGTTACAAATTGTCCAAAGAGGGCCGAATTAGGACTTCGTGCATAACGAGTCCAGTCTGATTGACCTAAACAACCCGAGGCTTGTGAGCCTACAATGGACTGCAGCCCAAACACTGCATTCCAGCTAAGCGCCGAGCCGCTCAAGGTTGCCGGCGTGCTCATTAGAACTCCTGGGCCCCCAGCTACCGACACAGCCCAACCTAGCATTCCGAACATTGTGGCAGTGATCATGACGAAAGTGATGCGGAACGGCAGCTGCAACTTTTCAGGGGGTATCATTGGGAGCGGCAAGAAGATGACAATAAAGACAAAGAAGCTGATGAGACTGGCAGTGTCTGTGTTCGATGATTCCGGTAGAGTGTTTCTGAGGTTCACGAATGCTGGACCAATGATGGCACGGAGCATAATCTTGACAGCTACGAAGGTATTGTTAGTAGACTTGAACATATGACAATAAAAGTCACATAATCATACCTTGTCCTCCCCAGTAGGCCTGGCCGACGGTGATTAGCCAGTAACATCCAGCGACCTCGAGCTTTGTTGACCTACTTGAATACCCATCCAGACACATGCTGTGACAATTCGATTGAGAACCGGCCAAAACCCACCACGCATCCCCCAAGATGCGCGGCTGAGGACAGTGAATCCCAAATACACATGACTCCCCGGCCAACCAGCCAACACGGCTATGAGAGCTGAAATGAGTGCAACACCCACGACGCATCCTATGGCTTGCTGTGCATTAAGTCCGAGCGATAACAGTGACGAGCCGGCCGTCCACGCCGTAGTGTTGATCCTGGAGAGTCAGGTCAACGATATGCTCCAACCGGGACAGGATGCACGACGTACCCGCAGATCACCCAATACCCGGCAAACCCCTGCCATGTCCAAGTCCTTCTGTCTTCAGGAATGGGGATCAAATCGCGATTGCACCAATAAGTATTCCTGTAGTTTGCGTTCTCATCGACTGGACACTCCAAACGTTTCATCCAATATGCAGTCTTGCGTTTAGACATTGTCATGATAAATTCTCCGAGATAGTTGGGATCTCCGGAATATGAAAATCAATCGAGTCTCAGGGCAAATGGTATGGCTCGACATCATTGGAGACGTTTCCTGGAACCAAGACTATAAACAATATTTGGCAGGATCAAAACAGGGCGATTCTTTATCATCAATGCTACCCTGTGATATGCTCCGCGATCGACATACGATAAGCGAGTCATCGGGGTAGTATTACAGAAGTAGTGAACGATGCATTTAATTGGGCCATTTGGAACGAAATCTGATTGCCAAGGCCATTTAAACTTTAGAGCGGTATTTCCGACGGATATTCGGAGGAGGTCCGCAATCATAATCCCATATCATGTTCATGCCGGTTGAACCAGTTACTAACCCCGCTTCTCGTGAGGTCAAGAAAGTAGTGATAAGGGATGCGTGATGTGATCTTCAGGTGACAATCGTGGTTTGGTACTTGTAGATTACATTTGATCAATGCACCAGTCCATACGTTCAACAAAATCAATTTCCAAACCACGGGGAGGAATAATTTCATAGTCAATATGGCATCCTTACCTATTATCGACTTTGGCAAGTGGCGGAATGGCAGTACGGAAGACAGGCAGCAGATAGCGCAAAAGCTTGCGACTGCGTGCAAACAAGTTGGATTCGTATACATCATTAATCATGGAGTGCGGGATGACCTGCTAGATGATGCTTTCGGCTGGTCTAAGAAGCTTTTCGATTTACCAGAGGAAAAGAAAATGCTGGCCCCTCATCCGCCAGGTAATGTCTGCATATTGAGCATTTATAGCCTCAATACTGACTGGTGTGGGCAGGTCCGAATGTGCATAGAGGATACTCTTGGCCAGGACTTGAAAAGGTCTCTCAGTATATCCACAAGGAGGACCAAGACTCGGATGCCGAGGACGAAGAGTTGAGAAAGGTGCAGGATTGCAAGGTAAGAGGGTGTGCTTTGGAAGACTGTATCAATTGCTGAGACTACATTTCGTGGTGAAAATAGGAAAGCTACGAAATCGGAAGTGAGGATAACGCCGAGCAGCCTAATGTGTGGCTTCCTGAAGAAACTCTTCCTGGTTTCCGCAGATTCATGACGGCATTCTACGGGCATTGTTTCGACACAGCAAGAGAGATCCTGCGAGCCGTCGCGCTAGGTATCGGCCTAGAGGACGAGGATTATCTCCTGCGCTTCCATAGTGGTGACAACAATCAGTTGCGCTTACTTCACTACCCACCAGTCGAGACAGAAAAGCTCTCGAGTAATGCTTTGGCACGGATGCCGGCCCATTCAGACTGGGGTTCCATCACCATGTTGTTCCAAGATGACTGCGGGGGCCTACAGGTTGAGGATCCCAACGTCCCTGGCACATTTGTCGATGCTACACCACTCAAGCGAGCCCTGGTTATGAACGTGGGAGACCTGCTTATGCGGTGGAGCAATGACTATCTCAAGTCCACGCTTCATCGTGTCACAGTCCCGCCATTGCAAGCGAGCAAGGACGGCGCAAGGTTGATGACCCGTGCACGGTATTCCATACCTTACTTTGTGAGCCCAGACTCAAAGTCGCTTATCGAGTGCCTGCCAGTGTGTTCAAACTTGGAGAATCCGGCAAAATATCCTCCCGTCATTCAAGAGGATTACAGACGACTAAGAGCGAAGCTACAGTATCCAGAGACAAAGGCGAAGACAGTGGCAGTTGCTTAGGTAACCGTAATGTATTCAAGGGAATTTTTAATAGCCAATTTTGGTGATTGAGTTTTGATGCGATGCAACTGTGCTAGTCGAAACTCGTAACTCGACGTAGATAGACACATGGGATGTGCGCTTTACTTTTTTCTTCTTGGTGAGCGCGAGGGGAAATACTTACCTCGCGCTACTAATTCAGTTCTGTTTCCGCCAATGCTATTCATGTTTTCTTCGTTGCCGAGCAATACATATATTGGAGGCTCGAGATACAAAAAACGTCAGGCCTATTATTCATCATGTTCTTCCTCCACCCAATCAAGGGGCATCCGCCAGCCACCAACTTGTCGAGCTGCAACCGCTCTGGCATTCTCAGTGGCACAGATGAACAGGTCAACTCTACCTCTAGTGACGGATAACAATGAACCATCACCATAAAACCCTATCTGACGTGTGAAGTCTGCTTCACCAATGGTGTCTATCAGTCTAGTACTTGCCAGTCCGTGTAAAAATGTCGAGGTCGGTTCTTTATCTTGAGCGAGAGCCCTCGCTTGTGGATAATGACACCTTGGCATCTCTCCACCAAGGAAGATGCCTTGTTCTTTCGCTCTCGCCTCCAGATCTGCCACATAATATGGTTCAGCGCATTGCTTGGCTTCGCGATAGAGTACTGGGTGCGGATCTGGACGAAGCTTGTCCCAGAGCCGGCGGTAGTTGCAAACAATACAGGCATGCGCCACGGCTTGTTTCATCTCCGGCTGAACCCTCACAACCTCTTGGAGTGTTGATTGATGCGGGCGATGAGGGTACCAGATCATATAAGGCAAGTGGTTCTTTGGCGCATTTGAGATGCGTGCAATATCGTTTGACATGATATAGCGAGCGTTGATGGCCATTGAGATATTCCGTATCTTGTAAGGACTTGGGTGGTCTCCTGAACCACAACGCTCTGGCAATCCCTGTGCAAGCTCTCCGCTCCACCAACGGGCGAACGCTGCACTGTGGTGGATTCCGCGAATGACACAGAATGCCTCATCTTGAATCAGATGTGGACGTCGAAGACGCGCATAGCGGTCAACATTGCCCTCGTAGGCGGCTGTTAAGATGAGCAAGTCTTTATTGATAGGCGGAAGATCCAACGGTAATGGCGAATAGAGCAAGTGAGCGTATTCTGGCTGCAGAGGTGGATCGTCAACCTCTATCCGTGAATTTATATCTTGTCGTAGCCAGTCTTCGGTGATATCCCAATGCATTGTGGCCCAATGTCCTTTGAGGGTGCCCTCTTCGTCTGGATCTCTCAGGTCGAATTTGGATCGAACTGCTGCATCGTTGTTTAGGTACGCCGCATGTGGATTTTCGAGGTTAATCGTTCTCTCGTAATCGTTCATGACGGCATATTTCACAGGGCTCGCCATGATGAGATCAAAAATCTCACCGCCACTTGTCTTATTGTCCTGCGCCTCCTCTGCAATGGAGACATCTGGCAAGAGCTCCAAGGACTTGTACAGCTCATTGTAGCCTGCCACCGCACAGGCACGTCCGACTTGATATCGCATGGCAGGGTATTGTTTCGCCAGGTCTGCATATGTTTGCTCCGTCGCCAAATCGGGATACCAAATGCAGTATGGGTAAGACTCCGCGGAGTTCATCCTCGGGATTTTGTTGCTCATGATGAGACGGGCATTCCTCGCTCGCGCAAACATTGGGAATTCATCGGCCTTTGATGCACAGAGTTTCCTCACTGGTCTTGACTTTGCAAAGTCGAGATTCCGGCGTATGCCAGCCACTACGCAGGAGCGCACATGATCATGTCGAAGCTGATGTTCTGGGGGAAGACGCTCGCTGCGCAAAACAAAACCGAGCACTTCTTCTTCATCGTAGAGATCCTCCTCATCAGAGCTACTTGTGGTATCCTCTTCATCATTGGCCAAGTCCTTGGATGCGACACGTTGAGACATGATGCAGAAGAGCTAAGTAGTGAGTAGGTTGTTGATATTGGGAGAATGGTGTACAAAAGATGAGAGGAGGTTCGAAGAAAGCCAGTCATCTGGAATCTTGAAGTACTGCGCCGCATGACCGCAAGCGCTCTGCTGTTGCAGGATGCCGATTGGATGTTGCGCCGAGGCAGATGCTACTACCTACGGGGTGTTGATGGATAGAATTACTGCTTGGGCTAGCCGCTAACTAGGTAAATTATGAGTAATGCTAACAGCGCTATGTCACCTTGGCTAGCAGCGCTATGCATCACCATATCCCGTTATCTGCACCTGCATAAAGCCTGCCGTAAATAGGAGAACAGCGAGAAATTATAAGCCTATTTCGAAAGAAACTAACTTATGCGTTGCATCGTGAGTAATTGGCTTAATTACTTACTAGGTATCTACTTTTTGAATAGGCCCTCGTCGTCAAAAATAACGATAAGTGCAGCAGCTATTTACAGCAGCTATAACACTGCGCAAAGGCTTAAGATACTACTTAGATAAATAAAAATCAAATCTAAAGCTATTTCTAGTAATTAGAATTTGAAATATAAAATGTTGGCGGGCTGTATGCAGGCGCATATTACGGGATATAGTGGTACATAGCGCTGCTAGCTGAGGTGACATAGCGCTGCTAGCATCACTCTAAATTATGGGCTTCGAGCACTCTGGAGCATGGGCTTTTTACTCTTTGACTACCTATATAGCAAATGCACATCATACTTTGTATAAGTCGAGTCGAGAAAGACCGTCAAGTTCATAAAGAAAAGCTTCACTAAATTAACTTGGTATTTTCCAAAAACTACATATCCACAAATTACCTGCATAATCTGATCTCCCATCCGTAATCTCTGCAGTGCCAGTATCCTCAGTGCCGTCGTACGGGTCCGTCGCTAGCACCCCAAATAGTACCTGCCCGCCTAATACTCTAAGTTGACTCTGCCCTTGCCTACTAGCCTGCCGGCGCCATACACTCTGGTTACTAGGTGAATACCTAGGTACCTACTTGACTTGCGTCCCACTCAGATTACTTAAAGGACTCGGTAATAGGTAAACGCAATACTAGTCATTTAAAAACTTTCCATCTACTGGCCAGAGGCACTCCCAACGAAAGGAATTACACCAAGAGAAATCATCAAGAAGTCAAGGACACGTGATTTTGAAGATTTATGGAGGCTGCAGACTATGTGTACACGCCAATACCTGGTATTGTGAGTACTATTGCTTCTACCAGATGATCAATCTAGCTAATACGTTTTCTCAGGAGGAATCAGAATGATCTCTCTACTGCACCTATCAAGTGGCATCAAAATGGAGACATCTTGGCAAAACGCCTTGCAAAATGCCTGGCCAATGATTTCTTGGTCTTCCCTGCCAAGAAATATGTCGTGCCTACATCTGGTTACAAATTACAATAGTGCCATCATTTGGAGGTTGACTCAACACCCGAACCTAGGTACCTATTGGGCAATTTGATCATCTTAGTCTTTCACCATGATTTTTTCACTCGAATAATTACAACTTTCGCACATAACTGTACCGAGCACCGAATTAGCGCATCTAGGAGCTTATTTAGTTCCTATGTTGTGAATGGTGGCTTTTTACAATCCCCGCGATTCAATTACCATCGCGGAGGTGCCAGCGGGGCTTTGCATACTGGCCTGAGTCCCGGTTGGCCGCATGCCTGTGGGTGGGCCGCTGCCAAGAGTATATTAGCATAAAGTCTGGCTCTATATCTAAACTTTTCAATCTCAATATAGGTATGATTTCAATGTTGCATCATTATCTACATCTCCCTAATCAAATATGAAGCTGCAGTCTATACTACCCGTATTGTCGCTTGCTTGGGCTGGGGCCGTGGCCCATAGTCATGTTGAGCCCCGGTTAAACCAGACAGTATGGCTCTGTGGTGACAGCACCATGGCTCCGGGAGGCGGGCACAACGGAACTGAAGGCTTTGGGCAGTATCTGCAATATTCTTTCGACTCTGATTTGGTTCGCATCAATAATTCCGCCTATGCCGGTAGAAGCGCCAGGACATTTACGCGCGAGGGTCGGTTCCAAGCCGTGGCGGACAAGATAGTCCCTGGAGATTGGGTGGTTATTGAGTTTGGGCACAATGATGGTAGGTTTTCCGTTAACTTGACACTTTTATGAATGATCCATCTGACATTGTGCAGACGATGGAAAAGGAACAGTTCCAGCCAATGACACCAAGTCTCGTGTTGTTTGTCCCGGAATGGGGAACGAGACGTGTATTGGGTATTACAAGTGAGACCCCATACGCAAAACCAGACCTGTGTCTATATTCCATGACTGACTAATGAAAATAGCAACCAAACCGAGATTGTGCAGACCTATGTGACCTATCTTCAGAATGCCTCATCCATCTTCCTATCGCTGGGAGCCCGCGTTATCATCTCACCACCTACGCCAACGAACCCCTACCTGACCGCTAATGGCACCTTTGAATGGACGCCAACCAAGTACTCCTATTACTCGTGGTACATTGTTTCGTCTTTAGGCGGTCCCGATGCCGGGATCTATTTCGTGGACCACAGCAGCTACAATGCACAAGCTCTCCAGCGTTTAGGTGCCGATATTGTCAACGCCGGATTCCCAATGGACAATACACATACTAGTCCATATCTTGCGGATATTTTTGCGCGCGCATTCATATTGGGCTTGAAATGCGGAACAAGTCCGTTGCAAGATCATGTAATAAATGCGACGAGTCGTATCCAGAGTCCGGAGTTGGGCGGTTGTTTGAGTGTCAACGATACGCTGCCGATTTAGTCCGGTAGTTTGATGCACGTCGACCATGACAAGCATGAATAATATAAAAGATTTGATTGTCCATAGTTTCAATTCTTCACGTGGTGCCTTCAAAAACACTGATGCCATTATGGTCTCCCTGAGCTTCTGTGCCGATACCAAGGAATACATGGGCAGAGACCTCGGATTCCCTCTTCTTTCATGGCAATAGATGATACATGGCAGACTGCCAAGGACATGCTGCACCGCTATAGGCATTGCAATCTGTTCTTTCGTGGATTTTGGTCTTTACATGGCAGCGCATCTATGCCTCGATACTTGGCTTCTTTTATATGCAGCTTCAGTCAGTATTATTTGACTGCTGGTTCAAGAGTTAATAGTGCCTCATGCGCCGCGTTATGTGTCATATACCCCGTATTTCCAGGGGCTGTTGGGCCGGATCTACAAAGCAATGGGAGGCCCGAATGGATCATCCGCATTTATTGTCTTTCGACGCTTTGCATCTGGTTCCCCAAGTGATCCACCGAAGACCGCGGCGTCGTCTTTCAGTCCAGGTTTAGGCTTCTTCTTTTCAGCCTGCTCGCGGCGGGCCTTTTGCAGCGCAACTAGGTCCACCCTATCAGGGTCTCGACATTTCTTGAGTTTCTTCACCAGTGGTTTCATTGCCTTATTTGTCTCTTGCTGCGAATTATTAGCTTTGACAACCCAAGTGGACAGATGATCAAGCCAGGTACTTACGCTACCCCAGTGCTCGGTCATTCTCTCTGGAGGCTCCTTCTCGAGCATTCCACGGCATGTTTGGATAACGCTCCAGATTTGATCTTTTGCTGCCTCGCCCTGTCCTGCGAAAGCATCTCTCAGCAATCGTTGCGCCAAGCCTTCATCAGCCATCGCCAGTGCAGCAAGCATAATTTGACTGGGCGTGTAGTGGAAATAGGCATCCGTGACAATTGGGCTGAACTTTAGAATCTCCCTCGCTCGGGCGTGGCCGCGATCTATCCTCGACTGCTCAAAATCTCCGAGACGCCGCAATTCCATGATTGTGCCCTCGAGTGCCCGAAACGGATGTTTAACGTCGAATGCAAACCGTATGCCCTGGCACAGGACGTATTCCGCAGCCAATACCACCTCGGCGCTCGTATTGGGGAATTTATCTGCAAACTTGGACAAGCGCATGTAGTATCCCTCTGCTTTACATCCAAAGAAGAGGCATGTCTTGAGCAGTTCCGTAGGAGGGTACGTCATTATGCTGTTTGTAACGTAGAATCGTCGCAAGAAGATGGCAGCCGTCGCTCGGATCTCGGTGGGAAGTTCTAGGAAGGCGGCCGCTCGCAGGAGCTCGACGGTGTAAAATGTGAGCAGCGATAGCTCCTCGGCCGGCGTCAGGAACTCGGGCAACGGATCGACTGGCGGATTGGAGCCTTGAAGCCTTGCAGATATGGCCGTCTTGGCCAGGTTGTTGCTATCAGTGCGAAGCGTTGACAGCTGTGAAGGCGTAAACGACCAGAGGCGAAACTGGCTTGAAGCCCTGTAGCGGGCGTCCTCAGTAGCCATGGTGAATGAAGTTAGGGCGCTCGTCGTCGTTCAGAAGCGTCGCAAGTCTCGGTGGAGTAGGTTTGAGTTAGGTATGCCTCGCGGTGCCTTCTCAATAGCAAAAAGCGCCTCTTGCGAATCTATCACCTGCCTTCCAGAGGCGAAGCGCTCGGATTGCGCAAAAGGGAAAGGAATGATGCCTGGCGTTTGTTGGTGCAAAGGAGGGATGTCGCGGCTTACAATGGCGCCCACAGCTCTAGCTACGGTGCCTTAGGGAGCTCCGATAAGACACAGTAATCGCTTGGACAAAATCTGCACTGTACAGCGAGCCCCTGTTATTATGGTATGGATCATTCCAAGTTCCAACGCCATCTGATCGTAATAGCTTCACTTCCTTTCATGTTGTGATAGCTCCATCCCCCGAGATATTTATGCATTACATCAAACTACTTGGTATTCGACACAGTCTATTTGTCTGCTCCCTCTGAAAGCTGATTGTGATGCCTTTTGACTCTGTCTCCCTTGGCCATCTCGACTCAGCTTCATACAATCGTGGTCAACTCAATCTTTGCTGGTGTTGGTAGCTCGCTGCCGGCGCATTCCGCAAGAGGTCGAGCTCGACTCACAAAGATCCTGTGGCGGATTATGGCATCTGCTGTGACTGCCAATATACTGACAGCACACAATGCAGTCACGACACCACACCATGTCGAATCAACTTGCACTCTGTCCTTGGATGATTCCTGGCTGAAGGCATATTTCATGCCGCCGCTAGCCACAAACGACAGCGAAAATGTCGCCACAAATGTTACACATAGGTAAAGCCAGAGAGGCAAGCGTGTCTGTCCTATAACAATGCACTTCTTGGCCTGTCCCGAGCTGTTCCTTATCTGCTGCCCCTTGCATTCCCCTACAATTTTGAAGAGAGAGCCAAACGCGAAACCAACGAAAGCCGCGATCACAGGTTGAAACTAAAAATCCAAGTGTTAGCAGCAGCCGATCTCAAACAGCAAGCTTCATAGCTCGGCTGGTTGTTCCTTACGTATGAATGAATCCTGAGGAACTCTTCAGAATCATGGATCGATTCAATGCGATTCACCAGCACGGTCGCACAATTGATGTATATGGTCATTGCTACCATGAACCAGCAAATGGTAGCATCAAAAAATGCGTGGATGTATGCCTTTCTCTGGGGGTGAAGCCACTGTCTCGACCAGGAGCGGCCAAGCCCGCCTTGCCTGCTGAACTTGATTCTTTGGAGTTTTCCAGGCAGCCCTCGTCGTCTAGGGGCATCATCAGCATGATGACTACTTATAACTTGGCTGGCTGGCAACGATTGATCAACCGACGGGCTGGCGGGGCGAGAATCGGGCATGGCTGCTCAAATGAAGTGTAAGAGATGGGATGGATCTTTGCGGCTATCTCCATCCTTGCTTGGCGGCTTCGAGGGAATAAGTCATTTTAAACACGATAGGTCGTAAAGTTGTACAACTTTGTCTCTCAAGCAGTGGCTCAAGCCCGTACTGGCACCTCGTTTATCATCAATAACCACTGGTTCCCTCTCAACCTGCTCACGGCTACACTACAGTCCATGGACCAACGTATTGTTTGCTATCACGGCCCATTCCTGTCCGACGCCATCCGAGAGAAGACCGAGCGGTTATGGCCGAATCGAAGCAGATATATTCAGTCGGTTCGGGGACACAGGTTACGCGAGGCAGATGGTTGCGTGCGACATGTCACGCACGCACGACCACAGTTGCTACGTCGAATGCGACTCGCCGCTTGTCTGTCGGCTAGTTCCCCACCATTGTTTGCTGCATTTCATGTTTCGTGCGCAAGCGGAAGACTCACGATCACGACAAGTGGTTGCGAGGTGGACCACCTGCTTAATTTACAGCTATACTTTGAAACACCGGCTATCATTACTTCCAAAAATCACCGTGAAAATAGCAACCTACTTTCACGGGCCCGGACCAAGACATGGTGGAATATCAGCATTGTTGGGAAATGACAGAAAGCATTTGATTCCTGCTGAGCATGCGCTACAGCACCATCATCTGCATCATTGGAGTCGCACTGCCAATTGATCCATGTGCACAGCCCAATAACACGGGTAAGATTATTCTTGGAATTATTGCAATTAGTCTGTCTTTGGGATCTTCAAAGAGTATTGTCTATAGCATACCGGTCACTGCCCGGTCACTGCTTTCTTATACTTGAACGGTTCAGTGCTTCGGAGAAACCAGAGGAGACTAATTTGTATTATAAGGTCCACATTATAGCGGGAAGTAATATGTGTAAACATCCACGATGCCATTACGTGACTCATGTTTGCCTCAGCTTCACATTGACCAAGAAGTCTTTTGGTTTGAGCAAGAGGTGATTGGTTGTCACCCAGGACGACTGAGGTCGTGCCAATTTCCCAACCAGTTCAAAATCAAAATCGCGCATCAGTCGCGGAACCAATTTGCATATCTCTAGCATTGCAATATGACGCCCAATGCAAGTTCGAGATCCAGATCCAAACTAGAGACAAAGAAACCATGTGTCAGTATTTGACCCTCATCATCAATTGTGCTACTCACAGGCATCGAATGTCTATTCATAATGGCCAACTTGTCAACGTCGTCAGTGAGCCACCTCTCTGGACGAAACTCGTCGGCGTCATTGCCAAAAAGTGCAGTGTTGCGATGCTCAACCCAAGGGTTGATTGCGACAATCGTCTATATTGCAATTTGTCAGCCTTTTGGTTGAAATGAATAAAAAAAAAAGAAAGAAATCGATCTCAATGAAACTTACTCCTTCTGGAAAGAATCTACCGCTGATTGTCGCGCCGCCTTCGGGAACAACTCTTTCCAGGGGCAAAGCTGCTGCAGGGTGCAGGCGCAATGCTTCTTTGATGACGGCTTGGAGGTAGACCATGCTTTGGGTGTCTTTAAACTTCACTTTCTTCTCGACAATTTGATATCGATCAAGCTCCTCTCGGAGTCGTTGCAAACATGGTGGGCTCTTGAGCAAGTAGTAAATGATGGCAGATAGAGAGTTGCCAACTGTATCTGAGCCAGCGGCCTGTGCTGTGATCAGTGGCTGCATAACATGTTACGTAGTAGAGAGCAAAAGGACACGGTAGACTAGACGTCAATCAAACATCACGCACCATATTCTGAACGCAAGCAACCATGATGTGTGTCGTTGTAAAGGTGTCTGGAATGCGTGTGTGCTGGGCGTAGAACTTGGTGAGAAAGTCGGTCGCTTTGCCCGATCCATCATCTGCTGCATCTGAATCAAAGGCTTTTGGATTGCTTTGGTGTTCCTCGATACAGCCTTTGGTAAAGCTCTGCACATACGTTCTGCCCATTCCTTTGGATCCAGCCATGTAGTTCATCATGGGAAATATATACGGGTGAACGAACGAGTATATGCCTGCAAGGGAAGCATATGCCGCCATGTTGCTGATGGCCTTCATGACACCTTCGACATCTAGGCCTCTGTCGAGAAATCCCAGACGCTTAGAATAGGTGATTGATCCAATAACGTCGAAAGCGTAGCACTGCAACCAGTGGCGCAGGTCAAAGTTAATACCACCATGCGCCATTTCGACCAGCCTCTGGCTGACGAGATCTGCACACTCGTCCACATATGGCTCATAGGTCACAAGTGAGGACAAGCTGTATGTGTGCTGAAGTAGCCTGCGGTTTGCCGCATGTCTCTTTTCGTTCTGGTCGGCGAACAATGTCCATGCCCCTGGAGACTTCCAGGCGCTATACCATGAAGACTTGGGGAAGGGTGACGCATGTCCATAGCTGTGGGGATGAATGTGTTAGCTTTTGGTTCCCTGCAGGGCGCTATAGAGGCTTATATCATGTTGACTCCGTTGTGCGTTATGATATCCCACCAGGACATCATGTGTTTCTCAGCCAAGTACTGACATGATTTTTCCTGCGTCGAGAGTGGCGAAACTGAATCGATTGGGACCGTAGCGGACGATGGGACCTAGATAAGGTATTTAATATATCAATGTGTCGGATGGCCTCGTAGAATCCGAGCGTTGCTGCGATATCCGAATGTTATATTTTCACTTACCATATTGGTCATGCAATCTTTTGTTGGTCAACTCAAAGTCACCACGACGTATCTTGGCCAGATACCACAGATCGGTGAAGCGGGTCACGAAGGGCCCTGGGATTGAGCGGAGCGGTGATACAAATGGTCGGACAAGGATTAGAGTCGCATAGACAACGATACCACCAAGTGCGAGACACTGCAGAAGTATGATACTCATGTTGGTTTTGGGCTTTTGGTATATGTAGTACGAAGTCTAGCCGAAGGTGGGTTCAATCTCACAACGTAGAGGGTTAGGACTCAAGACCGTCTTTCTTGGTGAAAGTTCAGGGCGTTATTCGCAGCTCAAATATTGCTAAGAATTTATCTTTCGGGGGCTCAGATATATAGAGCAATACGAGCTCCGCCAACATCGGTAAACACCCACGGGAATAACAGTCCGAACACCAATTCGCGAAGAGGTTCTCCGCAAGTACGTATATAAAGAACCAAGGTAAAATGCAATGCGACGTGGGCAGCGCTTGTGCGGGGTCAAAGACGCAGTAGTGTCTCATGATGGCGTGGATATGAAAGTAGTGAATATCTTGTAATATCACAAGCCGTGATTCTTCTATGGCGATGACTTTGTGATTCGCAATTATTTTGCGAGTTCTTCTCATCTGGTTACGCGAGTTGACCTACGGGAACTCGTGTGGGTGATCATGTATTCTTGGCCTGCAGCTGGGCGCCAGCTGGCACTGAAAGCTCAACATTTTGGGAGAAAAGGTTTTGGGCCGCAAGCTTGTCGGTTATTCTAGAGGGGCTGCAGAATTGGAGAAGTCCAGCAACTGTGCTCATAACATTAATTACATTACGAATACGTCAGTCAAGCCACTGTCTCACTATCTGCGTCGCCATTTCACAATTGACCAAAGCTCCCTGCCTACAGAGTACATGCAGATCGCTGTGTTACACACCCTGGCTCTGATCCCTCGCACTATAAGCCAAAGACCTGGGGCAGCTATTTCTTGCCCGTCATAATGGCGGCGTCGATTTCAGAGCTTCCGCCCGAGCTGCTCAACTTGATCTGCAATTATATGCACACCAAGCAGGAGATTGCAAATTTCTCCCAATGCTCTCGTCAGTTTCGTGCGGTCGCCGCGCCACATTTATACCGTCACATCGATCTTCTCTCAACTTCTGTGTTCAATCATGCTCTTCGCAAAGATGCCGTGAGCCACCGCGTCGAAGCTCTAGTCAGGACCTTTCTACGAGATCGCAATTTGGGCTTGATGGTGCGACACCTTGCAATCAGACTGCCAGAGGTTGTTCAGAACAATGGGAGAGCATTGACACCTCTGGACCCGCAATGTGAGGATGTCGTAAAGGCCATCCTCCCAGATAGTTTGGATAATAGCCTGCTTGCCCAAACAGGCATAGTTGGGTCTACGTCTAGTGCCGGTTCTGTCGACAGTGGAAGCGATTGGGAAGAAGCAAATGGCAGCGACTGGGAGTCTACAGATGAAAGCGCCGATGAGGATGAAGTTGAGATACTGACCAATCACAATGAGTCGATCCCAGTCTTTGAGACCGAAGCAGACCGGTGGATATATCTTGCTGCTAGAAGCAAGGCCATTCGCGGAAATGTCATGTTCACGATACTTCTCTCCTGCATACCAGGCTTAGCCACTTTGGATCTCGAGATGCCTTCTGATGGATGGCGGACTGGGTTCCTTGATCGTGCTCTCCAAAGAGACATGACTCACCACAATGCACCATCACAACCAAGCCCATCATCGTTTCTGGCCAACCTTCGCCATATCTGTTTTGGATACACTTCCCCATTGCGACGAGGAGAATCATGGGTTGGGCCGTTTGTACTTCCATCACTCGAACAGATTTATCTCCACAACCTGTCCAGTCTAGGACCAATCCTCAGTTTTGTCAGGCCTCAATCTCTCAACATCACCCATCTGGAGCTCCGCGATTGTAGAGTTCCCGCTACGTCTCTCATCCGGCTTCTCTCTAGTCCCAAAGCGCTCAAAACCTTCATTTACATTGTTGGCGAAGAAAAAACAAGGGAGGACCACTTCGCGCCTATTAGTTACAGGTCTCTTCGTCTTTCCATGGAGAAACAGAAGGACAGCCTAGAAGAAATCTGGCTCGACTACCCGCACGACTATCACTGGGGCAACAGCACCAGCCAGAACACGGCGCCCATGGGAAGTCTTACTGCCTTTACAAAGCTCAAGCATCTCCGCATCGCCGGCACCTACATATTTGGTTTTGTGTGGACAAGCAATGTGGATGAGAGACGTCTGGTTCGAGCACTGCCAGAACAGCTCGAAACGCTTTGTTTGTGCCACGCCGACGAAGACGATGAGACCATTGATGGAATCACTTTTGTGCTGGACGCCAAGAAAACGGGCCGCTTCCCCGAACTGAGGGAGATCACTCTCGAAGCAGGGGCCATGTGGCATTTTGGCAATCGTCGTGACCTAGCGCCAGTCCTCGAACTTGCCGAAAGCGTTGGTGTCTACATGAAGCTTATAGATAACCATAGCGACCAAAGACTCGAGGAAATGTGGGAGCGAACTCATGCAGCTCTTCATTTCATGGAAAATCCTACGCAGAAGTCACGCAGAGAAAGTCCTTGGGGCTTTTACAGGGAAAAGTCGTGGCCCGTTCGAGTGAGTGGCATAATGCAGATGCCACAATACAGGGATATAACAGAGAATACAAGAGTGGTCCGAGCATCGGATGACTCAGATGATTCATGAGGTGGCTGTACGTCCGCTTGTAGCACACTGTACTCGGTCGATGCTGTCAATAGTAGGATATATGCTGGAAATCAATATGACTTTTACAAGAACGACTTTTAACGCCTCAAATCAGGGTATAATCCGACCAAAGTATCCCCCAAAACACCCTCTGCCAATTGCAAAGCCTTTCCGCAATAAGTTTTTGCCAGCAAATGGCATCCGGTCAAGACAAGTTCTTCCCACATGACCTTCTCAACGTCGTAGCCAAAGTCTCGAATTTGACTTTCAGCGGAGCCCCAGAGGCGTTGCGCGCTTCCCGTGGCATTTTTCTCAAATAGGGGACTCCCGTCCTGCAACAGCTGCTCAACATCGAGTTTGACAATGTTATTGTGGATGAAGAATGGCTTTGCGATCACCTCTTCAGCTTGCCTGGTCATCGTGTTGTTGGAGCTATCCTTGCGCTTGAACTTCTTAAGCTCGATTGGGCCCAACTGGAAGCCTTTGCTAAATTTTGCGCCGGGCGCATTAAACAGCTGCCAGTCTTCCCTTGGGTCCGCTTGCTTCATGCCAGCCGAGTGCCAAGTCTCATTCAACCTCCGTCCCATGACTGTCACACGGCTCTTGACATCATAAAAAGGGGTCTCAAGAACAAGCGCGGCATGAAGAAATGTCTCCTTGTCGCCTTCGCCAGCGGCTCCTTGACTCAGCATCGGATAGTAGAAACGTGGTCCGAGAAAGTTGTAATACAGTGCGAGGAGCAGATCGCGCGCATGCCGCGACTTATCGTAGAGCATAATGCCGGACTCTGAGCTCCGTCTTTCAGCTAGTTGAGGTACCGGTATATCTGCGATATCATAGGCCATATGACTGGCTGTGTTGGCCCAAAAGTCGGGCCATACCACCATGCCTGTAGACGTGTAAGGCTCCGCCATGAAGAGCAGGTCTGGGTTGTGCGCTGGAAAAGCGTCTGCGTCCAGGAAGAGGATCTCCTGGAAGGGGGAGAAAAGGAGGGCAAAGACCTTGAGCTGGCATTTCTCTTGCTTGATGGAAGGTGGCGCCACGTCAAGAAGCTCGGACAGCACGACGCATTCGGCGCCCATGGATGGGAAAAGTTCGTCGCAGACATGCTCGTCATAGTCTTTGGGGGTATCAAGAAAGGCCACCACTGGCAGTCTGGAGCCTGCTCGTCGCAGCATACGCAACGAAAGGATGACCATTTTGAAATACTTTCCGCCCGCCGTTGTAACTATGCCCCGGGTTCCTGGTTGATACGGCAGACCGGGAGCCATCGTGCTGGTAATGTCGAGGAAGGACTTGTGACTGCCTCGTAGGTAATTCACTGCCTCTTCTGGAAGTCTGGCAACGTCGAGCCGATGATGTTTGGGGTTCTTGTCAAAGTCGAACGCTTGGTCCGCATCGCTGGAGCCCCTGATCAACCTCACTGCATCTACCGTGGGAGTCACATCGCGCAGGTGGTTCCGAAGAGCATGCCAGTATTGTTGTACTCTTGGCGACCGAATGTGTTCTTGCCCTGATGCAAGTTGACTGGCCCGAAGAATGGTTATTTCTGCGTGCTCCTTCCTTATCCTGTCTGCGAGTTCGAAAGAGAGGTACAGAAAAGAAATAATTGCAAATGCGACGAGGATGCGCCAGGCTCGCGGACGTAGGGGCCGAAGAGCCATAGCGTTGTACTTGAAGAAACAATGAATAGAGTTGAGAATAGAGTTAAATCAAGAATAAATGCAAAGAGACGACGAGAGATGACAATCTGCAAATAAATTTGGAAACGTAAAGATCGTCAGTTGTAGGGGGTGATATATTTTGCTGTCGGTTGTTGGTGTTGGTTCTTTCTCATTAGGTCGCCGAATACCTTACCTGTCTGCTCACAGCGATGGTCGGACAAGATGGCCAGTCTCCAAGGCTTGCGATTACGCATGTTCTATCCGGTTCTCGTGAAGTGGGCCAGGGTGTTCCATATATCATAGCGAAGGGTCGTGTCGCAGCAATCCGGGGGTGGCCGATGGGTTAATTGGCTTCGGTATGCAGTTTCATAGGTTCGTCGCACCTGTCCGTTGCTCACAAGACATTGTTTCTTGAGTGGAGACAAAGGGGAAGAGGTTGAAACAGAGAGACAGCAAGAGAGAATATAGAACACAGGAATTCATAATATTTCAGTTTAGACAATAGGGAGCAAACTAATCATCTTGATCTCGAAGGAACCGTCTTCTTTTTTCTTTTTCTTTTCCCTCCTTTCCGTGCATGGCGAAAATCATACTTTGTTTTTTTCTCTGCCCAGGCTAGCCCGTTGCCCGCCCACCTGGAGCCTTGTGAAGCGCCGTACCATAATCGCGAAGGAGCAGCAATGAATCATGTGTATTGGTAGTACGATATTCTCGTTTGTCTAATTGCTAATTCCCACGCATCCTCACACAAACGCATACAAATTGGGCGATGAAGTGGATCAATCAACCTCGTTATGAAGGCAGCTGAAGGGTGAACATCGGTCATGCTAAAGATTTCCAGCCTGAGACACCTCTCCAATCGATCAAGGGGGCTCAGTCCACGTAACGTCCACAAAGATGGAAAAGGTACGATTGAAAGTCCTGCATGTCTCTAGTTTGATTGATTGCCAGGCTCGCATTTAGAGACTGCGATTAGAGTTACGATAACAAGAGTTTTCGGCACTTGTTTGTGGTCCGATTTTCGTGTACTTTGATGCCTCCTGTTTCCTGTGAGCGTGTAGAAGGTTTTTGGCGGCGGCCGCCAGGCTTTCCGGGCGTTGAGATGACAGGAAGAGGTTGTCGTTGCAATTCTTTTCGCACTGATAGATTTGCGTTATGCTATAGTGACGGAGTATAGTCAGATAGATTTAGTGTCATGGCCACTGCCAGTTAGAATTAGCAGGCATATTAACCTGTCCAGCACACCCGCTTTTTTGACTTGAGTGACAGCTATCATAGATGCACGGCATTTTTGCTCCACTGTCTCAAGTGTCAACTCAAAATGAGATCATTCCATTGAGTCATTTCTTTTTCTCTTATCAAAGGCCATGTAATACTCGGTACACACTCAGAAAGTCAAATAGATCAGCTCCAATCATGGGATTACTCTTATCCGATTGTCCCTTCAATGCCAAAGCCATTCCCACGTTTGTGGGCGGCTGGCAACAAGTAAATGTGCGCCCAACAGGATTGGCAAGCATGCCGCCGCCACCACCAACAACCAAAGAAATCACGCTCAGCCCAGCACGGCACAACAAAAAGGCTCCTTTAAAACACCCGTCCAATCAAGCGTCGAACCACGCATAATTCCTGTTTCTCTTCTTCACAGAAGGCCGTGTCGATCAGGCTTCCTCGACCTTGCGAGGCATCACTAGTCTTTCTAATTATAGTTGTCGTGCGCGACCCGGAAACGGGTGAATGCTGTCTTTTAATGACATCCCCATGCTTCCTTATGAAACGCATCCGAATTGTCAAATCAGCTTTGCGCAAGTTGTTAAGATTACCTACATATAGTCTTACCAATTGCCAAAGGGTATAATCAGCAAATGCGATAGTGATGTTGCGATTGTGACACTACAGGTCCGTGCTGGGCTATGTTGCGCATTTCGCATGAGGGATTGCTGGATGCAGAGGACTTGCCCAATCATTCTTTGAAGACCCTCTGCGAGAATTTGGAGTTAGCAAGTGTCACAAGAGTTCCATCAACTCTATATTAGCGGTTGCTTCTTTCGACTCGATTTCGGCATATACACGCACAGTCTTCTGTGAACAAGTTGAGAGGCGAGACAATTGTGCAACGATTTTGGCACCAGGAATCAAATATATCGATTAAGGTAGTATTTACAATTGATTTTCTGGCGTTTTGATTCAAGTACAAAACTTTATCAACCCGTATTAACGTCCATCACTAAAGATGCCGGCAGTTTTTTATGCCAATGTTCCTGGTTTTCTCATTGACGATGCATGATCCCTTGGCGCCATCCAGTAAGCAAACATGCCTTGTCCTATGATACCATTGCCCAGAAGTCCTGTTCATTGCTTCTTCACATCAGTATTATTGATGCTTCGGATCCATCCATCCGTTGATCCAGGAGTCGCAATAGTCAGGCCACTTTAGATCATGGCAGCGAGAGCGCCGAGGACGAGCATGCCAACAGAGCCGGCAGTAGCGACGGCGGCACCGGCAGTGACGACGGTCGACGGGGCCGAGGTGGCCGAGGCGGTGCTGTTGGTGTGGGCCTTGGTGCTGGTGCTGACAATGGTGGTGGGCACGTAGCTGGTGCTGGAGATGACAGTGGTCGGGTAGCTGCCGCCCTCGCTCTCCGAGGCCGATGTGGTGGCCTCGCTGACGGTGCTGGCGGCCGTGGTAGTCGGCTCGGCGACGGTGGTTGTCTCAGCAGCGGAGGTGGTCTCGGCGGCAGAGGTTGTCTCAGCAGCGGAGGTGGTGGAGTCACCGCCGGCCTCAACGGCGGCGCAGAAAGCCTGGGTGGCTGGGAGGACGTCGTCTATGATAGCGCGTTAGAAGGATGGCTTTGTATTCATGGAGTGAAACTTCAACTTACTGACGGCGACAGTGGCACCGCAAGCGCTGATGACACAGGTGGTGGCGTCACCCTGGATGGCGGTGATGTTGTCACACAGACACTTGTAGTCGGTCTCACCGCAAGTGGTGACAGCGGCCCTCGAGGCGTCAATGCAGGGGATGGCGCAAGAAGGGATGGTGGAGATGTCCTGGGCGTAGACGGTGGCAGCAAGGGCCGCGGCGGCGAAAGCGTACTTCATTTTGACGGTTGGGGGGTTTTTATTGGGTTGACGGAAAGACTACAGTGTCAAAAGTAGAAGAAAGACGTAGTATACAGTCAACAAAGGTTGATATGAATGGACTCGTGATTGGAAAACGAATGTATGGATGGATAGGGAAAGAAGGTAAAGAGACGTAAACGTTGCAATGGAGGGACACTCGAGCTTTTATGCCTCCTCCCCTTTTCCATTACATCCGGATATCCTCAACAATACACAACCACCGTCATAACGTAGCAGCATGGTTAAAACAAGGACCTGCGACCATGAAGCGCAGGCCACTATTGGGCGCAGGACGTCGGGCCGTCCAATCGACTAACATAGTCGATACACTTGGTAGACTTAGTAGAGGCAGGGGTTTAGTCGCCATATGTTATTCTGGTTTCGTAATAGTATCACCTTCCAGAGGCTTAACGAGAGGCAAGATATATTGAACTTGCCATATTCGGGCCAAGCTCCGATATGATCTGCAATACGCTGACCTGGTTGGTTCGCCTCTCTAGTCTGGGGAAACAAGGTAGCAATTATGCTTGTCGGGCTACGGCCTATGATCGACGGTTGTCGGGCTCTTCGGTAGAAACAGGTCTTGTCCGTATGCATTCATACCTGCACTGCGAGTACGTCCAGGGTCAAATCATCGATTGGATCATGTGAAAACCGTCAGGAATCCCTCGTATTAAGTGAGACAAGGAGGCAACACAGGGCAATATTCACCTCGGCTCAATTGGGGTAATTGGGGTCTGACTGGCCCTTAGAATCTCAGAGTTATGCAGTAAGCAGAAAGGCGATTTCTGGCGAGAATTAAACAATCACAAATGACCGCTGCGATAATTCCAAAGTCACAGTTCAATTTCCTCAAATTTCGGCGCATGGGATGCAACCGTAGCGGGTGATTATTGAGGGTAGCATTACTGCAGGTACGCAGGCGCGAGTGGTGAGCATGCCGAAGGGCAAACAGCCTGCACGCACTGATTCCATACAGCCGACCGAACGAGCGAATGGACGTATTGTACATTTCACGTACGAGAGAAAACGCCACTATTTCCCATAGGATCAAACAAAGAGGTTATGTTCGCCGGCCGAAAGAACCAAGAAACCAGGTACGTGCAAAAGTTCGTTCACAGACCCAACTCTATCTCTCGGAAGTGGGTACGCGAATGGGCTTAGCGCGGCCAAGGTTCATCTTACGCGCCAGGGGTTGTTCAAAATCCGGGGGTGGAGCCAGGCCTGGGCTAAACCTGTTATGAACTTATGCGTTGTGTGGATGTGCTGATGACCACCACACCTCCTCTTCGTCGTCCTCTTCGCGTCGTCTCCAGCCATTCCCCGGACCTGGGGGGGCCCTGCAGGTCTTCGCCCGTTTGGCACTGTCCACTACGTATATTCATGCCGAGGTGCACCTAGCTTCGGCAAGTCATCGATGAGAAGCAGCTGATGATCATGTCATGTTGTATTCGGCAGCATATGATTCTCTTTTCTCGAGGTTAGCGAGATGAGGCGGAGCTGAGAGGCTGATGGTGATACTGTACCTCGCTGCTACCACGTCGAGAAATTGGCATCGGCAGAAAAATTCTCTCACGGCAGTTTGTTAGTGGTCCCTTCCATTCCAACTACAATAGTCCTTGGAATTATGTCCGGAGGCAAGACAGCGTGATCCGGGTTGTGGTCCCCGGACAATTAGTATCGAGCATTGGTGGATCTGGAAATCACCTCACAGTCATTTCCCCAGATTTTATTCCCTGCACAAACCCCCGATCCCGAGGTCAAGCTTCTTCGAGTGGATCACATTTGAGGAGAACGAGATTAAGAGAACAAATCAGGGCAGCTACATGTGCATTCAGAGCATTTTAGCAAAAGTCTTGAACGTGTTCTGAGGACTGGAAAAGATCAATAGATTTCTCACTTTGTGGTAACTGGACAAACAAAAATTCGGAACCAACCTCAACATGGTGTCAGCAGTACTTCTGCGTAAAAAGACCGGCTCGCTCACTCCATTGCCATATTCATTGGTCCCGAAGCTAGAAGTCTAGAACTACTTGAAGTGACGCTTGCTCATTTCGCTCTTTACTCGCCTATGCATCGGGCGACGCTATGCTACGTTCATGCATATAACTGCAGCAGCAAATCTCCCAAGAGGCACATAGCACCATGTATTGATTCCAGGCTGAAAAAGTCCGACTGCTTGGCCTGGTTTCGCGCATGTGAAAGCGGCAATGAACCAGTGGTTATCCAGTCACACAAGTATGACGACCGGAGATTGCATTTACAGGAACGGTCATCTGGCACAGGGTCTTGATCCCCAGGATGGAAGAGACCGTGTATATTCCGTGACGAAAGTGATATGTCTTTTGCCATCATGATCTCTGGTAAATTTCATTCTTCACTTAGATTACCTTTTCTGTGTTGGATATTTTGAGACACTTTGATTATTCTTTCTTGGGCCATCCCCCTGAGCCAGAACCGCCCGGCTGGTAGCCAGTCAGACCTTTGACCGACGACTGCTTACACACAAGTGGGTGCTATAACTTACCGCCGTGCATCTAAACTTGTGGGAATTATAGTTAATTTTCATGGTGGGATATGGTCTCTCAGTGTTGTCACCTTTTCTTCCAGCTTCACCTGTTACCAGCGGACGCCCAGCTAGTTACGCAGCTACCATAGCCCAAAGAATAAGGGCGAGATCTGGCCCGCTGTCAGCTTCTTATCTTGGGAGAAAAAAAAAATTCCATATCTGATCTACGCTGTATATCACGGTTCGCGATGTGGCATTGCGTGTGCTGACGGGAACTAAGTTCTCTTCTGTTCTTTCCCCTAGTTGGTGCTGGCTAACACTAAAGGCCGCGACTAAGATACTCAACTCGATCACACCCAAAGAGCGAAACAGATACCCAATGCCATCTTCATCAAAAGCAGTGGCCTGAATATTCAGGTCGTCAAACTGCAAGCACTCGCTACCTCGAGTCGACCGCCTCGTTCAGATGTCGCAGTGGTACGAATGGGGGCTCAAGAACACAAGCAAATGTCCTCCAGCTTTGGCTGTCTTCTTCATGAAGAAGCGTATTGACTTGGGTCAAAGTTTAGCATAAGCTGATCTCCATTTTGGAAAAAAGCACTTTGCAATTGCCGAAGACTCCCGTGATAGTACCATCATTCTATTTTGACGGATCAGAGACCAGGACGCGCGACAATCGGCTTACCATATGACTAAAAGGGACGACTCACGATACTACGAGTATAGTAAGTGACGCCAGTCATGACTGAAAGCGGAAGCGGACCGTATGGGTCCACTCGTCACAGTCCGACGTCTGAAGTTGCCCAGCAAGACACAATTAGACTGAACTAAGATACGACTGGCATTTCAGGCCCGACCACGATAACTATCTACCTACCTGCCTGCTTACCTGCCTCCTCTCGGCTCGGTGCTCTCGCTCCAGCTTCATTAAGCGTACAGTGACGATTCGCGCGAAGGATTTCTCCGGGGGCAGCCGATGATTCTCTTAGCAACAATGAATGACTCGGATTCATTGCCTGAGCGCAACGCTATTCGCACCTCTAGCTTGCGTGAATTATAGATGACGAGGAATCAACAATCAGTTCTTCTCAAATATGACACAAGACCAGCCAAGGGCAGGAAGAAGGAGAAGAAGAAAAAACCATTCATCTTTGCAAATTGCCTCATCCTGAAGCTGACGTTTCGGCATTGCGGAGTCCTTGACGCGTCCCTGTCTTGTACCAGCCGAATCATGGTTTGACTATGGTCGCAGATTCTCGTGAAGGAGTCGGCCATTGCTTGTAGTAAAAATATTGCCGAGTATCATCAATTGAAAATCTCGTCAATTTAATCTGGGAAGATAATATCAATAGAAAGACTATATACTACGAACACGCAATTGAAGTCAAATTGACGACGTGTGTTTTCCGAACTCGGGAAAAAGCTAAAATAAAGTCCAGTCGCCGTGGACCCTTAGATCTCTTCCTCCCCCCTACTACCTACTAGGTACACTACGTAATGTGTCCTTGACCTGCGCGGAATTTCCAAACGCAGTAGACTACCCCGCCAACTTTCTTCAGGGCACTAGATTGCCCCTCCAAACCTGACTGCAGTCACATCCGAAGCTGATTCCATTCGAATTGTTCGGTAGTAAATTGTCGACAGCAGGAGAATAGGTTTCAACTGCCACAAAATTGCGAGCAAGATGGAGTTCGACACGAAAACCCGTAAGCAACGTCTACTATTCGAATGATCACCGTCCTTGCGCGACGACAGGCTAAGAAATACGCGTTGCACAGCCCCGTACATGACCAGCGACAAGACGTCGTTTGCGTTCATCTCTGCCCGCGACCGCTGGCCGGTCATTATTGTGTGTACACTCGTCCATGCGCATATTGTAGCGAAATGAGGGCTAAACGCAATTTCTTAGACGCAAGCCATCGACGACGTCTACCGAACGATCACCCAGACCAACGACCAAGCCAAGGTCGACGAGGGCAAGAAGATTGTCGAGGAGCTTGCCAAGCTCAAGTATGAGCTGCAACACAACCGCCAGTTGACGCCCATCCAAGATGACGGAAAGCCAGATATAGCACTCTACAATCAAGAGCTGGAGAAGCTTGGGCAGGTCGCATGGTTCAATGTTCCATGGCTGTACAGCGAATGCTACCTCTACAGGTGCGGACGACTCGAAAACCCATGAGCAACGCAATAAACACGCACGTCTGACTGACAGCAAGTTAGGCGCATCGCGACACACTTCAGCCTATCGCAGCACTGGAAATCCTACGACATCTTTGCCCGGCAGAAGATGAACACGTTCCGGTCCTCTCGGCCGGCTGTTGTAGAATTGGCCGCCCGGTACAAGGACCTCGTCACTCAGATCCACAACGACAAGAGCAAGACCGGCCCCGAGGCGGACGAAGCGCAAAAGATTCTCTTCTACGAGATGATGGAGATCTGTCTGTGGGGAAATGCCACTGACCTGTCACTCTTGACGAGTCTGACGTACGAAGATATTCAAAAGCTGCAGGGCTCCGAGGCACGCAAGGCCAGCGAGAAGAACATCTTGATCAACGACCTGGACAAGGCTTTTGATGTTCTACGCAAGGCGCGCGACGAGGGCAAGAAGGAGCGACGCGTCGACATCGTCCTCGACAATGCTGGTTTTGAGCTGTATGTTGATCTGATCCTGGCGGGATATCTCCTTTCCGCCGGCCTCGCGACCAACGTGGTTCTGCACCCCAAGGACATTCCCTGGTTCGTGTCCGACGTCTTACCCGGCGACTTTGCTGCCCTGCTCAGTGCCCTTGCGAACCCCAAGAACTTCTACGAGACGCCCTCGGATGACGAGAAGCACCAGGATAAGGTCCCCGAGCCCTTGGGCGAGAAGGAGGCCGGTGAACTCTCGTTCCTCTTCCAAGAATGGGCAGGATTCCACGCCGAAGGCCAGCTCACCATCCGCCCCAATGCTTTCTGGACTCACGGCGGCAGCTTTTGGAGGCTGCCAGCCGAGAAGAACCTGGTTGAGGATCTCAGGGCTAGTGAATTGGTCATTTTCAAGGGAGATTTGAACTACAGAAAACTGACTGGCGACGTGAGTTCCGTTACTTGACCTGACAAATCATTGAATACTGACTTTTCATAATGCAGGCTGCCTGGGATCCCACAACGCCTTTCACACAGGCCATTGGCCCGCTCGGCCCTGGATCTGGTCTCAATGTTCTTGCACTCCGTACCTGCAAAGCAGATGTCGTGGTTGGACTGAAGCCTGGCCAGGATGAGGAGATTCGTGCAACTGAGGGTGGAGGCGGTGACAGCGGGGCCCGGAAATGGGCTTGGAGCGGCAAATGGGCCGTAGTGTCGTTTTCTGGAGGCAAATGATAGATTTGGAATAGAACATCAAAAAGCCGGATTATAGAACGTAGATGATCATAGAGGAATCAAGAATTACTATTCCAAATCAGGATCCCGAGCCAGCTCACTGGCAACAAACAACGATATGTGATGGCTTCAACAAATGAGACATTTTACCTGGAAGCATAAATACAAGCCTCCATTGGCAACATACGATTGTATGATTTGCTGTGTCCCTGTTCTGATGATATATGTATGCGGCTTTCTTTCCGCATATCCACGTATTATGACTTTATGGCTTCATACCATCAGGACTAATTCACGAAGTTGGGCATCATATCTATTATTTTTCTCTACCCAAAATTGAAAAAAGGAGCACATTTATTTTTCTTTGCTTTTCCAAACCCAGCAACCTTTTTGCTCTTTAAAAGAGAACCCTTCCCAAACAAGTAAGTTTAAGTCTAGTTAAAGACAACAGTCTTGTGGCCGTTGAGGAACACCTTCTTCTCGCTCCACCACTTGACAGCGGCGGCCAGGACCTGACTCTCAACGTTGCTGCCCTCCTCGACCAGCTCCTTGGGGCTCAAGCTGTGGTCGACGCGGGCGACACGCTGCTCAATGATGGGGCCCTCGTCCAGATCGGCGGTGACAAAGTGAGCGGTAGCACCAATGATCTTGACACCGCGGTCAAAAGCCTGGTGGTAGGGCTTGGCGCCCTTGAAGGAGGGCAAGAAGCTGTGGTGAATGTTGATGATCTTGCCGCTCATGGCCTCGCACAGACCGGGCGACAGGACCTGCATGTATCGGGCCAGGACGACGAGCTCAATGTCGTGCTTCTTGATCAGGTCGAGGATCTGGCGCTCCTGCTCCAGCTTGGTGTCCTTGTTCACGGGCAGGTGGTGGAACTCAATGCCGTAGCTCTCGGCCAGGGGCCGGTAGTCTGGGTGGTTGGAAACAATGATCGGAACCTCGATACCGAGCTGGTTGGCCTTGGTGCGGAACAGCAGGTCGTTGAGGCAGTGGCCAATCTTGGAGACCATGATGAGCACGCGCGGCTTGGAGCTCGTCGCCCGCACGTCATAGTCCATCTGCAGCTCTTTGGAAAGCTCGGCCAAGGGCGCGTCCAGGGCCGCCGTCGACTCAGCGTGGCCAAAGTGCACGCGCATGAAGAAGCGCTCCGACGTGCGGTCCGAGAACTGCTGCAGGTCCAGGATGTTGAGCTTCTGGCTTGCCAGCAGGCCCGTCACAGCGTGCACGATACCCGGCTTGTCGGGGCATGACAGCGTGAGGTAGTAGTCCTTTCCGGCAGACATCTTGGCTTCAAGTTTGTTCAGCTCGGCGACCTTTTTCTTGGGCGGGCTGCTGCTGCTGCTGCTGTAGAATCTGGCCTGGGACCGTGACTGCCAGCTGTTGAAGCTAGCGGCGATGATTGGTGACTGAGAAGCTGGTCTGCCTGTGGCGGCAGTGGTGGTGGCACTGGAAACGGCGGCTGTGATGCGATTTGTTGTGCAGTGGCGCCGGCCGATACTCGTCAGCCTGACAGTGCGACAGCTGAACCCGGCGATCATCTAGCCCGTGTCCCTTGGAGTAAAGAAAAATGGTTTGAAGATTGAATTATGTTTTTTTTATCGTTCCGAGTCATCGCGGCCCGGCCCTCTGCAGGTTTGGTTAGAATTTGCAGGCGGTGACTAGCTGTGACACATTAGTTTGTGCCCCACCCATGGCATGGCTCCGCTGTCGGCTCATAGTCATTCGTAGGTAGCTGGGTATGTAATTAATGGAAATTAATTGGACTGAGACAATTCTAGATCATTTAACGTTTCCTGGTCCGCATGGCTATAATGGAAACAATCTATTGTATGGTAACCGGGCAGTGTATAATTACTAGCCGCCTGCTATATAGTGAATGGGGTAAGAGACGATCTCTCAAGAGTTCCACCAGTAGCGTTGCGATACCTGAATTATGCGACTCATGATTCGCTTATCAGCAGCAGGTACACCAAGCGAACATGTGGGGGAATATACAGCTGTAGGGCGTACCCAGATCGATGTACAGAGTCATAGTACTCAGATGTTCATTGAATTTTACATTTCAATCATCTAGTCTCATTAAAGTTCCTATTGTCGCAATCCAATGATTTGGCTCATTGTCAATCAATCGTCGAGCATGGCAAGAGTGTACCTAGAGGTTCGTCAATACATTGAATGTTTGCAATGGTGTCGAGCAGTTGAATTTCCGTATTGTCGTACCTTCGCACATGCATATTTCCATTATTGTACTATCTCAGTCGTTGTGGCACGACCTTTTTTGTAATCTTACCATAACGTGATCAGTAAGCACAAAAACATCCTGATACTATCCATATCACCTTTTCAACAACAAACCTGTTTCTAGAGAAGAGAACTGTAGACGGATCAACCCCCGCTACCTCGCCTGCAAGTCAATTACTTGCGTACATACCTAAACTTCCGGGTCGCCCAAGCAATGTACTGACCGCTCTTCGGCCGCCTGGAGAATATTCAAGAGCACACGCATCCCAGCTATAAGCCTTGGCGTTAGCAGTCACCAGGACGCTATGGATGTCTTCTTTCTCCTCGATGTACCTGTGGAACTAATGAATCATTTGCAACCATTGTCTCCTGCCTCACTTTCCAGAGCGCCGGCTTTTCGTGGAAGTCGTCGAGGATCGCGGGGGACAATGAGATCTCTGCAAGTTGTCGCAGACATGAAAAACCATGCATAGTATTGCAAAGCCCATGATTATGGTCTACCATGAGGTTAAGCGGCTAGGCATAGAGTTTGAATATATCCCTTGAATATATACCCCTTACTTCTGCCGAATCGCCTGGGGCTCTATATTGGCGCCACGTGCAGCGTTCATGGACGTGAGGACCGATTACAACATTGGTTACCCAATGGCCGAGGCAATAGACCATATCCATCTAGCCGCTCGCAACGTAGAGATACAAAGGCTTTGGTTCCCGCATACACCAGAGATACACTTTGCCTCACTGCCTTCGCCTTCGCCTTCGCAGCATTGGAGACAACACGATGAGGTGCTTGGAGATGATGTTCCGGTCATTTTGATCCCTCCGGAGCTCGAGTCCTTTACGTTCACCGGAGCGGACCCAAAATAGATAATCCCCATTCGCAACTTCATCATTGCAAGTGGGCGGCATATTTCCGAGTCTCGGGACGATTGACATCCCGGAATATTTATACGAACAGCGTCTAGAGTGTGTTGCATAAGGATTGATCACGGATGAGCTGGTGTCGAGGTTTGTTAATTCGAGGCAGAAACCTCATCGGAAAAAGCAGGCTAATCGAGATATGACGTGAACGAGCCGGGTTCTATGTCTCTCCCATATGCAGGATCATTTCCAGCTGTCTAGACCCCCAAGGCGTCCCGCACAACATGATTATTCGCTGGGGGAATTCGGTACCGTTTTCTTACTTTCAAACGCCCTAGGGCTCTTGATATTCACTGCGCCAGTGATAGTCTGCGCAGTCAGAATTCGACTGTGGACTGAAGCTCCCAATGCCAAAAGGTTCACACATCGTACCAAGTCTAGCGACTCAAAGAAGAGGGAGATCAAACCCTATTTTCTCGTCTCTTGTATATCTTTTTCAGTCACCTTATACGTGAGCGTGATTGGGGTGAGCCTGGGGATGAACTTTGATTTCTCTAGACCGGCCAGTTGCGATCTTGGAGTCCTCGCAGATGCGCCGAACGCCTTCTCGCAACGAGACTGCAATCCCAGGACCAACCCATTCTTGCCGGAATTCATACATGATACTCTTCTGTACGTAAAGAGTACATTGCACTCCTCTGCCAAGCCCACCTTCGAGTGCGGCTCTCTTGGCAGCCCCCACCATCTCCAATCCTTGGCTGAACGAGTGACAGCGGCGCAGCTCGGCATTCAATGCCAAGGCGCCGTTGGACACAAACATTACTCCAATGTCAACGTGGCACAGGATTCTATACTTCGTTAGATGACGACGACTGCTCGACCTGGCGCAAAGACATGACGAATCGTCTGACATCAATAGATAGCCTTGGGGCAGTGCGAATTATGATTTTGTTTTCCATTACTGATACAAAAGTTTGCATGAATTTCATCTCTATAGTAGCACTTCATGATATGTTTGTGAAAAAAAAAAGAGGCTTAGAAAAAAGCATTATTCCTGGACAAGAGCCCTACTACCACAATTATGAGAAGGGCAAAGATGCTAAGCAGGACAAGGGAACCATGAACATGAAAGGGGGTTACTCAATGCTATGCACATAGTTTATTGGGAATATCAACTCAAAACTCCAGAAGAATCCTTCATGAAAAGATGAACTGTTTTAAAACGATTCAAACTCCAGAATGCCTCGACATTAAAAGGGCATATGCTTGAATGTTTTTACAGAGCAATCATTCCAACTCCAACGGCAGCTGCAACAAGGGTGTACAGACCAATGGCAAAGTCACCAACGGTGAAGGCGCGGTCCATACCAACGGGGGCAGCAAAGTTGGCAGTGGAAGAGGATCCAGAGGTCGAGGAGGCACCGGTGGCGGTAGCAGCAACCGAGGCGGATGAGCTAGCAGCCTCCATCAGAGCATCACAAGTGTCATCGCTGACGGGCTCGCTGTTGATGGTGGCGGAGCCATCAAAGTCGCAAGCAGTGGAGGCCGAGTTCTGGTTCTCGTAGTAGGCCTGGAGAACGGCACCGAGCTGCTGAGTGGAGTTGCAACCGACGTAGGGGCCGTAGACACCAGAAGACTCATCGTGCTTAATGCTGGAGCAAGCATCCTCATCCTGGGCGCAGATGTAGCCGAAGATGTCGCCGTAGTCCTCGGTGTCCAGGTCGGCGGAAGGCTGGCAGGTCAAAGAAGCGTACATGCACTCGCAGAGCTCACGGTTGGGGGTAGGAGGCAGAGCCTCGGCAGCTTGCCAGTCATCACCAGTAGCAGGGCAGGACTGAGCAGAGTTGGTGGCCTCGTAAGCGTCCATGGAGGTGGAGGAAGGAGTGGCGGCGGCGATCTTGCTGGACAGGACATCGTAGTTCTCCATGGTGCTAGCATCATCACCGTCGAGCTCGACCAGACCGTAATCGTTGTCCTCCTCGAAGTACATGTAGACAATACCACCAGAGAAAACGCCAGTCATCTCGTCAGAGAACAGGGCAGTGGTGTCGTCCCAGGTACGGCCTTCGGCGCCACCTTGGGTGTTGCAACCATACTCAGCAAAGAAGACGGGGACGGAGTAGTTGGAGAAGAAGTCAACCTGGTCGCTGTAGCCAGACGCCTCAAAGCTGCTCTCACCGCACCAAGAGTAAATGTTGTAACCGAAGAAGTCAATGGCCTCGCTCTGGTTGCCGCAGTTGAAGTAGTCTGCAAGGTTGTGGCGAATGTTGGCATCATCGTTGGCAGCGTAACCAACACCCATCCAGCGTCCACCAGCAGCCTGCTTCTCAGCAATGTAGTTCTTGGTGTCACGAACAGCAGCCTTGACGTAGGCAGAGGCGTCCGTGTTGGAGGCGTTGTTGGAGACCTCGTTTCCGGCGAAGAAACCAATGACGTTGTCGTACTGGCTCAAGTCGTCGACAACGGCCTTGTAGCGGTCAAACAGGTCGACATTCCAGGCCGGGCTGTCTCGGTTGATGGAGAGAGATGGCTCACTCAGATCAGAAATGACGTAGATGCCAGCATCGGACAGCAGCTGCATGCAGGCCGAGTGGTCGGAGTCAGGGTTGATGGCATAAGTTCGGATCACGTTGGTGCCCAGAGCAGCGAGAAGGGGGACATCACGCTTGCAGTTGTCCTCATCGGCCAGGGGATCGACGTAAGTGTCCGTGGTGGAGGAAGTGTCACCGCCAGCGGCAGTGTCTTGCTGGTACGCAACACCCTTGATGAAGAACTGTGTTCCGTTCTCGTAGAAGAACTTGGTACCCTTTACGATGACGGCATCGAGGGCGGCGACGTTGCTCGCGAGGAGCAACGAGGAGGCCAAGGCTGTCTTGAGCATTGTGAATATCTGTGTGTGGTTTTGCAACAAGCGAATAAGTGTCGTTTCCTTCCTTCTATGTTATAGTGATGTGGAAAAAATGGCGCCGATGTAGCTGAATAGCTAAACGTTTTGAAAAAGATGGTGTATCAATGAGTGGCAGAACTAATAAGTTATTCTTTAATGAGTGTGAGGGACAGAAGATTCCTTTTCTTCCCGATCGCAACCTAAGTAATTACAAGAGGACGACGAAAGAGAAAAAAGAGAGTTGAACTGATCAAAATGCAAGAATCCAGAAGTATGCCATGGAGGAGGACATTGGGGGGTGAAAAAGGGCTTGCTCGTTGCCAGCGACCAGGCTAAGACCTGTTAGTTTGATACCCAGAAGACCCACGCAAGGATAGGGGATGCTAAGTGATTGAGATTGGGACTAGCGCATCACATTCTCCATGTGGATTTATTTGGAGCCCGTTATTAATCATAACGAATCGATGGATGGATGGATGGATGGGGGCGCATGGATGCCAGGAACAGCGGCGAGAAGGGGGAAGGCAAGAAAAGTGGTGATGGCGCGTCTCCATAATAGCTGCTGGGGGACGCGGTTATTGTGTGTTTCATTCGCCGCCTGAAGAAGCCCTCGAGAGGTTGTCTGTTTGTCCGTCTGTCAATTTGTCACGATTTTACTTGCCTGTAGGTATACACAATACCTGCTGTGATTTTGTTTTTGCTGGAGCTCAGGCAGAGGCGCAGCGGACGATACCACTAATAGCATATAGATGCAACACTAAATAACAGCGGTACTTCGGAAATGAAGCAACAGCAGCATTGTTGGATGTTGTTGTTCCCCGACTTGCTGCTTGCTCTACTGTTGCTCCTGCTAGACAAAGATGGGCGAGATGGGGCGATTGGATTGGCCTGACCACGGGCTGCCATGGAGAAGCTCCACGTTCATTTCGTCTGTCGAGTTGCGGGATCCACAATGCCAGCTCCGAGCCTTTGACATCCCAGCCAAGGACTGCAAGGAGATGGGACAATACGATGTTGCTGCATCTGGGCCCCCTCTGTCCGTCTCCAGTTTCAGTTGATCGCAGCCCCCGAATGCCCGTCGGTGGTGGTGTCTTGATGGTCTGCTTGTCTCGCCGTCGATAGTCTTATAACTTGCTCAGGACAAGACGTGGAATTGCGTACGACGATTCGGACCTGACCAATAAGATGCTCACCAAGTCCAGCGACAAGAGTTGACCGGTTGCTTGGGAGTCTTGAGGGTCATTTGAGTGGTTGGTTGGCATTCTTGGAAAGAATACTACCAGGTTGGCAAAATGGCAGTGCTCTGCGCTCTCGGTGCTGCACTCGGGACCATTCATCAACGATCTTCCAAGATTGATTATGCGAATGTACTAAGGATTCTTGGCACGATCAGCGTAGGAGCCGATGCGCACATTGCATAGGTACGGCATGCCACACTAATTCCTTGTGTGTTCGAAGTAGTAGCTCGCACATACCGGCAACTCACATTGTGGCTTTGTATCATTTGATGCTCCTTTCCTTTCATTGAGTCTCTCTTGCTATCATGTTCTTCTTGCGCTGCCCGGCCTTCCAAATCCGAATAAATGCAAGAAAGAAAAGAACAGCGCTACGCACCCCCTTTAGTTAAGCTTGGCCCACCGCACTTACTCTAAACTTTTCAGAGTTTTTGGCTCATGGGCACTTGCCACAGTTTGCAGCCGCCGGGCCCCAACCTTACGATAACTCTAATGCCAAGACCCTGTATTCGCACTACCCTGATCATCAATTGCGCGTCCCTCTCAATCTGCCACGGGGTTGGACAACGGGGTCATCTTTTTTAGTGTCCACTATTGCATCTGGCAAGCCACTATCCGCCAACTGGCTTGACTGGCAGTACTCTGTAGCTGGCTGCTGGCTGCGGGCTAGTTGGCTAGAACATTACATAGTACAAACCATCCAATGTCTGGCCTCATTTCATCTCAATTCTTCCATGTTTCTAGAAGCCCCAAATTTACTTGTTTCGAAATCCTTCCCGTACATCCACCAAGCCAATCCGCCAACACCATGTGAAAGATTGACGGCGTCAGTGAGATGCACATATAGGGAATGAGGATGCACAAGATACGCGCGGGTTGTTTTGCACCGCCTCGTTAGCCTCGTACATTGTCCCTGCCTTGCCTTCCAATTCGCTCTTGTGTGTCGTCTGCCAAGCCTGCTAGATGCCGATACATTCCCTCCCCGGCCTTCCCGCCCTGCTAAACCACTTGATCGGCCGTCCCCTTATTTATTTATTTTCCTTTCTCTGGCCTTTCTTTTGCGCCGTTTCAAGCCCGTCACGTATCAGATAAATTGGAGCCGGCCGATCTCTTCTCATGCATAACTCCACCCTCGACGTCACTCGCTGGCCGTTGGGTGAAATGCATGTCTCTCGCCTGGCAGTCTGGAACGGGCGCATCGTTTCAGCCATCGGCCGAATCACCGTTGCCAATCAAATGGATGCTTGTTGATGATAATTAGAAGAATTGCCAGAAACTTCGGTCCGGGTCTGGGAAGTCTTTGAAGGACCGGGCATTTTTCATCTCTTCCTAATTTTGAAATATATTGATCCCAGTCCATACAGGACGGCATCCCACAGTTCATAAACTTCCTTCGCCAGCTGCGAAAGAGCTCTGCGCGACATGACCGTTTGCTTGTCTGTGTCACTGGAATGGCGTCGGATGAGATGAGAAGGAATAAGGTGAGCAAACAATGTTGCGGAGAGTATATGATCAAATTTGGCGGCTTTGACGAGATCCTACGAGGATCTTGATTACTGCTGCAGTAAAGCAAGAAAATGCCAAACAAAATGAGCTTGCTCAAGGTCAAGGTCAAAGAAAACCTAGAATCTGCAAGCCTCAAAAAGCCCGAGAAAATTGAGGCTTTTATAACATCCAGCCCTCGACAAGTTTCGACTCGCTGCCCAACAATAGCTCGAGCTTGGCGGCGAGGCTGTAGCCTACCTACCCAACCTCAACGGCGTCATCTGAAGGCGATGCCCACCACTATCCGCTGATGCCAAGCTACCTTGCTTATGCCGTCCGCACACTTTGGCAGCACAGCCGGCAGAGAAATCTTGACATGCCGATGACTGCAAAAACACATCATGCAAACAGACATGCAGCTGCATTACACCGATCCTGACCCGGCCTCGGATACAGTTTTGCATGGAATTCAACAAGAGTATACTCAGGCATCGGACCGGTGGTGCCCATCTCACCAATTGTGGATTTTTGCGATTTCGGCCGCGCTATGTCTGGGACTTTCAAAAACAAACACGGCGCCGATCGGTGCGTAATTTTTTTTTTTTCCCTTTCTCGAATTCTCTTCCTTACCGCAGAGCTTTGATCCCCCGATCATCAGGAGAGCAACCCAAGTCAGCTGGCTCCGAAGACCCCGCAACACAGCCTCTGTCAAACGAAGTATGGGGAAGTTGTGTCGACGATCATGCACCTACTGCTCGCACACATCAGCTGCCAAATTACGATACTGCAATTAGCCGAGTCGCATTCCTGTCAGGACCGTATTTCATTCTAGACACGAGCTCTGCTGCGATTCCTTGCTGGCTCAGGTTTTCGGTCATGGGTCGTTGCATTCTGTGGCCCACGGAGAACTTTCTGGATTGACTCATCCATAGGCTTGACCAAGACACCAAGTGAAAGGCCCTACGGATACTTGCTGACATTGATGGAGAGGGCGGCCGAAGGAAGGCAAAGGTACAAGCCCGTAGTGCCGCCCGCCTTACTGACCTTGCGCAAGAGCGACTTGAGCTTGCATGGACTAATCATGTCCTCGTCCACGCTGGAACACAACCAGGATTACAATCGTCGCAGCGGATGACAGCTCTGCTACCATGAGTTGGGATATCTTCACTGATACCGCGCCGAAGTAAAAGAACGTCGTTCCATCTTGGAGTACATCTCGCGCATTTCATTTTAGTCAGCTCCAACGACTTGACCAGAATTGGCGTATCCTAGTGACACCGGGATCGAATAGCCTGGTTTCGATTTGCCAATGTCCAAAGATAATGTTGTGCCCGAATGCCGCAGCGCGGTTACGAGACAAGAATGTCTTTACAGGAATGATTCAACGCAAACAGGTCTGGATGACAAGCGAACAGAAGAGATAATCGCTTATCACTATGCACCAGCTGCAGTCACGCCAGATACCCGTCGAGGACGGCATCCGAGTGAAACCAAGCACGTCAACGCTTTTACTCAAATGTGCGGCCTTGGTCAATTCAAATTGGCAACCCTTAATTCCTGGCTACTTGATAAGAATGTCTCACGAGGAATTTCAAGGTGTATCTTACCAACCAAAAAAAAAAAAAAAAAAAAAAAAAAAAAAAAAAATCAATACTCCTCGTCTCATCATCCCTTGCGGAACGGAGGCGTAGACATCGACTCGGGTCGAATAAGATCCGTTCAGCCATTCTATCGTCCGCTTTGCATACTAGACACCGAACGTGCGCGCGTCGACAAGCATTCGGGTGGCTTCTGGCCAGCGCGTGGCAACAACGAGCAACGCTTCTTGACACACTAGAAGTATGTAGGTTTCAGCCTGGCGGCACCCAGGCTCTGTACTGAAGAGCCGGCATATGAACGACCCCTCCCGTCGACCGCAACACAAACAGAGGTCGAGGCTGCAGCCTTCCGCTAGAAACGACTGTCTGGCGGACACATGGCCCAGATATATCTAGAGGGGCTCTCAATTGTACCTATCTCACTGTTCTCATTTGCTCAATCCCTTGCTGCACGTGAGATCTTAGCAGAGGGCTCAAATGCCCTTATCCGGTCCGACCCGATTGATGCACCTCCAGAATCCCGACAGTTCTGTACATGTAGCACATCGCAAAGTACCTGAAAATGAGAGAGGCTAACGTACGGCTTGAGGTGACATGTGGCGCTGTGCCGACGAGGGGGCGATGAGCTTGGGCTGCCTTCAAAATAGTTGTGATTGCAGTCGCATCATGTGTAACCCACTCCCCAGGAATGGGCCAGCGAGAGGGCGCACCACCTTGCCACCTTTGCAGGTTCCAGCCCCGAGAAGACGATGGACTAGCCAAAGCCAGACCAACTATGCCCAATAACCAATTCGCCGTTGTCAGCCTTGAAGACGACTTTATACGAATATTGACTCGTCAACTCTCGGTATGCAACGAATACAGGGCGGCACAAGATAGGGTTGAGGATCTGCACTTGCTTCACATCTTATGCCGTCACGGGCTTGCTCAATTGATTCCCGCCCAGACTCGTTGCTTTCGTCGCACCCCGCTCGCAGTCACATCTGATCAACTGATCCAGGACGATGTGTGACGCCCAAGAGAGAGAGAGAGAGAGAGAGAGAGAGAGAGAGAGAAAGAAAAGAAGATGCCGTCTGAGGGCGGCGTGGGTAGACAGACCCCTGATGGGACTTTTCTTCTGAGGGGTATTCTCGTCACCTCGGATGCATTAAAAAAGTACTTTAACTCCGGATCCCTGTCCCTGGGCTGCGATCCGGCTGCCAGAAATGGCCTCATAATCTATCCTGGCTTTCCATATATGGTCAAGCCACAACGCCGTCGCATGAATAGGACAGGCCGCATCTGGAAATCGTGCTGACCTAGCTGTACTTTTATCGTCTTCTTTGAGCGACGGTATCCTTATCGTGCTGTCTTCGGGAATACGGAGGCTGAAGTTTTCGTCCCGCTTCTGGAAGCAAAAAGGACTACCGGTTGTGTGTTCCTTGCCAAGAACTTAAGCGACGATCTTCACGTGCTTTTTTTTTTCTTCATGGTGTGTCTCAGGTTGATAGATGGCGCTGAGAGGCGGTCAAAAAAAACCATCCGCGGTAGCTGCTTGGGTCACGTGGAATATTCGAGACGAGAGGCAAGAATCACCATGCCGGCCGTAACGTCGCCTTTTCTTTTGTATTTTGCTTTGACGTTGGAACGCTTGACCATGTCCGCAGAAACTGGCCAAGGAGAACAAACAAAAACAGTCTTCGCGGCTTAACAAGGTGAAAGACACACCTGTGCCAAGTAAACAAGCTCCAGTGACGCTGCGTCCGAGAAATGTAACGACGGCCGAGACTACTGCCTCTAATCGAACCCTCCCCGACCTCGAACTTTCCCACCGAGAGGGTCGGGGAGAGCAGAAAACGAGACGCATGATCCGCTTTGCAACAACTTGAGCTTCAACTTAAGAGCAGAGAGACATGATATTTGTTCGTTCGGCACAATATGACGGGTCTCTTGATAACGGGCTCTTTGCCGTTGTCGCACAAGGAATTGCACCTCTTGGAGCCCAGACCTCGACCGTAGAAAGTAAATCAGAGATTGGTATCCCAGATTGCTTGCTGATGCAGCGATACAATGCTTCCCCTGCTCTTTGGTACCATTTCACCGGGCCGCAGTGATGCAGTCATGAGATGAGATGATACTCGAACGACTAATTCGAAACCAAGCAGGAAGCCCTGTACATACATACTCCCGTTCTTTTTTTCAGCCTCCCATCACATCTAGTTGTGGGGCCTTTCAGTTCTTCCCCTGGCGATTGGCCTTGTAAATATGCAAAGGCTAGCCAATTCCAACAGCACGATCACCCCGGCATTAGCTTCGTGGTTCCAATCGTCAAGATCGTGAGTTGCATCGAATTGATCAATCCAACCATCCGGATACCGGCTGCACCCTGTTGTCAGGGAACACTCAGACCTCCTGTTCCCACCAAACTATCACTCTCGGTTCCTGTTCCGAAATGGGTTCGACTTATAGGGTTACTGGTTGACACAAAGCTCTGGGTCCTCGAATCTCTCCTCGATTCTTGTCTGCTACGTTGCCCTGTTGCCACAGCAGCCCTTTGGTCATGTAGAGAGATGTCTTAACTTTTGTCTTAATAATGTCTGTTCTTTACTCCGGGAAGTGCCCGCAGCCACCACGAGGGCCAACCTCGTTGGACCACGCCTTTGTATTAGGGTGCCACGTGAAGGACAAGCTTGTTTATTCCCCTATTCTCCTTTATATGTCTCTCTTTCCTTCAGTCTTCAAGGCTCACAGCCAAATTTTGTGGTGGTCGGACAAGAGACGGGCTTCCAATTATTGATAGCACAGCTGTAGATTAGGGGGTCGCGAGGGCTTGAACAACAGGGGTCTTGAGGGAGTTTTTGATGTCTATCGTGAGGTTTCTTGTGGTACTGGCGTTGTGGGCTATTCCTCTCAAATCTCGGGGCTTCAATCTTGTCTTGATCTTGTAAATGGTGACAAGAAGAAACAAGGCGTGGAAAAAAAAAAAAAAGAGGTCGCGTCGGTACTTTTCGGCGTTTGTGTCGCGTGCGAGCGCTTGGACTACAGTCGCGGTGTGCGGGTCCTCGAAGGATGAGTATCACGAACCGAACTTTGGTAGCATAGGGAAGTGCCGCGTGGAGGAAAAACCAGATTATACTGGCTGATTTGTTCTCACCATTGAGGGCGGAAGTCCTCCAGGGGGGGAAGACCTAGAGACACACCACGAGGCAAGAGTCCTGGCACATGGGGCCTGGGTCTATATAAGATCTATCCGTCGGCCTGGATGGGGATTCTCCTCGAACCATCATCAGAAAGGTCCTATCTCCAAACGAAGCGAGGCAGACCCTTGAGTCAGTCACTACCCATGATCACACGGCAGACCTATGAAGTGATCATCTTGTTATAACAACACCACGGCATCAAGGCGTCACCAAGTCCCAAGACCTAGACCGCTTTGCCTTCAAACTCTATTGCACATATCGCTAGACACCTCCACACCATCCCAGTGCCGAGATCATGCCATATTGTGCCCGGAGCAGGAAGAGCTGAACATCAGTGGTATGATACGTAGGATCCCTTGCGGCATCATACACTTGATATCCTGGCTTTACCGGAAGATCCGATCGAATCAGATCAGCGACTTTGTTACAAAGAGTGCCTGGAGCATACAAAAGTCGACGTGCCTGGCCTCCCTCACCATAGACATACACATACTAGATAAGCGACAAATCGAGAACAATTTGCAGCAGTCTATAACATCACAATCAAATACAACATCCAACAAGCCTGTTGGGAAACCCCCTCATAGAGACCCCTCTCCAGAGAGCTCTCGTCTGGCGGCCCAAGCAGATGCCAAAGACGGCGTCTCTCGGAGCCATGTGTACCTACTATTACCTACATTACCATCATGTCCAGCCATGTATGCGGGACATTGAGTACAGCTTACAATACGACTTTTGCGAAAATGCAACCATGGTACCATCGGTACCATCGCCGTCTAGCCCCCCGACCAAGAGGAAAACAGGCAGTAGCGGAACCGGTGGCACGGGGCGGTCAGGTCGCGCATCCTCGTCGTCGACTTCCGGTTCGAGGTCATCCGCGGCCACGGCGTCATCATCATCATCATCCTCGGCGCAACAGCAGCAGCAGCAGCCCGAGTACGTCCAGCAGCCCTGCGCTTCGCTCATTTACGCGCCCGAGTACAACATGGCCGAGGGCAGCATGATTGACTATGCCAACCCGTGCGCGACGGGCGGGTGTCTGGTCAGCCCGGGTTGCACATCGGGGTCCTGCCGGCTTGAAGACTTGGGCGGGCGCTGGATCTGCTGCCAGTGCTACCGCGGCGGCAACACGTTTCGCTGGTGCGCGCACCCCATGAAGAAGGTCCCCGACACCATGTGTTATCACGTCGTTTGCGAGAATTGCTGCGCGGACAGCTAGAAGAGCTGAAAGTCTCCAACACGCTTCAAATGGGGCTTCAAGGGCAGGACTTGGACCAGGAAAATTGCTGGTCGAGCTATAAATCTGAGAATACAGTACTGGGCTGGCTAATAGGCCCCCGAGTTGGTTATGAGCTGAGTTTGGTCATGTGTGGAAAAATTCAGCGAGAGGTGGTAAATCTGATCTTTTGGGTTGAAACTTCGTGATCCATAAGACGGACAAGGCATGTTGGGGGTGTTCCGTTGTTTCTGAGTACGAGTTTTGGGAGGAATTCTCCAACTGCGAAAGGTTTAAGCGGATGTTGATCCCAGCTGGACACGAAATATTGAAGATTCTTCTTCCGATGATGATGATTGAGGTAGGTCATGGCGAGAGGAAGAGATAGCGGTGTAGACACGATTATGGGGCTCCCAAATATCTGTTGGGGGAAGTTTCGGTCTCGTGAGGCTGAGATGTGGAGGATGAAATCGACGAACACGGGGGCTGTGTTCCGCCTGGCGTGCCGCAAATTGCTTTCTTTTTATCTCCCAATATCGGGGCGAGATCTTGTTGATTCTTTTTTTTTTCTTTCCCCTCTCCTCCCCTCCCCCCAGGCGACCGACGGACTGGGGTTTCAAATGGCCAAGAACACGAGCAGCCACAGGGCGCCGTCCAAAGCGATATTTCTGAGACGGGCTTCGGGTGGCTCGGGGAGGGGCTCGAGGGGGTTGCCAATGATGTATTGATTTTCTATCTTTTAGGATTCTCTTTGTGTTTTCCCCCTCTCGTTCTTCTTTAGTGGGGACTCTGGTCACGGGACCTTTGTTTTTCTCCTCGGCTTTTACTCTTCCTGTCATGCTAGCGAAAAACCTCTTGATCTTCTTTGCAGAGTATTTGACTCTTATGAATTGACATGATTGGGCGCGTATACGCAAGAAAGACAGAATCAAGAACAGCAAATGCGACAATCGCCGACCATGGCACGTGGACCGTGTTGTACATGAGGCCCTGATGAAAGCTGAAGCCCCCCAGTCTCTTGGTAAACAATGACGAAGTTCGGCAAGACGGCTTGCTTTCTTCTTCTAGGGCCACGGCTTCGTAACCGAAAATAGTAGGCGCGGGTAGGTAAAAATTGCTGCCCATCTTTTTAACAATTTTTCCATTATTTCGACGGCTCAAACGGGTGGTTGCAGATCATCATCAATCCGCGTATGAAACATTGCCTGTTATCTGAAGAGATGTGCTGCAATCGGAATGCCGTTGGGGGACCCTGTTTCTCTTCCTTTCGGCCATAAGGTGAGCTGGATAAGCCGTTTTAATGATTTTTTCTTCTTGCCGTTCGGTTGTCAAAGCTTTTCACACGAGATTTTTCCTCCCCCCCTGCGCCAACTACCGCTGCTTGTGCAAATAGCTTTTTTTTTTTTCCCTCCTCCCCTCAATATGGCAGCAGAAGCAGTTTCGTCACAGGCGTGCTGGGGAGGAGGCTTTATCCGACAGGAACCTGGTCAACAACGTGGCAACCTGGTTCAATATTTCTGAGCTATGGCTCACTAATATCGCCGATGATGGGTCAAGCTGAGGATGGCCGACAATGAGAGGGGAGGCTCTCAACAAGAGCTGTGCTCAGTCGTCGGGTATAGATATCATGGCTGGAAGGGCTCCGTTGCTGAGATGGGGAAAGAGAGAAGATCAGAAAATAGCAAGACAGTCTCGACTATATCATCTGCTTGCCCGCCACTGTTATCAACAAAATATACTCATAATCGAGAAGCAGTATCTTGGTTCTTTGCGCATCTTTCCACCCCCTTCAAAGATCTTGACGAGAAAAAGCAAAAGAAACCGTTTCTCTTACAAGTAGTAAAGTTCGCGATTGCATCAAAAGCACAACAGCAGCACAACGAACCACAACCGTTTCATCCGATCAATCAATCAACCAATCGGCCAGCCCACCACCATGTGTACAGAAACGACCTACACTCTACCTTGCGAGCACGTAGTCACACGAATGACATACTGCTCGAATGCGACGTCGAGTTCCAAGCACTCGTCTTCGTCCTCGTCCTCGTCCCGCAAGCACAAGAAACCATGCAAAAGGCTCGAGCGCATGTCGGTCGGTCACGCCCCTCCAACCGAGTCTGGCCGGGCGGCCAAGTGTCCCTTGTCACCGTGCCCGTTTGAGAAGAAAAACGGCCTGTGGAATTGCTGCTGGTGCGGCAAAGAATGGAACACCACCGGGAGGTGTTGTTGTATCATGATTACCAACCAGCAAGAATACCGGTGCGACCACATCTGTTGTGAGACATGCGAGGCTGCTGTCGAGTAATGAGGCAAGGTGTAGAGAGTGAGAAAGAGAGCAAATACATGGGAAGAAAGTTAGAGAGAGAGAAAGATAGACCGGGCCAAAGTGTGAGAGGGTGAAAGATCAAAGAGATGGCGGTGAAGCACAGAGCGACCAACTAGCTGGTGCCAATCAACGTTGGGCGTTATCACAATTGATAGAGGTTTTGCAGATGGGCGATTCGATGCCTGACTGCGGAACACATGGAAAGCGATAAATTGCCTTCCTCGGGCGATCTTTGATGTTGTACATTAGAGTGGTTTATGGCGTTTCAGTAAGCAGATCTCGCTTGAGTGCCTGCATAAAGAATTTTGTGCCAAAGAACGTCAGAGCGTCTTTCATTTCATTTTCAATGTAACTAAATGTGACTACCGCAATCAGAGAGTCCCTTGTACCGAGATGAGCTGAAATCGCTGTGCTACTACCTGTGGCGAAGTACTGACCCAGATGGACACAGGTGCCCAGTCTGTGGCGTCGAGGTTCGCTATGGATTAGGCCTTCAATTCGCAGGGTGTGTAGTATCGACTCCATAGAGGCAGGGGCAAGGCTGACACGGAGGCACCAATGAGCAGAGATGAAAGCCACAGAACTGGAATTATTGGATATAAAAGACAAGTGAATGGCGTACATCAAAGAACTAGGCACGGGACGTACCGGTACTGAACATAATGCCACACGGATCTAACCGAGAAAAGTTGATGCAAGCAAATCTGGCCAACGGGGAGTTCCTAGATGTAGAGGAGGTAGAGATACTCTCCCGTACGTACGAAAAGGAGGAAAAAAGCAAAATCATCCCTGGCGCACGGTACTGATGGGGATGCAGCAAGGACATCCCCGGGCATTTCTGCGCTGAAGACTTGGCTGAGTGTCTTGCAGGGTTTCCGATGACCGGGTGGATGGGTATGAAGCCTTAAAAGCAATGCCGGACCACACTATGACCGCATAACTCCCCTGGGGCCCGGCAACTCTCCTGAGTCCCGATTGCTACCGTAGATCGATCTCGCGGCGCACAATAGGATCGGGCCAAAAGTGGTGTCGTGCAGCAGACACACAACCAGGGCCTGCCGGCCTATCCACCTGGCTTAGCTACTACTACCTGGTGTCAGGCTTCCAGAGCAGCTGGTGGACGCCATCATTGGACCGGATGCGATAGGGACCAAAGTACGGTGACCTTGTCGGAACCTCTAGAGTGACACATGACTTTGAATACCCGAAGAAAGAGGCGGTACAAGGGACTTTTGACGACATATTCGATGGTAGTGCATGTGTATTTCTGTCCACTCACAGCCCATGCAGCTGAACTCACATCTCCTGGGCTATAGCAGTCGGCGTCCTAGTCTAGAACGGACTGCATTGCAGCCTGTGGACACGGACAGCTGGCATGGATGGACAAGTGATCGGTGCGAAGAAGAAAATTCTTGCCCGAAACAGCAGGCCAGGCACAGTCGACAGTGAGAATCGACATGATTCTCGTTTGTGTGAGCTATCAGACATCGATGTATAAAAGACCAAGAGTCGTGGTCCATCATAATGGCATCAAGAGCACAGCCCAGGCCATTTCTTCGCAAAATATTAGAGTCCGTCATACTTATATTCGTGTCGTCGCATTTACCAAGTCGATCTTCATCATGTGCCACGGCCACCCGCACTATCATGAGTGTCAGCACACTTCAGTCAAGTGGCTTTACTGTCCAGAAGCCGGCTTTGACCTAGAGACAGGTTATGAAACGCCTTGTTCAAATCCGATATACTCGGCACCCCAGCCATCAACTCTATCATGCCCACTCCAGAATTGCCACTACAAGACCCTGAGAGGCAGTTGGACATGCTGTCGGTGTGGCTATGATTCCAACACGCAAGGCTGGTGTGATGGCCAAGTTGAGGACGCAGGCGGATACCACCTCTCGGGCTACCCGGAACCGACTGTACAGACATGTGGCCATGGCTGCTGTAGCAAATGCATTGGAAACGGTAGGAGATCATCACTTTTCTATGTTTGAGAATGTAGATTAACCAAAAGATGACAGGATCGTCATCGTCAATCTCAAGCCCTGAGCCGACTTTTGCAGTTCGCAAAGGCAAGCACCGGAGCAGACGGAACCACGATTATGATTATCGGACGAATGTGTCGGGAACAGAGACTTCTTCCACCTGTTCCCCAGGCGCTGAGATGGTTACTTTCAGTTCAGACGTTGCATACGCAAAGAAGTCGAAGTCATCAAACCGGGAAAAGAAGGATTCTCGACGCAGTCGGATGACAGTGTATGCATAGACTGCCGGTAGCAGGCAGCATTTGAAGCCGCGGTATTTTGTTGTTTCACGTGTTATTTTGGAGATCCAGACTCCAACGCGTTGGACTCCGTGGGCCTCCTTGATAGAGCTCATTAGTTTGCTCATGTCGAGGTATTGATGAATATAGCACTGTAATTGCTGAAGCTTTGCAGACTAAAGCACCTGTGTGGAATACACTTGATCAAACGCGATCAAATGGCGTTTCCCGCTTGTGCACCTGTTCGAATGTTACGTGTGAGGTCTTGACAGAGTTGTGCTTGTGTGACTTGAACCCTGCGGGCTCGCGGCGATACACAACACAGAGAGCACGGAGGCGGTATCGAATTGAACACCGCAAAGCCCTCCCTTCGTCTGATTGTAGTGGAACGAACCGGGAGGACAATTGTCAAACGTCCGATTCCAAGAATCAGGTTCCGTGGTTTCGGCGGGATGCTGTGCCCTTAGCACGGCGCCGAACACGGCCGGATCGGCAATGCTGAATCACTGCTGGTTGCCGTTGGATCGTGCGTCAGATCGATTGGATCTCGGGTGTCACGAAACCCAGATCGTGCTTGTTCATTCTGCAGTCGACCGAGGGTGCCTTGCGCATGGAGCCAGAGAAACCAAAGCAAGCGAGCCCACGTACGTTTACGTGGAAGAGTCCATGCAACATCAGGTCTGACACAATGCGACCAGATCTCGCGGGCCAATATCCTGGCCGTATGGTAGAATCCTCGTAAAGATCTACTGGCTCAGGACGCCATACTGTGGCGTAACAAAGGCCAGCATGTGGGTTAAATCAAACGAAATCTGCATACATCAATGTTGTATGTAGCCAGTGCTGTGAACGCACTGCAGACACTTGGGACATTCTCAAGAAAGAATTGTCTGCGTTATCCTACGATGCGTTGTACCAAATCAGGATTATCTTAGGACCCTCCCGTTTGGCTCTGCCACGTGCTAAACCCTGCCACACAATGCACTGAGGTAACAGTGCATACAGGGGCTGCGAGATTTTAGACGAGTCTGGCCATCGCATCTAACGTGATCCAGGATACACAGACTTCAGATGCTAGTGGCTCTTGACAGTGAGCACCCAGTACAGAGTACGCAGCAGTCTGTTGATTATGTTCCAAATGCTGGTGCTGTGAGCAGACGTTGTCTCCAAATCAGCTTGGACAGGTGATGCTAGTATCTGCCATGGTTGTTCCGGAAGCCGTAGGCAGCGATGGCCCAACGGATTAAACTGTGTCGATCACCAGACTTGGTTACCATCCAGGCAAGCAACCAGGCGAGGTGGAAGCTGGTGTTTGATTCTGCTACAAAAAGTTGACTGGTTGGTTCATAGTAGGCACACTTGGCAACTTGGCTTTGCTTATGAAGCGCTTTGGTAAAGGTGGTGTGGGTGCTCAGTGCTGGAGATACCGATCACCATTGGCGGATGCGCACGTTGACGCTCGAGGCGATAAGTGACAGGTGCTGGCGCGAATACAATCCTCGGCTTACTGGCAGGCTGGCATGCTGGTAGAAACTGAAAAGGATACCTGCACCACCAGACCATGTCAACCACTCTTGTCTGGCACGAGTACTGCCTACTTCATTGCATGTCAACTTGGTCAAAGTTGCCAACCAATTGGATTGTGTTGTCGCTGCTGTTGATTGGCATTGCATTCTGGATGCCGAGGTAATACCTGAGAATGAGCGGAGCTGGACCTCAGCCAGGCTAAGCTCGCGACTACAAGAGAGTCGTAGTGATGATGTTAATACTGGACACTCAGAATCAGACCAAACCACAGCCAACGAGGCCTGGCCATCTCTAATGAAGTTGCTATTCCCTTACCCCCTGCCTCATGACGTCGAACAAGATGATCACGAGAAAATTTTCTCCCACATTGACCATCAGAAATCCAATCCAACCCGACCCCCCGGTGTGTTTCAGCGCGATGAACGAGAAAGCCGTTGATGACAAAGGGTAGCGCAATGGCCTACACAGTAGATTGAGCCAGACTAAAGAAGGGAAAAAGAAAAAAAAAATAGGTCCCCTTACGTACCCAACATGGAGTTGAAAAGGGCACCGAAGAAGGAGTCCCGGCGGTCGGTCAAAGTGGGAATTTCTGGAAAGGGGAACGGGAAATTTCTCCACCTGTACGAAATGATAATCATCTAGGGTAGCGCGCGGTCAACCCGTCATCGTGAGTCCAAATAGGAAAGAGGTGTGGCGGAATTAGACATGGCATGGCAGTGATAGCCAGTCGCCAGTAGTACCAGACATGAATAGTCTTATTGCTAGGTAGTAAGTGTCGTGGTGTACACTGTCATGGGTTACAAAACACTGGGCAATCGATTAGTGGTTGTCCGGGTATAATCGACTTTGACATCGCGTTTCGATCCGTCGCTGGACTCTGATGCTGCATCTTGACCACATGGCATCAGATGAACTGGCAGTGGACCTAGTAGCAGGTAGTCGATGCCCAGCATCTTTTTGGTGCGAGAGGAGGGAGGGAGGGGTGATGGGGAGAGGAAGGGATCTGCCTTCCTCCTGCAAGATGCCTGATGGGGTCGCATTGGAGGATCCTGCGGCGTGCGCTTGCCATGTGGCAGAAAGCACGCTAAACGCATTTGGGGGAGCGCCATTCATGGTTGAACTTTCTTGAGCGGTTCGATTAGTGCTCATTGCCGGACGCGTTAGCAGATTTAGGTGCTTCATGGCAGTTCATCCCCGCCAAAACCCCGTTTTCGCAAGTGATTTCCAGGTACCCTCATTGAAGCTTGCGGGCTGGCAGGTACCTGTATCACATTCAAGGTTAACCATTACAGCACATCAAAATAGGCGCGCCCCGAGACAGAAGCATGTTGCGTAAGATCGACCGACGGTATGTATATGAGCCTTGAACTTTGCAAGAAAAGCATGTAAACAAGAAGATACGTGTCAATTTCTCTTACCCTCCTTTCAAGGCAGACGAGTTGGCAAATATCTTTTCCCAAATACTTCCCACACTTATAAGACAAACTCATTTCAGCACTTGATGAATAATTCTCAAAAGACGGGAGTATCCCGGCTGTGAATAGGGGGGGTCACCCATCAAGAATTGGACAGTGGACACAGCAATGTGCACAGTAGTGCGGTGTGCCCACCTGGAAGTTGCAACGCCAGGCCCTACCCATTCAGTCTTATGCCGATCCACTCGCGACCGCTACAAAACTCGAGCGGTGGCGGTTTGCTCCATTTGGCAGTGGGCTCATGGGCGCAGGGCCGCTGGGGTTTCGTTGGCGCGATGGAGCCTCTGGGGACAGACTTTGAGGGATGATGGATGTAAACTTGTTATCAGTACCTAGCACGCTACCTAGTAGCGCTTAGACATCCTCATAAGGCACAGCGTCCAAGAGTAAATGTACAGAGGCCCTCTTCTTGATCGAGCGTCAAACTTGACGAATTCGGACGAGGAGGAGGAAGAAAGATAGATACACTTTCATAGGCATTGGATGGAGGAGAAATGCAACAAGGTGATGCGCCATAAATATTGTTCTCTCTCTGTGTTTCGTAGTAGCATGCCGCTGGGACCCTGATCCGAACCTTGCGAATTGTAAGGTTCTTGTTGTGCCTAGGCCGAAGCAGCCCAGTCACATTGCATACAGGTACCTCGTTCACGGTTCTCGAGCCCACCTCGAGCGGCTAAAGCAGTTTTAAACAAGAGTCGTCCGTCCGCCCATTCGTCGAGAGCTAGCCAGCCGTTAAGCCCCCTTCGTTGTCGCTGCCTCCTCCAGCTGCTCCGTTCAATCCCCGTACCATCTCGTTGTTCATCCTGCTGCTTTCCCACTCACACCACACGCAACACCACTCCTCTCCTCTTTCGACTCAAACCAGACCAGTTGAGGCCCGCCCAACTCCCGGCCCTCCCATTCTCTTTTCGTTTTCCCCAAAGATCATCGCAGCCAAAAGAGTCAAGACGTTTGATTTGCCTTCTTCATCGACTACTTGGACAAGATTTCGCACCGGCAGTTTCAATTCCACGTGCCCGTGCCACCGTTACACCACATAGCTGCTGTGCCAAAAACCCAAGTTCTAAGAATTCCCCTCTCATCCTAGTCTACGGCGACGTCAGCTATCCCGAGCTATCTATTCGGCCATTCCACATAGCCCGACGAACCAGCGCAAAAACATCATCCACTTACTTGACACCAACTTCCATCGTCGACTAGTCTGCTGCCGCAAGCAGTCACTCATCTGCTTTTTTTTTTCTTTCGTTTAGCAGTCTCCAATCCACAAGCACAAGACTTGCGTCTCGGATAAATTGTCTAGATCCAAAATGCCTGCATCCTTGGACTCATCGCGCCCCATCATGGCCCCTTCGGTAGGTTTGGTCTGGTCTAATCCAATCCACCACCCATTATGAGGACTGTCCCGTGCTCTATGCTTTCTTTGCATCCCCATGCCCAATCTAATTGACTGCCGAACCCCTGTTTTCTTCGTCACTTTGAACATTTCTCAAAGTTCTATACCTATTTCACATTACGCCAAATCGAATCGGTTTCCTAGCCTCTGAACACTCGCACACCTCCTCGATCAAGACCCAGTCATCAAAGCTAATTCTATCTTCTTTCGCAATGAAGGCCCGAACTTCTGTCCGCTACAGCCAGTACAGCATGCAGGCTCCCTCGGTCGCCACGACGGACAGCGCCCACGCCGAAATCAGCAACATTGGAACCGGCCTGGAGCGCATGGAAAACAAGGCCCTCACCAAGCAGCGCGTCGAACTCTCCGAGGCCAAAACAGCCCATATGAGCAAACTGGCACTTGGTGCCAAGTTGGAGCGCGCCCTCGACCGTCGCATGACCAGCCAAGACGCCGTTATGCGGCCACGAAAAGCCAGTGTGTTGAACGAGAAGACTGCCGTACAGGCATAAATATGCCAACTTGTCTTTTGAGCGCCTCTGGCCCACGCGGCCAAGTTTTGCAAGAACCCAGAGAATGCACCCATCAAAGAATTCGACTGTTTAGCGAGCGTGTACATAAATATCAACGACAAATCGCTGCGCCGCTTTGTCTCGTCTGCCGAGACTACAAATACGAGATACCACGGAAGACACTGCTTGTACCAGACATGCTATGCTGGTTGGAAGGATGACCGAGAGAGGAAGAGAGGAGAGAGCAAGAGTGACGAGAATGCCAAACGTTGACGCGAGCATGATGGCGAAGTTGTAGATTTTTGGTTCGCTCACGCATGCGATGAGTCCAAAATCATGACTGGTTTCTTTTGTTACGCACAGTATAAGGGAAAGGATAGTTCTGAGCCAAGAGCCATGGCAAATCCAGGACATGATAGAGCCTAGTTTCAAGCCGCGACTTTTCGGCGCGCACCTATCAGGTACAGCTCAGCCAGACACTTGAGAGAAGCGCATGTAGATTTGGAATGTCGTCTCAGAAATCGTACCATACCTATAGGAGTTATCGTTATTTTCTCGAGATTGGAATGCACATACATAGTCTTTCAAGTCAATTCAAGATTTTGTTCAAGTGATTAGTGCCGTGTTACATTCTCGATTTGAGTCATTGATACTTGTCAGACCATGGTGGAGCATTTGAACCCAATTCCTAGAGCTTGATTTCAAAGTCAATTTGACTTTATGGTCGAGTTTGAAAGTCATCAAGCAGGAATCAAGGTCGGTTGTTAGTTGAAAATTCCATTAAGTAATCATTCAGGACGGGCAATAATGCCTTCTTGTTCTCCAGAAACGCCGATGTAAACTAAATGCATAACCGCAACCACGAGACACGATGGTATTTTTGTACAACTCCCATAACAGTTTGGTCATTCCCCTTCCATTTCGGTTGTGGCAAGGCCAGCACACTCCATGATTGGTGTACAGACAAGTCCACACGATGACTCGCGACCTGTCGTAGTGTCCATGGCCAGGATGCAAGTACAAAGCCGAGGACTTGACGCACTAGACGCCGGCCGCGTTACATGAGCCTGTCTCGCATATACTATCGCCACTTGTATATTATCTGCGCCTCTCACGAGCTCTTGGCGGCAAGCTTGGTCTTGATATCAGACAGCAGCGTCTTGAGTTCAGCCTCCTCGCCCTCCATCTCGAGACCTCTCGATACCCAATCGCGGGCCTCGTCCAGTCTTCCCATCTCGTACAGGCAGCGACCGCGGCGCCACCAGGCCTTTGCATTGCCGACCCGCTTGGCTTCCACGCTGGCCTCGGCGTCGACGGCGCCCTCGGCCCAGCTTTGCAGGCCCATGTGCGCCTGGGCGCGGTTGGCGTAGAGGCTGGCAATCTCCTCGCGGACGAGCTGCTGGGGTTCCCAGTAGGGCCGCTTGAGGGCCATGTCGATGCCGAGGCCGTAGAACTTGATGGCTTCGGCGTACTTTTGCTTGCGGTAGCAGTCGTTGCCCGAGTCGCGCAGCTTGGTGACCTGGGCGCTGCGCTTGGGGTTGACGGGGATCGGGGGCGGAGGCGTCTGCGAAGGAGTCTCGAGAGTCAGCAGCGAGCGGTGCAGCGTGTTGAGTGCCGCCAGCTCGGCCTGCAGCGCCTTGTTGGATGCCAGCGAGGGCGCTGAGATGGCTTTGGTCTGAGGGTCGATCTGCAGCGGCAGGATCTCGATGATCTCGTCCACGGGCGGTAAGGCAGGCGCCGGTGCTTGGCGCATAGGTTGTTGTGCGTTCATGATGTCGGGATGTGTACGTGTGAGTGAGAGAGGAAGCGACGAAATCTGGTCCTTGTCGCAGGGGAGTGACAGGAGGTAATTAGACTTTGATGGTCCTTGGCTGGTCTTTATTTCCTCAAAAGATTGGACCGATCTCGTTTTCTCTGCATGTAGTGAAAAATGCCGTCGCAATTGAGATCCTGAGTACCGATTTGACGCTCGTTTGTCGGTCGTGGCTCGTCAAGAAAATGATGGTTGGTGTTGCTCAAGAGCAGTCATGGTAGGTGGTCTCGAGGCCAGCACAAGACCAAGACCCTCTGCTGCCACGTAGCGGGACCAGCCTAGCTCGCCAGTCAGTAGGGTATCTACTATGCTTATCGATATAGGCGTATTACCTAAGCCACCAACTTTTCTGTCAGCCACGCTAAAAAGTTTCATAACTTCCAATTGCGGGGGACGAGAAGGAAACAGTATTAATTGGCCATATCGAGTATAACACTCACTGTATGTCGCTATGATCCTTGCATTAGTCTCGCTTATGTATCGACCGCTGTTAATGCATGCTTGATTTCAGCCGCTCTCTAATAGTCTAATTGGATTGGCACTGAGCAGCAGCTTTCATTGATATGTCAACTTTTCTGACTTGCTTCTCTCGCTAGCTGGAAACTCTGTGAACAATAGATCGTCCTGCTCATCTCGTCAAAGTCTGCCGCTCACTCCAAGATCAGTAATCAGCTCGTGATGACATCCTGTCAAAGCAATTCGATATCACCGAGTTCACAGTTTGACCCATTTTACCAGGTCCCGGGTTCCAGGATTTGAATATGCAACGTGTTTTTGGACGTGCAGACAGGTCGGCTACATATAAAATGATCTCTCACCTACATGTGAGCTGTTTTGCTCTAGCAAGTGTAAGTATCCCCAATAGGCATAGTATATTGTTCTTTTCCTGAAACTTGATCGGTCCCTTGTGGTACAAAGTGGACAATTCCTTGAGTGTTTCATTGATTTTCTCGCCTGCAGGTCTTGGCTCGTCTATGCCCCAAGTACCTTGGCCATTATCTACGTACCTCTACTTTGTCGAGTTCAGAACCGTATCTTGAAAATATGACTTGTCACTTTGGGTCGCGGAGGTCGGAACGTCCCGCACCCGATTCCTCGGCGGATTGATGGTTCTCCTGCATGTAAGCTCAACCAGATCGCATGCTGCAACAAGTTATCGGTCCCTAGGGCACTTCTATTCGGAAGTACTTGTGGAAACTTTGATGAGTGCGGTCGGCCCGTCGAGTGTCGGTAGAGCTTGGCCGGAGAATCCAGCCTAGCGTAGTCAGAAAGTTGCCAATCTACCAGTACCTGTGAGAACTGTATTAGCTATCGTTGCTATTTCTTGGTCGTAGAAAGCACAGGGGCGGTGAGAAGTGCAGAAACCGGATGTGAACTGAAATCTCCAGAAGTCAGGCGCGCGTATCCTACAGCTCATTGCATGGTGCTGCATGGCCCTTGATATCTCGCGATCTGTTCCATTGGCCGAAAGATGCGGAGGCCCTCCGGATTCTCAAGTCGAGGCTGATCTCAGCCTTCTCAATTTTGTTTCCTGCATGAAGTACGTCTTGGACCCTTTCATTTCGGCCCACCCAGGGTTGCACACAGAGTTGCATACAGAGATCTGGACCAGTAAGTGTCAAGCTGCATCAGTAAACTCAATCTAGCCTAAGTGACCGGTCTCACGCCTGCCAATAATGTCACTAGAAGGTAAATATGCGTGATGATGTGTCCTTCAGTTTCATGTAGTCATGGTTGTAGATGCTGCCTAGAACAAGTCTCATTATGCTACGTCACCTCTAGATCCTTCAAAATATTGTGTTCTATTTGATACTTCATCTCCTGGCAGCCTCGTTGTGAACACGGACGTTCAGCCACCACAGATTGCAACCGTGTCAACTTGCATATCTTCACCGCAACTGCTTGTTCCCCCCTACCGCGATCCCTGACAAGGGAAATCACGCCACATCTTCCGGCTGCGAAAGCACTGGGTAGGATGCATACCACCATCCACGCGCTACGATCCTCCGATGTGGCAACGTACATGCCATGAAAAACGAATTGATTGGAATGAAAAATAGATCTTGAAAGACAAGGGCCATCGAGCGATATCTGCGCTCGGATATGGAACTTGACACGATCATCGGCCTCATCCTGGCTCATGAGGGGAATCTCATACACGAGGATCTGCGCCTTGCACATCAGAACGCTCCACTCGTGATCATTAAAATAGTCTTGGCGGACTGAGAACGGCTTCCTAATCCGTACTAATAGCCTCGCTCTGGGTGCAGAACTTGTGAACTCGAGTACCCGGTGGTACTGATGCGACTTGGAAGACGAGGAGGAAGGAATGACCAAACCTAGAACGGACCTATGAAGTACTTGAGATTGGTCTTTGACAACTCTAGTAAGTCTTTCAAGAGCATTCCTCCATCACAAGCATAAACTTATACACAGTACAACTTTGCCTGTGATGCTTTTCATCTCAGCTCCGTCTCTTTAGGGTGCCGATTTCTTCTGAAAGGCCTCGACAATGTTTCGCAAGCAGTGGTTTTGATTATATAAGCATTATGGCGCTGTTTCAAAGGATCAATCATTGCTTATAGCTTCACTTCTTCACTCAGCCCGTGTCCTGGGCTTGTAATTGGCAGGGTGCGCGGAAATTATTTCGCGACTGAGCGTTTCCATCAGCATACTTAGCAGATTGTATCATAAGTGTCTTATGCCAATCAACCTTTCAACAGAGTCCATGTTGAATATACTCTTGGTTCCTAATATCTGTGTTATTTCCGCTTCAAAATGAATGCCTTTCGTAGACTACTTGGAGAAGTGTTAGCCCCAGGGAGTGTCGTACTTGCGTGTAGCTTCAAGGGCAAGTTTCATTATCTCAACCTTTAGTATTAACCCCTGCACTATGATTCGCCATGCTGTGGTTGTATATTCTGAGAGCCATGCCGGAGGTCCATCAGAGTGATCAAAGCTAGATACCCGGCATCTCAACTGAAATCCATTGACTGATGGTGAGTCCCCCGTAAAAACCGAGGGTGATTTGAAATTAGACCAAAAATTGGAGCCCGATGGTATTTCAAGACTCTGACATCAATAGCGAAACAAGGTATGAGATTGCTGTGTTGTAGTAATGTCTCCTTGATATTTGTTGTCGCTTGGTCTATTCAAACAGATTCGGTAGTCCCAAGACATAACGTGCTGCAGCATATTTCAAGATGTAATTATGCATATCGTGATTGAACGTCTGCTTAGCTCGGAATTGCCTCCAGAGTCGCCTGGATAGGCTTGATCGAGACAGCATAGCATTGCGTTGCTTATTGAGCTGTGCATTAGGTGTTTTACTAGAAGCCCAAAGTGATGTGACTGAGTCCTTGTGGTTCTTTTGGATATAAAGGTGGTATATCTTTGGTCAATAACTTGTATGATGGTGGCTGTCGTACTTCGAGACCAAACACAATGGTTCATTATCACACTAATCAACTCCATTGACAAGTCTGATTCATTATACTTTACATTTCTGGAAAAAGCTTTATTTATTTAGATATACAGTATCTCGTGTGATCATAAGTCCGCAGATTCGATTTGGCACCATCATCCTCAGATCATCCGTACATGGATTATGAGCACTGAATCATCAAGACTGGGACGAAGAGTGGTAAGGAAACCCGAACTCTGTATTAAGTTTGTACCTACATTAGACAAGTTCTGATCATGTTTTGCGCAGGCTTCCAAGTTTTGAAATCACGAGTTTGTGATTCCAATTTGGATTCGGTAAGTTTGATAGACTATGTCACTTTCAGCGTATCTTGGAGCAATGATGCACAACAGCCTGGTATATAGATTATAGAGGCCACTTCAAGGTATAATTGCTCCTGGTAAGGAATCACCGAGATCATTATATCGTTTGGGATCTAACGGTCACTTCCCATATAAAGGAATATTAGTTATCGTCGAGGATTTATTTGGGAGCTCAGAAGGATTTTTCTGTCGTGCTAACTTCATTCATATGCATACGGCAAGTCAAGAGTCAAGTTGCAGCTTGGCTGTCTAGATGACTATAGCTTTGAAGAGAGTCGAGCATATCCATTTTGACTTGATACCTACGAATGAACCCACCAGGGTGCGTTCGGTTTGAGAAAGTGTGCTTGTGATATTTGACTGTTGGAATGATGCCAGAAAAATAATTATTCTTCCGCCTTTAGTCAAAAGAGCATACAATAAAAAAGTGAACAGCTGTATAATCACCTAGCCGACGTAAACATACCTAATCATTGTGGTATATACTAGCATCTTATGTCAGACCTTTCGGATGGCAGATGAGTGAGCTTTGGATGAAAATCTCGTGGCATTTCAAAGTGGTGTTGAAACATGTTTATCATGAAAATATTCAGTAAGGGCTCTGAAAGACTCATTGATCTAGTGCAGATAAACTGAACTTGGATGTCCATGAATCACCTATTTCTATGGGCGTGCGGTGGAAAGTCCTGCGGAATCCAAAAGGACGAATATATTACTGGTGCTGAAATATTCAAAGGTACTCACATACCCTCATATCCGTAAGGGAAACATGTCTTATCATATAAGTAGGAAATTATTACTTGTTAGCAAGAGGGGACACCGCCCTGGGATTCACTAATCCAAATGGCGATTCTGGGAAATTCTTGAGAAATCGAATATCGAATGAATTGTCGATGGCTTATATGTGATTAATAATCCCCATATTCATAGTTCCAAGTATTTGATTTGATAATTCTCCTCTGTGTCCTGATGTCGAGAATGTTACGATTGATTACACAGCGACAATGAATCCAAGGACTCAAAGATACTATTAGTCTTTACGACCTGAGCCGCTGCTCTCATTCTATTTTGTACTTAGATTCATCTGTAAACCGAAATTTGAAAAGCTTACGTAGACTTGTTGAATGCAAGGCATTTATCGCATTGACGTTAAAGAGTTTGTCTGTTACTAGACTGAGCCAGCAAAAGTCTCCCTATGTAATCCCGTTTCTGTGCGGTTTCCCCTCCTGCTCAATTTCCCGCATCTCCTGATTTCCTTCAAGAGAAAGGAGAGAAGAACATAAATCAAGTATATCGAAACCTTTGCAAATTTTCGTAGAAGCCACGGAAGTATTTGCTGACTTATTGTATTGCGGATATGAATCCCGTGATAACGCTCAAGCAACCCCTATTCTTGCACACACCTGGTTGAATAAAAGTTCGGATCCATTTCCTCAAAATTTACATCTGACCCGGATAAAGAGACATTGTCGCGGTTAGAATTGACATAATAGCCTGAAACTCGAATCCACACACAATTTCCTCAAATGTTGATGCAATATCTTCCAACACGAGAGTTGCAAAGCCGGCAAGTTAAACTGGCACGAGTTGCCATATCGAACACTCAATTATGAGACACGCAACTTTTCCCGGGTGTCTGCACTACGCACAAGAATCTGCCACCAGCCGTCGCGTTTTAAATTATTAATTGAGCCAAAGTATGCTACGAGGCAATGGCAACCGATACATGGCTCATTAATTGAAAGGAAAGCCCAAGACATGGATTATCAAACTGCCTGGTTCATGTCACTCATTCCACGCATGGTCACTCGATTATTTTTGAAATGTAGGGTCAGAGTTCTTGGAATTTTGAGACGGTAGAAAGAGGGCCAAGCGCCGACATTGGAGTTCCATGACATATAAAATTATGTCGTGCCCGACAAGACCCCAATGTAGTGTAACCAAGATGCTCAAATGTGAGCGCGGTCGACCCAACGGGCGACCGCCCACCTCTCAAACAATGCCTTAGTTTCACAAGAACAAAGAAAGCCAGTACCCGCCTAATACGATTGTCGCAGCGCAGGACCCCTCCTCATGAAAACCAATCGCTATGCGTGGCGGCTAAGACACGACGACGATTGCACCGTTTTGAGCCTCACCGGTTGATGGATGATTTTTTATCATTCCTTTCAGACATCCATTGATGATTCGGCGACTACTTGTGCAGGCAACCTTTTACTGGGTCATCGGCGTCCTCGGAGAGATCCATCCTAGTTTCAAAAAAGACCTCAACAGCTCAATTAGCACAGCCGCTCGTGCGTGATCCTCCAGCTGATGTACCAAGTAGTCGAGTGGGGAGTGTCAAAAAAGAGATATATCGCCTAGTTTTTGCTTTCTTGTCCTGTTGCTCACCGAGAGTGGTGGCGGTGGGCCAAATGAGCGCGTATCATGGTCCTTTTGGCCAGCAGACAGCAGCAAGCACGGCAACGTTACTTGATCTGAAGGACCCAATGCCAATGAGATGGGAGGGATAAGTATACGTTGGCCTTGTGGGTCAAGGATGATGTAGAAGCAAAAGGATTAAGGAACAAAAGCACTGTAGATAACCGCCGGTCTGGGCAATCCTGCCGATGGTAGTGAGTGACCGCCGCTCGGAATGCCGGGTTGGAATAAGTAACAACATGAGGATCCCGGAGGATCCAGCACAAGCATGGGAAGCAACTATCAGGGCCTTTGGATATAAGCTTTCTCGTCGTGGTGGACTCATTGAATTATGCCATCTTCCGGCGCTTACATGATCATCATATTCTGTGGTATATGCCATTTGCCACGAGGCCACTCTCGTACCACGGAGGCGAAACCGTTATTTCGTCATTGCTTTTGACTGCATTACATAGTGCTGTACTCTGTACAGTAGCTACACACAAGCAATCAATGTGTCATTGATATCCCTACTCTCAAGTTGAGATAATCAACTCTTGCCGCGGGAAATGTCCCCGCTGAAAGGCTAGCAATATGACTCTAAACCTGATCTTCAACCGCAGACGAGTTGCTGTAGTACTCCGAGGCCTCGACTTCGATCTCCGAGAGGACCAATTTCGGCAGCTTCGCGCCGTCATCCCGCGCGCGGACAACCTAATATGCTGAAGGGGTCCTCTGAGCTCTTTGACTTCGTTGACTCCCTGACTATAAACAAGTGCCGACATGTGCGGAAGCAACCTTATCAGTTGAGAAAAATAAAATAAAAGGATCACCGACTAGGTTCAGCGCCGCTCGAACTACACACTGCATATGGCAGCTCCCAAAAGCAAGTTACAATAAAAAATGCCTTCATCAAAAAGAAATGAGTACGGAAAAAGGAATTATGAGTTATAGTACAACTGGCAAATAGAAGAAGAAAGTCGTTGCTCCTAACCATGGATTCGGGAAAAGAAAGAAATACCTTGTCTTGCTTGTTTCCTAGCGTGGTCAGAAGTCATGTGGTTGCCCACACCGGTCTCTTAAGCGCCCTGATCCAATTATAGATGATTCTACTATGATGTAGTCTTTTATGCAGCAGAGACGTTATTGCCCACAAATCCGGGGGTATCGCTCTTACTAATGAGGCAGCCGCTCAAATCTTGCATAGACTTGATCGATGCTTTTCGTAGACCCTGACTTAAACTGTGAGTTTGGTGTCTTTTGTCCTCTTGTAGTTAGATGCCGTACTGCTCACTCGAAGCGCTCAAGGGATTCATGACGAGCGAGGGGTAAAGGCCAGTAAAGATTCCAGGTCACCTGGGAAAGATAAAGACAGCAAAGCGCAGAGAGGGTGAAATTTGGCTAGATAGGTATTTAAACTTTGGATATTGCTTTTCCAACCAACCGAAAAAATGTACCAAAAACGCTGTTATACCACTCTAAGAACACTTGCAAGCAATCCCAACAAAAAAAGTTATTTCTCGTTCCCATGACACCCAATTAGCGCACCCAGACCGCTGGTTCCTGTTCAGCTGTCATGTGAGAGCACGTGAACTTCACTAGATGTTTCCTGATGTGCCGCAGGACCACCGGCTAGCTGGACGGGTTCCTCTTCCTCTTCATCTTCATCGTCAGGCACAAAGGCCGCCGTTCCGGAGTTGTACCTGTTTGTAAGAGTTATATTAGTCATGAGTCATTCGAAATCCCCGAAATGCAGTGTCACGCTGATATAGGACCATCTCAGACTTACTATTTCCATAGTTAGCATGAAGAAACAAATTCTGAAGGGGTCAACTTCAACCTACCTTGCTCTCAATATACAAAGGCATTGGTATCACCGGATAACTGTGATTGATGATTTTCTTTGACCTCTCGCCAAAAGTGCAATCCCAGATCAAGTGAAAGCCATCAGGAATGGATAGCCCAAGCGTCGGGTTGTGCAGCCAAAGTCTGACGAGATGCCGGGATGTTGATTCACCGTCTTGGTAAGCTTCTCTAGCATGAAGAACTGTGTAGTTGTTCAGAAAGACCAGATCGCCAGCGCGATGGTCAAGCTTCACTTGGTGTTTACGAGCCACAGTCTGGAGGATCATCAAAGCCGCCTCCTGCTCACCAGTAAGTGGTGGCGCTCTGTTTCCCTCGCGTGGTCCCAGTCGTGCAGGGTCCATAGAGAACATCAGGTTGCCTCGATGATATGTCAAGAGGGGGCATCGAATGAATCCCTTGGTACTACTGTAATCCAGTCTGTCAATGACTTGCAACTTCAACCTGATAGTTTGTGAAAGCTCAGCTTCCCTTCACGTTGCGCCGGAGACACGTACCTTCTCACGGGCCACTCCGCCTGAGCAAGTGCTTGTACAACCAGTGGATGGTTCTCCATGAGATCATTATAGATTGCACGAACTGCAGACACACAGGTTTCTCCACCGACCTTGGCACATTGCCGAACCTGGAGTGCAAGGATATCGGTTCCCATATCAGTGTGAAATGGCTAATGAAAGGTCAGCCATAACTCTGACTGGTACGACTTTGACTTCTCACCAAAGACACGTTTGTGTGTATGCCATGTCTTCTCTCGGGCGGTGTCGTCCAAGACTTCTTCTGAACAATGTGTGCTATTTCAGTTCGTCAGAAATTTGAACTATAGTCTTCAAAAGGTAGTTGGGGGGAGGAAGGGGGAAAAAAAAAGAGGACAACGTACACAACATGGCCCCCTTCGAGCTTTGTACACCTCGTTTCTGGCCTAGATAATCTCCAACACCAAGCTGTATCATCGTGTTGTCCTCATCAGAGTACATTGTCGAGTCAAGGCCTCTAATTATGACTACCCCATGGCCACGATGCAGCTCAATAGCACAACGTTCCAGCCAAGGACCAATCGCCGGCAAGACAAAATTCTCACGACTGATCTCATCTCCGTCCAGCCCCAGTTCTGAAATGAAGGGATTAGGACTAGCTTGAGCAGGATCCTTGTGGGATTCTCACCTTTGAACCTGGAAAGAGCCTTTTCAATCTCATCGATGTGTTTCCGGTCCAGGTTTAGGTAATGCACTCGCAAATTCTTATACAACTTGCCATCGGGGTCGACGGCATGATCAGGCCAGTTTTCCAGTGGTGAACATGTGTCGGTCTTATCGAAGACCAAGCCAATATCTCCCACCGATCCCGAGTGAGAGCCAAAGGAGTTTTGGAGAGCACGAGGATGAATGTGAGCTGTCATGTTTTTTGTTTGCTGCTTGCGTTGGAGAGTGTCCGTCGACAAGACATCAAGAAGCCGTCACCGGATCCGTCGCTTCTATTTAAGTACGGCTTCATACAACGAGATGCTTTTGCATGTCTGGAAATCGCATACGATTGAGAATACTTCGACCATGGGACACCGCTTGGTATCGTGCAACCAATCGCACAACCTTTCAGGGGTGCGTTCAATAAAGATTAAGGGGGATCAAAAAAGAACGTAGACATACTTTCCTAGTCTCATGCTTGCCAAGGGTATAATTTTTTTCTTTCTCAAAGACTAACAATTAGGAGAAGCCACAGGACCTCCACAGCCGTTGATGTTGCACATGAGCATCGGTGAAGACCCAAAGTATACACGATGCATACTATATCGGAGGGATCCCGGTGAGAGGAAAATTGGACTCTGCCGGAAGAAGACATGAAGGAGGAAAAAAAAAAAAAAGAAGAAGACTTCATTCTCACCGGCGATCACCATGCCCAGTCAAAACTTCTATTGCGTTACATTCGGAAAGTGGACTCGTAGTATCATCCATCCATCAAAGGCGAAGATATAATTTTCAGAGGAAGACAAAGCCGGCAAACGAATAGAGTTGGACCACATTGGACATACCTCTTGAGCAGGGGTGGCAAAGTACGCAACTGCTGTAGCATCCCAGAGCAGAGAATATCCAAGGGCACGAGGTTGAGAAGCAAGAGGTCGCAGCGGAGCAATGACGTTGACCCCATGGGTTGTTTTCTGCAGTCTGGTCTCAGAGGCAAATGTGCTCGGATGTGAGAGAATTGCGAATAAGAACGACTAGGGTTGGTAGGTAGTAACTTCGACGGCCGATTGACGTGGCTCCAGCCAGGAAGGCTCGATCCGAAGCATCATGTTTACTGACGATCTGAAGTGTGGGAGACAAATCTTTGGCGTTGTATTGGGTCAAGAAGAAGGTGAAGCCCGATTGCGCTGTTACTTGTTGCTGCGGCGGCGGCTGCGCGGTTGAGGGCCTGAGGAGGCACGGGCCCAGCCAGGTACTGACAGGTGACGCGCGCATCTTGGCCAAGTCCCAGTATCCGGGTAGGGGAAAAAAGGAAAAAATAAAAAAAATAAAAAATAAAAACGGTGGGGAAACTATGGGAACTGGGAAATAACACGATGGAAGAAAAACAAAAACCAAAGAAAAATCTAGAAATTAAAGATAAAAAAGATAAAATAAAACCATGGAATTTGTCAAGTAAAACTTCATGATGGAGGTGTTCGTTGTTATGCAGACAGGCCTCTCTGGCGGGCACACCGGCAAGGAGCGGGTTGCCAATCCTGGTGTAGCAAGCCGCTGCCGCCGCCGCTGTCGACAAAGAACGACAAGCCATGCAGAATGTACGCACTGCGGCCGGGCCCGCAAGTGGGCTCGTTTAGACAAAGGATATCCTGGAAGATCTACGAGTTGATTTGGCACATGGCCATCGGAAATGGACTGCATTTTTGATGTATGTAGGTATTTTTGCGTAGGCGGGCGGCGTGGGCACGGGAGATGGCGAGTGGTGGGTGCGGCAGGTTTTGACGATATCTATCTACCTATAGCAAGCACCGTAGCCAGTCGCTTAGGTTGTCAGAAGACCTGCATACATGAGGTATAACCTTTTGGCAATGTACCGGTCAAGTATGTTTGGGGTGGGTACATACATCAACTATCCGAAATGCCGCCTTGATCGATAACAATGATCGGAGTTTCATGTGCTGATATCCTCTCCTTCCAGCAGGTCTTTGTACCTACAAGTAGTTGCCCACTTGCCCATCTTGACTGCAACATATGTACTAGGTAGCTATTGTGAGTGGTTGGCGAGAGAATACAGGCTTCCGTAGTGTGGGCGCGCTTCTGGAGGTATTCAGAGACGGAGCAGGCATATCATCATGAACATTGAGGAAACAGCAAACGTTGTCTTGTCTATCATCTCGAAAAGGATGGAGAGGTGATCAAGGGGATGCATCAGGTCGCCCCGAACTATCCTCTCATCCCCGCCCTCTTTCCCACCCCCTAGCCACCCTTCCCTCCCTTCCTCTCAGCCTCGCGTGGGGTTTCACGTTATGAGCTTTCAGCACCGGCACGTAGCAAGAGCCTCGGTGACCCCACATATTCATTACATGCTGCACTTTATCACTTTATTGCCGCCCGTTGGGTCGTCCCGTGGGTTAGGTACAGATAGGTCAGTTAATGTAATCAGTCATGTACCCAGGATGCCAGGTCTGATCCGGTTGCAGCATTCTTAGATGCTGGTCAATCAATAAGCGTCCACCTCTGCCAGTGACTTGAGTAGCTTGGGCGGCCTGGCTGATTATCTTGCATCGATTGATAAAATGTTCGGCAGGCAGGTACATTACATACAAATGTGGGTATATTCTGTATACTCTGTACGTACTTTCAAGAAAGTCTCGGCCTTTATGTAGGCTAGGCTCAGCTTCATGTTGCCACAGTAGTACATACATGATATCCTTCGCCTGCCATTGTATAATCGATACCCTCCCTACCTGCCCCAGCCGCATTTGCAACATCGAAAAAACCTTTCTCCCCCCCCCTTTCGATGTCAAGCAGACATGGAGTACCAGAGCGTTTTCGAATCAACAAGCAAGATAGTAAAACTATCCGAGGGCGTCTTGTGGCGTTGGTGATCGGATGCTGGAGATTGCCGGAGATTGAAAGCGCGTGTGTAAAATCCTGGTAAGCGAGTTCATTCTAAGGAAACCGGTCTGGAGAGTACGACGCTGATATCTGCTGGACGCCGGCAAACGATTGAATGGAGTAATTAGGTTTTGTACCTTTGCCAATAGCCGTGGACCAGCCAGCGAGACTTATTGGACCCTTACACAGACATGAAGGAAGTAAAAAGTGAAGTACCTCCAACTGTTGCTTACGCACGTGGTGTACATTGATTACGTGCTGTACCCCCGCTTTCCCGCTTTCCGTCTCTGCTAGGGCTGGGACCGGGGCCTGTCCTCTGGAAGTCAATTGCTCTGATATGGAACAGGCGCCTAATTGACCCGGTAGACTAAGTCAACGACATTCCAGACTCCAGCATGAGGTGGTAGGTTTATTGCTTTATTTCAACTGCTATGCAGAGCTTTGAACCGGCAATCCAGAGTTCGTCGTATCAGACTGCTGTTAAATTTCTTTTTCCTCTTTACTGATGACAGATTCACGTTGTCAAGAGTCATCATTATGTGGACGGGCATGGGATTGTGGGGAACGCCTTTTGTTTTCTACCGCCGAATCCGCTTTCACTTGGTGACCTGTATGTTGTTGGCGGCATGGCGGTTGGGCTCTTTGGGAATCTGCTGATGCGCTCTGGTGTTGCTTTTCCATTGAATGAATCGCCGCTTTCATTATTTTCTTTTCATATTTTGGAGAACCGCTCGAGTGTGCACCACTATCGCCTGACCGGCTACTGACCCTAGGTCGGTCGCGAATCTCCGTTACCCAAGTCTAGAAGCCCTGGAGGTCCTCTTTGCTGCTTTGCTGCTTTTTCTTCTTTTAATTCGGCCTAGTAATTCGGCAATCTTTCTTCAAGAGAGGTGAGCTGGAAATTATCGCAACAACAACCCAAAAGAAATTTGTTTAAAAAAAAAAAAGAAGGGCCCGAGGGAAAACAAAAAAGAAATAATTAAAAAAATTAAACCAACAACCTACACTTGCCGACAGCCCCCCCTGCAATGCTAGAGCGGACTGATCGGCTGGGAGGCGGTCACTATCAAGCGCGGCTGAGCGAGACCTTTTAGAAGAAGAGGAAGAAAAAGCAAAGTTGCTAGGCCACGGCAGAGACAAATTTTCGAAACTCCTCATCTGGCACATGGAAACCTTCCAACTCGTGGCCCAGAGACCTGCAGCAAGCAAAGCAGCAGCAGCAGCAAGCAGGCAAGCAAGCACGCACGCACGCACGCACACAAACAAGCAAGCAGGCAAGCCGGCAAGCAGCACCAAGCAGCATCATCATTGCACGACGACAAGAAACGTTGTTGGGGCCGCGCTTCGCTCCCGCATACATTGCAAACCACCGCCAAGGGGCACCCCAGAATAGTCAAACCGACCAGACGTCTGTCTCAATTTCTCTGCTTTCTGAACCTCTCTGCTTTCGTCTCTACCTCCTGTCTTTGTCTCTGCGCTGCGCCGCCAATGCCATGCCCCGGACCGACATCCCTGGCGTAGTGTCGCTAAAGGCAAACCACGATCATTGTTGTTGTATGTACTACCCACACACCGGTATAGACCTGGCTGCCGTTGCCTCACCGGTTCAAGAAGTACTCCACATCGATAATTGCCTCTCACTCGCTGACGGCTCGTTTGGACTTTGGCTACAGTCACACGAACTGACGACTGAGAGAAGAGTCCCTGCGGTACTCTGACCCTCCTCCCGCCATTGCTGGCGCCCTCCCCTGGCTGCCTGACCACGGCCCTGATCATGGACAAGAACCCTATCCTGCATGCCGTCCATCCTTCTGTAAGGGCCCTGCTTTACTTACTCCCCCTCCTGACCTGTATAGACCTTGCCAAGAGGGTTGGGTAGTAGCCCGCGGGGGGAAGGGCGAGAGAAAGAAAGAGATAGGGAGGGAGAGAGACAGACAGACACAGGAAGAGAGAAAGATAGAGGGAGGAAGTGAACATCAATAGCAGCAGCTGACAAAGCCTGTGGCCAGCAGCGAAAGAGGGCTCGGCCCGTGTCGTCTCCCATGTTAGCCCCTTCCAAGAACAAATCCAGGTACCACGATGGTAACTCGCCCAAGAGAGGAAAAAAAGACATGGCTACCGCAGCCGACGGGTCGGTGGAGTACTGGCCTTGTTGGCATCAGGCGAGTAGATTGATGTTGCCAGTCGTCACCACTGGCGCCCTTTTGAGTTCGGTCTCGTCAGCTCCTGCAGACCAGGAGATTGGGATCGATGTCGGATATCAATGTGAGCCAACCATGGGACCGGGAGGGCGTTCAAACCTTCTTGGTGGGGAGACTCGCAGGGCCATGCCCAATGCGGCCCTGCAGCCTCCAGTCTACACCACCGTTCCTTACCAATATGTTTCGGACTTTGCTCAAGTTCCTACTGCATTCATCCCGAACGGAACCCCTCTCTGTGTTCCATCTAGTAGTGCCTTCGAGTTCTGCGTGCCCGTCATGCGCTACCAACCTCTCGATCCTGGTTGGCATTGCCAGGACATGCCGTCTCATCAGCCTTTTACTCAGGGAAACCAGAATTATGATGATTTGCCAAATGAACCCGCTCTTGGTGATGATGGCTCCGCTACCATGAGTTCCCCTCACTCTGACATTCCCCTCCCCGGTGACATCCCTTTCTCAGGCTTCGACGGCGTGCCTTATCAGCATCAGCACTACCATGATCTGTCATTTATCGATTTCCCACTGATTGCGATGGATGATAATGGCTTCCCAGTATATCAGCCGATGGAGGAATTCCTGCAACTCGGTGACGACTCAGACCACCAATACAGTCCGGTCATACCATTTTGCATGTGTCCGGAATGGCCTGACTCATCTCAGTCCAGTGTGGACAGCCTCTCCAGCATTCAGGATGAGCCTTATCAAATGATCCACCCGGTGCTTCCCGTCGAGAGCGATTACTTTAGGCACGAATTCACGGAGGAGTACAGCACCACACCTCCCTCGGGCCCATCGAGAAATAGTTCTCGCTCTTCTCGGACAGGGGAGACAAGGAACACTGGTGGTCGTAGCGGACCACTCGACCCCAGTGCACGTGAACAGGCCAGCAAGACTCGCCAAATCGGAGCTTGTAGGCGATGTTCGTGGCAAAAGAACAAGGTGAGCTCCCTTTATTCTCCCTTTCACGCAATAGTCTGTATCCGACTGATCTAAGCCCCAGTGTGAGCCCGGCCCGGATGGAACCAACGGTCCGTGCCTGCCTTGCTTCAAGATTCTTACCAATGATTCGAAAAAGGTTGTCCACCGGTTGCCATGTAACCGATCTAAATTGACAGACGCTGTCATGTTCCGTACCGGCGGACTAAACTTCACGAAAAGGCGGGGATGGGAGGGCGCCGCGATGATGGACATGAGACCAGATGACTGGGCGGACGACTCAATCATCACAATCCGCCTAACACTTGGCTATTGTGATCAACCTATCGAGTTGCAAGTCCGCAGGTTCGTACCTCAGGAAGGCGTCGACATGATCTCACGCTTTTGGCTGGATCCACATGGTCGACAGCAAACGACGAAGATCGCACCATACGCGCTGCACAACATCAAGGCACACAGGGCCGTATTGGTGTCGCATGTCATGGCGAATGCGTTTCAAGCAATCAAGCGCTATGCGGAGAACAAAACCGTGCACCCTATAGTCACGGAGACCTACAAAGTCGCGTAAGATCTTTTCATCAGGCATCGATGACTTTCATTTGGCTAATGGAAAACAGATGGGACCACATGCGAGCAGTTGACGTAAGTTGAAACTGTCTAAGAAGCAAAGTCTAAAGTACGGGCTTACAAATGAGACAGTACCAATCGCCGAGTAGCAAAGTCAAGGCAAAGGAGTTTATGGAAGATTTATTCAAACTGTGGTTTGCCATGAGTGAGCTCCCTTGCAACACCACTGAGATAATCCACCATATTGACTTTCTTCAAGAGAATACACTCGGATCGGCATGGCTTCTTGGAGACCCTGGTCAAAGAGAGACGCTCTACATGAGCCCCGACGAAAGAGACGGCCATCCGTTCCCAGACAAGATCAGCGCTCCACGCTTGGTCTGCCAGCAGTTTGATGCCATCAACTACTGCTCGATGCTAAACCCTTGGCGAACAGCATTTTTCAAGAAGTTGGATCAGATCATGGCTGCGAAGATTGACCCCAAGATGCTGTATACTGTTTATCTTGCTATCTTCATCCTGCTCCACGAGGTTTCCAACACGTCAAAAGACCGTTACTGGCACGCCAGACACAAGAAGGATGTGCAACGACGATATGACATGGAACTCTTCATGGAGCAGCTTCATGATGGCGCCAACCAGCTCTTGTACGCATGGCACTACTACAAATGTGGCTTCAACCCCCTTGATGCCAACCCAAACGATGCCAACCCTCTTGACGCCGATTGGGTGAAAGTCACGGATGAGAGGACGACGGATATATTCAACCACATGACCACAGACCAAGCAAGAGTGATGGTTCACCATGCCAAGGAGAGTAGCAATGGAACAGGTAAGGCAAACCTCATGCAACCAAAGCGCACCACTACTTACCGCTTGAATAGTGCCAGAAACGCGCGCAGAAAGGAAGGGCTGGAATGGGCTCGTCTTCAACCCACAGGAAAAAAGCCCGCTCATCTGGGAACGTGATATGCACTTTGTTTCCCAAATGTTCAATGACGATTGGCAGCATTCCCGTGTCTGGAGTCGTGCCATTGATCATGGACAACCGCAGAGGCTTTGAAGGGGGTTGACTGCGGCGCTGCTTTCTGCCTTTCTCTTCTCTTCTTATTCTTCCTTTTTTCCACAACTGTCTTTCCAGGTCGGGCGGGGTATTGAAGTGAGCATTCATTTATTACAGTACGGTTTTACTCAAGCATGTTAACGGACAAAACCAACACATTCAAAATTAACACATGTCATGACTCTAGACGACTTTAACGAGCAAACATCAATATACGGTATCTTTCAACTAGATATCTCAAAACTGATTCGCCGCGTCTTATATTCATGAGCCAGTGTCCCCTCTCCTGTGTAAAAGAGTGACGTCCAACTAGGGCAAAGCTCGCAATGCAATAGGTATACGACGACAGTTGCTTGACCCATGACAAAGTTTGCCGGTTGCGACGATATCACACGATAGCTACCTTGTGATATGGAACTAGAAGTTTTAGACACTTGAAGTTGAATTCCACCCGGCAATGATTCATCGTTCCAGAGTCACTTTACTGATGTCAAAAGAGAAAAAGTATTAACGAAAACGCTGATATCTGAGGTCGCCATGGTTGAAACCATGCTTTAAATGGCAAGTGGAGTTCCCTTACGCCTCGAACACCCAGCCCTAGCTGCTAGAAAAGTGTCCCCGAGAAATAGAGAACCAGGGAAGTCAACGCCGCCACCCGTAATGTTGTAATATCCGTGGTATCATCCGTATTCCTTGTATCTTTACCTGTCTTTACCATTTCATGCCCTTAGAGTCTGTGTATCATCATTGATTCAAGGTGAATCAGTTGTTAACCCTCGATGCTGCCCAGCTTTGAAGGCTGTTCAAGGCTTGGAGGATTAACCTAAAGGTCAAACCGAACGCGCCAAGCATGATGAAAATCTTGATAAACTCCCACCAGTGACGAGTTCGCACCTCAGTTTCGATATGTCCCTTGATGCCAGCTCCATTTGCGGGGAAGCGACCTGTGGAGATGTACTGCTCAAGCAGGTCATCCTTCTCGTACCACCGATCCTGCATCCACTTGGAGAATTTCTCCTCATCATCCAGGGGCATATCTGCCAATGCAAAGCGTCGCCAGTAGAAGTTGACCGACTTTGGCGGTCTTCCGCGGAAATAGGTGCTACTGAGAGTGAAATATTCCTCACCATATCCTCCCCGGCTAGACAATAGTTAGTATACTGGGTAATTTGGGTTTGATGATGCATAACTTACGGGATGCCCTCGTAGGCCACAGTGCAATCATAGACGTATTCCACAGTTTCCTGTAGCTCGTTTAAGCAGAAGAAGGTACCGGTGCTCCTAGGTAAGAGGAGATGTCTCGGGTCCTTTACTCCCGTCTTCTCTGCCCACTTGGCCGACTTTGCTCTACCATTATTGGACAGATTCGTGCCCTCGGGGAATAGGAGCAGCCACATTGGGTTCAAGAATTCCTCTCCATCTGGGCTGATGACTTTCTTTCGGAGTTTTTGAAGCCGGTGAGCCAATCGGGGCTGATCAGTGGCCATCTTCCGTGACATGAAGATGAAACCAAACAACAGGCAGCCAGGCCCTATAACAGGGATGTATTTGAGTGACTCTTTGAGGATAATGTACAAATGGCCATGCATAGCTGGGTTATTTGTATATCCGACCCACCATAGATACAGCCAATCCGTATATATCTGCATTTCTTGTCAGCCTCTGTAGACTCTACCCATAGGCGGATTTTTTCTACCTGGTGATTCGCAATCATGACTAGACGCTCGGGAAAGGCACATTCAATTCTACCGTCGGGAGTGATACTCAACTGCCCAGCCACCGATGCATCTCCGCTGACCCTGATCTTTGTCGGCGCCCACCAGTGAGTCATGGTTGTACCGAGGAGTCCAAAGGACTGTTTCGTAAGGGCCATGTAGGCATAGTAAAAGTCGCGGTTGAGTAGGTACAGCGGACAGCCAAGAATCTGCGTAATATGAATTCTGATGACGCAACTGTTAGAGAAGAACCGTACTATTTTTCATTTTGTGTTGGGGTTCCATACACAATACAGGACGTGGCAAAGTATATGCCAAAAGTAAGCGCTCGCAGCGCAGAGAAGATCGGACCATGTTGAGCCTTACCAGAAGGGTGAGCCTCCTTTTTCTTCTCGTCGTCGCTTGGGGTTATGCCGGCGGCGAGGTTCGGAGCCGGCACGTCGTCCTTTGCAACAGGCCGCTGACGAAGCTCGGCGGTTGACATGGTCTCTTGAGATTCGGAAATGTCGTGGTTACTCTGAGCTGGTTCGCATCTACTTTCAGCGGTGTTGAGGCGGTGAGCTGATACACAGTGTAGTATGCGCCCAATAGAAAAAAGATCGGTCGGATAACGTCGCAGCGTAAATGATGTGGCCGGTCTATGCCTCCTCCATGGTCAGTCCATATTGCAAGCAAGTCTGGTGGGCGCTCAAGTGCTGGAAGGTCTCGACTTCCAAGTCGCGTGCCTTTTCTTCCTGCGCGGAGCCCAGGACCCACGTATACGACGACCCCGAGCAGCCGAGAGCTTGATGGAGGGGCAGTCTTCGGTATCGCACCAAGCTTACCTTCGTCAGAGAAGGTCAGAGCATGTTCATCAGCATCGCAACATGACCACGTTTCTGCTAGAAATTACTCGTCGCAAGCTTGCTTATTGAGAGACGAGGGAGGATTGTCGGAAAAGAGTAGCGATGCACGAGTCGTCGGCGGTTGCCTTCGTCGTAGGAGTGCAGCGAGTGGGACGGGAATTCCAAGTTTGAGATGGACAAGTTGGTGCCATGTGGTCAGTCAGTCATCCATCCATCAGGCACCAGAGTTAGATCCAGTCCACGCAGTTGGCATGCCACCAGCACGCTGTTACTGACAAACTGGTCTTACATTGCGGCGAGCTGCGCACTAAAGGATCTGCCAACCCCACTAAAGCATGAGCCTGGCAAGCCTAAAAAGATGGCTGGCGGCACATGCCGAGTCAATCATCAAGCCTTCCAATCACCAAGCTTGGCACCCTAGCAGATCCCCTGCCTTGGAAATATTTAGCTTGAGCTCCAGTACTGTGACAGGGGGGAGCTTAACCGAGAACGTTCTGATGGGCCCTTTGCGGACTTGAACATGTTCCCATGAAGCCGGTTTATACTCCGTCGGATTTAACAGCTTCCCGTCGAAAGCTGAGGAACTCGTGTATCGTAATCAGGATACAGGTCGACTACAACAGTTCTGATAGCTGAGGCACGAGGGCTCTCTCTGCTGGTCCAAATGGGCGTCCATTCGCTTTCATACCCTGCTTCGGCAGGCAGTAACCCAACCTCGTCCCGCGATGTGTTGATATTCTTTATCTCCGGCAACCCCGGATTGATTGACTACTACAGTCCATTCTTTGAGAGCCTGAGGACTCTGATTGATTCCTGTCCTGATCTGGGATCAACGCGGTTTCACATCTATGGCCAGGATCTTGCGGGATTCGGCGAAGATGACCACAAGCCATTCGACGGGCAGAACCCTCCCCACGATGTGGAATATCAGATCAAGAACTCGTATGACGCGCTCTCGGCATTACGCATAGAAGACGGACCCAAGAAGTCCCAGCCTTACGATGACATTTTACTCATGGGCCACTCGGTCGGGAGCTATATCGCGCTTCAGATCTTCCACCGTCACCTGCAAGACGCTTCGGCGGCACCTCACGTGCACCTCAAGGCGGGCGTTCTATTGTTCCCCACGATCGAGCATATTGGCCGGTCGCGGCAGGGCCGGCAGCTCGATCTACTGCGACGCACGCCCGTCATCGGACCGAGCGCGCACGCCGTTGCACAGGGGTTCCTACGTCTCTGGACATTTGGCGCGCTGCAGTGGTTCGTCGGTAAGGTCCTAGGCTTCCCGCCGCACGCGGCCGCGGTCACGGCCCGTTTCCTCAAGAGCCGAGATGGCGTCTGGCAGGCCCTGCACATGGGCATGGACGAGATGAAAGTCATTGGCGAGGACAAGTGGGATGAGGAACTCTGGGAGATCGAGCGCGGTATCGATCAGCAACAGCAACAGAAGCAGCTGCCGCCCAAGTTCGTCTTCTTTTTCGGCAAAAATGATCACTGGGTTGCGAGTCATCTGCGTGATGCCTTTATTGAAAGGCGGCAGAAGCACACGGAACGTACGAGGCTGATGATTGACGAGGGGAACTTGCCTCATGCATTTTGCATTAGTAAGTTTTATATTAGGCTCTTGATGTCATGATTTATTGTCGATGAAACTAACATGAGTGAAAAGATCACAGCGAGCCTGTAGCCGAAAAGGTCTTGCTCTGGGTTCGAGAGATATATGAACAGGAATAAACCTTGATGATTCTGTTGGCGCTGGAGCACTCATCGCATTGCGACGGGATCTACGCGGAACGGCAAGATTTGAAAAATTAGGGGAAATGACCGCCCAAAAAACCTCATAGGTATTCTCGTGTAAGGCTTGGATACAAGGAAAGGGAAATGGATCATAGACAAAAGGCGCAGCAGAAGAGGGATAGTTTGAGGAAACGATTCGGAACGCGAATATATAGGGAAAAAGTACACTGATGCGGGAGGGCTTTCCCCTTTGCGTAGATTTGCTTTGAAGATTCGTGGACACTCGCACGCTTGGACATGTGCAACTAAGTAATATTGCATGCAGCTAGACTTTTTAAAAGAACGGCCGATTGAGAGATTTTCTATGCGCTATCGATTTCATTCATAGAGAGGTAACATGTTACACGACGATCCGTGTCTTCACTTACCAAGAGTGAGAACAGTATTACACAGGCCATTTGTTGACATATAATGCACCTTCAGCCTAGATCTACAAATTATCGAGATGATTTATTCATAATCTCTATACACTACAGGAATATTCCATTAAATATATTAGTTCAAAGAGATCTCCTTTCCACTTCGGCTACTTTCTCTAACAGCCTCGATAATCTTGAGCACTTCGCTGGCCTGAGCAGCCGGCACTGGAATATCTTCCTCCTTGCCGCTGGCAATCGACCCGGCCAGGAGCCTATAGAACTCCTTGTATGTGGGAGGCTTAACGGTGGGATAGCTCTGCTCCTTGGGTGTCGTGCCGTCAGCGCCAAAGGTTGTCAACTTGCCAGCCCACTCGGCAGGCTCAACACCAAAGTTCTCATCGGCAGGCGAGCGGCCGTTGGGCTTCTTCTCGTTAAAGTCCTTGAGCTCCGGCTCCTGGGTGTCCAGGTTGGACTTGCGGAAACTACCCTTGGAGCCGCGAATCCAGAAGCGCGGCTGCTGCTCCTCGACGCTCAGGATGCCAATGCGGATGTGGGCCACCATGCCGTCATTGTAAAAGAGCTGAGCCGTGACACTGTCCGAGTCGTCCTCGGCCGCCTTGATGACGCCATCGCGAGAGTTGATGAGCTTGCCAAAGACGCTGGCCGGCTTGCCAAAGAGGGCATATACTTGATCAATCAAGTGCGTGCCCAAGTCGTAGACGGCACCGCCGCCCTCGCTCACCTTGGTCGTGCCCTTCCAGTTGGTCGGCTTCTCGAGCTTGTACCTGTCAAAGTGTGTCTCAAACTCGACAATGCGACCCAGAGTGCCCTCCTTGATCAACTTGGTGGCAGTCACAAAGTCGGCATCCCAGCGGCGGTTCTGGTAAACACACAAAACGCGGCTCTTCTCCCGTGCAAGGGCGACCAGCTTGTCTGCCTCGGCCGAGGTCGGCACAAAGGGCTTCTCACAAAGCACATGCTTGCCAGCGTTGAGAGCCTGGCTGGCCATTTCAAAATGTGTAGGGGGAGTTGTGGTAAGCACAACAAGATCCAGGTCTGAATCAGCAAGGAAGCTGTCATAGGTGGTGTAGTGCTTGAGATCTGGGTAATCGGCAGGAGCGGAATCGTTGGCCTTGGGTGATCGTTGAAGGATAGAGTGCAGCTTCAGCGAGGGAGTGACTTTGATAAAGGGGATGTGAAAGACCTTGGCGGACAAGCTGTGCCAACAGATTTAGCAGGATATACATTTGACTTATTTCATTGATGAATATTGAAACTTACCCGTAGCCCACAACTCCCACGTTGAATGTCTTTGCTGCAGCCATTTTATAAGATTGAAACTTTGGACGAACAGGGTGCAACTGAGATGAGAGTTTTTGAATGTGTGTGAAGAGAAATAGGCTTCAAGTCAAGATTTGGCAAAAATATTCGCTGCCTCTCTATGCACTTATATACTTGGACAATGACTCTGTCGGCCGAGACTCGAAGAGCGACTATTCAATTGGCGGCGCATTGTTTCGCATAGGTCGGCGGGGCAGTTTGTCACAGAACCCCACCATGGCTAGTTCATGGGAAGGTCCTCCCGAAAGCTGAATAGGTGCAAGCCGCGCATCGATCTCGGCGGGGAAAATGTCTCCGGGGGGTGAAACTCGGCGAGAAGAGACCGTGTAGCAAGGCACCAAGCTGCGATTTGTCTGGATACTAGGCGAGAATTATGAGAAATCAGTGTAGAGGTATAATATCATTTTTAAAACCAATGGCGGAACAAACAAAAGATGCAAGTCCATTGCGCATGTGATTGCTTCTACACTACAAATACACTACCATGCGGAAATGGTCCAGCTGTAGACAGCTTCATATGGCAATGATGTCATGCTAAAGTATAAGTCCCTGCAATGCGGCTGCGGCTTATCCACCTAACTGTGGCGTCCATATATTTACAATGATTGGTATTGACACCACGAGTCCTGCATCTGCTTAAATATTTCATCTGTCGACCTTGTCAAACAAGAAATTCGTCCTTTTCGACGCCTATTATCTGGAAGCTAACAGCTATGGGAAGCTTTGACAGCTCCAACGGAGGGGTCTCCTTCGCTTACCTTGCCTTAGCTATGAGAGATGAATAACGTAATCGCTAATTGGTCATTTTTGCACTTAGCGCGCATAGCGTCGGGACTTTTTTTCCTCTGTCACCCAGCTCTCCGCCCCAGGTAACATTTGCATCATGATCCCAAACCTCTAGAGCCAAGGCCGTATACTCGACAAACGCGGTCTTTGCTTGAATGATCATGAAGACCTGAAAGCACGGTACTTGATGATATTCGAAAGCGTGGGACATCCACCTGAAGTCTTGCGCATACAGCCATGAGCGCAAGCATTTACTTCTAGACGAACAAACAAATATGGCTGCCATCCGGAGCAACCTGGGCATGCGACTGCCCCAAAGCCTGAAAAGAGGCTTCGCCACCACTGCGTGCCGCCTCGAGATACGATCTGTCGATCAACTTCCTGGTCGCATTACCCCGCGATACAATAATGCTGCGACATCGTCTCTCCTGGCCTTGGAATGGCCCGAACCTCCTCGCAACGTGCTGATAGTACCAAAGCTATACGCGCCAAAGGTTATCAAGTCGGCAGTCGAGTTTGTCAAGCATGTCAATGCGGAATACCCAAACATCAACTTTATCTTCGAACATCGCGTTGCCTCAACAATTCACGACTCGCTGCCTTTTCCGATTTATACTTCGGAGCCGACACATTTTCCGGCCAAGATCGATCTCGTGGCGACACTCGGAGGCGACGGCACCATCTTGAGGGCAGCGAGCCTATTCAGTCTGCATACGAGTGTGCCTCCGATACTCTCATTCAGTATGGGAACCCTAGGATTCTTGGGCGAATGGAAATTCGAAGAATACAAGCGAGCGTGGAGGGAGGTCTACATGAGCGGAAGCCGTGTCGCGGTTAGCGATTTGCAAGGACCACACACGCAGGCTGCCAACGGACGTCACGGATACGACGAAGACACGTTGAAGAATGGATGGGCTGGTTTCAAAGGCAGAAGTATGGGAGCCACCCGGACCAGCAAAATTCTCCTCCGGCATCGGCTCAAGGTCGGCGTATACGATGCAAACGGCATCAATATCAATGAGCATCTGATGCCCACATCTACAGCGGCTCTGCATCAGCCCCTTCCCCCTGTGCCTCCTGCTGTCAAGGAATTGTCCAAGTCCGGCGCACCAGTCATCCCCGACTTGCATGCTATCAACGAGTTAGTCATTCACCGCGGTCCCAACCCTCATCTGGCCATTGTGGATGTCTATGTGGGCAATCGCTTCTTCACCGAGGCTGTGGCCGACGGTATCTTGATCAGTACGCCAACTGGTTCTACCGCATATTCGCTTTCAGCTGGAGGAACCATCATCCATCCGTTGACAAAATCAATGCTCTTGACACCAATCTGTGCTCGGACTTTAAGCTTCCGTCACCTGTGCCTTCCCCTGAACAAGAAGGTTGTTCTCAAAGTCAGCAAAAAGAACCGAGGTCGCGAACTGGAAGTCAGCATTGATGGAAAACGAAGAGCTGGTGTCACCATTGGAATGGAAATCCGGGTCACTGGTGAGGTCGTCGCCCCCGACGCTACTGGAAAGTGGGCTGGTGGCGTTCCTTGTGTGATCAGAAGTAGCGGACAAGGTGACGAGGGAGACGACGATGATGGCTGGGTAGTTGGACTGAACGAGAGGCTCAAGTTCAACTATCCTGTTGGATAAGCATGGAACACGAAAGGCTTCAACCATGGTCCAATTTGGCGAAAATACCCTTTGATTGATTATATGCTGGAGTCGGCTTGTTTAGGGAAAACTTGGCTTCATTTTGACACTTGATGTATATATGTATTGGATCTGTCATTTCCACGGGGCATTCCTTGGTGTTTGTTATCTAATTTCTTCCGGTTGCCTCATTTCAGAGATACCCACAGGCTCATATCATCTCAATACTAAAGAGAACATATCTTGTGTCCAAGAGGTATTCTCTGCCTGTACGTATGTGCCGTCTCGATTCCCGTTCCTTGCGATTAATCTCCCTGAAACTTTCCCGCTTGTCTATTTCGGTTCCTGATCGCGGACACGGGTAGGTTAGTCATTTGGATGACGGAATGCGCATACAGCTCAAACCGTGAGGTCGTTAGGTTTGAGAGCCGATTAGGCTCGGAATGTCCCCCATTCTAGTCAGAAGATTGCAATAAACCTTCAAGCCAGCCTTAAAATAAGGACAACGCGGCACCCGCTGCCGTATAGTACAACCCAGGCAGCCCTCAATATTCCATGGTCATACATATACTGTGCATGTTATTTCTATTTTGTATCTTGATTCTGCTGTGCTTCGTCTGCTACTCAATCTTCACTTTCATCACAATGACTGTGGATACAGCAGACGAAGCACCGCCCATCACATTTGATGGGCTTTGCTCTGTTGAGTCCACAGACCGTCTCAATTTGATCGACAAAGTGAGAGCAAATGGAGTTGGTGGTATTATTTCACTACCCCAGCTTGTGGTATGTGGCGATCAATCTGCAGGAAAGAGTTCCGTGCTCGAGCGCCTCACCAAAATACCTTTCCCTCGAAGTGACAGCCTCTGCACGAGATTCCCTACTGAGATCATCATTCGTCACACTTCGGGTGCTCGCCAAGTCATCGCCACTATCCAGCCCCACGAGACTCGGTCGGCAGACATCCAGGAAAGCCTCAAATCCTACCAGCGTAACATCGACGATTTCTCAGAATTACCTTCCGTCATCAAGGAAGTCTCCAAGTTGATGCGAATCCGGGGCTTTACTAGTGAGGAAGAGTGTGGAGGTGCTTTCGCTTCGGACACGCTCCGCATTGAAGTATCAGGGCCTAATGGCTTGAGTCTGACCGTTGTGGATCTGCCTGGCTTGATTTCAGTGTCCCACGAGGGACAAACAGAGGAGGATGTCGCCATGGTTCGACGCATGGCCGAAAGCTATCTGGAAAGTAGCCGAACTATCATTTTGGCCGTGCTCCAAGCTAGTAATGATGTTGCCAATCAGGGCATTGTACAGTTGGCCAGAAAGCATGACCCTGATGGTCAGCGGACAGTTGGGATCATCACCAAGCCAGACCTGATCAATGCCGGTACCGAGGCCAAGATTGCAAGACTCGCCAACAATGTGGATAATATCAAATTGAAACTTGGATTCTTTCTTCTGAAGAATCCAAGTCCGTCCGAAATCGGACTCTCTGGCGACGCACAATGCCAGCTGGAATCCCAATTCTTTGCCACAGCCATTTGGCAGTCCCATTGCCTGGACATGACCCGTGTGGGTATATCAGAATTGAGGACGTTCTTACAGCAGTTGCTGGACCGTCACATTGAAAAAGAACTTCCTAAAGTTCAAAATGAGGTGAAACAATTACTCATGGCTACGGACACCAGACTCGCCACTCTGGGGCCGGAACGCACAACTGCCCTGCAAATCAGAGGCTTCCTGACTGGAACGAGTATGCGCTTTCACGGGCTGATCATTGCAGCTTTGTATGGGAATTACCAAGGTTCTGAGGCTAGGTTCTTCGAAAGAGATGCGAATCGATTGCGTGCGATGGTGCACCAGGCCAACGAGACATTCGCCGATTACATGCGCACAAATGGGGCTAAGAGAAAGTTGGTCGAAGAAAAGGAAGACCAGCCAAATCAGGAAGATGAATCAGAAATAATTCTCGCGACCAAGACGGAATTGTCTCAGTGGATCACAGAGGTAAGCATGTCTCTGCATGTTATATATGTTACTCACCATTATGTGCAGAGATACACTGCCACAAGAGGGCGCGAGCTCCCAGGAAATGTCAATGGCGTATTGCTGTCTGAGTTGTTCTGCGAACAATCTAGCAGATGGGGTCAGATCTCCGAGAATCACGTTGCAACAGTCACACAGATAGTCACTGACTGGATGCGGGAGGCATTGGCCTTAGTTGCCGAAGAAGAGCATGTCCGAAATCAAATTTCAAGTATCTGTCAGAAATCTTTGAACAGTGCGATACGAGATTCCGCAAAGGAGTTGCGTAAGCTGCTCTCTGATGAAAAGCGGCCGCCGATGACATATAATCATTACTATACAGACAATGTTCAGAAGGCTCGCAATGACGCAGGGGCCAAGAAGTGGCAGCAAGCAGTTAAGGCTGCACAAAATGAAGAATGGTCTGGCAAGATGAACATCAACATGAAGGAACTCGCCAAGTTTCCTCGCTTCTTTGCCTCTGTGAACGTCAACATGACGCAAACGGCTTGCGCGGATGCTGAAACTGGACTCACTTCATATTACAAGGTTGGTATCATGATACATGTGTATTTTATAGATCTAATTGACTCTTCTCCAGGTAGCGATGAAGATCTTTGTCGACAATGTGTGCCGCCAAGTCCTTGAGCGTCATATCCTGCGTTCAATGTCGGAGCTCTTCACCCCTACCACAGTCGCCCAGTTCTCAGATGAAGAATTGCTTCGAATCGGTGCGGAGACCGAAGGCCGACGTCGTGACAGAGAGCACCTGACACAAAGAGCATCAGCACTGCGAAAAAGTCTACAGGATCTCCGAGGCTACGAATCCCGGCAGCTTGCCCTATGAACCCCTGAGTCATTTCCGCCTCGATCGCGAGAATTATTTCTGATTCATCTTCCTGATTTGTCTGGTGTTTTTTTCTCTTCTTTTTTCTTCTTTTTTTGTAATCATCACACTGCTTCGTTAAATCAACTGGCGCTGTTAAGGACTTTGAGGAGCTCACTCAAAAACTGCTCCTGGGGGCTGAAGGAGTGCTGCGAAAGCAGCCAGCAATGTTTCCTGATGTTACGTTTTCCAAGTTTTGTGCACGGCTTTGAGATGTGACTGTGCATTTCTGAACGTCCGATGGATATAATGCTTTCGTTGGTTTTTCTCCCTGTATGTAGATAGCAAACCTCGAGCTTGGTTTTCCCACTGGGTTTTCCCAAGCTTGTTATGCAAATGCAGAGGCTGAAAAGTTGTACCAAAATAAGGTACATAAATACATTTGTCCAAATTATGATGCTTCGAGACCAATCAACAACCAACAAGTGCCTGGTCGAGTACACGTCCAGTTATAAATTTTGCATCATATTTGAGCCGCCAGCCGTCGAATTGGCCGTGGATACATATCAATTGACACGTACCTATCTAGAAACCTAGGTTAGGTGGATTGACGTACCAGGTGTTGTTTCCAAACACCGAGATGTGCAATGTCTTTATATTCGTGCAACACATTTATTGGCTACAGCTATCAGAAATCCCAGAATCCCTAACTAACCCTACGCCAATTGAAAACAAGCCCTACTAAATCACAAATATCTAAGTGCAGCTGTCACTTCCAACAATGAAAGTGCCATCCGAGTTCTCACAGCCGCACTCGCCAGAGCTGGGATCCTTGATACAGGTGGTTCCGACACCACTGCTCTCACCGCTGTCGTCCCAGAAGAAGGTCCAGCAGTCCGAGTCCGAGTCGGTCATTTCGCTGCTGGTAGGCACAGTGCAGCTGTAGGCGCTGCAGGTACCGTAGGGTGCACCCTCGACATCGTCGTACTGGTGGTCCGTCTTGAAGACGGCAAATGTCTGCGACGAGGTGCGGGTGTTGTAGGCGCACTCGGCAGCCTGGATGGACTTGGAGGTCTTGGAAGCTGTACGCTTATTGTCAGTCATCAAACGGTCCTTTGGAGATGTGCTTGTTCTTTGCAAGTCGGGATATCTTACCAGAGCAGTTATAAGTTGAGGGACACTTTCCTTCAGTGTTGGAAGTGGCAGGGTCGAGAGTACGCTTCTGCACTTGAACCTCAGCAGAGCGCTGGAAGAGGTCGAGAGGCGACCATGCGGCGGTGATGGATGGCAGGACGGCGGCCACGAGGCCAAGGACCATAGTTGACTTCATTTTGAGCGAGTGACTGAGTTGAGTGAACAGCTGAATGTCTGGTCCAAAGAAGATAGTGCCTTCAACGGATTCTTCGAGCGTCTTATATACAGAATTGAGTAGTTGGGACTCATGTCGTATTTCCCCTGATTACAACGGCAGTTACTGCCCCATGCCCGGACGGGTATCCGTGCTGGCGGATCGGGGAATATACGTCAAACAAAGCTTATTATATTTCACGGGTTGCCCATCTCCACCGTGCCAGACCTAGATTGCGCCCAAATTGGAGCCGGGTATCGGGAGTGGAGGGCGCTGATTCGCAAGGACCCGCTCCTCAAACTCCACACGGCCTTGGACCGGGGTTCTTCTCATACGGGAGACCGGGGGCATTATATAAGAACAATGCCATGGGCCGCGCAATAACAACAAACCAGAAACGAGAAGTGGACACCTGGGTGCCGCCTCACTCTATTATCCAGTGTCTGGTTTCCTACGTATTCGAGAAATCTAGGCCTTGTGATGATCATCCGTAGTGGCGGGTCTAGATGGGATGATGGAATGTGCTGTTTGAGCGAAGACGGAGGCTCATCTATTCATCCAAACACGCAACATGCGGGAGCGTATTGGATGGGCTGAACGTCATGCAATTGCCCCTCTGGCTATGGAAATGAGCTGCAAATGATGAGTTGAATGCATCCTGTTGCTTCCCGTGGCAGACTGGACAAGCTTGGTCATCTTTCTTCTTCTTCCTCCCCCTATCCAAGCCGCATGTGGATTCGGGTGACACATCTGCCACGGAACAAAGATATTGCTTCCACAGAATTCCTTCATCATCTTATCTACTGAGCTTCCCATTTGGCGCCATTGTCTTGAGTAAACGGTAGTGAGATGAGCTTGCTGTGAAAGATTCACCATCACTCATGATTTGTACCTCACATCAGCCATGTTACACTGTTTGATTCTCAATGTTTTGTATCACAGTGGCTGCGCCAAGTGAGTTGCTTCGACCAAGGAGGAAGACCCTCCGTCGAATATATCTGCCAGAATGGTAGCAGAAAACCAGTATTTGCGACGCAACAAATGACCCGAGCTAGACCGGTGACGAGGTATCCTAGCTTCAAAATGCCGAAGCTCATCAACTGTTGTATCTCAGTCCTGTCCGATAGATGATGGCTCCCCGCAAGGCTTCAGATGTTGTGTTGTATTGTATAGTTGTGGCCGCTGAGGGATGGATGGTTTGTAGATCCTTAGCTCTGGGGCGAGACAGCTTTGAGCGAGCATCATAAGCTCAGTACCGACTTTCGTAGTTGCAATATCACCTTGCCACTGTTGTTGTGTTTCTGCTTCAAATCCAAACCAATTGAACCAGGCAACTGCTGAATCGTGCATTGCAGGGAAGCTGAAATTGGCGAACCTGGAAAATCCAAGCCTACAGAGATGCGCCTCCGTCCAATGAGATGAACGACCTGCTTGATTTGCCACAACAATTGTCACTCGACTGACAATTGGTGTTGAAGCATGGGCGAAATCATCCCCGGTTGGACGGGGCCTAGATGGGCACATGGTGATACACAAGTTGCCTGCCTGTCACCCTATGGCATCCAACTTTACGGAATCCATCGGACGGCAAGTCAGTCAAGCAAAAAAGTGAGACTATTCCCGCTCTTCATTGTCTGATCGTGCCGCAACTTCATCATGTTTTGACGTTTGGGCAGCTAAGGCAAAGATTAGTGTACCTCCCAGTACTGTGTATTGCAGGACCCTGCAGCCCTGATATGTTTACTGAATGGTGCTTGTCTCCAAGCGGTTTGGGCTCGCATGTCGACTCCACAAGGCCTGCCAGGGCAAAGCTAGATTCCAAATCAAACGGCGCGACGTCTGATCTCAATGTTTACCTAGGCCATCGAAAAGCCCTTGAACTTGACTTTAATTGTTGTTGGTAAAATCTTTGTTCTGATGACATTGGAGAGAAACGCTGACTTCAATGCAACAAGATTCCAAATCCGACTCGCGATATGCGGGTGAGATGTCGTTTCGATACCTTGAGTACCCCGCGGGCCGCCACGCACCTTCACCAGTGATGGCTTGCTGATGGGGCCTTATCCAGGCACAGCGCATTAGTGCCAATTGCCAGTGGTCCGGTTCCCTGAATCGGAAATCACAAGGAGGCAAATGCCGTGGTCAGATCTCGTCGGGCGCCCGAGAATCCCGTGGCGGAAACAGGGGCAATGGCGAGTAGAATTGGAGACGGCCCCGGGAATGTTGGAAGACGCATCTAGGAGCGGACAGCAGCAAGTATGGTTCGAGCATTTCCAGAAAAAGCCATGGTATAGCCTCGCCTTGATGCGCCACTATCTTTCCCTCTTCTAGAGACATTCTAGAAGAAAGTCACCATGGGCTGATGGTGGACAGATTGCGATCCGTCGTGTTTGTTGATCTTTATAGCCGAGCTCGGCGCCAGGGCACCCATTTAACACGCCCCCCAAAAATGCAGGCAGCTGGAGCATCCCATTCGTCGACGGCCAAAGTGGCATGATCCGGGATGGTCCATCTCCGACGGTTAGGCTTGTCATTTCGCTAGCGCCCGCGAGAAAGGAGGCGGTCTCAACAGTTTCTTTTCTTTTCTAATTTTTTCCCCTCTCGCCGCTCTTTCGCCCAATTCTGTTTATTATTATCGTTTCCCCTTGTGACTGGGCCTGTTTCTTATCTGCTCGCGATCGCTGGCTCGTCGTTATCTTGCGCGGAAAAGGTCCTCGACACCACACAACATTGACCCGTCCGACGTCAATTGACAACAACAGCGGCTTGTGCCTGCATCGACCAAAGAATACCTTACCTACCCCTCCAGCAGCAGAAGCCAATCCTTCGCCGCCATGGACGTTGCGCTTGAGCTACTCGATCCCCTAGTCTTGGACAAGGTGTACGCCTATGTGCACCCTGCGCCAAACTCCATTGCAAACTCAACTTCAGCCTTTGAGACTACTGCTGCTCTTACCGCCGAAGATGGCCCCGTCTCAGCATGGCCACGCGACAACATCTACCGCCAAATCATATCGATTCTCGTCCTCACCCAGCTCGGCGCCTGCATGCTGTACTGGGTGTTTTCGGCCCTCTCGTACTATCTGATCTTTGACCGCCGCCTGGAATACCATCCGCGTTTCCTCAAGAACCAGGTTCGCCAGGAGATCATCTCCTCCATGAAGGCTGTGCCGTTTATCAATCTGATGACCCTGCCCATCTTCCTCGCCGAGGTGCGGGGTCACAGCTTGCTGTACACCAACGTTGACGAATATGGCTGGGGCTTCATGGTCCTTTCGACGGTGCTGTACATGGCTTTCAACGACATCGCCATTTACTGGATCCACCGCATCGAACACCACCCCAGCATCTACAAGTACATCCACAAGCCTCACCACAAGTGGATTGTGCCGACACCCTTTGCCGCTCTGGCCTTCCACCCCGCCGATGGTTATGTCCAGTCGCTGCCCTACCACGTCTTTGTCTTCATCTGCCCCATGCAGAGATACCTCTACCTGGTCATGTTCGTCCTTGTCCAGATCTGGACCATTCTGATCCACGACGGAGACATGATTACGGGCCACTGGGTAGAGAAGTTCATCAACAGCCCTGCCCACCACACTCTGCACCACATGTACTTCACCGTCAACTACGGCCAGTACTTTACGTGGGCCGACTACTACTTTGACTCGCACAGGGAGCCCCGCCCCGAGCTGGACCCCATCCACGAGGCTCTGCGCGTCATGCGCGAGAAGGGCCTCGTCGACGAGAAGGGAAACCCCATCTCACAAAAGCCAAAGTCCGAGTAGGCACCTTAATGAAGCGATAGATTTGAAATTTCTAGTACATACCTATATATACCTACATACGGCGTCCCGGTCATGGACACAAAGTCTAGCCGAGGTCTACATCGAGCCACGATACTAATAAACTTAATTGATCAATCATTTCTATCTATTAGCCTCTTTTGCAACCTTGATTCTGTTAGCGACTACCATACGACTGTATTTTCCCGTATTTCTCCGATAAACCTGAGCCTGTGGCGAGGTCAAGTCGGGGCACATCAGATCCAGGTTACTGAGATTCCTTTCTATCTGCTCAAGCGTCCTCGTATTGTCTACCTGGAACATGAGCCCCTCGCAAAGGTGCAACGCCTGCATTGTCGCGACATCTTGAAGACTATGGCCGTGTTCGATGACCGGAGCAGATTGCCACATGGCGTTCATAAGCAGCCCAATGTCTTCGGCGCCAAACAGCTCACTCCATTCTCCTGCCGACATGCGCTCCAGGTCTTGGTGGAGATTGGAGAGCTCCGGCCGCAGGGGATACAAGGGAATACCAATGTACCAGAGCGCCGAATCTTGCTCAAATGCAGATACCATCTTTCTCACCACTGGGTTGGACATATCCGCTCCAGACCATCCCCATATTCTCAACTTCTCGGCCGATTTCAGATCACTGCCGTTGGCGCATATCTTATTCTTGGCATAGTCTCTGCAGAAGCGGAAGAGGAGCTCTTCTACCGCCAATAAATCATCAATGTCCAGAGATGACATCTGCTGAAGGGTGCGTCTGGTCTGATTGCTAGTAGGTAACACGACCCTGGCGAGCTGGTAGAGATATCTCAGCATGGACTGGCAAAGTTCAGGATGCGTCTGATTGACTCGAAAGAGAACCTGACAAAGACGAACCATGCCAGACGGCGGCGCATTCTCGAGAAACGAGCGCCCTCTGTCCATGCAGAATGCAATCACGCCGAATCCATAGTCTACGTGACCGTTCTTCACCATGGTCGTCGCAGCGTCAACGAGATGGAACCAGCGGTCGTTCATTACAATAAGCGGCTTGCCAATGCTGCGTTTTCCCGATTCCTCGGGCCTGAGGATCGAAGTAATATCGTTTCGGAATCCTCGCAGTAGCCGCTCGGGGTTTTGTAGTTTCTCAGGCGGGTTGAGGATTTCTCTTAATGGACTGGGATGCGCATGCCGCTCGGGGCTTCTCCCCTCCATGGTCTTCGAAGCTGCCGCCAACAAGCTTGCGACCGCCCTTTTGAAATGAGTATACTTTTCGGGCGGTAATCGACGAACATAGATGTCGATCTTGTCCATGGACGGCGATACGGCATGGGGTTTCGTGAGGGTGCGGTGGGCCACTATCCTGACAACTTGATCATAGCTCAAGCGCTTCTTCAAATTCCATTTTCGAAAGTGATGCTTGTACATTCTCATACTGCAACTTTGAGTTGGCGAATGCAAATTCTTGGCCGTTCCAGCAAGCGACTCACGTGGCGTGAAAGTTGTGTTTGGTCTGCACTATCATGGCTTCTTAGTATTACGGTGCTTCCTCAAGCTTCCAACGGCGACGAACTGTGATGCATGACTTCCTCGAGTGTAAGACTCTGGCCTAGGTACAACTCGGTGAGAACATGACGATTGGATTCCCAGTCGCACGCCTGGGCCCACTCATGTAGAGGCATGGGTGTCGTAGTAGTTATTCGTCAAGGTCTCTCGCCGTCGTGATTTTGCGGGGAAGGATAAGGTATAGAGCATTGCCAAGAAATCAATAGGAATGAAGGGGGCCGGGTCTTGTTATCAGACTGGCCGCCTACTATATATTTCTCGACCAGGAGAAAGGCGAGCTGGCGAGCATGGCTGGAGCTGATTAGATGGTTCGGATATTGTCTGAATCCACAGTTTGCGGGGATTCCCTGGGCTGATGCTAATGGAAGAACCCTGGCGATAACCACCATTGGGCATGACGAGATCATGATCATACCCAGCGCCCTTCCTTGCCATGATGCAGTTTGCACATGGTACCTTTTGAAGACCAAGGAAGGAAAAAGAAGTCAACAACAGAAAATTGACAAGAGTGGTTCTTCATAGCCTACAGTTGATAGTATGAGTCGCCGTCTAAATTACGATTCTTGGAAGCGGCTTGGACTCTCAGTGACGCTACTTAGTGCATCGGGGGTGGGACCTGGGCGTGCCGGCTTCAGCGGTGAGGAGTTTATTCGGTGGGCTTTGCCGGGCCGCGTAGGCATTAGGCATGCAGTGGCTCGCTGTTCTAGGCCTGACTCGTGTCTTGTGGATGTCCGATTGTCATGCGCGGGAACTCGGAGGCGAACGCCAACCGAGAGCCAGACAGACTTGCTAACTTTATGATGTGTCTTTTCATGTAAATGCTACCACCTGTCGATTACAGTTCCGCGCATATTCTCGAAAGGATATCAAGTCGAGCTGGAACAAGCGTGCATTAATATAGTTAGCGACTGAACAACCGGTTTTCAGCTACCTTCAATGGCGCCAATAGCTGAACGTGTAGAGTATAATTCGTACACTACTGGGTCTTGCCAGCTGAATACCTACGCTATTTATTCCTTATTTATTCTCTCAGCATAAGCACTATGGACTGCGCTGAAATCGGCCACTACAAACCACAGCCTCGTGCCAATGTTGGCAATCTTGGTTGTGTCGCACGTTATCCAATACTGCCCGTGAATGGAGAGCAAATGCGAATCCAGATGGCGCTATTGTCAGGCACGTCGCCTTCAATGTCCAGTAAGATGACCCAGGTTCAGCCCATCTTTCGTGCATATTCCAGGATCTCAATGTCGCCGCCAATAAAATCAGGAATTGTTCGAATAGTGAGTATTGTGTGTTGCAATTTAGCAAGATAAGGCTGGTTCTCAGGCTGTTCTCTTTTCAGTGTGAATTATTTCTGGAGCGAGGCTGCAGGAAATTAGGATTAATTGCACGAATGTAATCATGACCCTGGCCATGGCCAGGAAAGACCATAGGGGTAAAGATTATGAATGGCAGAAAGGGTCATCAGCGGTTGTTGATTGTCCTATTTCATGTGACTCGCCAGCATAATTAGATCCTTCCAATAAGTGCGATGCTCACGACTTGGCGAGGTAGTCTTCATTGATTGACTGATTGATGACACTGGGTGAAGCATACGGATCAAAACCCATGCTCTTTATCTACCATCCCAGTCGGAAGAACAGGGGCCCGATGGAAAGCATTGCAAGTTCGTTCGAGACTAAAGTAAAATCCTTTGATTTTTATTTCAGGCTCGCTGGTCGAATCCGATACGACTTGGGGGCCGCTGATCGGTGATCGCGTAGATACCTACCCAGTATGTACGCAAGCGCCATCCGTGGTGGGAGCAAAGGAAATCATGTCAAATCGAGCATGAAACTGGAACAACTTATTGAAGATGGCAATATCACACAGTTTATGATCTTTGTTGAGATATGATACAAACCAAAATGTTTACTTTATTCCCCACAGGGGCGCGATACTAGTCTGTTCCTTCGAATGTCTGCAGCAAGCAAACTGTCACGCCGGGACTGGTTGAGGTTAGTCTCAGCCTTACGGATGTGCTGAGATTCAACAATGCTCAAAGTAGATGTGGCCGGGGTTCAGAGCTTTTCCAACTGCAGCCATCGGGGTCTTTTGCCTGTACCGACGCGGCCATCGCCCATCTCGGAAGATATCTCCTACCGATGATTGGTCCATGACTTAATGAAAATAATCTTGGCTGAGAAAAATTCGATCATGGCTGAAAAGAATTATGGTTTCTCTAGGATGGAACCACGCATAAGGCTGTGAGCGTGGCTGCTAAATTCTAATCCTCAAATGACTTGCAGGTCGAGCTAAGATTAGTGATAGTAGCACCAAGTAGTAGCTGGAGCTAATGATTCCCAGGATATTTTTGAGTGGCTGATATGACCTGAATTGCTATATATAGAAACACATCAGCATAGTACCACCACGTTGAACGAGGGGGCCACGAGCGTAAAATAGACTGACGCTCCTTGAAATATTTGACGGAGAACTGCCCCGTGTCGATTGGAGAGTTAAAATCTACTGTCGCATAAAACGAGGAATATTGTTTCATATATAATTACACTATTCATTATATGTTTGCCTCTAATTGCACTCATGAGCGTCGCCACACCTGAAGTTTCGGCCTCATGGTCTTACCCACCCTTCAGTCAATTACAAAACAACACCGACTGCAATATCACAACGGATTATATCGCAGATAGCGTGCTATTGATAGCCCATGGTCAATACCTGACCAACCGCAAGCTGGGAGATACCGGCCTCTTGACTGACTGGCTAGACTCTCTGGTTCCCACTGGCTACGGCGGGCTCCCCGTCACTGACCCTGACGGCAACTACAGCTCCTTAAACGACGCGCTTTTGCATGAGGAACTCCTGCTGCTGTGGTATTACGGGGTTTGGCTGAATGACACAGCCCTTGCCAACTTATCGGAAACCGAAACGACAGCCTATTACGAGATAGAAAACCAAACAAACAATTTCGCCTACAGTTGTATCAATGAAGCAACACGGGAGAAGATGATTTGCGACAAGCTCGATATTCAAGGAGACCCAGACGTTTCTGGAAGAGGGGTAACGTTGCCTTTTTACTGCCTTCAGTCCTGGGTCAAGTACAGCTGTGACTAACTGCGACTTATGAACTCTCAGATGATGCTGGCATATTATATTCGTAAGTGTCCATCAATCGGCTTATGGACCACCGACGTCTGACTATTATAGTTATTGGTCTAACAATCGTCTATTTCTTTACACTGATTTTTGACCGAACGCGTCTTCCAAAGACCAAACCAACTCAAATTGTGCGCTCCAATACCTTTATCGAAAGATATGGACACAGGGCTATTACGGCACTGCGACAGACTGTCAGCAGCTTCCTGGTCGCCGCGTTGGTCTTTGCAACCGCAATGCTTGGTGCCACTGTCGCCCGCTACTACGCCTACTTGAGAGATCGCAACGACGTTGACGCTGATGATGTGTCATTTTACACATGGCTAGGGTCGGCAGCCATGTCCTCCTTCTGTGTTTTTCCTTGTTTGGTATTACAGACTGTCACGGACATATCACTCTCGCGCTATTCAAGGCTATTCCTTTGGTGCGCTGTCATCAGTCTTGCTGCCGCGGTCTGGGCACTATCCATTCCAAGTATCGATCACTTCTTCGAACTTGCACAGGCATATGGTCGTTACGAAACATGGTATTATAGTAACACGACTTACGAGTTGTCCCAGCAGGACTGGGACTTGTTGACTAACAACGATACCATGTACCAGACTGGCATCTACAGGGCCATGATATGGGAAAACCATTGCGATACGAGCAAGTTGAAAGACCGATTACGGATACTTCTCACAATTGGCCTTTGTATACAGGCGCCGGGGTTCATTTATTGTCTTTTTGCCAGTCTTGCCGCCATTATATCACATTCACACTTACCGCCGCTTTCTTGGCTCTGGAAACACATCGAGCCTTTCTCGGAACCAATCAGGCGGGTCAACAGGATTGCGCGCCCTATAATAGGGTTCATCTATCTTGTTGCGGCATTGGTATTCCTAGAGTCCTTTATCGAGTACCGAAATGTCGCCAAAAGGCTTGCGCCAAGCACAGACACAGATACGGACTGGAGCTTTGGTCAGATACTTGCTCTGGCGCAATGGGCTCCCGTAGGTTTGGAGTTCATGACTCAATGGAGAAGTAAGCACCTACCCCCCTCCTTCTTTACCATTAATATTGCACTTTGTGTCTCACCTTCATTTCTTTTCAGAGGAACGAGCACAAACAAGAACACAAAACCGAAAGATAAACGGAGGATTTCATGATCACTACCAATCCTCGAGTACTTATGAGCTTGTCCGTCCGTCCAGTACGTACGATTCTGGCAGGGTGGTCTAGCATGTAGTGTGTTATTTGATAGTTTCAAGATGCAAAAAGTCATCTCTTATTGAAAAGTGAAAGTTTTGACTTTCAAAAGTGTAACAAATCTTCTGCCGCGATTGATTGATTCGGCATCCATGTGACTAAAATGAACACGTTGGGGCCTGGACGGCGCAGAAGCCAGGTACTATCATTGCGCGCCTCTTGCTCATAACATCTGGGCTGACATATTTACAGATTCGTATACTACTCTTGTTGCCTCGAGAATTCTTGAACATCATTCTCGGCGCACGCAATTTGCAAGTTTTCTAGTGGCACGAAGACATATCAACATGTCCGTCTTCAACCATCAGAATCAAGCCTCTCGCAGCCGACCCTCTCCTCTATGATATCAATCACGAGCAACTTCATACAGCTCCGGGTTGTCCAGTGGGATCTTCCTATCAATCCGCATGCATTTGACGAACCATTTCCCATTGGATCGGTCCATGTGAACTATTTGTCTTGCTCTCGCAGTGACCGACCTGGTGTCTTGCCCATCCTGGATACAATGGTATGCGATGACTTCTACGCTGATCCGAGCTTTGTGAAGAGACTCGGACACGTCAATAATCGGATTCCCAATGTGATGTTGAGTAGCTGTAAAGCCGGATAAGAGCTCGACAGTCTGAGTCCAATACTGAATCGGCGTGACTTGGCTTGATGCAACGTTGTCTAGGTGGCCTGAAATGTCGAAAGTGATTTCAGAGTCTGGCTCGAGAAAGGATAATAGAAGCTCTTTGTCCAGATCATCCTCGGCCTTTGTGAGCAAAACAAGCGTGTTGTAGATTTCATTTTGGGCGACGAGACGTTCCATTCTGATGACCAATGTGAGTTGGGGGACAACGTGATGCTCAACTTTCCCAACTTCATAATCAATCCAATGATGGACATGTGGCTTTTTATTGTCAGTTCTGACCTTGATCAGGTTCATTGGTGCTTACTCCCGTGGTCGTTAGCCCTTCTTAGATCTTACTTTCTAATGCTCGTACGGAACTACTCGGCATCAACCGACAGGATCTAGCTGCTTTGATCTCGTCGGAAATTTCTCTAATACCGACAACGGCCAAGCAGAAAGTATAGTCATCATCAATGTAGTCTCCTTTGCTTCCATAGGATCGTGTTTACAATGTAAGTTGATCAAATGTCACAACGAAGACAAGTTAATCGAAGCCCCGAGTTCTATGCCAATTTTATGATCAAAATGCACAGAGCAGGCGACATAGGTAAGAGTTGGGGCGGTTGGGGGCGGGGTAACGAGCGATATGCCCTAGGAGGGACCTTATGTTGACGCAATAAAAGCATCGTCTAGCGGGAATGATTCCCCAAAGTTCGTACGCTGGAGGACACCTCTGGTCGCAAAGACAGCATCTAGGCAAAGATTATATGAAGGGCCAACTAAGCAGGTCAATGCAATGCAGTTATAAAACACTGTTGGACAGAAAAAGCCAAGGCGAAAATATCAATGTGACCTCGACCTTGAATCTCTGCCATACATCACACCACTATTGAAGTATTCGCAAGTAAAAACTCGATAGACTTGCTCGAGCGTCACTCAGTATGAATATCGAAACAGAGGCGACCTGTCTCCCATTTCTTCTAATGCCTCTTCACTGTGTTGTCTCCTCACATCTTCCTCCGTAACATGTTCCCTCTTGTCATTGATCTTCTTGTAGCAGAACTCCAAGATGAGAGACGAAACAATGCCAGCACATGCTAGAGAGAATGCAGTAGCATACCCCTATCCAAACATTAGCTGATTCAACAATATCGGGTTACCATAGAGCAGAAAAAGACGTACACTTGGATATTTTGGAGCCTCGCTGTCTCTGTAGATGAAAGATCCAAATATTCCGCCAATGTTGCCTAGACCGACGAAATATCCGATCGCCATGGCCCTCTTGTTCTGAGGCGCGGTATTACTAATGAGCCATGCATTGACAGTCGGCGGGATAGGGTAGAATCCCACACATGCAAGGCAAAGCGCAAAATAACAAGCTATAAAACGAGGTTTAGTTAGAGACTTGAAATTTAGTCACAATTGCTACGATAGCTTACCAGGTATGTGCTGTTTCTGTGTTGGTCCAAAAACATACAATATTGCATGGGCAACAATCATGCAAAGATCAGCTACAATTGCAAACGGCATGCGCCTAAATGTTTCGTTTGATTGAGCAATTACTTCTCAGTGGTAGCGCCATTTGTAAATGTCTTACCAAGTAATTCTGTCTGCGAGCATTGCTGAACTTATAGTCGCAATTACCCCAACAGTGTAGGGAGGGATTGTTAAAACTTGTGCCATCGATGATTGATAGCCCATGTTCTTGATAATTTGTGGCATTGTCTAGATATGAAGCCGCAAGTTAGAATTGTCCTCCTAACGCAATGCTTCATCATGGTTATGGTTGTACTCACAAATTTGAGGGCATAGTTTGGGCCTGTGCTCGATAGATAGACGATTGCCAACAAATACCTATGTCAGAATCAGTATACTTCGCACCTGTCGATCAATGCCAACAAGCTCATCACATTTGCCAATCTTTGAGGACTTTGACAAGATTCTTCCAATCGAACTTGTGACCGCCTTCTCCTTGTCCATGGTGGCGTCTCCCAGGGACTGCAAGTTGTCGAACCTGTAGGTAGCGAATCTCCTCTGGGCCAAGGAAATAACCAGACGATCCAGGCGCATCCGGCATCAGCAGCATTGCGACAACGCCAGCGATGATGGATGCGAGACCTTCGATGATAAAGATCCAGCGCCATGCCCCATAGCCGCCAACTCCATCCATTTTGGCAATGGCATAAGCTAGAAGGCCAGAGAAGGCGCCCGCGGCTGATTCAAACAAGTTTATCAGTCTCAGCCCCAACTAATACAATTTATTTGCAGGTTTATCGACTTAAAATTTAACTTACTTGCGCTCGAGCAATAGAATATTGCAATCCGTACCTGCGACTCATTTGGCAGGTACCAGGCACTCTGGTGATTTTTTAGTGTTTCGCAGGCAAAAGTAACCCACCGATCTTGTCAGCGCCGATTGATCAGAGAGTCTACTCACCACAAGGTATATCGCACCAGGAAAGAAGCCAGCTCTATCGATAGGTCAACATCTAGCAATGGCACGTGCGAGATCTTCCATACTCGAAAGCCCCGAGGAACAGCCTCGTAACACAAAGGCCGGCATAGTTCTGGACAAGGCCAGATAATGTCATCACAATGCCCCATCCTATAATCATTGCTCCAAGGAACAGCGACGGACGTTTGACTTTGGATAGCATCCAATTCGAGGGAATTTCTTCATATTCTCTTGTCAACTCCATTCCGTCAAAGTAAGCAGCACGAGAGTAAGTATCATTCGAGGTGACGACTCACCTAGAAGTATATACGGAATAAAGAAGATGCAGAGAGCAATGTTGTATTTGACGCCATCTAGTTGAAGGTCGGTATCCAAACCTTCGATTTTCGCATTGCCTAGAAACGCCTGCCTGAGTACGACTCATCAACATAAATCAAGAATTAATATGGCATACCAATATTCGATCGGTCTAGAAATGAGATGAGGTACAAGATTGTCAGCATTGGAATCAGTCGAATGTCGACCTAAAAAGGCCAGGTTAGCTCTTGCACCTGGATACTCTAGACGTCTGGGCCATCTTGCTTTCCAGATCACTCGCTTGCGTTGGGCCTCGGTGAATGAAGCCAGAAACTCCGCATCTTCAGTATTTAAAGCACTCAGGTCGCATTTCGGATCAATCCGGCTTTCGATGTGGACAGGCTCCTCGGCTTTGAGCTCGGTATCAGCCATTGTGGGCAACACTCTAGGTTAAACTTGTTTTAGAGTAATTAAGTCTCAGCGTTGAGGTCCTGATATTCACCAAACTGAATTGACGAAACTTTGTGCATCTTTGTTCAACTACGAGACATTGAGCTCTTCCAGCGGCCCCGGCTAACCCGTACTTGGCGGACTATATTCATGCGTTCCCGTCCCTTGGATCTGGGGTAATAGCACTAAGACATTGGTTTAGGGTCCTGGCAAGGATGGCATCTGCAGCCTAGACATCTGGGCGGTATCTGGGCTTGAAGCTTGATCGCCTTGGCTGCGGGGAACCCCGTATCTATGACTTCTAGAGCTTACGCAAGCCCGCGCGGATTTTGACAGTCCGGGTCTCCACCATATTTCCATTGTACTTTAATCGAATTACGTGTACAGGGTAGGCATTTTTTATTGAGCTTCAACCTGGCGGCATCCTAAGAGAGCACTTACACTTCACAACATTGCACACACATTTTGCCAGAAAAAAATGAAGCCCACTATTGCAATCATCTCAATAGGTGAGATGGGTCTTGGGGTGGCACGGTTGCTGAAATTTCATGGTTATCGCGTTGTAACGAATGTTAGTGACAGAAGGTTAGTTTGTCTTTCTCACTGTAACCATTTCACACTCACTTCTATAAGAGCTGCACTAATCACGTACGGTACCATGCAGTGAGGCAACCAGAGAACGTACAAAGACACATTCTATAGAGACGTTGCCAAATGACCTGGAAATTGTTGAGCAAGCCGACTACGTGTTATCGGTTGTCCCACCACGGGATGCTCTTAACACGGCAAAGCGGATACAGGCAGCTGTCGAGGCGTCCCCAAATGTAGGATCCAATGGCAGGACCATAGAGTTCCTAGACCTCAATGCAGTCTCCCCGCAATCGGCGCGCCTCATTGCGGCTGTTTTCGACAATACGACAGGCGTTCGCTTCGTTGACGGTGTTATCAGTGGGGGAGTTCCACACGAAAAGTCGTCATTAGATGGAACAGAATGGCATTGTCCCACACTCCTGTTGTGTGGCCCGAACAGGGTTTCGGATCCAGATCTGACCAGAATCTTAAACATGGAGCATATGAGCGAGAAGATTGGGGCAGCAACCGCGGTAAAGATGTGTTTCGGCATGACAACCAAGGGCTTCATTGCTCTTGCGATTCAGTCTTTCACGACGGCCCACCGATTGGGGGTCCTTGATGAGTTGCAAGACTTTTTAGGGAGATACAAGCCAGCAACCTTGAAAGCGGCCCAGGATGGATTGGTGAGGATGCCACACACAGCATACCGGTGGTACTTTGAGATGCTCGAAATGAGCGAAACAGCTGCAGAATACGGCGGATTTGATAAGACTCTGTGCGTAGACAAGTGCATATCAATAGTTCTCGTAAAAGATGTTTGCTAATTTCTCTGGAAATACAGTTTCGAAGGCGTGGCCGAATGCTATAGGCTGGTCAGCGAAGACACCATATTGGGAAGTGAGCTCCCCGATGCAAGGGTTCGTGGAAAGACTGTTGAGGATGTGGTGGCACTGATCAGTGAAGGAATCGATGCAAAGAAAAGCGGGCAGTCTACCAGCTCAGTGTGAAGTAGATCAATGCTCTTTGGGGGGCTGACGGTGCTCTCAAGTACTATTCATGCGAGTCGACTTAATGCGTGGCAGTTGTGGTTCATAGCAAATGCAACAGATACCAATGCGCAACGATTGCCATGAAATCCAACTTCCCTTACCGAATCTGATATCACGGCGAATAAATAGAGATACAAGAAAGTGAACATTGTAAAAAGTTCTGGACGGAAAGCGCTCGCCTTTCTCTCCGGGAACATTGGACTCGGCTTTGGTCCTACTTCGAACATCTCTTGGCCAGGGCAGTAAATGTCCATCAGCTAAAAGGCTTCTGTACCAGAGGCGAATATGCCACCATCCCCACTGAGTCACTGGGAACAAACCATTTTGGTCGAAATCATGTTCCTGATACCAATCGCGGGTGTTAAACGCCGTTATACTCCATCTATCTACATACCTAGTATGTATATACTTGGCCTAGTACTATGGACTTGTCGGACTATGGTGCATGTGCACAGACTTTTGCAGGGTCATTGTAGTATATAAGCCTGCTATGAGGCACTGCTTACGGAGCTGATTGATGCAATGCGGGGAACCTGGTCTTTGCCGCACGCCGGACCCTTCATGATCAGCCCAGTACCATGGAAAGGAGACAGTGACGGGCATCAACTTTCCGTCGCTACCAGAAGCACGAGTACCAATTCGGAATATAACAGTCCGTCGTCTCCCGTAGAGTCTCTAGGCTTTCAGCGCATGTTCGTTAACCCACAAGAATCGGAGCATAACACTTCGCGTTGAATCATCGCAACAATGTCCCGGAAGGAAACATATTTTCCAGCTTTCCCCGGTCATCCTCGACCCTTTATTTCGATTGGACTTCCCTTTGCTGAGGCATGCCGACAGCACGTGACAAACACATTCAAGTCGAAAAGAGTATATATTATAGTCTCAAAGTCTATCAGCCAGACATCGACCTTCGCAGTCTTGCGAGACGAGCTTGGCGACGCTGTCGTTGGTGTTCGTTTTGGGATCAAACAGCATGTTCCATGGCAGGACGTGCTTGAGGTTGCTAATGGTATGGGCATTCACAAAGATACACTCGAAACCATGACTAACCAGTCAATAGACCTTCGCCGCCTTTCGGCTGATCTCATTGTAACTCTCGGTGCTGGATCTCTTACAGATGGCGCCAAAGTAGCTTCATTCGTAGGTAATCTCCATCGATTTCAATACGCAACATCGCGCACTGACTTGACCTATCAGGCTTTTGCGAATTCTGCCTTTACTCTTGAGGATATGGCTAAGCTACACATCGGTGCAGACCCGAAGCCAGACCTAGAGAGTCTCCAGGCATGCAGGCTACCAATCATCAATATTCCCACCTCGCTCTCAGGCGGGGAATACACGCCTCGCGGCGGCGCCACAGACTTTCGCACTCACCAGAAGGCTTCCTTTCAGCATCCGAGTATCGGTGCTTCATTGGTTATACTGGACCCTGCCATTACGGTATCAACCCCGGAGCGCGTCTGGCTTAGCTCGGGGATCCGCGCTGTTGATCATTGCATCGAAGGATTATGTTCGATTTTCTTCGATGGTCCTGCAGACGAAGCTACCAAAGAAACAGCCGAAGATGCGTTTACAGACGGCTTGCGACTAATTTTGCCAAACTTACTACGCGCAAAGCACAAGCCGGAAGATCTTTCAGCACGGCGGAATTGTATGCTGGGAGTGATTGGAGCTGCCAAGGGGCTCAAGGCAGGAGTCCCTATGGGCGCGAGCCATGGCATTGGCCACCAGCTTGGTCCACTGGGAGTAAGTCATGGCGAGACAAGCTGTGTGCTGCTGCCGTCGGTACTGAGATATAATCACCGCCACGGAACAGCTAGTGCGCGCGAACGGCAGGCAAAAGTGCTACACATCCTCCAAGATCTAGGACTTGATCTGTTGAAGCGAACCGACGAGACTCCGGAAGCGAGTAACCTGGGAGATGCGATGGAAGCCATCGTCTCTGGACTCGGCTTACCCACGACGCTCGATGAGGTCGGAGTCGGCAATGAGAAATTCAAGGAGCTAGCAGACAATTCCATGAAGGATAGATACATACCCACCAACCCTGTGACTATCACACATCCAGATCAAGTGTTGGAGATCTTACAAATGGCAGCCAGACCTTAACATGTTTATAGAAATTATCATGTACAATCTCTATTAAGAGCAGTTGATTCATACAATCAAGTCGTCAGACCGGAATACATCCGAGGAACTCAACTGAATAACATACGTCCAATCGAGTCGCCCATTACACATGAGAGCTGGACATTCATCCGACTTAATCTCCTCAAATTCACAGTGGATTTATTGATAGACACAAAAACTGCTGATTGAATGATTACAAACGTGCTGCAAAGCTTGATTTGAGGTCCTCGACGACTTCATCCGCAGCTCTCTCGCCACTGCGCACTGCGCCCTCCATGTAACCCTTCCACTCGCCGGCGGTTTCGGTGCCAGCAAAATGAAGGTTTCCCAATGGCAGACGTAGCGCATCAGGTCCAAAGGTATCAAGAGTGCCAGGTGTGATGGATGTGCAAGGGCAGCCATAACCCGCCCACTCGTCGTTGACCCATTCGTACATGACTGTCTCGACAAACTCTTGCTGGACAATATCTTCCGATTGATAGAGCTTGCCGATCTGTGCCAATAATGCCTTGTCGCGAGCCTCCGGGGCGAGCTTGGCCCATTCCTGTCCTGGTGGACCGGCCATGAAACAAGTGAGGACGTGCTTATCGTCGGCCGGGCTTGAGGTATCGCGCACAACAGCGGCAGGCCCAATAAATGACTGAGCAAGGCCACAGAAGCCTTTTTGGACCCAGAATGGAGATTTGAAAACAGCCATACACTTGGTGTAGTATCCATAACCCGACGCATCCGCCCATGCTTGCTTGACTGGATGAAGCGGCGGCACGAAGTTGATGGTTTTGAGCACAGGGCTAGGAACTGTCGTGATGACCTTGGAGGCCTGATATGATGCACCATCTCCAGCAACAACATCAACATGTCCAGACCCAGACTGGAGCACCTCCTTGACTGGACTGTTTAGGCGGACCAGCTCACTAGGAAGGGTCGCAGCAAGACCCTGGGCGAATGATTGTGTTCCCGTCCGGATGCGGAGGTGCTGACCACCGCCCTTTCTATCAGATCGCATATTCAACAGACCACCGCCGGACTTGCAATAATTCAGAAAGAAAAGCGCGGAAACGTCCGAAGGGTTAATACCCAGCATGGCTCGCGTCCAGGTAGTGGCAGTCAACAGGGCCTTGTCTTTGGCACCGCGAGACCTCAAATAGGCTTCGAATGTCACCGAGTCCAGGTCCGAATCACTCGGTCGGAAGACATCTAATGCTTGGCAATCAGCCTCGACCATGTCACGGATGCGAACAATGTCGTTCACGCTCGCAGCATCGAACTAGAGATTAAAGGTTAGCCAGGTCCATCGGCATGTAGTGATTTCGGGTGATTCTACCTTTGGCATATCGCCGTAACCAAATGACGAAATTGTTCCATCTGCATCTTGAACAGCAACATTGCCTTCTGTGTTCTGCTCAATCAGCTCCAGCCCAAATTGACGAGCCAAGGCAATCATTTTGGTCTGGTTCGTATCATTGATCCATGCCGCGCCAAGCTCGAGCACGCCGTTTCCGTCCGCCATCGGCTGGCTCCAGGTCTTACCGCCGACCCGGTCTCGGGCCTCCAGGACAATACAGGAGAAGCCGGCTTTCAGAATACTGTGCGCTGCAGTCAAACCCGCCAGGCCAGCACCGATGATTACGACATCGGTTGATTTCTGACCTTCAAGATGCAGGGGCCGTGGCACCGACGGAGGCTCAGAAGGACAGACGACGACCGCTTCAATCTCGACCAACCATGTGGGATCCGCCAGTTGGGCAACAGGCACCAACGTCATGGCAGGTCGATGGCCTTTGAGGAAGCGCTCAATGTGGCGCCGGTGCTTTCGTTGCTTGGGTTCATAATTGACGATATAGACGACGAGTTTGGCAATGTCTTTTACGGTGGCACCGCTGGCGAGAATGATTTTGCGGATACTCAGTAGGGCAAGATGGATCTGCGACTCGTAATCATTCGGGACGATTCCAGCTTTGTTGGCACCGGGTTGTCCTGAGATGTGGACGGTCCGGGCCCCTGCTGGAATGATTGTCGCTGGTGCATGATAGAGTTGAGAAGTGTTGTTTAGGTCCAGTATCTTTACCGCAGGTGCCATTTTCAAGTCCAGTGTATCTGTGAGATGAAGCTACGGTGATTGAGGAGTATCATAAAAGATTGATGTACAATTCCAATTGGATAGTGATCAAAGCGGCCACTGAATCCCGTCCTTATATCCAGACGATAAATTCCGCGGGCCACTTGGACATGAGCACTCACTCGACTGAATGAATGCGAGCTTCAAGACCCGCTCATGGGCAAATGCTCGTCGATGTTTGTCGCCGATAGCGCACCAGAGATATGCATGCGTGCATGATTGTAGTATCAGTGCCTCCAACAGAATACATTAGGTACATGCCGGCGAACACAAGAGGTTAGATAAGATGCGACGCCGACCTGCCACGTTTTTTGCTTTCGGAAACGCACCGCTGGCGCAGTGATAAGGCGTCCATAGGCCCGTCGCTAGGTCCTGCCCTGACCAGTCCAACCGATGGTTTTCGGTGCAGCGGGTGGAGGTGCTTAGCCTGGGCGGAGTGTGTGGGGGGCATGCGGAACACGCTCCGAAGCCCCTAAAGCACAAGATCATCTGCCTACCAGCAGTGCCTAATCCTCCAAACTGCCCAGTGTAAGTCAAATTACTGATTCTATGATACCATGGCATCAAAAAAATCTCGCATTCTGTGAACTTGGCATCGCTCCAGAACCGTGCGTGGATAATTTTTGAGTTGTCAAAGAATAGCCATCTGAGTAAATTTACTAAAGAAGAATCAATAATTCAAATCATTGTTATCGCGGGTGGAGTCGAGGGACGTTGAGGGTTTGAATTCATATAGTATATATAATTCTGAGCAAGTAGTAGCCTTTGTCATCCCAAAACATGGACATGGTATATACCTGTTCAAGGCGGATTAAATCTTACCCAATATGACAAAGGTATTGCTGACAGGCGGGTCAGGCTTCATTGCCAGTACGTGTGACGAATTTTGCCTGAATAGTATCGTTTTGTCTAATCATTAGGACAGCACATATTCTTGAAATATTGCTCCAACGCGGCCATGAGGTCATAACGACTGTCAGGAGTGAAGATAAGGCTACTCGAGTACGGGACGCGTATCCTAATTCTGCCATCACCGTGGCTATCGTGGCAGACATCGTCAAGCCCAACGCATTCGATTCGGTTGTAAAGACACCAGGTCTCCAGGCAGTAATTCACAGTAAGTTGAAGAAGCAAGTATCTTCCAAGAAACATGTTAATCGCGGACTCAACAGCGGCCTCGCCCTTTCACTACAATTACACGGACGCAAAAGCAGAACTCTTGGACCCTGCATTGCTAGGCACTACATCGGTTCTCAAAGCCATTCATGAGCTAGCTCCTGGAGTCAAGCGCGTTGTAATTACGAGCTCCTTTGCTGCCATGTTGTCAGAAGAGACGCTTTCTGATCCCAATACCGTGTTCACTGAAGCCAGTTGGAACCCATACACCTATGAGGATGGTTTGAAAGACGACAAGGTTAAGGCATATAGGACATCAAAGACTATTGCCGAGAAAGCCGCTTGGCAATTCATGCAGGATCACCAGCCTGGGTTTGAGCTGGCGACCATATGCCCACCGCTTGTGTTTGGGCCGGTTCTTCATCATCTGGATTCCTTGTCGGCAATCAATACCTCGAATCAAAGATTTGTTGACATGGTCCGAGGAGCCTGGAAGGATCAAATCCCGGAAACCGGTACTTATCTTTGGGTCGATGTGCGTGATGTCGCCCGCGCGCATGTTCTGGCTTTTGAGAAATCGACAGCCAGAGGCCAACGTTACTTCATCACCGCTGGCAGATTCAATAACAGAGACCTCGCAGCCATTGTACGCGATAGTTTTCCTGAACTTGAAAGTACGCTCCCAGATATTGAGATAACAGGCGGTGGTTACCCTGAGGCCGGCATCTATGGTTATGACAACGCCAAAGCATCCAAAGAGCTTGGGATCGATTGGATGTCACTTGAAAAGAGTGCGACTGACACCGTTAGGAGCCTGCTCAAAGGTTATTGTCCTGCTCGTATTTGAATAATTTAACAAACGTTTATTTGATACTTTCTTGATATTGCTTGAAACCTGCTGGACGAAACATGATGCGTATTCGACGGCGGACTCGGTGGTGAATAGCCTTACTACAGCGCCTCACATAAAGTTGATCCATAGCATTGTCATCATGGTTTTGGAAACTCCAAATGCGGTTCTACCTTTCCACGGTGTTTAAAGTTTGATTGTATATGCAAACGATATGTTGAAACTGTAACAAAGCGATGATATTTCCAATTGAATTATACTTGTATGTGCTGTGCAAAAACACGTATAGGCCTTGGGGCATTATACCGCGCCTTGAGTACACAATCAGCTGAAATTTCGTTCAAACAGCCGATACTACACTTTAGAGATAACCTTTGACCAAAATAACCCAAGATGAGCAGCTGCCTCTTGGTCTCCAAGTCACGTTACGCGCCAACATGCGTTCTAGAAAGTAGTCGCTGATGAGCGGCGCGTAGTTTCATCTTCAAGGGCTGCTTCAGGCCTGATGAGGCCGAGTCGTCTTCAACGGCAATAATCTCATTCATACCCGTGCGCAGGTCTACCTGTTCTGAGGGAATGATTGTATGCTCTTGGTGGTGCATAAACCGATGTACTGCAAAGAGCACCAGGAAGATCGGAATGCCGAGATACGATGTGAGAAAGATGGAAGTATCCCACTGCCCTGGGAAAAATACGGTGAAGCCATTGAGAAGTAACAGAACTGAGAAGATTGCGATATTGGCGTATGCAGCGTAAGGTTGTAGTACGGAAGTGTAGGGTAAATCTTTGACTCCTTGCACTTCGCAAGCTCGTGTGAATCTGAGGAACACGAAAGAAATACATATCCAAGAAATAAAGATAGCACTGTTCGTGAGATTGATGAGCCAGTTGAAGACAACTCCAGTTGATGTCCCGACGTTGAGATATGCCAGCAATGCAAAACTGGAGCAGAGCAAAACTGCATAAATGGGCAGGCCGTTTTTCATGCAACGCGAAAAGATCTTTGGGGCACCTCCGTTGACTGATGCAGAATACAGTGTTCGGCTTGACATGTAAAGATAGGCATTTGCCGAAGACCAGGCGGATATAACAATACCAGCATTGACAACATGGTCCAAGCCTTTGATGCCAGCCTGTTTGATGCCAATAACCCACTGTAGAAACTCGTGTTAGTATTTCCGTTTTCAGATTTATAAATAAGTTTTTAATGGCTCCAAGGAGTATCTAGTCTTCGAGGATTCTACTACAAGATTGTGCCTAGAAGTATTGGCATTCAAGACAAATACTATAGGACAAGAATAACACAAAATATCACTTACGGGGGAAGCTGCTGCATCACTAGAGCCACTGGTAAGTCCTGAGGCGTTGCTTGGACAAATGACACCAATCGCAAGCGCGCCAAGTATGTAAAAGATACAAAGCCTTAAGATGAATGTATTTGCGGCTTTGATCAGGTTGCGACGCGGAGATTTCATCTCGCCACCAGTAAGCACGACTGGAGAAGAATATTAGCAATATGTAAATAGACCTGAGAGAGATGAAGCCTAGCGTACTTAGCTCTGGACCGAAGCCGAAAGAGAAAGACGAATATACCAAAGCGTAAACAAAGGCACAAACTCTCCCGGCAGCGCCGTCAACCAAGTATGAGTTCCAAGCTCCTGGTTCCTGCCAATAGCCAAAGCCGAGGCGCTCATGGTTTGGCCCACCACCTAAGCACAAGACTACAGACAATATCAATAGCGCCAATAGCATAATTACCTTTGTTGAGGCGAACCAAAACTCTGTCTCGGCATAAACTGCTACAGGGGATAAATTTAGCCCCACGACGACAACCAGCAGAATAGTAACCCAGACGCCAGTATGAACGCCGTTGGGCCAATAATCAATGACCAAAGCCGCCGCAGTGATCTCATATGCCACAATGATTGCAAATGAGTACCAATAAAGACACGCCATCTAGTGAGTCGAAGTATGTTAGCTTTCCAATATTCTCACGAGTGTATGCAGATTCTATAGAGATTCTAGCGAGTGCCATAGCTACGTGTAATAGATCGTTCTCTATTTCGAGGCACACAATTTGGCACAGGGCAACGGATTGTTAAAAGCAAGCATTTCTTGAAGAAAAAAGAGAAAAAGAGACAAGAAATTCAAGTACGTACTGCAAATCCCAAGCTTTTGGAAGCATAGCGGCCTGCATATGAAGCCATGGACGAGCCTGGTAGTGGCAAGTAGGCACTAACCGTAGTCGTCGCCGTGATCATGGAGTAGATGAGAAAGCCGAGTACGCAATAGGCGAACAGAAGGAACCCTGGACCGACACGGGCCAATGCTTGACCGGAGCCGACAAACAAGCCAGTTCCAATCGTACCTCCTAATGCAATCATCTGGCTGTGCCGGGCGGTGATCCCTCGATGTGTGCTTGTCCGGACATTATTGCTGATGACGCCTGCTTCGACTTGTCCCGGGGAACAGGATGAAGTAGGCGCTAATTCATTGGGATCAGGTACTTTCTTCAAAGACGACATATTGACGGATCCAATCGTGACGTAGGTTGCTTTGAGCTGAAGATGTAATTACTCCAAGCGAAACACAATCTTAGAGGCAACTGGTCAAACGTGTATAGTCAAACATGCAAAAAGAAGCAATTGTGACTGAACCATTGTTTGCAATTCTTCTAGACTCTTAGTTCTTGAAAGCCATCTATTTATAAGCATCACACTGCAGCAATTTTGCCAGTATCGCATCACTTATCATCCTTTAGTTCAGCTAGCCACTGGTGTTCATTATCAGCACAACATGATCTGGAAACCTTGAGATTAAGAATAACCATGCTCCCGGGGACTAGAAGATAAGCCGCTGCAACATTGTGTAGATACGCGACTTGGAAAATAAAGAGCCGGGACTTGGCTTACCAGGGGCAGCACGACGATGGCGGCGTATGCTTCACTTGGTCTTATCATTGCTGTATATAAACTTTGACCTTTTGTGGGGCACTCTGGAATTGGAAGGTTTCCGCTATAGGATCTTTCCTTGGACAGTTTGAGCCCGACTTTTTGCGATAGGTCGTAGTACAAGGTGCATTTCGGTATATAACTTGCCTAGGTCGTACGTATCGCTCTCAATTGCCCTCCCATATGTACCTATGCAGTGCGCATCGCTAGCGACTGCCGATTGTCAACTCAAAGAAGGCTCCTCATTCCATCCCCCAGTCCTATCTTGGTGCTGAACAGGACGATCTACACTAATCCATCCCACCAGCGATCTAAGATGAGGAAAGGCATGCCAGGAACATGGATCAATCTAGGCCAGGTGAGTTTCTATCAGACCCAAGAGCAAGTTTGCTGCCATCTGTAAGAAATGATGGCATGCAGTCACAGGCGAGGTACGCAGGTAACGCCAGTTGATCCCTCATGAGGTTTGCGAGCGGCACCAGTGTACTCAACACTAGAACCCCGCTATTACGCTGCTGCAATGTGCGCAAGACGCAGCGCTGTGCCTACTATATAGTGCTAACAGCTATAAATACACAAATAAAAGTGCTTGCACCATGAATTAAATAAAAGTCATACTGGACTTAAAGATCATAATTGAAGTCTAAATCTCTTCCAATATTCTATTGAGTGTCACAGACCTTCCAATCATGGCTCATTCGAAAGCGCGCGTTCTTATTGTCGGCAGTGGAGGCGTTGGTACGCTGGCTGCTTACGCTCTCGAGACTGGCGGCAAGGCCACCGTCACTTCAGTCTTCCGTTCCAATTACGATGCTGTAGTCAAGAACGGCATCACGATTGACTCGATTCAACATGGCCATGATATCAAGGGCTGGAGGCCTTCAGAGGGTAAGTAATCCTAGGGAATCACCGAAAAGATGCTGTCTTGACTAACCATGTTTGCAGTTCGAAATTCTGTGCCAGACGTGGAGAAGGAGGGTCTTGAACCATTTGACTTCATTCTTGTCACGATGAAGCATATCGCAGAAGTTCCGCCGTCAGTCTCGGATGTCATTCGACCAGCCGTGACAAAGGGAAGGACCGCGATTGTGCTTTCTCAGAATGGCCTCAATATTGAAAGACAGGTCGTCGCCACGTTCCCCACCAACCCAATCATCAGTAGCGTCTCTACAATTGGTGCGACCGAAAGGTCCCATGGCAATATCTTCCACGACGATGCAGACTCACAAAAAGTCGGAGCCTTTACCAACCCTGGAGTGCCGTTTGAAGTTGCCGATGAAGCTGCGCGGCGGTACATCGACGTATACCGTGGGTCTGGCAAAGTCGAGGTCATTTACGAGCCAGACGTCCTAAAAGCACGATGGCGCAAGCTGGTGTACAATGCGAGCTTCAACTCGGTTGCCACCATCTTACAGACAGATGTTTCGCGTCTGCGAATGACGCGGCACGCAATCGACGATCTCGTTAAGCCAATCATGTACGAGATCATTGCAGGCGCAAAGGCGTATGGAGTAGACCTCCCGTCTGACCTCCCTGATCAGGTTATTTTGCAAGACGAGATTGATTGGTACTTCAAACCCAGCATGTGCCAGGACATTCTCAAAGGCAATCTCATAGAGAGCGAGGTCATTGTAGGGGAGCCACTTCGTGATGCCGAGGCAAAAGGAGTTGCTATGCCTACATTGAAAGTTGTGTACGGGTTGTTAAAGGTATTGCAAAAGCAGACACTAGAGAAGAAGGGCCTGTGGGAACCAAAATTTGAGGAAGACAACCCGTACAAGGGCTAAGGTCCAAGATTGTAGAAGATTTGATATTTCATGTCAGCATGAGCACTGACTGCATTTTCATCATTTCCCCCCTCCAGCGAGACGTGGTCCTCAAGTCTTTAGTTATCCCCGACTGCCAAATCTTTACCAAAATCTCAATCCCAGTTCGGGGGCACTCGAAGCCATATACTTCCACTCGTCTATACCAATTTCGGAAACGCAACTGCAGTTCTTCGTCAAACGACTCGCTCGCCGCGATGAATGCTGGCCAGAAGAGTGGCGCTGCCAGAGTTTTTGATTGTGCTTTGATGTCTTCGATAGACTCGATGCTCTCGAGAACCTCTTGCACAAACTGCCGCAGGTAGTGGTGCCCTATGAGTCGGATGTTCTGAGCGAAATATACAATGATTGCATTGTAGAAAGCGTGAGTGGTCAGCCTGATGATTTCTGCATTAATGGATGTGGTACGGATCGGGTGGTCTTCTGGCAATGCTTCTGCCGTCCACGTCATGATCTCATGCTCGAGCTCATCGCACTCTAACATCATGGAGGCTGGTATTGTGACACTTTGATCTGCGCGCCGCACCTTGTCCAGGGAATGAATTAGACGGATTACCTTGCTCAGTATGAACAGTAGACTTTGCGGTACACCATATATACCTTGAAATGTGACCATTTGCCTTAACGTTTCTTCTGATCCGGGCGACATTTCGTCGCCAACCACATCGTCTCTCAGAGTTGGCCCCGACGTCGCTAACACCAATGGTTGGGAGAATAATTCAAGACCAGCCTCAGAAATGGATGGATTTTCTTTACCTAGCACTAGGGTACTTTGATGTATAGTTTGCAGATAAAAGAACGTGCGATGCAACGCTTGAGCTTTGATGGAATACTTCTTTTTCCACTTTTTGGCATAAATGATGAGCTGGCTAATACCGCTTAGATGGAGGGCGCAGGAAGCTGTATCGCCAGACATGACCTACTTGAACAATCAGCATATAATCAAAACAGGAACTTTGAAGCAAGAGATGATTCACATTGATGGATATCATTGACAGCATGGTGGCAAGGAAATCTTTGTATCTGGGCATCGCTTCAGGTCTAAAGTCGTGCTCTACAGCCAGTTTCAGATGCTGGATAGCCTTGCCACGTAGAAGTATTGCCTCATTCGACCAGTAAGCAGCCTTGTCGACTTCTTGACGGTTCTTGTGGTCATTTGAAATGCAAAAGGCACTGATCGAGAGCAGCGCACTTTGCAGCGCCGAGCGAATCCGCGTAACCGAGCCTGTAATGCTCAGGTCGCCCACGCTCTGTATCACCCGCGGAAGGTGGATCAGTTTCCATGGCGTTTTGGGGTTTCCCACAACACAGAAGAGATTGACAACACGCTGTGAGTAATGGTATAGTAGAAAGCGGTCTTGGCGCGACAGATTTACCGGCATGGGAGATTTGTACATTGTGCCGCACGCTTTGAACAGCGAGAGCTGTCCTCGATTGTCAGGTGCATCGATTGGCTCTTCAGATTCTTCAGATGAGCTGCCCGAAGTCTGAGGACTGACTGAGTACGGTGCAATTGCTTCGTGCGACTCCAAGGCACCAAGCAGCGGAGATTGCACCGGGGTGGTGGGATCGTCATGGCCAAGGACAGGCTCGAGGTCGGATGAGGTAGATGCAGAACGGATTTGAAAGTCAACATCAAGCCAGTTCTTGCCTTGCCTGAGTTCATGATATGGCGAATCAGGTCTGTAGTTCTCAATGGGTGAAATGTCTGGCACGGGGGATGGGCTGCGTGCCAGCTGATGCCCATCATTTCTGCCAGCATCAAAGACCCCCCAATAACGTATAGTGGAGGTACCACTATAATCTGCGTCCCTGTGGCCCCGCCTCGGCACCATAGTGTCTATAGCGCCCAAGATCTCGTCGACTTGGGAACTTGGTAATGGTGGTACATCAGGCTCTACTCAATGCTAACATTAGCCTCATACCATAGAGTCTAGCACTTTTTCGACACGGCAGAACATACCAAACACGACCCTGCGGCGCCGGAAACTCCCACCATTGACTTGGAACGACGCAGTGGTCGCCCGCTTCGATGTGGTCTCATTAGATAACGGTTGCATCCACTGTAGCCGTACGTGGTAGCCGCCGCAAACACTGCCCTGTTGGCGGCATTGGATACATCCAGGTCGCGCCTCATCGCATTTCACTTTTCGTGCCCGACATGTCCAGCATCCCGTAAAGGTTTTGTGGTGCTTCCGATTATCGGCATGGCGGGGAGATGATGACATTGAATCATTAATGATCACGTCGAATTTGCCGTCATTTGGAGCCAAGCAGCGCTGAATACCTAAAGGAAAGAAGGAAAAGTGTGAGCGTAGTAGAAGGCAGTTGGGAGCGAGCGACGGATACTAATAAATGATCCACAGTGTTGGAGATTGCGGGGTGATCTAGGCGATCTCTCTTATCTTGCAGCTACCGGTAGGCCATGTTGGTATGTAGTGTATTGTGCACCGGCTCAGGTTCCGTGAAACTTACATATTGCCAAGTGTCACAAGCCTGGCCTATGACGAGTCGCTGATTTGATCGTCAAACTTTCAATCCAACTTCAAGACGATTGGCTGGACAATGGGTCAGTCCGGTGGCAGGCGACGGGCAATCCTGGGGGCCCACCATCGCTCTCAATTGCCTCAAAAAGACGACTCGGCTTTGCCTCTTGCGCACCACCAAGCTGCGGGATGGCCTTCCTTGATCTCGCGACTACGGATCACGGTGGTGGCAAGTCTCTATGGAGGAGGTATCACCTGTTTAAGTCTACTAATTGAAGAATTTTGATCAAGATGGTGACCTGATGCAATAGTCCTTGAAATGCTAATTGGTATATGCTCGAGCCGTCTACATATCAAGTAACTTGAACGCTTCACCCTTGATCTGCTCAAGTGCATAATTTTGCGTTACTTCTCTTAGACTTTTGTACCACATCTTTGTCTGCATTGGACACCTGCGGTCATCCACAAAATGTCCACGATATCCACTATTGCCGCCCAACATGCGAGCCTCGCGCTCTTGTCAGATGTGCCCCGGCAGCCTCAAGTCAAAGGAGGCAAAGACGCCGTTGCGACAGGAGGTTATGATTTCGCAGGTATTCCTGAGATAAATGATCCATACAAGAAACGCCAATGGCAACTCGAGCACATGGCAGGCGCATTCAGAGTCTTTGCTCGAAAGGGCTTCACCGAGGGAACGTCTGGCCATATCAGTGTTCGAGACACCGTAGATCCAACGACCTTTTGGATTAATCCGTAAGTTGTGTCATGGAATCGCTTTTGATCACTAACGCAAGATAGGCTAGGTGTCCATTTCGGCATGCTCAAAGCCAGCGACATGGTTCACATCAACGAAGAAGGACAAGTCATTGGCGGAAACAAGACGGCAGTCAATGCGGCGGGATTTGCAATCCACAGCGCCATTCACCGCGCCAGACCCGATATCAATGCGGCATGCCATACTCATTCAAAGTATGGAAAAGCTTGGTCCAGCTTTGGGAGACCGTTGGATATCATTAGCCAGGACACTTGCAACTTTTGGGGCATACAAGCCGTGTATAATGATTTCGGAGGAGTCGTCCTGACAGATGAAGAAAGCCAGCGTGTGGTAGATGCTTTGGGTTCAAAGGGGAGAGTCTTGATTCTCCAAAACCATGGAATTCTGACTGCAGGTGGCACAGTTGACGAAGCAGCATATCTCTACACCCTGATGGAACGCTCGTGCGAAGTCCAACTGCTTGTAGAAGCTGCAGGGTTGGAAAAGAAGATTATCCGGGATGAGAGTGCCGAGTACACTGCGAAAGTCAATGCCGACCCCGTAAGTGTACGTCAATATTTATTATGGACATATTTGTTGATATCTACCCTAGGAAACATTGTATACTGAGTTTCAGCCCGACTTTGAGTATGAGATCTGGAAGTCTAAGGGAGAATTGAAGAAGGACTTTTGAAGAAGCGCCTTAGCAACTGCGCGGGAGCGATGAATTATTCATCATGTATTTGACTATATATAGCATCGCTCTAGGCAGTTGATTGAGATACCTCAAAGTTTGGCAGAAACGTCGGCTGCCTTCAGTTCAACAAGTAGCCCCTTTGAACAGAGCCCGATAATTTCCAGTCGTCTCATGCCAGTATTCTAAACCTACGAATGGCCCGTTGAACAATCTTCTCGTATTGTAAGAGCATGTGATATGGGATAAGACTCCTCCGAAAGAATGCTCTTGTTCAAACCTAGACATTACGCACCAAAACACATCTGGGCAAAAGCTTTGCAGGCCACGGTGTTGGGCCAGGGCAGTGGGGCCGTTAGCCGTATCCATGTGAGTTTATACCTAGACCATGCTCACTTGTGCGTGTCAATTAACGGTCTGCCAAAGGTGATTCACGACTAAACAAACAAACCGGATAACATGTCACGAACAAACAGAGACTGACTGGCATCGGGACGGGACCCGAGTACAGTCCTTATCTGATTTTGACAGGATTTACGGCAGGTCAACGCGACTAGGTCACCTAGTAGGCATATGCCAGCTTAGCCACGTGCATATGCTATGTGTACTGGCTGCATGGCCCCCGCCTTCGGCCATAGTGGGATACTTGGAGGCGACCCGAGCAGCCTCCTATTGGACGATAAGCTTTCTGTCAACATTTGGTTAGACTTTATAGTCGGTTCGTGTGGAGTAAGGAAACCACAAACGAAGCACTTAAAACACCACGACATTTTCAATGCTCTCCCGGACTACGTCGTAATAATATTGCATGAAATCACCATACAATCGTAAGAAGTTGCCAAACGAGTACACAGAAACACCAAAGCATACAAGTGACTATGGCGAACCGCGGGCGTACTCTTGATGGCCAAGCATTCTCAATGAAGGACCTCGAGAGGCTGGGCTCTGCAAAATTGCCCATTGCTTACAGAGGTGGGCTACACCCAGAACTTGCTCAAACGCTGTGGTATCTCTAATAGATTACAGAATATTATAATGAAGGCGCCATGGACCTCATCACGTAAGAGACTAGCAGCCAGACGCCTTATACTGCAGCTAATAACACCTCCTGCAGACTTCGCGACAATGAAAATGCCTACGATCGGTACAAGATCCGTCCTCGCGTCCTACGTAATGTTTCGAATCTTGACCCTACCACACAAATCTTTGGTACAACTGTATCTTTCCCGCTTGCATTATCCCCCCTTGCGATGCAAGGGCTGGCGCATCCAGACGGCGAAGTCGCAACTTCAAGAGCCGCTGCGTCAATGAACATCCCCATGGGACTATCGACGTATGCAACATCGACATTAGAGGACGTTATTGCTGCAGGAAATGGCAACCCATATGCAATGCAATTGAGCCTTTTGAAGAATAAAGATGCCATGGCACGCATGATCCAGCGGGCGGAGAGTATGTATGCCAAGTCACCCATGAGGAGTTTTGAAATCAAGCTGACATCAACTGATAGAGGCGGGTTACAAGGCACTACTGGTCACTCTAGATTGTGCCCGACTTGGACGACGATTGAATGAGTACCGTAATGCTTTCGTTCTTCCCCGCGGTCTTGAGTTTCCAAACATGTTCCCGGGAGTGGACATTTCCACCATGGACGACGGCGACGACAGGATGGCATATGGTGAGCTCGCTGGGTCTTTTGTGGGGTTAGAGACTAACTCAGAACATGTAGACGACTCCATGGAGTGGGCCGATATGATGAAGTTTTTACGAGACACAACCAAGATGCAAATCTGGGTTAAAGGAAGTAAGAAGATCCTGGGGGCGCTTGTACAATCAAAAAATTACTAATCACGAGATGCTAGTATACACGAGCGACGATGTCGACCTTGCGATACATCATGGTGTTGACGGAATAATAATATCCAATCATGGAGGTCGGCAGTTGGACTCGGTTCCAGCAACTTTGGATACCTTGAGAGACGTGGCTGGTGTTGCAAAAGGTCGAATTCCCATCGGCATCGACGGTGGAATTCGTCGTGGCACTGATGTATTCAAAGCACTGGCTTTAGGAGCTGACTTCGTGCTTGCTGGTCGTCCCCTGATATGGGGATTGTCTGTAAGTCAAATGGAGGATATGACTGATCGATTACTGACTTTTGTACCAGTATGCAGGAGAAGCAGGAGTAAAGCTTGCACTAGACATGATTTACGATGAGTTTCTGATCGCTATGGCGTTGGCTGGGTGAGTAGCGCGTTCAACCACTCGTAGCATCGACATATTGGGCTTCTAGACTGATTCCCAATCTTCAAATAGTTGCCGTACAGTTCCAGAAATCACCAAAGAGCATTTGTCCTTACTCGAACCGAACGGCATCTTGGCAAAGCTCTGATAAGCTATGTTGCTTCCAAAAGCCAGGTCATCACATGGTGCTCGAGTACTAACACGCCGGATCTCGGGGGATTGGCTGGTGTCTGTGGCATGGCGAGAACAATTAGTGCACAACCTCGCTCAGCCTGGAGACAGAGTCCGGACAGCAAGAAAACATTTGTTCTTCAATACAATTAGTATCATGTAAATATCTGCTCACCATAGGTACACTCTGCACGGTTGGCAAAGACTAGGCAGCAAATGAGTAGTGCCGAAATATGTCGTCGCTTAGTCTAGTGTACTGTACTAATCTAAACCTTAAAATCCACTACAACGGACGCGCCACGTCTCTAGAACTTGAGTAGAAGAGAAGGTCTTCGTATTTTGAATGATTTCATTCTCTTAAATAACCCGCCTCGACCAATCGCTTGTTGGCGCGATATCTTAAGTCAGCCGCCAAGATTAGGCTGTTGCCTTGGCATAAAACGTCTCGACTCGTAGTTGAACCCTTATATATATGCAGTCAAGGCCATTGTTCAGTTTTTGACATGATGTCGTTGAAGAGTTATTTTCAAACAGGTTCTACATTCATCTCTGAAGTCTCTCGTATCTTTTCATGAAATGACGACTACCTCCGAACTTCCAAAAATGCTTGTTGAACTCTGCCCATGGGAAGACGCTCTCGTGGTCGCCTCAGTCAATGGTCAGATTGAAGCATTGCAAGACGAATTGGACAAAGGCAGAAACGTGGATCTTCGAGATGTAGAACACGGTCGGACCTTGTTAATCTGGGCAGCCGAGAATGGCCACAAAGACGCTGTCCAGCTTCTGCTCGAGCGCGGCGCCGGCGTCAATAAGCGCGATCTCCAGGGTCGGACACCGCTGTTGAGCAGCGCAGCGAGTGGGCATGAAGATATTACAAAATATTTACTCGCAGCCGGTGCTCACGTCGAGGAACGGGATGTTTCTGGTCGCACGTCGGTCATTCTTGGTGCTCAAGCATGCTCTGGTCGCGTTGTCGAGTATTTGCTGGAAGCAGGGGCGAGTGTTGATGTCCAAGAGTGGCGCTACGGTCGGAGCGCATTGTCATGGGCAGCAGAGAAAGGATGCGAAAAGGCCGTTGAGGTCCTGCTCAAGGCAAACGCCGAGGTTGACCTTGCTGATAGCCTAGGTCGTACCCCAATGTCATGGGCGGCCATGAGTGGTCACGCAGATGTTGTCAGCCTTTTCTTGAAGTATAATGCCAACGCTAAGGCAAAAGACAACGAGTATGATCGGACGCCATTTTTGTGGGCCATCAAACGGGGTCACGAATCTGTCATACAGGTCTTGAAGGATGTGTCGCCGCCGGAAATAGGACACGGTCTGGTTCTGCGGCCTACACCGCCCTCATCAAATACACTTGACGACCTGCAAGAATTATTCAAAGCAGTCAAGCCGGACTTCGATTGGAGGAAAACCCAGGGCGGTGACCTTTTGATATGGGCGATCAAAGAAGATCGCGAAGAGGACGCCACATTTCTCATTGGCAACGGAGCGGACATGAACGCACAAGACGACGAGGGGATGTCGGTTCTATCCCACGCTGCATACAAGGGTCATTTGTCCGTAGTACAGCTCCTGCTAGCGAGCAAGGTAGATCCAGATTCGGAAGACGAACTCGGTCGGACTCCCCTCTCATATGCTGCCGAGGGTGGGCGCAACGAAATTGCCAAGCTACTCTTGGAAAGAGATGTCAACTTGGAGTCTACAGATGACACGGACATGACGCCTCTGTTATGGGCAGCATGCATGAGCCATGAAGATGTCGTCGCTACGTTGCTTGAAAAAGGCGCCGACCCCGATGCTACCGACCGCAATGCCGTTTCCGCCATGAGTTGGGCTGCCGAGGAAGGGAACATAAACATTGATATAATACGCCGTCTTTTGGAAAAGGGAGCTTCACCGGATGAGGGCATGGAAGCATCGCCACTGATGCGGGCCGTGTGCAGTGGAGATATGTCATTGATTAAGCTACTACTCGACAATGGAGCAGACCCCTACTCGGAACTTTATGACGTTTGCGAGTGTCCACCATTGATGCTCGCAGCTTCTCATGGTAAGAAGGAATTGGTACAGATATTTTTGGGAATGGATGCTCCATCAGCCGAAGTCAAGAAGGAACATAGCTGGAAGGCACTGGAGGAGGCAGCTCGAGAAGGCAAGATTGAAGTGGTCAAACTTTTGCTGGAGAAATGCAGCTTTGAAGAGGAGGATTGGAAGGAAGATGGACCAATCTGGTACGCTCGAATGCATGGCCACCGAGATATTGTCGGCTTGCTACAACCATACTATGGAGAGGAGGAATGATCTTTCACGCGCGCTGATGCTTATTGCAAGGCGTTTTGCAGCATTGGTTTCGGTTGAAACTATAGCTACCTACTTCTCCAATACTGAATAAACCACAGGCAAATCAGTTATGCATATCCGATCTCGCGATGGACTATAGCAGCCTATTTGTCGCCCTTCATTCCAGACAAGATCGCAGGCATGTTCAGGTACATAGCAGATGCAGACTCATACAGAGACTGTCGTACCAAATGTCGCCAATGCCTCTGTGCTAGCCTTACGACCATCCATTCTTGCAAAATAAGCCTCCACGTTCTTGCGCCCAGGTGAAAGGACCCAAGAAGCTGGACCCATGACCATCATCTTCAGCAATCCGTAAAAGTGAATGTCTGCCGCAGTGAATCGATCTCCACACAGCCATGTCTTGCCCTCTAATTCGTCATCGAGAAGGTTTAGGAACTGATTGATTACGACCTTTTCATTGACTTGCGCCGATGGGGTAGGAAGGCGGTTTCCCTTGTAAAAATCAATGGTAGCTGGGTCGTTGCGATACCACGAGATCACAGGTTGGGCGATTTCGAGGTCCATGCGTCGCAACCACATTCGAGTTTCTGCCCGCTCCTCCGGCGTCTCTCCAAAGAGACTCTTGCCGCCCTTGGGAATCTCGTCCAAGTATTCGCAGATGGCCGTGATCTCTGTCAGGACAAAGTTCTCAGAGATGCGCAATGCGGGTAGTTCACCGCGGGGGTTGACGTCTCGACGATAGGCGAGCCTGCGATTTTCTAGAGACATGATGTCGACTTGCTGGACATCGAATTGAAGGCCACCGCGTTCAAGGACGAATAGTCTGACCACAAATGGGTTTGGTGCTGCGGCGTCGTAGAATTTCATTTTGTCCGATGATTATAGGATGTTTTCTAGGCGTGAAGCAACTTTTTTTGTCTTGAGAAGGGAATTGTGTGAAATTAGACAATGGATCATCTTATTTATACCGATTGTTGAAGACATGTCTTCGTGACATCATGAGATCCAGATGTCTATGGTGTGGATGATACAGACACCACTAAGACGGAGTTTATGTACCATGAAGAATATACTTCCGCGTGCACAGATCCTCCTGCATATTTTCAACAAGATGCGCCTAGTTAGGCGTGTGCTAGTGAAAGCCTAATATTTCCTCCGTTTAACGCCGTGAATGCGAATGTCTGAATGATCCACTAGAATCCACAGACCATTCAAGTTCTAGTCGGGTATTTGCCTACCTTAGTAGACGTATCATACCTATTGAGAGGCAAGGCAGTTGGAGGCGATGGGATCATTGTTTTTGCCAGATCGATCAAGAACACAGACGCGAACTCGGAAAGCGTGTGCTACGACTTGTAAAGAATGGAACGGAAGAATACATTCATGCTCACTCAATCTCCATCTCCTCCTCCTCCTCCTCATCCTCCTTGACTTCGTTGCCCTTCCGATTCTCCACCCACCACGTAGCGGCCCGGCGGCATCCCTCCTCCCAGTCTACCTGCTCCGTGTACCCCAAAACACGCTTGGCCTTTGAGATATCATAGGCGCGAGCACTCGTCATGATGCTCACGGCGGCCTGGCTGAGTCGCGGCGGCTCGTCAATGATCCAAGCCCACCACTCAAAGGCCCAGGCTACCCACATGGCCATGGCAATGGTCACGACGCGAAATTGCGGATTCTTCGCGGGGTTGTACTCGTCGGCGTCACGGGGTGGAAAAGCGGTGGACGCTTGATCAGTGTTTGCCGACATGACGTTGTTGTGATTGTGGTATTGCCACATGGTGCGTGCAAAGTCCCAGTATGTGTAGGCGCCGGCGTTGGCGACGAAGAAGGCCTGGCCTCCGACCGAGTCCCGGACTCCACGCGCCGGTGAGAGTAGCTTCTCGGCCGCCAGCAGATGCGCGTGCGTGCTGTTGCCCACATACGTGGTCGCAAACGGCTTGGCATTGGGCCCGATCTGGAGCCCGCGCATCGCGCCCGCTGTACGCATAATGGTCGGCGTGACGTCGTTGTCGCGCTCGCCGTAGATGACGGAGGGTCGGACCGAACAGGTGCGCATCCCGTCGCCATTGCCATTGCCGGCCTTGTCGCCGTCGTGGTCATCAGCCGCCAGTACCAAGACTTCGGCCTCGGCCTTCGTGCGCGGGTAGATGGGGACGTTTCCGTCATTGTCCTCGTCTGGCATGGCAACAACCGGCCAGGTCTCGTTGGCGTTCACAATCTCAACGCCGGCCCATTGGACCACGGATGCCGACGAGGTAAAGATGAAGGCTCTCACACCAGCGGCCTTGCAACTTTGCAGGAGCAATTCAGTCCCCTCGACATTGACCTCCCGTACCATATGGTCCGGGACGTGCTTTCGTGTGCCGACCACCGTCGCTGCGCAGTGAAAGACAACGGTAGGCTTGCAGTACCTCAGGCAGGCGTCCACGTGAGCCGTGTTTGTAATATTTCCTTTGCGATAAGTAACGCCGGGAATGGTGTTGGTGGTCGGACTGCGAGATAATACCGACACCTTGGAAGTTGGGTAACGTTCTCGTAGAGTCCGTACAATATCTGAACCCTGGAGGCCACAACCTCCTGTTATCAGAAACGATTGCGAGTCCATGACGGACGGTGAGGTTGCTATGCTGTGCCTCATGAGCTCTCCAGACGTTATGTCCAATAGTTCTTCCTGGGGGCGTCTGATGAAAGAATCAAATAAGAGGCCCTTCTATCATAAGAGGAGCTGAGCCCTCTTTGATGCAAACTTTAATTCTCTCGATCGTTGAAATCACAATGAGATGTTGCAATGGTCGCTTATTCCTACCAGCCAAGATCAGGGCGATGGAGCTTCATATAAATCATCAATCAGCATGATCGACGCCACCGACTGACCCCGGTTGCAGTGCTGAACCAATCCGGACTAAACAGCTGACGGTGCAGCCAGCTCCCAGTACTTCAAGGGATGCAGTCAGGCATGTTGCACTATTTGCGTGAACCTGCTACCATACCAGCGGCAGTAATATGAGGCGTACGCTCTGGGCAAAGGCATCATAGATTCCGACTCTGAAAACGTTGTCTTCTCTCTTTTGCCGAGCCATTTGCTTTCCGAGAAGAAGCTCCAGATCGGCTAAAAGACAAACAAACCATTGGGCATGATCCTCATTATTGTGTGATTGGTTGTATAAGTGAAAGGTTTCTAGCCGTTTTTAGCCTATGTCGCGTATTGCGAGCTGACCCGCTTTGACTGCTTCTTCGAAATAGAACTGATACCCCCCACGTAAATCACCTGGAGAGGTGGGCAGGTCCCACGTTTGGGGTATACACCTCGAGTCACCGAGACGCATCCAATCGCAACGCTAGGATCCAGTGGTCAGGGGATCATCCACGGCCATTTTGGGTTTCGTATTGCTTCTTACTTCAGAGTACTTTACTATTACAGTGAGAATGTACAACATCATTCAATCAATTGAATATGATCACTATCGGCTTCTTTTGTCCGTCCTCTAGGAGTTTGAAGATGTACAACGCGCAAGATGAAGTACGTCTTCCCTGCCTTGCTCCCAAAAGACACAACAGACCCTAGAAATGAAGAATAAACAAAAACACCTCCATATACGCCAGACAAGTACCGATGCTTGGTCCAGTCCAGACCGGTCATTGTCGACCCAAAACTCCAACATACGGGTATCCCCTTCTAAACAAGGTACTGCGCTCGCTCAAACACCAAAGCAGTTCTTTATGAGATCCACTGGCCATGCAAGCCGGCTGTTTCAACCAAGGTATATTCAAATGTCATGGCACACGGCTCATCGCTTTTTGATTGAGCGGCCGGTCTTGATTGCTTTGAGCGGGCCGCCTTGCTGCCCTGGTTTGGCTTTCGAGACCTATGGAAAATGGTTAGCAACAGTATGTTCGAATACGAAACGGGAATTACTCACAGTTGTAGCAAAGTCCAAGCTGCTAACTGTCTCCTTGATGTCCACAGCAAGAGGGCTGACCATGACAAACATGAGTGCTTTGGCATTGCCACCGAGACAGCCTTCAAGCAGCTTGGTGAGTGAAGAGTCGCGGTACGGGATATGGCTGGCGTTCTCTGCTAGAGCGGTCATTACCTTGCTCAAAGTCGACAACGATGTGTTGATGCTGGCCGCCTCCTTGAAATTCTGACCCTCGACTTGCGACTCCTTGACTCGTTCGGAGCCAGCAAGGTCGATAAGGTTCAGCACACCTTCGCTCCTGTTTCCATCGACGTCCACACCTTCGAGTTTGAGGGTGAAGACACAATGAGATCGCGAAGAGGCGCGATTCATATTGGTAGCTGCAACGGTACGGTTCTTGTTTGCCGTGGCAAGCATTGTTTCCACCTCTGCCGGTGATCCTAGCCTCGTTGCTCGCGACTCCACGTAATACTTCTTGGTGTTGGGGTCTTGACGAAGTTGGACCTCATTTCGACTGCCATCGTCACTAAGCAAGTCAAAGAGCTTCTCGTTGTAGACCTCTGTAAAGGAACCCCACATCTGATAGGTCCAACCGGCATCTTTTAGAGACTCAGCCTGCTCATAGATCATCTTCATGGCGCTTGGAATGATTGAATCCTGTTGTGCGCTCATGGTAAATGTCTTTCCTGATCCAGTCTGGCCGTAAGCAAAGACGCAGACCTTCTGGCCGTCTAGAGCGCTTTGAACGAGTTGGCTGATCTCTTCAAAGACAACCTGATTGCCTTCCTGCTGCTCAAAGACGCGCTCAAAGTCATAGGACCTGTCAACAAGCTGCTCTCCGTCATACTTCTTGATGGGCACCATGAGCGTCATTTTGCCAATATGATCGTCATATTCGCCAACGTCGGTCTCGATCTGGGCATTGGCGGAATCATTGCGGCCAGGGCGTATGCGACACATGACACGGATGTTGCCTTTAAGAGTTTGTAGTTGGTCAAACAGCTTTCGCCTCCTTCGTTCCTCGACTCTGAGCTTTCCCTTGTACTCTTCGGCTTGCTGTTCTGCTTGGGCTGCTTGTTCGACTGCAGCTTGTTTTTCCTCTCTGATGATCCGGAAGTGTTCGACTTGTTTCTGCTCGTCGCTCTTCAGGTGAATTAGTGCGGCTTGACCAGATGTCACTGCCTTTTCAAGATCAGCAATACGTGCCTCTCGCACTGCTACTAATCCCTTGAGATCACGCTGAGCCTCAAGCAGTTCCTCTTTCTCCTTCTTTACTTGCGCAATCTGCACAAATTGTGCTTCCAAGTCTTTGCCATTTGCCTGGCTTCGCAGCATCGCGCCCCGCTTTTCCTCTTCGAGTAATTGCTCGAGCTCCTCAAAGGCCTGATGAGCTTCACCCAGTTGCTTCGCGAAGTCGGCAGCCAGCTCTTCTTTCAGCTTTTCGATTCTTTGTTGAGAGATTCTCTCTAGTTCGTCCTTCTCGCGATTAAACTGGCGTAGTCTTTCGTCAATTTCGTTTCGATGTTCGCGCTTGAGGTCTTCGGCGTCATTCCGTCGCGCTCTCTTTTCATCGTCGAGTTCCCGTGTGAGGGCATGGATTTTGTGGTTAGCATCTTGAATCTTAGACTGCAGTTCCAATTTCGATGATTCGAGTGCATTTTTTGTCTGTTCGAGATCGGCCACTTCATACACGAGGTTAGATTGTACCCACAGAGCGAGGATGTCATCTTATAACTTACCCTTTTGTTTTTCCGCAGCCAATTCATTTTCAGATGACATCCGTCCGTTAATGGAGTTGCTAATCATCTCCTTCATGGCTTTTACCTCGGACTCGAAGGTACCTAGTCGTTCATCTACGTCCCATGCTACAAAGTTATGGAGGTTAGATCCCTTAGTCAAAAACGAAGCCTTGGTCGGCGAAGGGGACATTAAAGGGGTGACAGCTTTGTACGAAGAATTGACACGCGCAAATTGTTGAATCAAGTCTTTGGAAGTGGGCGTTTTGGGGACCACTGGGATATCCCGACGCTGTTCTCTTACTGGAGACCCGAATGTGTCCACGCGCTGGCGATTGCGCCGTTTTACACTTGCTGGGACCTTGAAAGTTGGTGTTTCTGTTTCTTGGGAGGAATCCACTGGATCCTGTGTAGTGGATGATGCCGTACTTCCTTCACTAAAGTTGAGTGTATCGAGTGCGCGACAGATAGAGGCTTCTCTAGCTGCAGGGAGTGACTGAATATAGGCGGTGCTCATATCGCTGACAGAGTGGTACTTCCGAACTTTCTTGGAAGTAATGGGAACCTTGCTGTTTGTGGAGGGTTTCTTTGCCAATGGCTGCTGGGTATCCGTACCATTCTTGGTTGGTTCCTCGGCCCTGACGCCCATGGACGTTATGGGTCTGTTGCCTCGGGCGGCTGTAGATCGTACGCTTGCTGATCGCGCGTGGGCAGTTCGGGAAGGCGGCCGAGCGCCCGGTCCAACACTGCTTGCATAGCTGCTCGTCGAGGTATTTCGGGAGGTGTTTGAGTTATATGAGGCGACCGAGCGAGTAACGGGTCGGGTCTGCATGCCATTTCAAGTCAGCGAATATCCCCCGCCAGTAAAAGATCAGAACTTGTGAAGACGTGGTTCTTCCCAGAGGAAACATGAGCGGGCATTCAGATAGACTTGCGCTCCCAATCGCCGCGGCAGCCGTATCAAGTGTTTCGGGGCCAGTCTGAGTGTCCCATCCCCGAATTGCAGCATCGAGTCGGATAGAGACGATGCTCCCGGTGGCCGTCTGTTTACTGAGCCAGGACATGAATAAGGTGAATCGCTTGAGTCGGTTGAGGATTGAGAGCTCTCCAGGTAACGGTTGAGCGCAGCCATCTGTAACGGTTGCTTCGTGGGTTTGGGGCGTCATCGCTTTCTTCGAGGACCCGATAACAGACTCTTTCCGATTTGCGCGGTGACGCTGAAGCGTCACAAGCAGTTGTAGAATATTGAAACAATCCCTTCGAAGCATTCGCCAGATCTCTCGGACACAATGGCGCAGACGACTGTAGATGACTGCCAATACCAAGCATGATAGCGCCAGGACAAGTTCCAGGATGCGTACTTGTAAATTGTCGTCCGAGTATTGCATTTTGTGGTTGTGATCCGTTTCTGATTAAAGCGCATCCGTTTCCAGGAATGACCCGATCATGACAGGGTGAAATTGTGAAGACAAATTCAAAAAATGTTGCAACTTACTGATTGCATGTCCCGCAGAGACGTGCCCTTAATTGTGCTCCGAACGGGGGTGGGTGCTACAAGGCCAGACTTTGCCGAGGCCTGGGGAAACTCGGTGGCTGCCTTCTCGGACAGAGTTTTGCGTTTTGGTTCTGGCTGAGAAACTGTATTGGCCTGAGGTAAGCATGTGGCTGGGAAGACAAGGTGTTGAAGTGTGTCAACCGTACCGGCGCCCTGAAGACCGCGCTTGATACCTGTGAGAGATGGCGGGGCCATTGCGGATTGCGATCGCGTGTTGGTCTGCGAGTCTGTTATCTCGTGCAGGCCATGATGCGACATGGCAGATGAGGAGTGAAGTTGTGGCAGTCGGGATGTAGTGCTTGCGCCGAGACGCGGAAGCCCAGATGGCTTGTTCATCTGCGCAAGTCGTTTGTTAGAAAGTCGCGTCCGAGAAGGAGTTTTGTTTTGCGACCAGAGAGTGCTCGAGATCGAGGGGTAAGGGGTTGACTGTCTGGGGCGGGCGAGACAAGAAAAACGTACTGGATTCTCCGTATCCATGTTGGCGAAAGTGCTCTTGCGGCGTATTGCAAGCTGGTATCCAAGCGTAGCAAGGAGCAAAGCCCCGGTCGGAGAGGCACCGGCTGACGATGCAGTAAAGGACGGCGTGTTGACAGATGCTGGTCGTGGGAAACGTCGACGTGACGGGCTTTGATGGGTTGGTGAAAGAGAGGCGACCAGATGCCACATCAAAATCTGGAGAGCAAGTAGCTCTATGGAGGCGTTCTAGTGGGCTTATGATGCGTTGGATAAGTCAATGCCTGTACCAAGTCCAATTAAGCTCCGAGACGTTTGAGCCAGTTCCACGATTGGGTGCATTAAATTTACTGCTGTTGATTTCGCGTGATGGGTCGCTGCCGGGGCAACGAAGAAGACGTGAGGAGAATAGAGCGGGACCAGCTGGGTCAGCCACAAATAATGGCATATTAGCAGCGCTAATGAGCCACATTACTCCCAAAGCCACACCAATTCGGCTTTGGTGGGATGACGCTTCTCTTCCATATCGATTGAGGAATTGGCCATAGCTCTTTGGCTTTCCGTCCCGCCTTCCCGCTCTCTGTGCTTCTCCTTGATCCCGACTACAGGGTACCATCACATGTCAGCTTCTCCAACCAATTGAGCTCTAACCGCATTTCAGATATGTATGTATGTCATCTAATGTCAGCAGCTACAGGCGGCTAATTTTAAATCCTGCACCAGTTGCCTTTTCTTTAAGGTTTCAACATTTACGTTGACATCACGAACTTCGACTCTACTTAAACTTCTCAACGGTCTGTCACAGGCCAGCCCCGATCATAGACAGACAGTCGTCAACGACGACGTCTCATCATCCAAGACTCCAACCTCCACAACTGTCTCATGTCTCGGTAGCTTTGCTCACGCGCGCAGCCCGCTGCCCAACCACTTGAGCCTGTTCTCCGCCGACCTTTCACCCCGACTTGAGCTGACAGCGTACTGCTCGACTCTCGAACGAAGCCTATCGCATTTCAAATTGCCATGGAGAAGTACAGCCAGTTTCGGGATCGCGGTAGCGGCGTCTCGCCGTTCCTGCCGCACGTCACCCCAGTTTCACCACTTACCAAACTCTGGCACATCATCGTCTTCTCGATCCGGCTTCCCTTGTTCGCATTCTATGCAGCCTGCTATTTCCTGGTGCTCACGCACCTCCCACTCCCAGTAGTGCTGCGCAAGCTCCTGCTTTGGGCAATGCTAGGCATACCAGGCATCTGGTGGGTAGATTTACAATTGGATGGTGTCAAGCGTGGCCACCTGCATGAGCAGCCTGTGGAAAGAGTCCCGCAGCCCGGAAGTATCATTGCAGCCCAGTTCACAAGTCCGATCGATGCGCTATACCTGGCCGCGATTTTCGACCCGATTTTCACCGTCAGTTATCCAAACACTCGAAAAGTTCACCATATCTCTTTGCTCGGTGCCATTGTCCTCGCTTTGGCACCGATCAACCTGCAGCCCCCGACACGCAAGAACCTCACAACACTGCGCCAACTTCGTGAGGATTATCCGCACCGGGTAATTGTCGTATTCCCCGAATGCAGCACGACGAACGGCAAGGGCTTGCTGCCACTTTCCACGAGTCTCTTGGGCGCTCCAGCCGATGCGAAAATCTTCCCCGTTAGTCTGCGATACACACCTCAAGATATTACGGCGCCCATTCCCGGGACTTACATGACATTTATTTGGAATCTACTTTCGCGACCAACCCACTGCATCAGAGTGCGCATTGCCGAAGCAGTCACGACCAAGTCAGACTTACCCAATGGTTACGAAAGCGACGATTCTTCCGACGACGAATCCCGCGAGGCCGAGGAGCCTATGACTCCTGCGGATCGCCAACTACTCGATCATATTGCTGAGACGCTGGCACGACTTGCGAGGAATAAAAGAGTTGGCTTAACACTACGCGATAAGGTGGCATTTGTGACTGCTTGGACAAAGGGTCGAAAGTAGGGGATACCCCCAGGATATGCCCCAGAACAAACTTTGAAAACATATTACAACCAAGAGACTTAAGGGGCAAGTTTCGCATATCTTGACATGGCTGTAGACTAGGATCGGACATCGCCTGCCGCTTCACCGCAAGGACCAATAGCATCTAGATAGGTAGTCAGGCTGGCTCAAACTCGGACATCTCACATTTCAGAAACAGACCAGCACGTCTCCATTATCAGTGGCATCCTGATGAACCTAGACTTTGCGATTACCGAGTACTACCCCTTCTCTTGGTGTGATAACAATTGCCTCTATATGATTCATATCTTAGGTATACTTGTAATCCAAGGGAAACATTTTACTGGCACCGTCAATTTTTTGGAATAGGTAATAAGTATAAAGAATTCATATTCGCAAGACGCATACGCCGATTTTCCGGACCCCAGAATGCAAACCGGCCCGCAAGCCCAGATTGGTTATCGTTTTGTATATACACAGAAATCTTTGATACAGCAACGCAGCGCACAATTAAAACCAAAATTCCTTCACGCATTCTTCCATCAACCCTTACCATGACCCGCTTAAGCATTGTCGGTCACACAGCCGGACGAGGCATCCGTCACCAGCTTGGCATACTTGGTGAGAGTACCCTTCTTGTACCGGGCCTCGGGGGCCTTCCAGGCAGCCTTTCTCCGGGCGAACTCCTCTTCCGAAATTGTGGTGTCAATGACACGCTTCTCGGCGTCGATGGTGATCTCATCGCCATCCTGCACCAGTGCAATCGGACCGCCGGCCATGGCCTCGGGCACGATATGGCCAATCAGGAAACCGTGAGAACCTCCAGAGAAGCGACCGTCGGTGAGCAGGGCAACGTCCTGACCGAGACCGGCGCCCATGATGGCGGACGACGGCTTCAACATCTCGGGCATACCAGGTCCACCCTTGGGACCTTCGTAGCGGATGATGACAACGGTCTTCTCGCCCTTCTTGATCTCGCCGCGCTCGAGCGACTCAATGAAGGCATCCTCGTAGTCGTAGACGCGAGCCTTACCCTTGAAGACGAGACCTTCCTTACCGGTAATCTTACCGACGGAACCGCCAGGAGCCAGCTGGCCGCGGAGGATCTGGATGTGGCCGGTGGGCTTGATGGGGTTGCTGAAGGGGCGGATGATCTTCTGGTCCTCAGGGAAGCGGTGGGGCCAGGCCTCGACGTTCTCCTTCATGGTCTTACCGGTAACAGTGATGCCGCTGCCGTCAATCAGACCCTCCTCGAGGAGGAATCGGAGCAGGGCCGGGGTACCACCAATACCCATCATGTCGGCCATGACGTACTTGCCACTGGGCTTCAGATCGGCCAAGAAGGGAGTGCGGTCGCTAACCTTCTGGAAGTCATCGACGGTCAGCTTGATGCCAACGGAGTCGGCAATGGCGATCAAGTGCAGCACGGCGTTGGTGCTACCACCCAGGATGTTGACAACAACCATGGCGTTCTCAAAGGCTTGCCTTGTGAGAACGTCACGGGGTCGGATGTCTTCCCTCATAATATTCTTGATGGCCTCGCCGACACTCTCACACTCCTTGACCTTGTCCGCATGAGCAGCAGGAATACTACTGCTGGCGGGCAGAGTCATACCCATGGTCTCGATAGCGGTAGCCATTGTGTTGGCAGTGTACATACCACCGCAGGCACCTTGACCTGGGCAGGCGTTGCGGATAATGTCGTAGCGCTGGTCCTCGGTGATCTCGCCGGTAATGTACTGTCCGTAGGCCTGGAAGGCATTGACCAGGTCAATCTCAGCGCCGGCCTTGCTGCATCCTGGAGCAATTGTTCCACCGTAGACCATGATACTGGGTCTGTTGACACGGCCCATGGCGATCAAAACACCGGGCATGTTCTTGTCACAGCCAGGAAGAGAGATGTTGGCATCGTACCATTGACCGCCCATGACAGTCTCGATACTGTCGGCGATAATCTCTCTGCTCTGCAGGGAGTATCGCATACCAGTCGTACCCATGGAAATACCATCAGAGACACCAATGGTGTTGAACCGGTAAGGGATCAGACCAGCCTTTTTCACAGACTCTTTTACGACAGCCGACAAATCCATCAAGTGCATGTTGCAAGGGTTGCCCTCGTACCAGACGGACGAGATACCGACCTGTGCCTTCTTCATGTCGGCATCATCGAGACCGGTGGCGTACAGCATGGCCTGCGAGGCACCCTGCGACTTGGGCTGTGTGATGAATTTTGAGACCTTGTTGAGGTCGCTATCTTCGGCTCGAAGGGGACGGGATGTGCTAAGAAGACGACTGGTGTTCTTGTCAGCGCCATCCTGCCTTTTGTTTGGATCATCACATCGCATTCATTGCATTGGCAAACACGTACGCATATTGAGTCGATGGTGCTCGACAGCTCCGAGCAAGAGCTGCGGGAGCTTTCGCCCGCAGCAGAGTCTGAAAGGCCATTTTGATTGAACGCAACTACTCAATCGAATTGCCAAGGAATGTGCCTGTGGATGGGGACGAGACGAAGGGAATTTGGAATTGACCCTTTGTACACGAATTGGGTCGAAGCGACACTCGGAGGAGATCGTCCAAAGCTTCGAAATGAGTCAATTGAACCAAGACAAAAGTCCAGTAGATCAATTGTGAGCAGTGGATTGAGCTTACCTACAGCTCGCTCCCAATTGACGGTCCGTGACAGGAGCTCAGCAGCTCCGAAATTTTGGGCGAAATCGGCACAAAATTCTGGGACAGGCCTCGGGCCTGTCAGCCAAGTCTGCTTACCACCCCCAAGTCCCCGCGAAAAGGCGGAGCGACTGACGAATATCTGCACAACTATTGGCTGCGACTTCGGTAGGTAGAAACTATACTACATTAAGGTAGCAGCTCCACTTGCAATCTCTGGTTGAGATTCAATACCAAAGATCAGCTGTAGTCATGATGGCAACTATGGACAGCATAAGTTGTGATGCTCCAGCTGGATATGGTTTGTTCTGGGCGATTTCCTTGAACCCAGCAATGGCGTCCATATATTGAACTCCAGGTGAAGAGCCTTCACGTTCAGCAAGGACCCGCGCGACATACTTTTCCGCTTGATCGACTTGCGCTTGGAGCTCGATGCAGCTCGGCAGAACTCTGGCCATCAAGGGACGGATGATTCGCGGCAAGACTCGCAACTGTTCCGCAGCATGAGCACTTGCAAATCCGTACTTGACAACGAGGTCCAGCCACTCCTGATCGCGGCACAGGGATTCGCCCACAAATATTCGAGATGACATTCTGGTAATGATCTTTACGATAATGTCTTTAAGGTTGACTTCGTTCCACTCTATGGCTAGTCAATTTGCCGGTTTTTTCTTCTTCTTCTTTCTTCTTGCAACGATTGTGGATTCACCCACCTTGAGAGTCAGGAAGCAGCTCTTCCAAAACGACAGAACATTCATTTGATAATGGAGTCACCAACTCAGCTATAAGTACGACTATGAATTAGTTACGGGACGGAGATCAAAGGAGCTTTTTAATCCTTTGGATACTAACCGAGGTTTCTGGTTATCTTAGATCTCACGAGTGTCTGCAACGACTCCTCAGACGATGCTGCCATTTTATATGGTTCGAACCCTGGCAGATTGGCCTGGAACATCTGTAGACATGGTGTTACTATAGCCTTATCTTACTTGTGTGAGACTTGCCTTACAGTCTCAAGTTGCCCAGTGAAGCTCAACCTCTTGTCGTTGCGTATCTCGTCGCCCTGCTGCGGTCGAAGAATAATCACCTCACCAAAGTCGCTGATGACACGGAAAGGCTTGGAGCCAAATTGATTGACTGCTGAGTAGATTATGTCCCTGGCTGAAGTGGTAAATTCCCGGACTGCCCGGCTGCTGGTCAATTCGTAGCTGCGCTTAGGGTTAACGAGGGGCAGGATAGTACGGCATTTCCAAGTATAAAGAACGATGACATTTGGTATAACAAGCAAAAAGATGACTGCGACAAGGTCCCAGATGGTCCTTTCATGCTCTGCAAGTAGATTCAAATCGAACTCCATGGCGATAAATTGTTGAAGAGATAGTTGATTAGTTCGAAAACACGATACAATATGGTTCTGGTTCGGCACGTTTGCTTTTGTACAACGAACCGAATCATAAATGACGTAGGAATATAAGTATCTAAGAGGCATATATGCCGAATCGGACGTTGCCAGAGCCGATTGTAAGTCAACCCATCCGATCATCCAAGAGGTCAGTAGCCTCAGTCCTCGGGGTGGGATGGTTCTTGGCAAACCCCGAAATTTTGAGTCCTCCGAGTCACGTCCGAACCGGGCCCGGCGGACGACCCGTGCATAGCTCACGACGCGCTATCAATCGCTTCATTGTTCCATCCATTTCGCAAGCAATGGGCTCCGATTCATTCAAACCCACTGAAAAAGAACGAAAAATTAGCAAACCGTCCATGTCCTTGGCGTCAAGTACAACCGCGGTAGAATTCATCATTGAAGGCTTCCACGCCAAGAGATAATATGGCAACACTAGATAGGCTGGACCCGAAGGTAGATAGTCGCTGATTTCTATCAATGGAAGAAATTCAGCGTTGTCAACTAGAGCAATTACATTGACTGAGCACAGTCTGCGCACAACAGCCTAGATCAATCCGAGACTGAATAGAACTATCCTAAACTAGGAATTACATAAAATCAAACGCCAATTAATTTTAATCGAAATAAGAATGTAGACTCTCTCTCTTTCCCTCTCTTTCTCTCTCTCTTTCCCTCTCTTTCTCTCTCTCTTTTCCCCTTTGGATTCGGGTATACTCTCATCTTTGGCGCAAACCGGTCCAATGCTCACCGACCCGAGTGTTGAGTGTGGTGAAAGCTGTCCAAAGTGGTGTCAAATCGGCATGTACGCGGACTGCATTCTTGAGCAACGCTTCAGCTCGCAACATTTGTTTCATGTCTGCCAGGACTCTTGAGTCCTCTTTCTCCGACAGCACGTAGTCATAGATGCTCGCGATGGCAAAGGGGCATTGATATGCGCCCCAGATCCAGGATATCAACCATGGCGACGTGAAAGACTCCATCAACAGATTAATTGTATCGAGAACCTTCCGAGCAGCATTCAAGGAAATGAAAGCGCCGGATTCAGACTGGACGATGGTTTTTTCATTTCTTGAATCATCGGCCGCATGTATTTTGCGTTGCATCATAATAATGCTCATATATGCGGTAAGTAGGAGATCAGAAGCAGTCCAGCAAACATTGAAGTCATTTAGCGACTGTCTAAGCCATGTCTCCTATTTCAGGTGAGCATAGAGGCAAAGGCTGAGTACGTATAAGAAAGTCTTCAACGTACAACTTGCCAATCTTCGATGATATTTGTAATATCAGAGCACAGATTGTTGATGGATCCTTCAATATCAGAAGATGCACTCTTTGAGTTCTCCAAGATTTTGAAAAAGTCCATCATAATAAAGGTGATCCGCGACGTAACGATAAATGCAGTAGCCGAAGTCACTTCTTGTGGAGGTAAGCGACCAATGTCGAAGCTGGGTAGGTTGACCTGGTAGTCGAGTCCGGAAATAGTTGGGGGTCTGTCGAAACACAGACGGAAATGGTAATCCAACGCAAGCAACTGCCAGAATCCCTTCCTATCTTCATTTGCTGCGTGGTGATCCTTTGGCATTCTTCCTTCCATAAGGTAGTCGTCCATACTCTGCAGGCTAAGATTTTGAGCGAAGCGGCAAGCACGAGAGTGCAGTTCCCAACATAGATCATAGTCGAAGTTTGCTGCACTTGTTCGACACTGTTCGAGTGAGTGTCAGCAATTTTGCAACAATTTTGGAGAATTCATTGCGAACCATTAGAATCGCTGCAACAAAGTCCATGGCAGTGCATGTTGTCCCTTGATCCCAAGCCGAAACAAGGTTGCGACAATGATGGTAAATTCGACGTGCCCACTTCATGTCCCCGTAAGCCAATGTGGAACGGATCAAAGCCCCGTCAATGAGCACGTTGTAGTAGACTAGCATTGCTGATTGATCGATGTGAACATGCGGCAAGCCAGCGAGGTCTGGAATGATTCTCATCAACTGTTCGTTTATCAGATTGGGCCACATCTCAAGACCTCGATTGATAAAGAATTCTCCAAAGACAAACAGTTAGTATGGACGAATCAAGTTGAGGTATACAGGCTGTGAAGGCAAGATTGGTCCATACCGTTGACCCAGAGCTTTGCTTTATCCTTGGGAATTTCAAAGATCAGTGCTTCACTATTCTCCGAATAATTTTCCAAAGATGCGTCCTTCATTTTCTGGATTGCACCATCAAGGAGCGATAGAGGATCCAACGTATTGCCAGATGGACTAATTGGGGACTGTACACTGTGGCCCCCAGGAGTGTCCAGATTCTGCAGTTGGAGTAACGATACATCCGTAGCCACCCTGTTAGAGCGATTAGGACGGATTGCATGACAGGAATGGTGGCAGCTACCCTTCAATGATGAACTCTGATTCTTGATTGTCGATATCATCATTCGAAGATGCCGGGGTTGACTGTACCGCCGGGTCGGTTACTGTACGATCCGTGAGGATATTGCTGCAAAGAGCCTCTACATTGCTTAGACGGTCAAGAAGACTAGATAGCATGGGGTCTGTCTTTTTCCTACAAGTCCGCTATGTTTAGCATGTATACTACCAATATGGGGACATTACGGAAACGTACGGTGCACTTGGCCGCGGTCTCCTCCGGCTCCTCCCAGGATATTTGCAATCCAGCCCCTTGTTGCTGCATCTCTGGCACGTCGGCTTGTCGCGGGTGCATCGAAGCTGAGCCACATGAGCAATCAATATTCTGTTTTCTCTTCACGATTTGCTCGATGCTACTCACCTTGCTCTGCCTGCAACCTGTGCACTGTGAAAACCGCGGGTGAGCAAAGCCACATACCGGAAAATAGCACGATCGGTTGGTCCGCTTACCGAGTAAGGATGCAATGGAGTATCGGACATTGCAATTGCCTCCTGGGCGATTCCGAGATGCTCCAGGTACTTGGTGGATTTCCCGAATGTGCTATATTGCTTGAACCACCGATTCAGAGACGGGTTGTGGTTTTGAGGGGCGAGGTTGCAGATGGCCATTGTGATCGGACGTTGCCAAGGCCCGAACCTGCGAAGCGCCAAGGGCCTAATTATTCGTATTTGGGGCTGGCAGAAGTATCAATTAGCGAGTGCCGTGCCTAGCTTGTATCGCTAAGGCGTCAAATCTACAGCGATCTAACCAAGGAATTTGGCAGGCTTACAATATGAAGACGGTGAAAGTGGCACCGTGCCAAAATGTGCTAAATCTGGTAATCAGCTCTTTCGCACTGTTTACCACTATAATCATGGCGTGAAGCATTATCATAGTAGCATCTCGGACTTTGCCAAGACATGCGCAAGTGCGATACTGTTGAAAGCGAGACCACTGTCTCCAGGTAGAGTTGCAGATTGACAGTGGAATATCGAGACCGATCCAATAGGAAGTATAAAATATAGGATATTCCATTAATACTTTTAGCTACGGAATCATAAAAAAACACCTTGAATACGAATTCAAGTACTTACTGTGTCTTCATCGCAATTTATTGATATTCTGGTTGGAAACATGGAATCGGATCCAGGTGCGACGGGAGTCTCTTCCCACAACGAAAACAAGACTCCATCGTCAAGAAGTGGCGCTTCAAGCGGAGCTGGAAGCCTGACTATTTTTGACGGCAATGAACACTCCGTCGACGAACACCATGCTCAAATGAGCGTCGAAATCATGGAACTCGCCCGACGCTTTACGAACCAGTCACAGAATCAAGGTTCCGACTTGTTCCCTATGGTCATTGGCAGCAAACTGGATCCAAACAGTGAACAATTCGACGCGAGATCCTGGGCAAAAGCCTTTTACAATGTCAGGGTTCGCGCGTCTGAAGGAAAGGCTCTCCGGACGACTGGTGTGGCCTTCAAGAACCTCAGCACCTTCGGTTTCGGTTCAGCGACCGACTTCCAGAAAAGCGTTGGCAATGTATACATCGAAGCATATGGGATGATTCATGATCTTATCCATCCAAGAAAGCGTCGCATTGATATTCTTCAAGATCTCGAAGGTGTTTTACACAGTGGCGAGATGCTCGCGGTTCTCGGTCCTCCAGGCTCCGGTTGTTCTACATTTCTTCGCGCGATATCGGGTGAAACTCATGGTTTTCACGTCTCCAAAGACTCAGTCCTCAACTACGAAGGTGTTCGGCCTGACCAGATGCAGACAGCCTTTCGCGGAGAGTCGATCTACACAGCCGAAGTCGACGACCACTTTGCACATCTGACTGTTGGCGACACTTTGTATTTTGCTGCCAGGGCCAGATGTCCAGAAACGCTGCCCGATGGTGTTTCACGCCATGAATTTGCCACGCACATGCGGGACGTTACTATGGCTTTGTTTGGCATCTCGCATACCCTCAACACTCGCGTGGGCAATGACTTTGTGAGGGGTGTAAGTGGCGGCGAGCGGAAGCGCGTCACTATCGCAGAGGCTGCACTGAGTTTCGCTCCATTGCAATGCTGGGACAACAGCACTCGGGGGCTGGATAGCGCCAATGCTGTCGAGTTTTGCAAAACCCTGAGAACACAGGCCGACGTGATCGGATGTTCATCATGCGTAGCCATATACCAGGCACCCCAATCAGCTTACGATGTGAGTTGAGAATGGGTTACCATTGTCGTTCAGGTACTGATTGCTTGGCAGCTGTTTGACAAGGTGATGGTTCTTTATGAAGGACGTCAGATATACTTTGGAAAGGCCCGCGATGCCGCAAACTACTTTGAAGAGCTCGGATTTGAGCGCCCTGCACAACAAACTACCGCTGACTTTTTGACTTCCATGACCAACTCTACAGAAAGAGTGATTCGAGCAGGATGGGAAGACAAGACACCCCGTACTCCAGACGACTTTGCCAAAGCTTGGAAGTCTAGTTCTGCGCGTGCGCAATTGATTCAAGAAGTCGATTCCTACATTAGCAATCATCCTTTTGATGGAGATCACTTCCAAAATTTCTTGGATGCCCGTCGCTTGGACCAGTCCCAGCACCAGCGGCCGCTGTCGCCATATCTCATCTCGTAAGTATTTACTAACAAAATATGATATTTTCAATTTTTGGAGGTTCATCTCGGTTTATACGATCAAGTATACATTAAAAAGCTAACAAATTTACGCTCATCAGATACTGGGAACAGTTCACCTTGACACTCTGGCGAAGTTGGACTTTGTTCCGGACTGACCCTTCAGTCACCTTGACAATGCTAGTCAGCAACATTTTCGAGGCTCTCATCACAGCAAGCATTTTCTACAACCTCCCGGCCGACACATCTAGTTTCTTCAAACGTACGCTTCTTTTATTCATGGTCATCCTCCTCAACGCCTTTGGAAGCATTCTAGAGATCATGACCTTGTACGAAAAGCGCAGAATCGTCGAGAAACACTCGCGGTACGCTTTTTACCACCCAAGCGCTGAGGCACTATCAGCCATGATTGCCGATCTTCCGTACAAGATCATCAACGCCATACTATTGAACACGACACTCTACTTCATGACAAATCTGCGCCGTGAAGCTGGGGCATTCTTCTTCTTTCTTTTATTCTCATTTACAATCACGCTCACCATGTCAATGATGTTTAGGCTTATTGGGTCAGTAACAAAATCAGTTGCCCAGGCTCTTGCGCCCGCATCGATTATCCTTCTGGCGATCGCATTGTATACTGGCTTTGCAGTACCACCCACGTATATGAAGTCATGGCTTGGCTGGATTCGATGGATCAATCCGGTGTATTACGGCCTGGAAAGTGTTTTTGTCAATGAATTTGTTGGACGAAGTTTCTCGTGCGCCCACTTTGTCCCGTCCGGACCAGGGTATGCAGACTTGGGCCCAGAAAATCGTGTATGCCAAACGGTTGGAGCTTCCCCTAGCGAAAATTTCGTCGACGGTACTGCATATCTTTTGAGCTCGTACGGGTACAAATCCGCTCATCGTTGGAGAAACTTTGGCATCCTCGTTGCATTCATGATTGCCTTTATGGCACTTCATCTGCTTGCCACAGAATACATTGCTTCTGAACGATCACAAGGCGAAATCTTGGTCTTTCTCCGGAGGACCCTCAAGAGGGCACAACTTCAAGATACTGACGATGTGGAGACACAAGCCGCTTCGCCGTTGCCGCGGGAGTACGAGAGTCAGCCATCTGACACCGAAAAGATTGAACAGCAGACTTCAGTGTTTCACTGGAGCAAGATTTGCTACGATGTCAAGATTAAAAATCAGGACCGTAGGATTCTGGACAACGTCGATGGGTGGGTCAAACCAGGAACTTTAACAGCGCTGATGGTAAGTAGGCAGCATCAGAGATACCTACCTATGCTTCACATCTGTTGATCATTAATTCTAACATGATGCAGGGTGTATCCGGTGCCGGCAAAACGACGCTACTTGACGTTCTGGCGGACCGAGTCACTATGGGCATCGTGTCTGGAGATATGAGGGTCAACGACAAGATACGTGATGCGTCATTTCAACGCAAGACTGGTTACGTGCAACAGCAGGACATTCATCTTCATACTTCAACCGTTAGGGAGGCTCTCAATTTCAGTGCCATTCTCAGACAGCCATCACAGTATACTCATGATGAGAAACTAGCATATGTGGACACAGTCATCAGTCTATTGGGTATGGAAGAATACTCTGATGCCATAGTGGGCACTCCGGGCGAGGGACTCAACGTTGAACAGAGAAAGCGGTTGACTATCGGTGTCGAGCTTGCTGCTCGACCGCAACTTCTTTTGTTTCTCGATGAGCCTACTTCTGGGCTTGACAGTCAGACGTCATGGTCGATATGCAATCTTATGGAGAAACTAAGGGATAATGGGCAAGCAATTCTTTGCACAATCCACCAACCCTCGGCAATGCTTTTTCAAAGGTTCGACCGACTGCTGCTTCTTGCAAAGGGTGGAAAGACTGTCTACTTTGGAGAGATTGGAAAAAGCTCTCATGTTCTTCTCGACTATTTTCAGCGTCATGGTGCTGATCCCTGTCTCGAAGAGACAAATCCGGCGGAATACATGCTTCAAGTCATTGGGGCTGCCCCAGGAGCAGTCACAGACATTGATTGGCCTGCAGTATGGCGAGGTTCAACCGAGTGCGAAGCTGTACAGATGGAATTATCGCGTTTGAGCTCGAATGTGACCCAGACCATTACAGCGACTGGAAATGAGACCCAGGTCGAGTTTGCCGCTCCGTTCCGGACACAGCTGTATCAGACAGCCAAGCGTGTATTTCAACAATACTGGAGAAGCCCTGGTTACATCTACTCCAAGACAGCTCTGTCTGTGGGTGCAGTAAGTGACACACGATGCTTTCTTGCCACACTTATACCGACACCGCCTCCTTTATCGATTACTAATTTGAGTATTGTATTCAGGCATTGTTTATCGGCTTGACATTCATGAACGCAGAGAACACGCAACGCGGGCTTCAAAATCAAATGTTTGGCGTGTTTGTGTTTTTGACTATTTTTGGTCAAGTGCTAGAGCAGATTCTCCCTGTTTTCGTTTCTCAACGAACGCTATATGAAGCTCGAGAGCGTCCTTCAAAGGCCTACTCATGGAAGGCCTTTCTGCTGTCTAACATCTTCGTGGAGATGGCATATAATACAGTAAGCCCTTTTTGGTTCACTACCATACTAGTATCAATGTCAAAGCTAATATATTGCAGTTGATGGCTGTCTTGTGTTTTGTGTGCTGGTACTTTCCCATTGGTCTTTACCGCAACGCCTATTTTACCAACACTGTTGATTCGCGTGGCATTACCGCTTTTCTACATGTGTGGGCATTTTTCATGTTCACCAGTACTTTTGCCAATATGATAATTGCGGGCCTGGAATCGGCGGATGTAGCCGGAGCCATTGCCAATTTGTTCTTCATCATGATGTTCCTGTTTTGCGGGTGAGTTGATAGCATACTATCTAGCGACACTTGACTCAGGCTAATCTCCCTACCAGTATCTTGGCAGGACCAGACACGCTACCACGCTTCTGGATCTTCATGTATCGCGTCAACCCATTCACATATGTCGTGGAAGGATTCATGGGAAATGCGCTTGGAAACTCTGAAGTACAATGTGCAGCCAACGAAGTCTTGACGTTTCACGCCCCCAATAGCACCACGTGTGCAGAGTACCTGGCCAACTACCTGGACAACGCCGGAGGTTATCTGATAAGCGGGACCTCAGAGCAATCTTGCCAATACTGCCCAATCCAGTCTACAAATTCTTTCCTGGCCAGTCTCAATGTCGATTTTGCCAACCGATGGCGCGATTTTGGGTTCGTGTTGGCCTACTGCGTATTCAACATAGTCGCGGCGATAGGCTTCTATTGGTTGGCACGGGTGCCAAAAGGCAAAAAGGTGAAGACTGTCTGATTCGGCACATGTCTCATCATATCCAAGTCTTCGGGACCTTGTGCCTCACCATGGACTAAGGTCCAGGGTTGATGGCCAAGTCGGAAGCATAAAACTGTCAGAGGATTAGGCACCGCTAGGCCTCCTTAGCGTCCGAGCCACAAAATTCACACCGTGCCCCAGGCTTGGAAGCGGAAAGTTCTTGGGCATGTGAAATGCATTCTGACTTGATTTTGAAATATATTGATAGGAATTGAATTCAAATCAATTCTTGGTATGATATGATAATGATAGGCAGACAGATGTATAGTGGCTGGAATATTGATTGCTGCCTGGAGACTATTGTTAAGTGGGGGCGGTAAGCAATTCGTGGTACGGACCTGGCGTCATCTGTACTTCCTAGTACATACATTAGCTAGATTCCATCACTCAAGAAGAGTTTACTTGCACTTTTTCATTTCCTTCTCACTGCATCAATCATGTTTCTACCACGGGAAATCCTAGACGCCATTTTTGGCTATTTCGCACCGAAATCTAGTGCTTTTGACCTTTCTATTGAGGAGCATTGCGCCAATCGGAAAACGCTAGCGTCGCTATGTCGTGTTTCCAAGCATTTCAAGGCTATTGCTATGCCTCAGCTGTACGCCAACGTGCGCTTGTTCGACGGCGACATCCGATTTTTCACAACTACCATTTTGGCAAATCTTGGAACGAGGAGACTTGTCACGCGATTGAGTCTCGAGTTCATGTTGCCTGGTACATGGGATGCGAATGAAGTCAGCGAAGAAAGACGCCAATCAGTGCCAAGGATGGATCAAGAACAATGGGACTATGACCATTGCTTGAGGGAGACATTGGCGCTTTTGGGTCAGAATGGCATCGCCACCGGCGTTGGAGGCGCAGATATACTGATCGCCGAAGGACTTGAGCTCCATGATCAATTCGAGGAAGACCTGTCCGCTGTCTTGTTGTTTGTGCTGCCAGAGCTCCAACATCTACAGGTCAAGTTGGATCCGATGTCTGACTTGGAAGACTATCAATCTGCTGGATACTGGAGATGCAAAATGTTCTTGCAAGCTCTGAGGTTGCCGTTTTATGCCAAAAGCCAGCGACCGAACAGCACCAATCTCGACATTCAGCCTTTGACTCCTGCATCTCTTTTCAACCTCCGTGAACTAATCTTGTGCAGCCCATTCGAAGACCCTGGCACAGTCAAAAGCACGTGGCCTCCGATCGTCTTTGGCTACATAGAAGAGATGCAGCCATTTTGGGGATTGCCAAAGCTGAAAAGCCTGACTCTTGAGCGAGCCGAGTCGACCACCCCCCTGAGAATGCCCAAGGATGCAGTTTCTTCGGTAGAACATCTCCACCTTGTCGACACAGCCATACCACCCGGAGAGCTGCCCGAGCTTCTGAAACATTTCCCTTTGCTTCGAACCATTACATATGTGCCTGCAGACTATAGCGGCATGCAAGAGTATGCTGAACTTTCTTTGGATTGCAGAAGGCTCAACAAGAAGAAAATTGAAGACGACCTGAGATCACTCAACTCAAAACTTGAAATCATTAAAGTTGAAATACCCGAAGTACCCGAATGGGCTCGAGAGTCTGACAGTGAAGAGGAAGATGAAGAAGACTAGAGAATGTCTGAGATGTAATAAGCACAAGATCGTGTAGAAATTGCAAGGCACTTCATAATTCTCTAGTCATCCAGTTTCGTTATACCGCGTAGTCTGAAATTGACTCACGTAATGTAACAAATGAACTTTGTCTGAGCGCCCGATAGATAAAGATTAGGAAAAGAAGTTGGTATCAAGGCTTGGTGTTCGGTTCTTGATGAGCTTTCGGCACGTACAACGGCGAGATTGATTAGAATCAGGTGCTGTAATCATCGTAATGTTGTGTTAGCTCTGTCATTCTTCTTTGTGGTGATACGGGGTTCCCGCAAATAGTGACATGGAATAATTGATAACCGTATTCGGTAATCCAGAGCGAGCAAAGAACTAGTTGACTTGGGTTACAATTTAGCCATACCCACTCAGTGCTACAATAGGTATAAATCCACATTAGCAAGATGTGACAGCAATCAAGAAGTACCTAGTAGTGTCAGTAATTAGTTAAGAGTTATCTCCGGCGCATATTGATTTCTACCTGATTGCTACATTCACAGTGCCAATTGTTTGGTTGATAATCAATATGCGAGTATCTGAAGTACACGCGGGACCCAACAACAGCGAGATCGCCATTTATGCCAGACTGCTCATACCGGGCCGCGGGAAGCCTCTCCCTAATGCCGTAGTGGGCATCTCGGTGGTAGACAAAACAATCACACACGTGGGACCGCAGCATGACTTACCACATCGATTGTCCAATGCACCTCGCTTCCAAGTTGGCTATTTGCTCCCTGGATTGTGGGACTGCCACACGCACTTTGCAGGCGTGACGAAAGTGGACTTCCCGAGCATGATTCAGACGCATCCAGCCACTTGCGGCGCCGCCATAGCCCGCGGCTTTCACGATACGTTGATGGCGGGCTTTACCAGCGTGCGCGACGTAGGCTCTTTCGCCATCGAGGCTCACGTGGCTGTTCAGGCAGGACTACTTCTAGGTCCCAACGTCTTTGGATCTGGAGGCTGCATAGGCATCACCGGTGGCAGCAGCGATGCCACAAACCTCCCGCTAGACTGGGTCTACGCCACCCAGGGCGTGCATCACACAAAGCCGTGGCCGGGGACAAGCAGTCTCGTGATAGCCGACGGTGCCGACGAATGTCGCCGGGCGGTGCGGCAGCAAATCAGGCGTGGTGCCTCGTGCATCAAGGTGATTACAACGGGCGGTGTAATGTCGACTACCGATGATCCACAATACCGACAGTACTCTGATGCAGAGCTCCATGCCGTCATGGATGAAGCCAAATTGCAAGGAAGGGCCGTGGCAGCACACGCTCACGGCAAGGCTGGCATTCTTGCTGCTGTGCGAGCTGGTGCCCGTACCATCGAGCACGGAAGCTACTTGGACGAGGAGGTGGCTTCGCTTATGAAGAAGTACGACTGCATTCTAGTGGCTACTCGCCATATTGTCGAGGCTGGCCTTCGAAGACTGGATAGGATGCCTCCACAAACTGCTGCCAAGATGGTAGCTATATCAGCACAGCACCTGGAAGCTTACAAACTAGCAGTAAGATCAGGTGTGCGGATCGCCTTGGGCACAGATATCTGCAGTTCCAACGTCGCCGAGGAGATCTCCCACGGGAAAAACGGCCACGAGCTCGTCTGGGCTGTCACAAAAGCAGGCATGTCACCGCTGTCAGCCATTGAAGCTGCCACTGCTACCGCCGCCGAGACTCTAGGTCCGCAGACGCCGAAGAAGGGCTTGGTTAAAGTCGGGTGGGATGCCGACTTGATTGCCCTAGACGAAAACCCTTTGGAATGTATTGGTGTATTAGCTGAGCCCAAAAACATCAAATTCATCTGGCAAGGGGCAAAGCTGGTCAAATCCCCCAATGACTCATTCTGGCCTCCTTCGCTGGATGACTTGGTAGGCTGGAACATGATTGAACGGGCCGAATGTGCTGGTTGTGGTCAAAGCCATTAATCGATTGATTCTGAGCACCGCTCAGTGACCAGTAGTTCATGTTGTTTCACCGATCTATAGAATCACCCCTTTATTTCTTTAGTTATTGAGATGCCTAAGTTTGCAAACCTAAAGGCGTCTGTAGTCCGTAATTACAGCGAGCGCATCGTAAAATCAGAATAAATCGACAATTCATATTCAATTCTCCGGATGAACACCAAGACTAGAGCATGTCACAAGATACCAAATGTGTTTCCATTCATCTCAGATATTGCGATGTCCTGCGTGGCCTTTTTGCCGATGCAGCACTACAGGCTAACTCATTGATTTTTCGTGCCATGTTTGCTATATCACGACGGCTTTTCTTTCTCTCTTTTTCTCTCTCTTTCTTTCTCTCTCTCTCTCTCTCTCTGTCTCTGTGTCTGTGTGTTTGTGTGTGTCTGTCTGTGTGTGCATTGACTTGGGTATCAGGAGACTACTTGATGTATATTTTACTGAGCATAACCAGTCCGATTAATCCTTGTAACAGGTACTGCTTGCGTACAAATAATCAATACCCATCTCTGACCGCGCGTAACTTCGTTCCACAAGCCTAAATGCGGGCGTGGGGCCACGCTAAGCCAGCCCGATATAGTATACCGTTGGGGGCGGGTCATGGCCGTGTAAGATAAGCCGAAAGGGGCGTTCGGGAACGAGGCCTCTAACGCCTCGACTGAAGTCTACTTTGCATAGATGCCGCAAGCACAAAAAATTGATGATGCCTCCGTTCCTTCGGCAAAGTATCATTCTTGTTGCCTAATCATCTTTCGTCAGTCAAATTGGCAATTCCGTCAACATGGCTAGCAAGGATCAGGTAAACGAGAAGGCCAATGCCGATGTCGGCAACGGCGAGGTTCTTCAGGTGGGTGAACCTTACCGAAACTTTTGATCAACCGACAGTATTCATCCATGTTCATAGACGAGAACCTCTACCATCGATCTGGAAGCGGACAAGATCTTTCAGGAACTCAGTTTCTCGCACGCTGATTTGGAAGCTGCACGCGTCCAGGCTCAAACGTTGACGTTGGAGGAGGCAAATGCCATACTCGAAGAGTACCTGGTGCAACATGGGTCAGTCATGTCCTGAAAAAGTAGCCGCATTTACTAAGATAGGGCCCCGCAGCGAGGACATGACCATTCCGCTCAGCACAATCGCTACGGTTAGATCCATCCTTGAAAAACTTCAAACTCCAAAGGGCGCCGATGAATATCTTGACCACATTACGCGCACCACTGCTGCCGTTTTGAACGGAAACTCAGCCTATAGAGAAGTCCGCGCCTCCGTGGACCCGAATGATGACGTTGATATACCTGTCAACACGATCCGAGCCTGGGTGATTGGTGAGCTAGCCAGACTTCTTTCCGAGTGCGGTGCACGATCCCTAACTATATTTCTTGGACAGGTATCATCTGGGCCTCGGGTCTTGCTGCGATAAACCAGTTCTTTGCCCCACGCCAGCCGGCAATCACGGTGACAGTGTACTTGGCACAGCTATTCGGCTTCCTTATGGGAAAGTTCTGTGCTGCGATACTTCCCACTACCGTGTTTCTCAGCGGCTCTAGGTTGGAGTTTACTCTGAATCCGGGTTCCTGGTCTCTCAAGGAACAAACGGTCGTGACAATGATGGCCAATGTTAGCTACGGTAAACTCGCGTGGTGGCTGTTCCTCAGCGAGAATGGAAAAGCTGATTAAGTATTTAGCAACTCCTCTCATCTCGTATCTGTTTTTCATGCAAAGGCTTCCCATATATCTTGGACAAGAGTGGGCAGCAAGCTATGTAAGTTATTACCAAAGTTTTGCCGTTCCCCTATCCCTCTGATGACAATGGTACTGATTCTACGTCCGTCTGGACAGGGATACGGCTTTTGTATGCTGCTCGCCACACAGCTTATGGGCTACGGACTAGCTGGAATATCTCGCCGTTTCCTCATTTACCCAGCGAACATGATATGGTATTTTGTTTTGTCACAAATGTCCATGAACAAGGCATTCATCGACAACATCAACGTGCCAGCCAATGGCTGGAAGGCCTCCAAATTCAAATTCTTTTGGGTCGCTTTTGTCGTGGCCTTTTGGTAAGTCAGAAGACGTTTACGACATGCTCGTTTGGTTAATCTTACATCAAATAGTTATTACTGGTTCCCTGGCACTATATTCCCGACAATGACCTTCTTCAACTGGATTACTTGGGTCAAACCGACGAGCGTCACAGTGGCAATCGTCACAGGGACATATTATTTCAACATGGGCTACAACCCCCTTCCTACATTGGACTATCAGTGGCTCGCCACTTTAGATCCCTTTGTCACTCCTTGGTTCGTTCTCGTCCAGATCGTCATCGCCACGGGCCTTTGGGGATTGTTGGTGATTATACCGCTGTTCTTTTCCAATACTTGGTACACTGCATATCTTCCTATCAACTCGTGGTACCCGTACGATAACACCGGCCAAATCTATTCAACGTCACTGATCCTAGGAACCGACAACAAGCTGAATCAAACTGCATACGAAGCCTATTCTCCAGTTTTTCTCCCGGCTTCTGTTGGATTAAGATATGCTGGAATGATGGCCATGATCCCGGCTCTCTTGACAGGAACCTTCGTTTATAATCGTAAAATGATTATCCCCATCTTCAAAGGCCTATTTCAACGGGATAAGAGGTCGGGTTGGACATCTGATGTGCACTATCGACTTATGCGCGACAACTACGAGGAGGTCCCTGATGTGCGTGGCCCGCTGTTTCTTGTTACCATGAATTCTCCCAGCTGACATGAATTGAAAGTGGGTATATCTCGGTATTTCCCTGCTAGCCATGTGCCTGGGATTTGTCGCCATCTATGTCTGGCCCACCAATCTTCCTGGCTGTAAGTCTTTTTATCATTGCAGAAAATTTGAAGTTGTATGAACTGCAAACTAATGCTTCCATGAAGGGATCTTCCCATTTGCTTTCTTCTCTAGTGCCATTTTTATCATCCCCATTGGTATCCTTTGCGCAATTACGGGATACCAGACCGACCTTGAAATTCTCTTCAACATTGTAAGTCTCCGCCTGTCGCACCTGTCAGAGTGGCTGATGGCTAAAGGATAACTTAGATCGGTGGCGCGGTCAGTGATGGAGACCCAATATTCACATTTGTATTCAAGACGCTGGGAAAGTGCCTCATTCAACAATCCATCTTTTTCACATCAGACATGAAGTTGGCTCACTATGCCAAGGTGCCCCCACGGGTTACGTTAGCGTGTCAAATTGTCGGTACCTTTTTTGCTTGCATCGTCACTCTGGGCGTAGTCAACTGGCAAATCACCGGAATTGATGGCATATGCGACCAGAGTGTACAGCAGCGGTGGATATGCTCTGGCGTCGCGACAAACTGGACGAGCGCGATCGTTTGGGGTGCCCTGGGCCCCCGCCGCCTTTTTGCGCACACGAGCATGTTCAGGTTCATTCCCATGGCGCTACTCGCTGGCGCCATCTGGCCGATCCCATGGTATTTTGCGACCAAGAAATGGCCCAATAGCTTTCTGCGATATTGCCATCCACTTGTCATGTGTAAGTTCTCTAGGTATCTTTGCCAGAGTGTAGGTACCTATGTATTGCAAACACGTCAATTAACGGCTCTTATTAGTGATTGCTCCGATTTTATGGGCGCCCCTCAACTTCTCCAACTTGTGGGGGGCGTTGCCCATCTCCTTCGTGGCTGGCTACTATGTAAAGACACGCTACGTCGACTGGTGGAACAAGTACAACTATGTCCTTTCGACCGCCTTGATCTCTGGAATTGCCATTTCGCTCATCATACAAACGCTTGCAATCACCAATCAAGGTCTCGCAGTAGGTCTTGCCCTTACATAATCTATTTGTCAAATTGCTGAACATATTTAGTTCCCTGACTGGTGGGGTACCACACAGTATTACCAGACTTGTGATTTGCAGGACTGCCGCTATCTCACAGTCGCTGAGGGCGAGACTTTTGGCCCCGCAGAGTGGCATTGAGCCGGTGTCAATGAGAAAGAAGTAGGTTAATTGGTCAGCAGCAACAATCGTCGAGTATCTTCGTGCAATTCCAGGCTCTGGGCGACGGCGATGGCAAGCTGCATCGATGAAATAGTAGTGGTTGTTTGTTACATAGTAGATACTTCCAGACGTGTCGGGACTCGGCGCATTTGATGCTACGCTCGAAGGATGGATGCAACCTTGTAGTTTAGTCGCGTCTTGCTGCTCAGGAAGTAGACAAGCGCAGCCAGGCCAAAGGTGGTTGAAATATGAAATGTTCTACTCTCGCCTAAGCCGACGTGAAGAGGAAGATACAATCGAAATATACATCTTAGTTGATCCTACGACTTATAAAACAGAGGTGCTAAAGAGGAGCTATCTAATTGCTATGCACTTTTGAAAATAGATGCTTTCAATCCTTGGCCAAAGTCTCATATAACCACCACACGCCTGCTACTAGGATAATGTCTCTTTACAAGTCCTTTGCGACTGATTAAGACAGGTCCTGGACCCTCAGTAGTCCTCCATTCGCTAACCATCGACCAAAGATACTTGTGACGGCACCACGTTGATCTGCTGGCGACATGTGGCCTGCGTCCTTGACTGAGACAAACTCTAGGCCCTTCTCACGTTGCGGTGTACCTTTCCAGACTCCACCTTGGTGAGTTTTGCCGGCTCTGTCAGTCCATGTCCAGGTTCTAAAGGCCTTTTCGGCACGATAGGCTGCGTGCCTGTGCCATGGGAGATTGTCGTACTCTCGTATAATGCCCGGCTGGTTGCTAAAAGTGCGGACATGTTAGCGTTCCCTCAATTCGATGAGCAAAGTAGAGAATAGGGCTGCCTTACCAAGTAACATCATACTCGCCATTTAGCACAAGAACTGGTACAACAGAGCTGGGATCAACTTTGTCCCGTGGCTGAGAAACGCCTCCATTGAGTAGATATGTGAGGTCCGAGGTGGTTGGGACAGAGATCCTTGGATCTAAGGCCCATTGTGTATTCAAATCAAAGTTGATTGAACGAAAATCCAATAATGTCCGAAATCCAAGCTCCTGCTGGAAGCCAGATCGATTTACGTAGTCCGTCGGAGACCCTGTGTTGTTTTCAGTGTCTACACCAACGCCGCACAATGGAGGCTCTGGGCAATTTCTTCGCACTAAGAGAAAATGTAAGAAAACTTGATGCATTATGATTCGTCTTTGAAAAGTGACCATGTGATGAAATTGGTGTGACTTACAATCATATGGGCTCAACCGATGTGCCTCAACCTCTGCGTAGAAGTATTTTTCGAGGTTTTCCATGCAGAAAGTTTGGGCGGTTAGGCATACTTGTGGATCCAGAGTGCGTTGACATATAGACGCGAGCCTCTCGCATTCAGGAACCGCGGCGCCCATGGCACGACAGGTCGTCTCATTGAACCTTACCAGGTTGGGTGGTTGATCTGTGCAGAAGACATCGTAGTGACCGGTGGACAGCGGATTCGAGTCAACAAGAGCATTTACGAGGATCAAGCCTCCGAGTTCGATCGACTGCAGCGGCCCTGCTGACCACGTCTGCTTCTGGCGTACAATGTCTGCTGCGTAGCGAGGAACGTAGCGGCCACCAAAAGACTCACCAGCAATATATAGCGGGACTTTACCAAACTGGGGAAATATTTCCCCGTACCAAATTTTCAGCATTTGTGTAAAGTCTGGGGAGGATTCTTCTAAATTGCTTGGATACTTGCTGCCGTTCTGCAAGAGGGAGAGGCCGACTCCGACCGGCTGACTATATTTATGCACCATGAGCACACTTTTGTTGTAAACTGGGAAGAGGATCTTGAGCTTACTCGATGAATAGCATATTTGCATGATTTGTCCAACTGTCGTGGTTAGAGAATGTTGCATTGCTATGTTCGTTGATTGAGCAGGGCCCGACTTCGTTGAACAGGCCCACCAGCGAACTTGCCCCGGGACCACTAGATAGAGTGATTAGCAAGAGTTTCATGCTGGAGGATTTTGAGGTCGCGTACCCGCTGAGCCAGATAACGACTGGTCGATCGTTGGGGCTCTCGCGGCTCTCTACAAACCCTGAATATTACAATTAGCAAACTAGACCTTGGTAGAGCACTTCCTCATGTTACAGTTCCTCAACTCACAAAAGAACATGCTCTTGTCGTCAGTCACATTAATCTGACCAGCAAAATGGCGACTGCCTGCCACGCAGGTCGAGTCATATTGCTCCCGAACTGACCAGTTGTCTCCCGTTGCACTGGCTTCAGTCTCCAAGTGTTGGGCAGAGAGCACGCGCTGAGCATCCCACGCAACAGCAAAAGGTGTCGCATAGCTGAGCAGCGCTAGCGCTGTAAGTGACGAAAACATCTTGATTCTTCTTGGTTGACACTGCAAACTTGGTTGATGCTGTCACGACAGTGTTGAATGGAATATCATCTATTTTAATGTACAGAGCAACTCCATTGACTATACATAGTATGTACCTTATCTACAGTAGGTAATATGGCCTGTACGTATGGCGATGGTGCTACGACGCAGAGCTGACCAAGGTCAGGTCCTACAGGCGGCCTGAACGCAAAGTGCCCCGCCCAGCCCAGCGCTGTCAATGGCATAGTAACCTCCTAGTAGGACCCGCTGCAGCTCGCACCCATTGACCAAATCCGGAGATTGCAAGCAGATATACTGCATCGGTACATTGGCGGGAGTCTGGACCGGGCTATGCAAATCTGCCCATATCTCCCATCATTTCATTGGGCTTTCGCACGACATCGCTACTGCTATGCTGGAAGAGTTGCGAGGGGACTGAATTGGTCTCATGACTCTTGCCTGCCCAGGACTCCTGAGCGTATGCAATTGACTATTGATTACAACAGACATTCCTCATTCGCAGTTCGCGATCAGAATGAGGCCTAACCGATGGGTGATCTTCCTAACCCTTGTGTTTGTATCATATGCAACTACTCGAATACTCTTCAAATTACCAAAGACCTTCAATATTCCTCCCAAAGCCATGTCTGAGACTTCGGAAACTTCGATTGGCTATGTTATTACTCCGGTGTTCGACGGCGAAGAGGTGGCCCAGGCGCTCAACGTCCAAGTGACTTTCACAGGAAGCGCAGCGCTCAAGTGTGACGACGTTTTCTTGGCTACGCCTGTTGAGATTGCCAAGGTGGATGTTGGCCGGTTCGACTTGACTTCCATCTCTGCCCATGACAGTCTTGGTCAGCTGGACCTAATCCACCATGTCGATTCGTACGGGCCCCCTATTGTCTTTCAAAAATGGCGTGTCCCACGTCCGACAGAGGGCCCAATCACCATGAATTATACCGCTCTACCGAGATTAGTCAACAGTTCAACAATGAACGCCCCTTCTTTCGAGCTCCGGCAACAATTTGGTGGTCTTTTAGGGTCTGGTTATGGCTTTCTTGCCACACCACCAGCAACCAATCATCAGCTCCACCGGGTAACTGTGAGCTGGGATTTGACGGCCGCACCACCTGGAACGGCTTCAATTTGGACTTTTGGGGATGGTAGCGACCCAGTAACTCGAGTAATGGATGTCAATGAGATTGCAGGTACCTATTTCATGGTTGGCAAACTTGAGTCCTTCGTAAAGGACCGCTTTGGGCTGTACTGGCTCGGATCTCCCCCAATCGACACAACGCAGCTAGGATCTGAGTTATTCAAGATGTTTGATAGAATGTCTAGCTTCTTCAGAGATGGAGTTGACCCATACCGCGTTTTCTTACGATACAACCCGTTTCCTGGCTCAATGGCGGGGACGGCCCTGGTGCGCTCATTCATGTTCAGCTACGACGACGACGATCGTAAGCATCCGCGGCCATTCAAAGATTACTTACTGTTCTTGAGCCACGAGTGCGTCCACAACTGGGTGCATTTGGATCCTGCTGGTGCCGACAATTGGTATGAGGAAGGTCTCGCCGAGTACTATTCTCTCCTCTTGTCCCGCCGTGCAGCTTTATTCTCAAACGATTTGTTCCGCGACGAGTTGAACAAGAGATTGACACAATATTACACAAACCCTCTCGTTAATAAGTCAAATGAAGAAGTTGCAAAATTGACCTGGGAGTTTTCGGATGCGCAAAGAATTCCCTACGGTCGGGGCCTTCTTTTTGCGCTCAAAGTTAACGCCATCATCGAAGCACAGGGCAAGCCCGGAGTCAGCACCTCGCTCGATGATGTTGTCTTGAGTTTAGTTGATCTGGAACGAGCCCAACAATTGAACGGGCTATCAGACTATCTGAAAGCAGTGGGAGACCGCATTGCTGGAGGCCAAGAAGAGGCCCAGAAGCTGTACGATGAAATGGCTTCCGGTGTCTTGGTAATTCCACCTGCAGACAGTCTGAAGTCGTATGGTTTGACGCTGAGACGCCGCGATGCTCTCGCTTGGGAGCTCGGCTTTGATGAGTCGAAGGCGATCAAGGGAGAGCGCATCGTTAGCAACGTTGTTCCAGGCAGTGCGGCGGCAAGTTGTGGTTTGCAAGAGGGCGATCGTATCGTGAACAAGATCCACCTCGACGACCAAAAGGCAGATGAGAACCGGGTTTTAGATCTAACTGTCCAGCGCGGTGACGGCGAAGTACTGTACTTTTCCTTCTTGCCACGTGGGCAGCAGACGGTTGAGCGATGGGTGTATGAGAGCAATGATTCTAAGGACACAAATAGCGGAAATAATGTTGAGATATAATGCCAGGCAAGTTTATGGACAGCTTGGTTGCAACTTGCAACTCAAATAAGCAGATGATTTGAAAATGAAACTCGAGATACCTAGCCGTGTTTGTTAATTTGCTGTTTTGATTGAGAATGCTAGTGGCGAGGGTGTTCAGGAACGCCGAATTTCTATGGATCATCAAAGAGCAGCCTGTTGGAAAACACCATTTTTATCCTACCTATATACTCATGCTTACGTAACTGTAGTAATATTTCATGACAATAAAAAGCTCGAATGGAATAAAATTTAAATTATTATTAATTTTCTTTCTCTTTCTTTTTCTCTTTCTGTTTTCTTACTTTTCTCTTTTCTTCTCTCTTTTTTCTCCCTTTTTTCTCTATTTTCCCCCCTCTCTTTTTTCTCTTTTTCTCCCTCTCTTTTGTTTTCTCTCTTTTTCTTTTTGCATTCTTTTTATAATCATGAGTACAGTCACTTTAGCTAGGTAGGTACTTACTGCGCAATTTGATGTTTTCCAATAGTTTGCCCTTTAGGCAACCGTAAATTTCGGGCTTGTACTTTGTATTAGAGTTTTCACCGATATGAATAGTTGCATATAAAGACTTGGAGCCATCTTAAAACAAAAGAAGCATGCATCAATATTGGTTCATGTAAAACAGGAACTCAATGTTAGTCTCGGTAATCCGTTGTACTCGACCTTCGGCAGTCCCTGTCCCTCAATCCCAACAGAAGACCCCGCCCTTCTAGGCTGTCGCTCCCTGGCGACAGGTCAACTTCAAGCACCTAAGGTTAGCCAGGTCCACAGACAACCTACTACACACCTCAAAGCTCGCCATTAATCCACCTGAAAACCATCTCCCGTGTTTCTCTGGGCTTATCTTTCGGGGCCAAGTGTCCCGCATCGTCGATCTCAAAGAAACTCAACTGCTCATGCTTCTTATGGAATCCCCAGGTCGACCGACTTTCAGCATGCTGGGGTTCTAGGAACATCTCCGCGTACGGCAGCGCCCGGAAAGCCGCCTGTCCATGCCACGCCAAACTATCGGCAAGATAGCGCGTCCCTGGAGCATTGCAGTACCAGTCCCTATTCCCCACATAGATCAGGGTGCGCAGTTGGTGTTTATCTAGGAGGTTGTTGAGCAGGAAATCGGAAGGGTAGCCAATCTCGCCATTGTTGCCAAAAGCTTGTTCAAGGTCATAATTGAGAGGGATGTACGAGGCAGCGTCATCCACGTGGAGTTGCCTGCGTACTTCGGTGGTGTTGAGCCACTCATGTAACGTCGAGGGCGGCATGCATAGTTCTCCTCCCTCGTCATCCTCATAGCAATGCTGACGAATATCATAAGGGCTGCGTCCGGTCCTGTCAATCATGCCAACAATATGCTTCCGGCAGAAACTGTTCGATGCTCCACAAACGACAGTGTCGCCATCGCTTTCTTTGCAAAGAATCGACAAATCCTCGCATCGCTGACTGTGCACAAGCATCTCATCGCAATCACTAGCGTTGAGAAACTTCTTGCCAGGTGCGCCAAACTCCTGCACACAGGCCAGTTCATAAAAGCCTCTGCGCTGCAGCACGTCATTGAAAAGGCCATTTCCAATGAGGATGCCCTGGAGATTGATCTTTACTTGGTCATGGTTTGAGATCTTCTGTCTGTCATAGATTCGGCTTGCCAGCGCTGGCACATAACCTAAAGAGTCAGAGTCAGTTCATGGACTGCTGTGCTTTGTGAGGCAGGGAAACGTACTGCCGCCATATGATTCACCGGCGATGTAGAATGGCTGTTTTGCATATTCAGGGAACCCATCCATGAAACCAACCAAAAAGTTCAACAGGTCCGTGGTTGAGTCTCTCAGAGTGCTCACTTGCTGGCCGGAGTACGAGTAACCCACATTGATCGGTTGACTGCATAGTGTCAGGTATTACCGAGATGCGTTGTCAAAGTCACCAGCACGGACGTTGAAAACTTACTCGATGAATATCATAGTAGCATTAGAGTGCCAGCTGTATTCATTGGCAATTGTTGTTCCATTCTCGGCGTATAGGCATGGGCCGAGTTCATCAAATAGCCTGAATGTTACACCTGATGCTCCTGGGCCTCTACGTCTGGAGTCAGAAAAGTAGCAATTAGGGGAAAATGCTATATGAAGCGGAACTTACCCAGTGAGCCAAAGGATGACTGGGTCGACTTGTGGGTTGTTCTCGCTAGGAAAGCCCCAAAAATACATGTGGCGATCATCTTCTGCAGAATAATGTCAGAGTCACACCCTTCTGCACGTGTCCTTGTTTGGATTTTCCAAGACCTCAAGAGAAGGGACGGGGAAGAGACGAACCTGTGTCCACGTACCCAGAGAATCCGGTTCGCCCGCTGCAAATGGACTCATCTGTAGGTTTAGATCGCACCCGCGCGGCCCTTCCCGGAAGCCGGTACAATGGCGACTGAGTAAAATACGCCTGAACCTCTCCCACCCAGGCGGCCAGCAAAAATGATATGGTCGCTAACCTAGAAAACACCATTTTTGTTTTACTCCCACTACTCTTGTTTGCACATTCCAGAGCCTGCCCCGCTCAATCCTGTGTCTATTGTTCGGGAAGTAGTTTTATTGTATTGCGACTTGGATGAAGTGTAACCCACGTCTCGACTCTCGCAATGATTGGCCAAAATAGGTGTATCGCTTTTCTGCAGAATATTACTATCTAAGGCTCAAGCACCCCCTGGTTAACCCAAGGTTGTCTGCCACGAATGTGGCACCTCGCTCTGCATTGCCCGATTGAGATAGATAAAGATATTCCCTAAGACGCCCAACCCTGCCCGTCCCCACATGGTGCAGTCGCAGCCAATCATATGTAGTCCCCATAGCTCAGGCCACGAGCACCAAGCAGCTTCAAAACGACAAAGGCATCACTGCTATGCTTGAATCAATTTTGTTTTAGAGCTTTAAATACGCCAAGCTATAGACTCCGAGTCTCAAGGACCGAAGATCACATGACTTGTGTCTCTTGCACGCAGGAGCAAGGCATCGCTCACTTATCGTTTTTTTTTTCCTCCTCGGGAGTTTTCCAACACTAATAAGAAAGTGACGCTTATGCGTCGTAGCCAGTCGTGGCGGCCTTGACTTTCCAAAGCTTCCAAGACAACATGGACCTATCTATCTTCTATCTCAGATCACGTGACGATCCGTTCTTTGAGAGAAGTCAATTTCTGCATTCGACAGATGCCGTTTCTTTGGAAACGGATATAATTGAATCATCAGCATGGAATCGCGATAATTATTTCCTGTAAGTACATTGTTCCAGAATCATTTACGACAAATATATCACGGCCTTGAGTGCTTTTTCTTTCTATACTTTCTTTTTTCTTTTTTAATTCTCAGTTCTTTTACTTTTTATTATCCTCTCTTTTATCTTTTTCTTCTTCCTTTTCTTCTTTTTTCTTTCCTTTGTTATTGGCATCTTAGCTAGCTACCGAAGAGCCTGCGACTCATTGGCAACTCTTCATGTATTAACAACAATAGTGACTCCCTCTTATACAATACTAATAAACATGTTCCAGGACAGCACAGGTTTCTATATCTTGCGTTTTTCTGTCATGTGTCTTCTACACCATTATCAAACAGCCTCGCTTGTCGAGCAGGGGCTTATCTGCTAGACACACCTGTCTTGGAGTGGTTCGTGCAGCGTATTGCTTAAAATGAAAACTGAGTTTCGTAGTTGACCATACATATAGGCAATCCAGACGGTTCTCTTCACAATACTCGCAGCGAGCCTCTCAGCATCCATCAGAGATAGTGCCAAGAGCAAGGTACCTCTGAGCTCCTTGATGCTTGCAACAGTCATATCTGCTGTTACTTTTGTCACATTATTCCACCCTTCTACGAGCACAGCCCGTGGACTCGCCCACTTTGCGTTTGCCAGTACATGGGCCCTGCTTGAATCCGATTCAACCGGATCCCTTTTCACATTGCCAAGATGCATCGCCATTCTCTACGGATGTTCGTTTGCAATTGACATGACATACCCTTTCACTCAACGGACCTTGGAGCTTCCCCTCGACCGTCTGCCCCTTTTTTCGTGGTTGTCATTCTCATGGATCGGCATCGTTATGACACAATTCTCAAAGGAGACTTTAAGCGAGAATACTCTCTGGGAGGTCGATGAGATGACATCTGTACAGCAATCTCTTCATCGTGTATTGAGTGCATGTCCAGAGTCGAATTGGACTGAGCGGAGGTTGATTCCCTTTCTGCTGTGCAGCTTCACTAAACCATTATTGACATCTGCCGCACTGGAACTAGTTACCACGACCGGCAAGCTCCTGCAACCGTGGCTTCTCAAGCAGTTTTTGAGTCATCCATCTTTTCGCGTCGTGGGGTACATGCTCTGTGCTAGAGTCATCACAGCACTTAGCAGTACACATAGCTTGTTCTTACTAAACTTAGTCGGAGTTCGAGTGAAATCCTCTTTCGCTGCCTTGATCTGCGAGAAGGTCTTGTCTACATCCGCCAATCCCAAATCGCCTACTTCTTCACCCACGAATTTGACCGAAGTGGATACAAACCGTATTGTGGAACTCATTACCATGATCCATGCGCTTTGGGCGTATCCATTACAAGCTTTGATATCGCTGAGCTGCATCACGTATCTGATCGGTTGGCAGGCCATCGTGTTCTCCTCCCTTGTAATGGTATGTGGATTGACTTCTCACGAAAGCCCAGCTGAGTTGTATTGTACTTACATCCTCCATCTAGCTTTTTGCATATCCTATTCTCCATATCCAGACGAGCCGAATGCACGTTGGCATGGGAAATTTCATGGCCGCCAAAGACAAGAGAATCAGCCTGACAGAAGAGATTCTTACGCAGATCAAACCAGTATACATGCTCTCGTGGCAGAAATATCTTGCTGATAAGCTTGAAGAAGCTCGTTCGCAGGAGCTCCACATCCTTGGTGGCCTAGCCGGCAATCAGGCCATGCTGATGGGGGTTCTCGGGGCAGTCCCTGAGCTAATGTCGTCGGTTGCGTTTCTCTCAGTCTTTCTGAAAAGCGGTCAACTCGATGCACAATCTATCTTTCCAACCTTGGGGTATTGGATTATTCTCAAGGCTGCCCTCCCCGGTATATCGTCAATGCTTCCGCAACTATTCACATGCATAGTATCATTTGACCGCATCCGGTCGTTCTTGGGTGTCATCTCCTCTGAGGACTGCCCAGATTCTACAGAGGTGCATCATGGGACCATCCGCGCAGATGACCTGTGTTTCGAGTTGGGTGGCCAGGGTCTACTGTCACATATCAATCTCGAGGTCAGATCGCCAGCACTTGTTACTGTGACGGGACCTGCTGGCTCTGGAAAGTCGCTCCTATGTCAAGGCCTGCTGGGTTTCATTGCGCCAGCGTCGGGGAAATTGACTTTGTCTGGACGACTTGCTTATGTTCCTCAAACCCCATGGTTGGTCCGCGGTAGCATTCGCGACAACATTATATTCGGAAGGCAATTTGAATCGGACTTCTACATGTCCGTGCTGCGGGCTTGCGCACTTGACATTGACATCTCCGAGATGCAAGGTGGCGATGACAAGCCCGTCGGCGGTTTGGGGGTGGCGCTGAGCGGGGGACAAATGAGCCGTATATCCATTGCTCGTGCACTTTATTCTCGAGCCGCCGTCTATATCTTTGACGATCCACTGGCAGCTCTCGATGCCAAGGTCAAGGCTCATATCCTAGAACACGTCTTTAGCCCTCAAGGAATGCTTGCCAATGCTCTCTGTGTAGTTGTCACGAACCACTCAAGTTTGGTGCGTGCCTCCCACTACCATTTCAACATTGAGGATGGCCGGTTTTGTGAGGTCAAGCCTGACCTCATCGATATTTCTCTTGACAACACAGCAACGAGGTCAGACATCAAAACGCACGACAGCATTGTTGCCGAACCGCTGGCAGCAGAGGATATAGATTCCGAAACCGTCATGCCAGAGGACAGAAACTCGATTCAGCAGGAGTATCCCCCCAAGGATAAAGGAAAAGTCTTGGAAGCCAATACTACTCTGACCGTATCCCAGTGGTCAATCTACCGAAGCTGGCTTGGAAAAGCACATCCAGCTGGCTGGTTTGCAGTCTTTGTCTTGATCGTTGCGGGGAAGATCAGCAGCGGATACTCAACCTACCTACTCAGCGTGCTAGCAGGTGACACGGGGAGTGCGGCATTGCATGACCTCGCATGGTTCACTGTCATTGGTTTGTTGCAGTCACTCTTTAGTGCTGCTTTCCTAATGGTGACATATCATCTATGCCTTATCCCGGCTGCGACGAAGATGCATGCCGCCCTCGCTTGCTCAGTGCTGAAAAAGCCATTGTCCTACTTTGCTACGAGGTCAATCGGCAGTGTTTTGAACCTTTTCACAAACGATATAGGTAAACTCGACGGGACCATCACCAGCAACTTCCTCGCCTTGCTGATGGTTGGATCAAATCTCGGTCTTGTTATTATTGTCTTACTTATACCCTCGCCGATTGCACTTGCTTATCTGATGCCGCTGGGCTTTGTCTATTTTGCGATACAGGCTAGGTACCTGCAAGTGGCCTGTCAAATTAGGCGTCTCGAGCTCGAAACGAGGATCCCCATAATAGACAGCATTCATATGTCGCAGTCCGGCCGCCAAAGCATACTGCTTTATGGGCAGCGCAACAGGTTTCTCGCCGACCACTATAGCACTATCAATAACAATGTTCGCATGATGGTAATATCCAGTGCGCTCGAAGGTTGGCTTCTTCTTCGACTAGACATCATCGGAAGGTAAGCTCTTCGAAAGCCCAAGACGAACAGACGTCAAAGTCTAACAGTCTAACGTGCATTCAGCCTGGTCCAGGTCCTGTCAGCACTTTCAATGCTATGGTTAGGGCTTGATTCGGCAAAACTTGGGTTTGTTATGAACTACTCTATGCAAGCTACGGCCATGTTTCAGGCTCTTGTTAAATACCGGACAAATCTTGAGCTCGACATTGTCTCGGTAGAACGTATTGAACGTCAATGGGAGCCCAACATCGACACCAAGTCTGATGATCTAGCAGCGGATCAGACTATCTATGACGCCTGGCCTAGGTACGGCGAAGTGTCTCTGAGAGGCTATTCTGCATCATATCCAAATATGGCGAAAGATTGCTTGACAGACGTATCTCTTGAAATCTCTCCTGGGCAAAAGGTCGCGATTGTTGGGAGAACAGGCTCTGGCAAATCCTCCCTAGTTCTGGGAGTCATGGGATTCCTCGAGCAGAAATCCGGTATGATACAGATTGACGGCGTTGATATCACGGCATTGGAATCTACGCAGCTTAGGTCAAGACTTTCTGTTGTGCCTCAGGATATCCCCGTCTTGAAGGGTACTTTGCGAGCCAACTTAGACCCATCTGGAACTAAGTCTGATGACGAGCTTCTGGAAGTAATTCAGGACTGTGGACTGCGAGTTGCATCATACAATGATGACGATATCTTGGATATTGCTATAGCGGAAGGAGGGTGAGTCTTCAAACACGCTTTGACAAATATTGCTCACTGACTTGTTCACAAAACTGCAGAACCAATCTATCGAGAGGTCAACTTCAGCTACTTGCCATTGCCCGCGCATTGTTAAAAAGCAGTAAAATTGTCATTCTAGACGAAGGTATACATTGGCGCAGCATATCCATATCACTGAGCTCGATTATCGTTAGCTAACCTTGTCACGTAACGTCACAGCCACCGCTTCTCTTGACAGCAAGGCAGAGAACTACGTCCATGACCTTTTCCAAAGCAAGCTTAAACACACTACAGTTATTGCGATTATCCACCGCTTGGAACGAATTGTGAGTTGTTTGAACGCTACATGATCTCGTTCGCCTCTGCTAACTTTACAGACTTCTTATGACCGCGTCATTGTACTTGATTCGGGGAGGGTGATTGAGTTCGGCTCGCCTTTAGCCCTGGCACAAACTCAAGATTCTGCGCTGTCCCATTTAATAAACGCCTCCTAGCTTGCAAATTTTGTGGCTTAGCTGGAAGAGACGTAGTGCATGACAGATACCTGTTGCACTGAGGCAGTTAGTGCTCATCGAGAATTACGTGCTCGGGAATACGGATGAAATGATCATATATTAAATAATCAGTGTTTTGCAACATGATTTCGTTTTGGTGTTTCTAAGTCATATTTCTAGTAGTGTTGAGACTTCTTAGTCACGCAAACGGGAAAAGAAATGCCTATTGATAAGAATGAGACAACCGCTCAAGAACTGAAAGTAAGGAATTATTACAACCGAACCTCCCTATCCATTCTCAGTCACTTAGGATAGCAGACGATGAATGAGTGTAAAATCAATACTATTGAACGTTGACCATATCTAAAAATGGAAAAGCTTCGCAGTCTGTCATCGCTGTCCTTCCCAAGTCGTCATTCCTCTGTACTCTCCCCAGCATGACGGCTTGGATTGTCAATCCGCCTGCCCCGATATCACAGAGCTCCTGTACCTCGAAATATGCTTCAAGGGCAGTATATACCAACTGGACCACACGGCCCTTGTGCCATTCTTCCATGACCTGACGGAGTACCCGCTTCACAAGATTGATGGGGAGTCTACCCTCTCTGGAACCACCACTATTCTCCATTTTGGATAGGTAGTTATAGATCCATTCAAGAACCTTGATGGAACACGACCTCATGGAGACCTGTATCAAGACCCACGCAACACCAAGCTCGTACATATTCTCCGTCAGGCACGAGTGTATATCAAGTCCTGCCGCGATGCGGAGACAAAGCATCACCCATGGATCCACACGGTTATTGGCCCAGTCATTCATGGTAGGAGTGCCAATGTTACAGCAGTACTGGATATTGTCTCGTGAGGCATAAAGCTGCGCGCAGCAGTAACGCAGGTAATTCATCGCGGCGTGATGAGACGAGAATACAAGGGGCCGCACTCGAAGTTCCGATGACTCCACGTTTGTGCACATCATGTCCTTGGACGAAAAGCTTTCCGCCGGTCGTTGACTCAGAGACAAGGACGACTCCCACTCATCCAAGAGCGACCTCTCGTGATCCATAATCGCATATAGGTCGAGAGATCCATTACCTGCAGCAAAACCACTTTTGGTCTTCCACCGGCCTATCTGCTTCATCAAAGAAACCCATGACCGGTACAGGGGGCTTGATGAATCGCAACCAACAGTCAGTTGTAGTAATAACAGGTCCGACGCTCTAGAGATGGTGCATAGACGAAGCATGATGAAAGCGTGGTCTGACGAAGTGAGAGCAATATTGCGCTCCAAATCAGCTCGAAATTGAGGTTCGCTGGCAAAAATAGACACGGCTTCACTCGTGCGAAAGGGCAGACAGTCGGTGACATGCTGTGCCTTCAAATCGGCCCATGCAATGACCAACTCCACTCCCAATGGAGACTTTATGATTGTCTCGTGATTAGAGATGACGGTGCGCTCAATCTGTTGCAAATGATAGTAGCTACCATTAAAGGTACCCGAACCAATCTCGAAATAGGTGCAGAGAATCACGACGACTAATTGCGCCGTCGTCTCCATGGCATTTTCGCCCTCTCGGGCTTGTAACCCCAAGCTTTCCAGCGCCTGGCTATAGTAAGCCAAACCATCGGCGTAGAATTCGGGGTGACTTTGGCGGGATTCAAGCTGGATCTTGTTGCCAAAAGTCTCGGATTGATTCATGTGCGCTGCGCCCAGAGCGAGGACAGCGTACTTGACGACTTCGTACTTTTCGATGAACGAGTCGATGCGCGAGAGTACGGGCGCCATGCGTGGCAGTAGATGAGTGCGCCAACGTCTCAAGATGATGGGCTGTCGTGAGGGATCGCACAATTCCACCGTCTCTGTCGGGCTCTGCGTTGAGATCCTTGGCGACAGGCTATAACCAATCTCAGCGGCGCGCCAGTCGCTCAGGATCTGTGTAAAGTTCAGCAGTGGTGGTGTCCACGCTATTGGGAATGGCCCGTATGGGTTCGGCGTGTTGGAGCTTGGATGATCCGACGCGTGTTCAATACTATGCGATATGGATGCTGAAGCGATCGCAGATGGTGATAGAGGACTTCCTGAATTGTTCTGATCAAGCAAACTTATCAGAGCGACTGGATCACCAATCTCGACCTGTCCAAGAAGGCTATTTTCTCGGACGCGTCGAGAGGCGGGGTTGTTTTTTTGAGCTCCCAGTGAAGATGCATTGCGAAGATCCGAACTGTTATCTCCCACCTCATGGTTGCTTGTTACAGGCGCCCTTTCGTTCTCAATGTCGACATACGACGCTTCATTTGATTCTTCCATCGCAGGTGAAGCAGCCGGTGGTGCATTTGGGCGTGGAGATGGTCCTTGGTTGCCCGCTGCTTCTGGGCCGTCTCTCGTGACATCATTAACAGGAGCAAATTCAATATTCACATGTCGCTGCGGCGTTCCAACGGGGTTCGCCTCGTGACGAGTAGCCACCTCATCATCGCGAAGTGTGGTTTCTGATGCAGACCCATCAACAGACTGCTTGATCTTTTCGACTCGTTCCTTGATGACGGCCGAATCATCGCGAAAGACAAACCTAGGACTAAAGTCACATTTCAACCCTCTTCGTGCACAGGCGTGACACGTCGGCTTATGTTCGTCACACTACTAGATTCACTCAGTGACCAGTCATCCAGGAAGTTAAAAGCAATATCAAGGCACCTCTCGCACCTTGAGCCGCCGCTGTCGGCAGGGATAGCAACCTGTCCTCGAACGAGTAATTACCCGTTTCCGCTGCCCAAAGCTTGGCATTTCGTGATTTCATGTGCGGCTTGCACATTTGGATGGTTAGAAAATTGTGTTCATGACTGGAAGTATGCAGCTTTCCCACTCGATTCCCATCAGGTTGAGCCTGGGACCTGACTAATCAAGCCCCGCAGAGATAACAAGAAACTGGTGGATTGTACAATGTACGCGATATACTAGCAGCGGAAAACAGAGCTGAAAACGTGCAAAGTTGGGACCCATGGCTCGTTCTCGAATACCAAATCTGGTAAGGTCAGTCTAACCACAGCGCTCATAGGCTAGTGCCAACACAAGCACAGCGCGTCCCCGTGCACCTTTGCAATATTCGTGCTTGCAAGTTGAGAAATTGAGCACATTACTGTTGTTTAATACATGAGCAATATTTATTGTCTATTGATTACATTAAGTATCATGATTGTCGTCGGTGAAATGCATCATGATCATGGAGCACACTGATAGTGATCCAAGCTGGATGTGGAGCACGTGTAGCCAGGCCAAGCAGCGTCCCAGGGCCCCTCGGCTGTCTCCGCGTTGTACCATTCTGGTTTCTCGTTCCACTTGAACAAATCTTCCATAGCCGATGCAACCTGTACCAGTTTCGCCTCACCGTACTGCCGACCATAGACACCCATGGCAAAGGGAGTTGAGAAGCCGTCCATGCCAATTGGCACCGACGCGATGGGGTAACCGGCGTAGGAAGGCATCGGGGCACATGCGGAACTATAGCCACCAGCCCGGCCATTCGGAACAAGCAGACCATCGAGCTCAATGATGGTACCATTGTCCAATACCCACGCGTGGGCTTGGTCAATGGCCTGGCGCGCTGTGAAACGCCCCCAGCCAAACGCCGTCCAAAATGTGCTGTCCATTGAACCGTTTGTCGCAACACCAGCATCATAGAAACTCTGGCCCGAGGTTGTATCCCACCACCAGGTGTTGTTCCCCAATGCGCCCGTGGTACTATTGTGAGCAATATTCCAAGCGGCCATTTCAGCAAGAGAGGTCATTCCCTGGCGCTCGTCGCCTTCTGGGAAGGTCCAGTTCTGCAGCCAATCGCCATAGCCGACGGCGAGGAGAGTGCTGAAAGCAATGCTGTGTGCGAATTCCGCGGGAACAGAACTGGCTTGCCCGGCTCCATAGGCACTCGCAAGGCCGCTAAATGGGCTGTTCTGTTTGGAAAAGTTAGTGTACCTTTCAGCGGTGGGGCAATTGAATCCAATACCGTAATGTTATAAATCTCGGCACCCGCCGCCTTGAGCTGTTCAATGCGCTGCTCATAAACCTGTCTGATGCCGGGGCTGTTCATGTGCTAAATATTCAATTCTGGTAAGCAGGTCGTCTTTCCAGAAGTCTCATCGTACTCACAGCATTTGTCGACCAGTAGGGATCCCAAGGGAGGCCTAGCTTCATTCCCTGCAGTGCTTTCTTCTCAACGACGTGTGCCGAATATCCATCATCCGGATAGTGTCCAATGGCTTGGTAAGTGAGGTTGTCATATGCATCTGGGCCATGCATGATATCGAGCATCATGGCCACATCCTCCATTGATCGAGCCAGTGGCCCAGGCGAGTCGTGGTAGTAGCTACCAGTCACAACACCATGACGTGACACGAGTCCGGGCGTCGACTTGATTGTGTACAGCCCGAGTTGCGCGGCAGGGTGAACGAGCGATCTTTCTACACAGTTAGCATAACGAATAAGTTCCCTGGTCATGAAATGTGTTCCTCACCCGTAGGTTTCTGTGCCGATGGCAATGGCAGCTTGATTGATACGAACAGCCACAACGGAGCCACTGGAGCTGCCTGCTGTCGGCTGCGTCAAATTGTATGGGTTTCTTGTCTGTCCTGTTCGGCTGGAATATCCACTCGCATAGTTACTCAATGCACGATGGTCTGCCGCCTCTGACATGGTAGTATGGCCCAGCAACACACCGCCGGCCGCACGAAGCTTCACTACCGCCGTGGCTTCGGAGGAATATCGACCACCAAGGAAGACAAGAGTACCTTCGCTAGTATTGTGCTTGTCGTTGGTGTAGTAATTATCCTTGACAAGAAACGGTATACCGTGTAGGGGCCCACGGATCTTGCCTTCAGTTCTCTCGGCATCCATAGCCTCGGCGATTGCAATGGCATCGGGATTCACTTCGCTGATGGAATGAGTATAACTAGAGTCACCGCGTTAGTTACTGGTTCGGTTTATCCACACAATAATCTCACTTATTAGTCTGCTCAATCCGAGCAAGATAGCACTCGACGAGATCGCGACTGTTCAGCTTGCCCTGGACCATGAATTGCTGCAGTCTGTCCACTGGTACATCCTCAATATCGACATTCTTGCATTTTGGAACTACAGATGCAAGATTAGTCAATGCACAAGTGCTGATCTGCCATTCTTCTTTCCAAGTCCTTACGAGGGAATTGAGTGCTACAGGTGGCAACGACAGCGCCGGCAAGGCCCAAAACGGCTATGCCAATCGAGGAAGGACGCATGTTGCTTGCCCGACAGTCGCCTACCACTACAGAAATGGCAGAAAAACGAGTTGAGGAAGAACCGGATTGCCCGGGATGAATTAAATCTATATCGACCATCAGACCATCGACGGCGAGCCCCGTTATCCGATATGACCGATGTATTATGGGGATCGTAATTTTAGTCCGGTCTCGGCAAGATATGATCGGAAGCGTCGCCGACGGGTCTCCGAGCGGGACGGAAAGCCAAGCACATTGCGGGTCAGCAGAGATTACTCTTTTTAGTAGCAATATTGCGGTAATAATTTCCCCCAATCTTTATAACCGACGCCTCCAGGCAATATTACCCAAAGTCAGGCTTTTTATCAACCGACCGCAATTCGTAGCGGCTCCGTGCCTGAAAGCCAAGTCAACTTAAGTAAGCTACACTCTTGCACAGGCTCCTAATACATCGACGGGGCCCCGTCGATGTGATGTAAGCGTTTTTTTTTTTTTTTTACAGCGCTTCATAGCGTTCTGCCACTTTTTACAGCGCCTTATAGCGTTTTGCCACTTTTTATAACGCTCTTATTAGGGCATGCTGCTATTATTATACGAAGAGGGCAAAAAGCATGCTCGCAATCGTTGGGAAACGATTACGAATAAGGACCTATATGCCTATAGGACTGGGACGGGATTAGTGCCATATAATATCTGCTATAATAATTTGCTATTGCGGCGTTTCGCTATAAAATAATATAGTGCTGCATAAAATAGCAAAATGCTATATAAAATAGCAAAGCGTTATATGGCGTTATAAAAAATGGCAGAACGCTGTAAAGCGCTGTAAAAAAAACGCTTACATAATATCGACGGGGCCCCGTCGATATATTGGGCGCCTCTTGCACAAGACAGCGCATTAATGGGCAATATAATTCGTAAAATGTTTCGAAATCTTCCCTTGGCCACACAATCGCTGCTATACTCATCGAGGCCTACCATGTGCTTCTGATGCATTATTCTCGCCCGTCTGAAATGAAGGAGATGGACTATGAGTCTGGTTCTATTATGTGCGTATAACGCTATGGCAATTGTTGCTAGGGCGAAGGGATGGAGCTGCGCTCAGGTCAATCATGCTCGAGTATATAAGCAGACATACCAAAAGCTGCCAGCTCGCTAGGCCCAACAGGCGAAAGTGGTCTCGCGAACTCTGTGAAAGAAACCGGTACTACTGTTCAGGATGACCCACTATAGCCCTGGGACTAATACCTAGGACTAATACTGTTCTACACGGAACCACTACTAAAGGTCGCCAATAACCTATAGATCCACTTTGCCTTACAACACTAACTTTCGGTTAGAATTATTCAGTAGGTTCTCAGGCATTTTCAACCCTATGTAAGTTAGTCGGTTCGGAAATAGAAACATGGTTGCCTTAACAGAAGACCTGATTAAGTCAGCCTAACTTTCGCCAAGCCTTCACAAGTGGTAAGTGGATCACAGCCAGCTCCCGCGGGTCATGGTTCGTTCATTGCATCCGCATGGCATCTACGAAGTACACGCACGTTCTATCGTACAGGTGCGTTTCACCTCGACTACACGTAGGACCGCATTGTTATAGACCGAACATCCGCTGCCGTATCCAGCCACGTTACTGCCAGAGCCAGTGTGTAGTTCACCTTTGTCATTAGAGAGCCAGGATGGAGATTCTCGTTGTCACTGTTACCTTCAGGGTGTTTGCGCTCTTTTGAACCCCTTGCCTACGTTTTACATGCATGTCAGAAACCATGTTGGCAAATCTTTCTGTGCTGAAGAACCGAGTAGTGTGGAGGGAAAACTCACGCAAGTCTCGCAAAAACCCCATGGCGATAGGCGCAGCCGCGAAGATCGCAAGAACCTGGCCCAGCGTCCAACCCTGCGTGAACCAGTCTTGGCCCAGGTCCAACAGGATCTCGGTGCGGAATTTCGTATACAGGACGAGAAGAGCCCAAGTGGCGGCCCCAAAGACGAGCACGTCCACAACTGCCATGATAAACACGACCCGGCGCCGCCGCGGGTCGTTCTGGATGAGCCGGTGGCGCTCGCGTATGCGCTGCAGCCGGCCGGCGGGGGGTCGCCTGCCCTGGTTATTCGGCCGTGGTATCGGGTGGGACTTGTCGAGCCGCTTGAAAACACAACGCATAACCAGCCAGCCCACCACGACGCGAACGACGATATATGCGACGATGCAACCCGTGACGATCGCGATATTCTTGCCGTCAGGCGTGTAGTGGAACTGGCAGACGGTGTCCGAGTACGTTTCGAAGCTAAACGTGGGCGAGCCCAGCGTGTTGAGCGCGGTCAAAAAGCCCAGGCCGACGGTGAGCCCAAAGCTGAGGAAGATCAGAATGTCGCGGATCGTGCTTGCGCGGGAGCGGAGAAGGTCGGGGTCTCGGTCACCCTTTGGCTTGCGCTCTTCTGCCATCCGCGTGATGCGGTGCGTGCACGCGCCGGTGCGCCAGGCCAGGATGGACGAGCTCAGGGACAGCGACGCCACCCACGCGGCGAGCAGCAGGTCCTTCTTGTAGAAATGTGCCCGTGACATGATGCCTGGGATGTAATACACCGCAAGGGCAACGGGTAGTGCCAGGTTAACGACAATGATGGTATCGGCAAACCCATCAAAGGACTTCATGATGGCGCGATAGAAAATGTGCCACCGTGAGCCGGGTGGCCTGCTAAGCTTGGAGGGCGGCAGGTTGTATTGTTGTTCCTCGTGGATGTGATACCCTAGCCCGACGGCCTTGACCGCCACAATGAGAGCATAGAATGACAAGACGGCTGTTTGGAACCACGAGAACAGGAAGATCTATTGCCAGTGGCTGCGGTCAGTAAAGCATGATGATAACCACGGCCGACTGACCCAAAAACACTCACTCCAGGGCCATTGATATCCGAAAGTTGATCAGGGGAGAAGCCGACTTGACAGATTTCGCTTCTGCACTCGTGAGCCGGTTGATCGATGACGCTGGAAAAATAGACAAAGTCGGGATGCGTGGAAGGGTTGGTTTCGTTATATGCGGACACAGTGGCGTTGTAGTTGAGGCGCAGCCGGTATTCCCACTCCAGGATATCGGGGAAGCTGGCTACAGCTTGTAGATCGACGGGGAGCGCGTTTCGAAAATAGGCCGCAGTGGTGTTCTCATCTAGAGTTGCAGGAACCCAGAATGTCGCATTGGTGATCTCGGGGATGTCCACTTGGACCAGAGAGGCAGCTTCGACATTAAACCATGATGTAAAGAAGTCGCCAACGAGCGAGCAGTCTGACGAGAAGTTGAGAGTATCAAGCGCTGGGGTTGTCCAGTTCTCGAACTGGATCACAGTGTTCGCCATTGCAGATACGGTGCTGTGATTTCTGGGTCGACAAGTTCGTTGTTATCGTCAGGCAAACACCAGTTTTCATCTTGGGCGCCTCCCAACTATATATATGTATGTATGTATGTGTGTGTTTGTCAGGCGGTGGACAGAAGAAGTGCCCACCCTGGAAACTTCTCAAGAGCGGGCTTCGAAAGTCTTCGCGTATAATGATCTCCTTCTCAAGGCTGCTTGCAATTTGGACGACTTGAGACCCCAGGATTACAGGATCCTTACCAACTTTTCCCCCGGTCATTTGGCTGAAGATGGCGAAAGTGCTGTGAGGCGACTATGGTCTGGGGCCCCGTTGGCATTACACATCAGGCTCATAAGGCTCTGGTTTGAGTTCATCTGCCGGGGTATGCGCCAGTCACATTCAGCTTGACAGCCTGCCTAGTAGTGCCTACAAGCCTGACGATAAGAACCTGAATATACGCAATGTGCAGAAAAGCACTGCATTAGGTTGCGGCTCAGCACGCTACGAGCCAGGGACTTGGATGGGGAATGGCTCGAATCCTGCATACTGGGAAATCCAATATTAACCTGCTTACCTAATTTGGCTCTCGTAGAAGCAACCACTTCCACTTCGAGACACATATCCGCGCAGCTGAAAACATATACCATGCTAATAGGACTGATACCCGGTCCTGCTGACGGTGACTAATCGCACAGTCGTGGCTCTGCATCAGTGTCTGCACCCCTTTTCCGGCACCTGAGAGCCCAGACCGCCAGCATAATCTGATCGGCAATGCCCCTACCGCAAATGTCAGCCTTCCGTCTTTTGCCAAGAGCCAGGGGCCGCAGCCTGCAGCGACACGACTTCGAAATGATGGCACCTACGTATCTGAATTTTCTACATATCCCAGTTACGTTGAAAAGTGTCATGTCATGGCTTTGCCATCAATAGGTAGCTAGGGACGTGCCTTCAGCGAGAGCCACCGAAGGTGATGCATTCTCATGTCATACACTAAGCACGAGGGCATAATGATAGTGATTGATGGGGAGTATGGGGAGTATGAGCTACGCCATAATTGCCCTGCTCCGCCTTGGAAATCGGAGATGTACTCCATACATGCAAAGGAAACAAGTCTACACATCACACCGTGGTTTCTACAGATCCCTTTTGATCACACTAGACACTAGCGGCCTATTCACGATCGATCCCGGGGGGGCAGGGGTGTTAGGGACGGACACAAGATTTTGGTGCGGCCGTACAGGGGTCTGATACTTTGGCTTTGCATGACTAGCTATTGCTCGAGATATGTCAGCTTGATTGGATGGAATGAAAGCATGGCTTCCCTGTCCACGACACAGCCGCTCCTGGCGTCCGAGCTAAAAGTAGAGCCTCCTTTGCTAGGAACGGATATATGAACGACTGGGGGAAACTGTTGCAACCATACAAACTCATTTAACGGGCGAATTTGTGCTCGTACACTTGAGACTTCACCAACCATCGAACTTTACGGGTCTTTTTTGTCTGCCTACAAGATGGCTAATACGACTTGCATCAGTGCCTCTGTTTGCGTTCCTACGGCAGCTGTCTCGGCACCAATGGGACAGGTTTTTGCCTCACCGGAGGACCTAGTCCCCACTGCACCCTGGCGCTCCTCGCTCTCGGTATTTTATAGCTGTATATCGATCCTCATTCTCTGTCCCTGGACGGGCCTAAATCTCAACCTACCGGCGGAAAGTGATTCCACATGGTCCAAATTGGTTCGCAAGGCCAAATGGTGCTTGATCACCATCTGTGTCCCTGAGTATGCAGCAGCCACAGCGTTGGCCGAGTTGCGTGCTGCTCTAGCATCGCAACAACTTTTCAGAAACGAATTACACGTTAATCATTGGACGCTGGCCCACGCCTTCTTTGCCAATGCCGGTGGCTTCGTTCTCGAGTATGAGCCGACACTCCCACAGCTGCTCAAAAATAAGACGACTACAACGACAAAGCATATTGTGGATAGTGCAAAGACTGCATTAGGGCTCCCACTACTGGCGGAATCTTCGGATGATATCGAGCCCGCGCCAGGCGCACAGCTACAGCGCATTGCGCTTACCTGCGATGGGCTGGCCATTTTAATGCGGTTGGGCTTTATCACCCCGTCATCAGCCATACTGGATATTTCAGTCCAGGAGCTTGACGACAAGAGCAAGACGGACGGATTTGCCAAATTCATTGCCGTGGTTCAGACCACGAACTTTGTCATACACCTCGTGGCGCGAATGGCCGAGCGCCCTTGGCGAGTTGGGACGCCTCCGGAATATGTGACGTGTATAATGGTCTTATACTCGATAGCAATATTGGCTTTCTACTGGCGCAAGCCCCAAGGAATCAACCTTCCTATCGTCATTAAATGCGGCCGACTTTCATCTCGCAAGCTCGAGCGCAAGATGTTGGCCAAGCTACGCAAGGCGCTTAAGGTCTATCACTACTCGGTCAACGAAGACTGCTCAAACGTGCCGCGCATCCCTTATGGCCGCATTCAACTACAATCTTCGCTCCGAAAGCTCCCATTGACAGAATTAGCGCTATTGTTGCTCACCTCCAGCACAAATGTATTAACGACCATATTCGTCTCGGGTGTCTTGGGTCAACCTTGGAAAAAAATCTGGTCCTTCGCTGGATTGATAATGAGTATTCTGTGGATCTTCATATGCATGCCGCGCATTGTGGGATACTGGCTCCCTGAAGCCGTATCGTTTCGTCGGACACTGCATGTAGTCGGATTCTTAGCGATGCTCTTCTACTTTCTCTGTCGGCTGACTTGGTATATTGTCGCATTCTATACTGTCTTTGCAGCACAGCTCCCGGCGGGTGCTTATATGACGGTCGAGTGGTTGAGTTTCATTCCAGAGTTCTAAGAAGGGACCTTGACGGCGGAGTATGCTCACCCGCGCCAGGGAAGGGGGCGATACGGAATAGAGAGACACTTCTGCTGTGACACAGAGCACTGTACCTCGATATAGAGAGGATGAATCGGTGATGTGCTTGAAGTTGAGTAGTTTCCTCACGTTTAGAAGCCCCCGACATCATCCTGTGCGTATATAATTACTGTGAAATGGAATGCCCCATATTCACTCCAGTGTAGTAGTAACCCTAATATTAGAAATAGTAACAATAGCTATCATACTTGCTTGTCCAGTCCGCAAATGCTGTGGTGGGGTCCTGATCAATGAACCCCTTAGCTCGTGGAGTTGCTAGATCAAAACAGTGATCTGCGGTAGTTCAGTTGCGTTTTTCTTCACTTTTCATGCATTTTCAATTCATTTAATAATATATCTCAACTGGTACTCGAAACATACAATTCTACACTTAGATGCGACCGCACAGGATGCAACCCTGAAGTGATCAGGCTACTGGCCTGATCACGCAATAACCTAAAGATGTTGGTTGTTTGGTTGAGGTTTCCCACCAGATCCATGCTCCAGCCTAATGCTATATTATACTGCATGCTTAAAAAGCGTTCTTGAAGTCGAATTAAATAAAGACTGCCTCACCCTCCCAGAGACCGTGACCGGTAGAACAGCAGCTATGACTTATTGCCAACTATCTTCGCGCCAGAAACACCCCCTTACTTTTTGACTTTCTTTTACGTCGACGTCAGCCTCCTCCGACAGTCAAGACACGGCGGCCCGGTATACACAATTTAAAAGGTTTCTAAGCCTGGATGCTCCTTTTTAAACGCAATTCCCGCAAACATATTACGACCAAGGCTATACGCTAAGCGTAAAAGGCGGATTAAATTCCAAAAAAAAAAAAGAAGAAAAAAAGAGATTTATTACGCTCGGAGTGTCACGACAGTCGGATCAATACATGATTAGGTACGATATAGTATTGTATAGGTAGGGGTAGATAAAGTACAAAGCTGAGACTTGAATCAAATTTCACCAAATGACGCGCTATCGGCGCTCCTTTGGCGGACCGTCATAGAAGTGCAGAATCCGATCGATTCGCTGCCCGAGGGTGACGACCCGCAATCTGTCTTCAATATTGCCATTGACGCCCGGATGCGTATCAATCCACCCGTTCACCCGCAGACACTGGGCTGCTTTCTTGCCTATGTGTCTGTGAAGTTGCCCATCCGCACCATGCTGTCTAAATGGAGCTTGGCCGGTATTGCGTTGCGAATTCGACAAGCTGTGCTACGTGCTGGACCGGGATACACTGAGGATGTCGGGGCATTCATTGATCACCACGTGACCTACGTCGACCGCCTAGTCCCCACGGCGTTCTTGAATGTCCCCGATTTCAATTTTGTGCAATCCTCATGGGTCGGCTTTGCGTTGTATAGCCTCGACTGGGGCCATCTTGGCAAGATCCAAGCTGTGCGCTCGCCTAGCTTGGGCGTCATTAATGGCTTACAGGTGATCTTGCCAGTACTTCCGGATGGTGGAATAGAAGTTTTGATTGGCGTCGAGGAAAGCTGTCTTGACAGGTTTCTGCGTGAACCATTGTGGAACAAGTTTGCATCATTTGCACTTGCATCTGCTGTTATCCAAGGTGCCGCCAAAAGACCACTACCTCTGGTATCTCTCCAATAGAAGCCTCAATCATGAACATTCCTTGAAAGGCGAATCGGCTTCATTGAAGGGGAAAGGAAAAAAAGAACTTCGGTTGACGTTCTAGACCATGAATCTGTACTGTGTATCTTAATAGCTGGTCGTATAGCTCTTCCTTTTAGACCCAAAGGGGCCGGTGAGTTTCCAATGATGAAGGAATATACGTTAGGCAAAGGATATCCACATTTGATTCTCTTGCATTGCCTTGTGGATGAACCAAGGGCTTTGTTCTGTGACTGGCTGCTTCCATACCAGATTCAGTAGCTTTTTCGTTGCTCGAATATTACCCAAGCCAATGGACTTGAACATGGTAGTCAGACGACCACATAGTTCTGCACGCTGCTCTTGGTCCGTGATGCAGCATCCGATGACGGCAATGGCCCAGCAGAGACTGGTATTTATGCGTGCCATTGGACCCAGTTGACGCAGCAGAGTGAATGCTTGCGTCAGGGAGTTTTCGGTCTGCTGAGAATAAAGCATGGCACCATCGTCTTGTTGATATCCTTTCAAACAAGTGAGGAGATAGAGATGGACGGCTTGCTGGTATATCAAGGAGCAAATGACCACGTCCTGGTCAACCACTGTAGTCGGACAAAAAGCAAGAATTTGGCTTTCAAGGGATGAATATGTTGCGAAATCATCGAACTGCGGAAATGAGGGGTTGACTGTTTTTGATAAAGCCCTTCCAGCAAAACTGGCTATCTCTGGTATAAGGAGTAGCAGTGGCAACCAAGTCCCACATAATTGCCCGACATACCCTGAGGTGGCCAGTCTTTGCGCCTCGGCCACCACACCAGGGTCGAGTAAAGGTTTGGTACAGACTGTGGCGTCAATCGATATCATGCTGATCAGTCCAGTATATACGTAATACTCGGTAATAAAGTTCTTCATGGCGCGAGGGATATGATTGTCCGTATGAATTATCAGCTGTGCTACCAATGGTCCAGAGGCACTTAGATGATCAAAGATTGCGCCATGTACGTCTCCTCTGGCTGTCTAGGTACGAAAACCCTGTTAGCAGCATCACAACAAAGGCGTCTTTCCACTTACCTCGGTAAAGCACATTATTAAAGCTCCGAGTGTGACCCATAACAAACTGCCTTCACATCCACTTAGATAATCTTCAATGGCGGACTGGAAATAGCGAAGAGCACTAGCATAATCCTGCCGGACGGCCTCCAAGGTATCACCTCTGGCTATGGCTTGATGCGTAGCAGTTTGTGTGAGGACCAGTTGAAGGATAAGCTTGTTCACAAACATGAGTGGGACCATTTGTGTAATGAAAGGGTTGTCGGTCGTCGAGCCATTGCCCATACTCAGCGCTGTCCGCGAGGTATAGTAGCTCAAAAGCTGGAAAGAACGTGTTTGGAGTCCGGGAAAGCAAGAGGGAGATGACGGAATCGAATGCATCTCCAGCATTGGCATTAGCTCAAGAGCCCTTAGATGCCCATAGTGTGATTCAGGAAGGGGGGAGCCGAGAATTGTATCACTCGGCAATGCCTCCGGGCCGGAATGGCTGCCACTCTCTGAGTCCGCTTGGACATCAATACCAAGCTGGGACGGCAGAAATTCTAGTGGTTCATTAGAATCAGGTTCAACTGACTCCAATCGTGTCTGATGAGGCTGTCTTGTTGGTGTTTCAGCTTGTACATTGCAGACGTCAACAGAATCATGTAATGATACTTCTTCCGGGGTGTGGCTTTGTACCGGGACATCCTTATTCAGAGAACCTTCCCGGTTATTAGGAGAACCAGAGAAGGAAATGTTTGTGGCTTGTGATGAGGATTGCTCCGCACTATCCATGAGAGTCCGATTTCCCTGGACACTCTTGTCCGAGTCTCTTCGTGTATGGATTTCAACAGGCCAGCGGCACGTGAGCTGATTGCGGGAACATCCCGTGCACATGGGTTTGATCTCATCGCACTTTTTCTTTCGACCCCGACAAGTTAAGCAGCCGGTTCTTGTTCGAAATATAGGAGCACGTCTGCGAGAGCAACCCTGACGTCGCGAAGATTGGCGACTACTGGAGGTTGCCATGGCGACTTTCTCAAAAAGCTGGCGACCCGTCGACCCGCCCGGTAGAGAGGCCGCAGGTTCTTGATGCTTTAGGTGGGCCGCATGCGTGAGCCGCGACGACCACTGCCATCAACAGCCCCACAGGCAGAAAGCTATCACCGTACCCGTTTGAACGACTGACAGATTCGTTGGACCAATCTCGGATTGCTCTTGGTCCAGATTCTGGCAATGGCGATTGGGCGGAAGCAGGTGTCGATAGATCTCGTCATAGGTCAACCCCAGATTACGCATTGTGATCGGGACCGCGGGGATGAACTTGAGCTCGCTAAAAATGATCAACCTGGTCTCGATAGTACAAGGATCGTTGTAGACCAGTGAACCCTAAATCGAGACAGCCGCCGACATTCTTCAAAACTGGCACTGATGATGTTTCTATTATTTCCCATCAAAATTCAACATACTACCTTCCATCGCCACTCCTTGTTTTCAACTTTGGTAAGATATGGGGTCTCATGAGATGGCTCCCCAGCGCGGAAAGTGATATGATTGGCTGTTGGCTATGCCGACAAGGAAGATAGCTGATGTGGAGACCGTTAATCATACCCATGAATAAGCGCGAGCCATGCAGGTATGTTCTGAGTCGTAACAAAAAACCACGCACGCCATGGCCATTAAGTGCGCTTGTAATAGAGTGCGTCCAGTACAATAGAAGAAATACAGGAATCATGAGCGGGGAGAATCATCCGAACAAGAGGGACTTCTTCGTTATCCCTTGCATCGATGCATATTTGTCACCAGTAGGCAGTATACCTGCGAAACGAGTAAAGGAATGTAGGGCTAGGGACAGCCTAGGCCGTTGAGAGTGCTGAAAGAATTCACTAATGACACCTTGGCAGAACATCTTTCACCCTGAAACTAGCCTTGAACCTTTCTAATTTCAAATACTCGAGGCACTATTCTAGGGAAACTTTTGAGACTGTGTCTATAATGACTCTTCGGCTACCATCCCTTCCAAGGCAGCCAGGTGTCAACCACAACGTCCCTCTCATCCGCCACGTAAAATACAAAAAATGCAGCTGCCGTAATGCAACAATGATTGCAGTAGAGATACACCCTGTCTCCAACCTTGAAGTTGTCAATCACTTTGGCTTCTCCTTCAGTCGTACCTAGAATGCCGTGCTCCTGCGATAGCCTGATTGGGCTCCAATCCGGCTTGCCGACCACGCGTCCATATCCAGAGTAGTCGCTCGTTTCCCGCGACAGTGCAATGGCGCCCGCATTGACGAGGGCCTCGTTGCGCTCGGGATATACGCCACACACTTCAGTGGCGACGCGAATAGCTTGGTCTGATTCGCACACAAGATTCGTAGATACCTGCTGAAGGTCGTTGCAGGGGAAATTGCCTGTCGCCAGTAAGTTTTAGCAGATGATATTTTCATGCCGGAACCAACGACCAATCATTTCAAGGCTTCTTACCTGCATGCAGTTCCAACTTGATGTTCGATGGGACTTTATGCTTGAAGGCACTGACAACATGGGCTGTAGGTGTTGCACCAATCGATACAACCAAATCCCTACTCTCGGAAAGCAGGGAAGCTGCGTGTAGTACACTCGTGATTTCGACATTCAGGGTCTCTTCAGCAGCTTCCCTAGAACGACCGCCGTAAGAATGTCCGGCGTGGCAGTAAAACCCGTAAATGTTTGCGGCAATGGACTTTTCAGCACGCTCCACAAGGCTACGGAGGGCCGGGCTTTCAGTGGCCACTCCAGCTCTATGGGATCCAACATCCAGCTTGACAAAGATATCCCATGGTTTTGATGCACTGTAAGCTTCCAAGACGTCTATTTGTTGCTCATTGTCGACCATTAAGGTAATTCTCAATGATTGTCTCAAAGCATCAAGCTGGGGCAAGTAGCCAGGGCATACGGGTATTCCATACAGACAATAAAGGGGTTGTTAGCCATTACTCTATTTGATCGCTCTGTTTCTGTTCTTGTTTTTTCTCATGATTCGGGAAAACCACAAACCTCGTCCAATTGTCCCTCTTTTACTAATGGCAGGAGACCTCGTATCTCTGCCAATGTTGATGCGACAACGCTGCGGTACTTGCCATTACCGAGCATCATCCGGGTGATTTCCAAGGTCTGATAGCAAAGTGTGAATCAGCTATCAAGCTCTTGCTTTCGCCGCAACCCTGGTTAGGCTTTTGTTGGCAAAGACACATACTTTGAGAGTCTTGACATGCGGACGAAAGTCAATTCCGAGATCTTCGACATCTTTATGAAGCGCAGCGATATTTTTCTTGACAATGGGAAGCGAAACAATGAGAGACGGAGTCGGCAACTCTGCAATGGGTCGGCCGATGTAGTCCTTGTGATGCTCGAGTGAGAAATCCATGATAAAGACCCAACGCAAGATGTTCTGTCTGGCAACGATGGTAAGTTTGCACTCGGTGTCAATTGAATGGTCAATAATCTTGCATTCGGTGAATCCAAACGACACACCGATACCGGTAGGTGGGGTTCGGCTCTGCTCCGTGCCACCGATGGCGCCCCCCACCCCGCCTGGCACTAAGGGCGGAGGCGCTGCGCGGTTCGCCGCCTAGGAAACCCCCAATGACATGAATCGTATATCGTGAGTGGGACCATCCCAATCAGACCAAGCTGCAATCGCTAGAATCACGGGCTATTAGTAAAACAAGCCACAAGAGATTTCCTTTGATTGATCATTCTTTATGCCGCCTTCCCTCCCTCAGGATCAGCGTATAGTCCCGTGTGTCTAGTCCCACGTATATCGTGAGGTTTCGCTTGGTGGTTCCTACACTTTATCGTATGACCTTGGCAAATCCAACTGCGCGCTCCTGGTTATAATAAGCATTTGCCGAGGTGCATAGGTACGACCAGATTTGGCGACTGGCATAGTGGTGGAACCGCGTAAACCACGCAAACACCTAGCAAACCCGCCACTTGGTCTGTACCCATGCGATATTGACTTTACTAGGTGCGATAAGGCTATAAGAACGTACACAGTATTGCGCAACTAGTATTGCTACATTCGTCTGTAAGGAGAAGAACTTGTTTTATCCATGAGTTTCTTGGTATGATGGTTATTTCCGGGAGTATGAACAGACTGGGGATGACCCCAGGAGAAGCTCGTTGAGCTTGATGATGGATGTCACGTGGGAGTACTTTCAATACCATTTTCTGAGCATTTCTATTGCAGATGAAAATTATACCCGCTTCTCTTCGTTGGAGAGCTGAGCCTAGGTGTTGTTTTTCTTATTCTTCTTTTTTTCCCATACTAGAAATACGCCGGATTTTCCTTGGCCATTTGCTTGACTGATACACCAAATCGCACTAATGATTATGACGCCATTATGACTTATACTTATATCTTATTCTACTACTCCAAATTCTTTATTCTATTCCCATTTCGTTTTGCATCAGGCATCTTTATACGTGTTCGATATACCTAACAAACTCCCTGTTACACCGAGTCAGCAATCATTATTCAATATGAAATCTCACAACGTGCCAAGCGACTCACCAATCGGTCACAGCTTCTCGCCAAGCTCTCAATTCGTGTTCTCTGGTAATCGCATAATAGTCAACGAACTCGTTGCCCATAATCTCTCGGGCGACACTGTTTGGTGCTTGGAAACGCGCAAGAGCCAATTCGAGAGTATTGGGCAACTTGTCGGGTTTTTGTCCCCCGGGCATTTGGGAGAGTGGGGGCAAATAAATGTTCATTTCGCGTTCAATTCCACGAAGTCCAGCCCGTAAGATGGCACTCAAGGCGTAGTGTGGGTGAAGATCGGCGCCCGGGATGCGAATCTCAAAGCGGGTTGCGCCGGGTTTGCACGTTGGCGGCGCAATCACTCGAATGCTGGATTCACGATCCTCCAATCCCCAGCTCAATGTGATAGGTGCCCAGAAATTCTCCACGAGACGCTTATATGAGTTGACATTTGGCGCCACCATGGGCATGATGTCGGGGAGGGCATCGATCAAACCTGCGAGGAACTGCCGACCAATATCAGACAGATGAGCCACATCATCAAACGGTGCGCTTTCATCCTTGTCCTTGCGAGCGAACAGGTTTGTGCCATCGAGATCAGTGAGTGAGATGTGAATGTGTCCAGAACTACCGGGCATGCCATGCAGGGGTTTAGCCATGAAACAAGGCGTGACGTTGTACTGTACGCCTAGAGCTTTGGTGAGAAACCTATATTCAATTAGCTACAAGCGGTGCGACACTTTTGGATTAATTGCCATAATTTACTTGAAGATGGAGACATTGTCAGCCATTCTCTCTGATGACGATACCGCCAGAGCGGCTTCATAGACACCAGGTCCACTCTCAGTGTGCCAACCTTCAATGGGGCAACCGAGCTCCTTCGCAACGTCGTATATGCTGTGGAAGTAATCCTTGGTCATCAGCGGGCGGGACACACTGTAACCAAACATGCCTCCAGTGATTGGGCGTAGAGCTCGAGGTGCGTTGGCGTCGAGGAATGAGGCGAGGTTGGGTCGCTGCCCTAAAGATTCGTATCCATCCTGGCCTGGGGTCTGGAAGTTCATGAACTCCAGCTCGACTTGTGGGTATGTCAGTGATAAAAGTGCTCCGAGCTGACTATGCAGGGCTCACTTACCTCCAGCGAGTCCTCGCATGCCCTTATTTGCCAAGGTCAGTGTAGTCGAGCGAGCGATGCTACGACCATCGGCAAAAACTGGCACATTATCGATTTTGAACCTCAATAAGAAGAATGGGATATTGCTCTCAAACGGTAACCGCCTATATGAGCTCAGATCGATCTCGGCTATGAAGTCTCCATGGCCCCCCTTTTCGTTGGCAATTGAATTCTTCTGCGTATACAATACATCATGCATATCCCATGCGAAGATTGCAGAGCTCATTCCAAAACCATCTTCAAGACTGGACAGAAACTTCTCCTTGGACATGATCTTGCCACGAATTACTCCGTCGCAATCTATGCCACCGACCTTGACCTTGTCGTCCTGATCAAGTTGCTGAGCTATGTTGGTGATAGTGACTTGCTCACTATCAACGGCGCGATGCTCTGTGGACTGCATTGTAAAGATCATTTCCAGCTGTTGTGAATCACTGCACACAAATGCGTTGAGAATATTTGCTTCGACAGAAGGTCTTGAAAAGCCCCGGGGCATGTGAATTCAATGTCAAATTGTGCTGGATCCTCAAAGAAGTCTTGGCGTGGGATGAGATAGAGATCTAGACAAGTGCATAATCAAGTCACATTCAGTATCTGCAGTGCGAGAGTTGTGCCTTGAACCCGACAGCGTTACCCGCGTCGCATGAGGAAGAGCGCGGTAGCGTACCGCCCAAACCCCGTAGTCGCGGCTATAGTGCCTTGGTCCACTTGTACCGCGCTCCCGGATAGATGAGTCTGGGGCTGTGACGCACCTAGGACCAAGGGCATCCTGACTAACTATTCTGCTACGCAGTCATTGATTCAATTCCAAAGGCCGATCGTAGCAGAGACTTGACTGAATAGGCCCGAGACGGCCACACTGTTGTGGAAAGCTACTTTGGTCGAGCCAAACGATACGTAGAGATGGTACGGGCTGACCCAAAGCCATTAAGCCTGTAGTTTACAGTATATTTATGCACAACACATCTACAACAAAATTCATATGATATTTCCTGCCTTGATGTCCTGTATTGATATTCATGCTACGTATCCCATCCGGGTAGACTAGGTACTCGACGCGCTAAACTTCTCCAAACTCATGCCTGGTCCATCTTGACGTGGTAACTCTTCAACTTGACAAAAGCGTCAAAGCCACGTGGTCCTAGGGTACAACCTAGTCCAGACTTCTTCCATCCGGTCCAAGCTAGATCCGGGTTGGGGTAATCGCAACGATTAATAAACACTGTACCCGCCTCCAGAAGCTCCTGCAGCTCCTCACCACGAGAGATGTCCTTGGTCCAGATACTGGCGGTCAACCCATAGTCGGAGTCGTTCATTAGATCCACGGCCTCATCGTCACTTGCCACCCTAGTTACAGGGATAATGGGGCCGAAAGTCTCCTCCTTCATAACCATCATTTCATGAGTGCAATTAGTCAATAGACAAGGTGCAACATAATTTCCGTCAGGAGATGCGCTCTTGAAGGTGGTATTCTCTGGGGTGGAATCCACGGCACCCTTGGCCAAAGCATCATCAATTTGCGCCTGAATAGCTTGCTTGGCGGCACGCGACACCACGGGACCGACCATTGTCTTGGGATCCATTGGGTCACCAAGTACGTAACTGCAGAGGTTAACATAATCAGCAAGTAGTACGAGGTTATCTCTTTTGGATAATGGGACATTCTTACGACTTGAGCTCATCTTGAAGCTCTTTGATGAATGCGTCGTGGACGTCGGTGTGGACATAGATGCGCTCGACAGCACAGCAGCTCTGTCCCGCATTGAACACGGCACCATCGACCAGCTGGGCTGCCACATATTTCACGTCGGCGTCAGGACGTACATAGGCAGGGTCATTGCCTCCCAGTTCGAGATTGACGGGGATGCAGCGGGAAGCTGCGGTCTCACGAATGGCAAGTCCGCCAGCAGTAGATCCAGTGAAGCTGACCAACCCGACCTCTGGTAGCAAGACGAGCTCCTTCACTAGGTTTGGATCCCCAGACTGAACTATGGTCAGCACATCCTCTGGTAAACCAGCCTCGTGAAAAATTTCCAGCAGACGCTCCCCGACAAGGGGCGTCTGTGGCGAAGGCTTGAGAATGACACTGTTTCCAGCGAGAAGTGCGGGTATGAGGGAGTTGACGATGATCAGATACGGGAACTAGTAATTTGAATACATTAATAGCCGTTGCGTAGCATGAAGAGTAACATGCCACCTACGTTCCAAGCAAATACGACCAAGGTTGGTCCCACTGGAATCTTCTTGATGAAGCGCTTAAAGCCAGACTCTTCACGGCCAGGTATGGGCGCTAGAGCTTCTTGCACGATGTCAAGCAGGTAATCTGCACGCTTCTGCATGGTCTCTATTTCCTTGTGGCTAAAGGCAATAGGTCTGCCCATCTGCTCGGACAATTCACGGCCCAGATCCATCTTTCGCTCCTGGACCAGTGCGAGCGCCTTGACAACAATATCGCGTCTCTGTTGCAGTGAAAGCTTTGAGAAAGATTCGAAGGCGACATTGGATCGCTTAGTGATATCCTGAGCCTGCTGCACGGTGGTGGCAGCACGCTCAGAAATCACCTTGTTTGTGGAAGGGGAAATGGTCTTGATAGTAGTAGACATTGTTGGCTCAAGTTTCGAAGGACAATACAAAGAATGTATAGCAGCAAGAGATGCAGGGTGGCATGTCATGAAAGGGGTGTCATCTCAAGCTAGATACATATTATGCTCCGAGGGCCGCGCTGGGATGAGATTCAGTCAGTTTGTCACGAGTGATTGCCATTTCACTAACTCATGCCCGAGAGACGAATTGTAACATCATTTTCCCTGACAGGCAATCATGCGGGATCTTCATTCACACCAAAGTTGTTGTCGAAACGCGCGCTACGCCTTTCTCCCCTATTTACCGCGCTCCGACTCCGTACCGCGATAGCGTGGACCGCGCACGACCCCCTGCTGCCGCCACCGCCAGAGAACCTCTGTACATGGCGGACCGGTCAAAAATACCCGAGGAGCGATCTGGTGATCCTCATTGAGTAATGTAGAGGCTCGCGGGTAGACGCTCATGGTCATGGATCGTTATTTCGTGTTTTCTCCACTCCATAGATCGTGGGCAATTGTTCGAGACGATTAACATTATAAATACTCAGAAAGGCGTGCTGATGAATAAATGACGTTCATAGCCCACCATCAACACCGCAACTGATGCAATTATCACTACTCGAGCAGTCTTTATTTTGAAATTGCGCAGCTTTCTTGTCCTGACACAATCTTCAGCATCGCAGAACATAATCCAAGGGTAAGAAAATGGTCAACAGACTCGCAGGCAAAAATGCCATAATCACTGGTGCTGCTGGGTGCGTATGATGCTCGATTCTCCAATCTTTGAGATTTGAGAGCTTACAGCAGATAACAAACAGTGGTGTGGGTCTCGAAGCTAGCATCCTCATGCTACAAGAAGGCGCCTCGGTCTTGATGACGGATGTCAATGATGCCACCCTTCAAAGAGCGTTCGCCAAGGTGAAGCAGGTGGTCCCCAATCACACGGGAAATGTCGCGGCCAAAGTCGTGGATGTGTCAAAAGAGGCTAACATTGAGGCTGCCGTGAACTCTACTGACGAGTGGGGTGGAGTTGATGTAATGTTCAACAATGCTGGCATTATGCACCCCAAAGACGGTGATGCCGAAGAGTGCCCTGACTCCATATGGGATCTAACTATGAATATCAACGTCAAGGGCGTATGGTTTGGCTCCAAGCATGCTGTACGATCTCTCCGCAAGCACGGCAAGACCAAGGGCAGTATCATCAACACGGCTAGCATGGTTGCTATTGTCGGCTCTGCTACTCCCCAGGTCGCCTATACCGCCAGTAAAGGCGCTGTTCTCGCCCTGACCCGCGAACTTGCCATTGTTCATGCCCGTGAGGGTTATCGCTTCAACTCGCTTTGCCCGGCCCCTCTGAAGTATGTTAAACTCCACACTGTGCCATTCGCGTCCATGCAGCTGACCCAATGTCCCGGCAGCACTCCCATGCTCCAGGAGTTCCTTGGCGACGACAAGCCCAAGAGGTTTCGCCGTGAGGTCCACTTCCCCACGGGACGTTTCGGGGAGGCTATTGAGCAAGCACAGGCCGCCGTCTTCCTGGCCTCTGATGAAAGTAGCTTCGTTATCGGGCACGACATGGTCGTCGACGGTGGTCTGACCAAGGCTTATGTCACACCTGAGGGCTCCGCGATTGCTGCGCCCAAGAATCAGGGACACTAGACTAGCAGCAATTCGATATTGAACAGAGGCACAATACTTGACTTATCTAATGATACAACTTTGTTGCAAGAAATGTCTTCATACGATTGACCGTGCATTACTGGTTGATTCTTTTTAAGCTATCGGCGTCATATTTACATTAGGGTACATGCTTCTAATAGAATCACACGTGTCACTTAATGTTGAAATTGCTCACAATTTCAAAATACCAACTCTGACTGCTGCCTTTGACTTGGGAACCGTATCATGTTGTTGCCATTCTCGCTGTCTCTGCATACCAGAGAGAAGTCCAGGGAACATGTACAAAGTGATTGGGGGCTGTGAATCCTTTCGATCATCACCTATGGTAACTCTCCATTGATTTTACTCATGTCCTGAACTCATATTGCTCTGAGTAGGGGCTCCGCGCACATCGTAAGCTCGATCATCGTCTCTATACTTGGTGCCCTTTATCTGGCCTTTGCCACTGTATTCAACGGCATGATTACAGCTTGCATGGTACTAATGTATGACTCGTACGCTATTCCTGTCGTCTGTCTGCTGGTCTGAGGACGCTCAAATATCCAGCCCGGGCCGTTCTGGTTGGGCAAGCTTGGACACTTGTGCAACTACATACTGTTACTCTGGCTTTGCTTTACCTTTGTTGTAAGTCAAGATCTCTGAAAGTCGCCGCCCCCAAGTATTGTGTTCCGCCGTTCACATTGTTACAAAAATGTAGCACGACTGATATTCTGGAAGTAGATGTACTCTTTTCCGCCAGCATATCCTGCCGTGGCTGGGAATATGAACTATTTTTCGGTTGTTTACGGTATCGTTGCTGTGATCTCGGTGACTTGGTGGTTCCTTGTGGCGAGACGGACCTATCAACCTCTTCGGCAAACCCAAAGTCACTAAATGAACTACCGGACCTGTCAATTCAGCTGTCACTATAGCCAGCATTGCAACGAACACTACATAATCATAATTGCCAGATGTTCAATCTTATTAAACGAGCCAGTTTGGACATGTCCTTTCTATCTAGCTTGACAATAGGCGAGCAAAAAGAGGGGACGCGGCTAATGTGAATGCGTGCGCGCCGTTCGAATTCTTGATTTTCAAATTGGATGCGCAATGATTATCGCCTGCAAGATTCATAAACCCTTTAGTCCCTGAGGAACCAGTTCAACAGTATATCCGTCCTAGAAATCAAAGGCCATGATTAGTTTTCTTGCTCATTATCACAGTGAAACTGGACAATTAAACAAACGCCGGTGTGTAAAACATGCGGGATCTTTGATGAATGCAATTTGTTTGAAAACGTCATCATAGCTCTTGTGGAGTTCGCCTAATCCGATACCACGCTGCGCTTCCCATTGGCTCAGGGGGATAGCTTCCCGGGTTGAAATGCCCAAGTCTTTGATCACTTCCACCCCATGACGCTTGAGACGCTGCAGTGCTGTCGCAACGTCGGGCACGGAAAAGCCCAAGTGTCCCAGGCCCAAATTTGGGGGTACGTTACCGGTACTATAATATCCCTCGGGCTCGTTCTCTGATCCGTGAATGTGATATAATTCCATGAGACCCAGAGTATGAGCGAGAACGGGTAACGTTTCCTTGCCAAACGCTGAAAGGTCTAGCCGGTGATGTTCTGACTGCGGGTACCCGAGGTAGTAGATAGTGAAAGGTCCAACGTTCCATGTGAAGACTGTACGCATGCCCATAAGGTTCACGTAGAAATGCAAAGACCGAACGGGGTCGCGCACTCGCAACATGAAATGATTGAGTTTGTATCCGATTGTTGGGTTGTCAGCCGACAACGGGGGTTCGTTTCCCAAGCCATTGGAGAAAATCTGCCCAACCGGGAAAGGTGATGATGATGATGCGCCTGATGGTGACTGAGCCATTCTGGAAGGACTTGATGACTTAAACTCAATAAGAAGAAATGGAAATAATACAGAAGATGTGCTTCGACAAGTAAGGGCGGGGAGAATGGTTTAAATATTATACTCGTGTCACACCCCCACTTAGAACTTAAAATTGGTAAGGAACGAATCCTTTTTAGTAAATGGGGGTGTGGCACGGGTAGCCGTTGATTGAGTTGGCATGGCGTAGAACTTGTATAAAAGGTGCATAACATCGTATTAGACTCCGGAATTTCAGAGTGCATTTTTTTTATGTTGAAATCGATTTGCTAAAACTTAGTGAAAGTGGTTTCATGGTAATATTTACTTAAAAAGATGCAAACAAAATTATTACGTAAATGAGCTTGAATTACGGGTTAAGCTTGCCCAGTTGCAAATATTGCTTATAAAGCAATTTTAATCTCTACGTATTATATTCAGTATAATTCGACCATCCTTCATATCACAATATCGTGATATATGTTTTTATTAATTAAGCTGAGCCATTCCACGACCACGAACCTAGTAACAGTATGGGAACCATCGTTTCGTGAGTCGGCCCTTATCGGAGTTAATTAATAAGCGTGGGGATGCGCTTATGGCCGAAATCATCGAGGACCAATCACAAATCTCGAAGGCTTGATTGATTTGAAAATTGGCTCTAAATGACAACTGGTAAAATGCCGATCGAATTTGCCGGCTGCATATGGCCGTAATTTCCTTATGCGGTGTAATTGTATCACACTTTATCTTTCACAATTTTATGTGGCTAAGATTTACGCAAACCTCATGGAGTATAAGGATTATCGATTTCCTCTGCCCTGCTAATAAAAAATTCAATAGACAAAGAATTTATTTCAAAGCCGTGAGTAACTTGTATGTGAAGTCACGTGTGTTTTAATGCGAAAAGTTTACCCTTATATTGATTTGCTGCTAATAAATTTTAAAAAAAAATTAATCATTAATGCACGGTTAATTATAACAAGACATTTCTTGCAACGCAGTTATACCGTTGTATAATTTGAGTATCATGCTAGTATTCAAGATCAAATTGCTCCCATTCTAGTGTCCCTATTCATGAGCGTTGGTCCACTGTTGGCTCGCTGCCCACGCTTGTTGACTTACTTGAACATGAGCGATTACCATGCCTGCGACATGCATGTATTATATCATAGACTCATTCATAACGAGAGGTTTGGTGCATTTCATCCACACCTATTTCGATTCTGCTGAAGGCTCCTGTCAGAGATCCGATGAAGAATTTGAAACTCAGTTCCGCAGGTGGTGCGAGTATGGAGAAATCTGTGGTTCAGCATCCTTTATAACCTACTCAGCTGCCAGTCAACTTACAAAATCTATTATGCGGGACATGACATTCGGCTGTTTCACGCTTCCCGGTGTCAGTTTCTTCTGCGTAGTTGACCAGAGAGCTTTGTATAATTTGTTTCGCGCCAGTGACAGAAAAGTCTGGGGAGAAGTCCCGTATCACTCGCCGAGAATGCTTTCCGCAGATTGACCAATCTTGTCAAGCAATGTATCTAAGCGAATCACACCTCAGTCATATCACACCAAGAGGGCCAATGCGGGACATACATCTCAATCTACTCGCGGTGCAGGTGAGGCTGAACGTTCGACGCTTCAGCAGCATTACTAGCTCAGACGGTTAAGTCCTCGGAAGGTCTCGTACTCCTCGACACCTTGGCCGCTAGGGGCCCACACGAGAACGTTGACACTGATATCAAGTCGTCATTCCTTGAAGCCCAGATGTTGCCAAAGGAAAATTCTACTAACGAGCGCCGTCCAATGGCATTGAGCTTGGGACGAATCAACCACGGGCAGCAAATTGTCTGGAGTTCGGCACTCTCGCGTCCCGAGGCCATCGCCAAGGACAGCACATTTATTAGACCTAAGGATTTTCATCGCAAGACTGCGATTAGTCAACCAAGCTGCTGAACATGCCTGATTAAGAACGGATAAAAGTGGACTAAATCAATGTCCGCTTTCGCGTTCGGCAGGCTGCATCGGCACTACGAACCAGGGATTTCTGAACCTCCACCCCCACATCTCGATGCGCTTACAAATTAGACCACCATGTAGTAAGAAGCTTACCGAAAGGGGTTGCAGGTCCCTGGACACTTCATGCGGCTCCAACGAACGCACACACTCTTCGTTTTAGTCAAGATTATACACCAAGAAGTTTGTTACCGGCATTATTCTTCGGCAGTATATAGCACTAAAGCTACGTATCTAGGAAAAGTTTGTTTTTCACTCGCCTGAATGTGGCTTCGATGCAATGTTTCTATCACATGCCATCAAGGGAACAGAAGCATTCTTCTTCTTTTTTTCAGTCCCCATCGGCAAATTCAGGATTGGTAGATAGCACTCCTCGCCTTTAGTTTACGCCTTGCTATGGTGTTGAGTGCTGCGTGCCGGTAGTTACCGCGGTACTGTAGAGCTTCTTCTCGATATATATATACTAGGTATGTAATAAGAGTTCGCCGTTAATTAACACACTTGACTAAAATAGAAGAGCATCCGTGGAAACCATCTACAAACACCGATGAAAATGTTTCTAAAACACTTTTACAGCGGTGCTGTGCTTAGTGCCGTTGGGGCGCTGGGCTTTAACAGTCATTACAACGATCAAAGCTGCACGAGCGCTACTTTTTCAGCTCTTGGTCTTCCCGACATCGAAATTATCAGTCTGAATGTGACAGTCTCCCTTAACGAGTCTGTTGCAGGTCAAAACGCACCTGGAGATGCCAACATTATTTTTGCGCCTACCGGTAACGGTCCTTCGAATGTTGATTTGTGCAGGATCACGGTGAAGTACACGCATCCAGGTCAAAATGATACCATAAACACTTACATTGGTCTGCCTCTGGATCCCACCAATTGGAACTCACGATTTGTCATGAACGGCGGAGGAGTGTGGGTTGCCGGCACGCCCGACGTCGTCTTGGAACCTGTCTCGAATGGTTTCGCGTCAACTTCGACCGATGGAGGCCACGACAACAGTTTGCAAGTCTCGGAGTGGGGCCTCACCAGTCCAGGTCATGCAAACATCGTTGCCTTGAAGGACTTTGCAAGTGTTGCATTGGAGGAAGCCGCAAAATTGGGGAAATCTGCTACGTTGCTATACTATGGCACCCGGCCAGAATATTCATACTGGAATGGATGTTCCACCGGTGGTCGTCAAGGTCATATGGCTGCTCAGCGTTTCCCAGAAGAGTTTGACGGCATCATTGCTGGATGCCCTGCAATTAACTGGGACAAGTTTCCCCTGTATGAATTCTGGCCTGTTCTCATGTCCAATATACTTGGTACGTTTGAGAATTGCCATCCCCTTGCAATGTCACATGAGTTGATGATACCTTTAGACGTTCGGCCCCCAGCTTGTGTTCTTCAAGCCTTCACATCCAGTGCCATCGCGGCATGTGATGACTTGGATGGCGTCAAAGATGGTAGTATCTCTTTGCCTGGTCAGTGTCGCTTCGATGCCATGTCCATGGTAGGACAGACCGTCAACTGCACCGCCCCTGAAGGAACGATACAAATTACAGAGAAGATGTCCGAGCTTGTTAATTTCATCTGGGATGGGGCATCTAGTGTTGATGGCCAATTCGAATGGTACGGTACGTGGGGTTCTAGATTCAGTCCAATTTGTCTTTACCAATCTCTTCCGCTCTCACTACCTTATCCCTCCCCTTCCCATTTGCTTTCTTGTGAAGCCAAAAACATATAGGAGTATTGATGCACGCTTCCGAAGCACAATCTGTACAAAGCTGCGCCCAATGTCACTAACCTGAAGAAAGGCCTTCATCAGGACGCAATCATGACTTTCCTACTTTCTACGAATTGTACAACAGTGAACAATTGCTCTGTCACGCCATTCACCGTCGCAGATACCTGGATCACGACTTTTTTGGCCCAAAATTCTTCATATGACCTGAAGAATATGTCTCATGCCGAATTCGATTCATTCTTTCAGCAGTCAGTAAACCAGTACCGTTCTATAATTGGAACAGATGACTACAATCTAGGAAAACTAAGAGCTTCCGGCACCAAGATGATTACCTGGCATGGCATGCAAGACCAGCTGATTCCTCCCAACGGCACAATTGATTATTACGACAAAGTCCAGAAGAATTCACACAATGGCAACGTCACTGACTACTATCGACTGTTCCTAGCCCCCGGGGTTGGCCATTGTGGTCTTCTTTCCACTGGCTTAGATCCCAGTAACACAATCTTCTCAGCCATCAGAGCATGGGTTGAGAATGGGACGGCACCCAACACTATTCAGGGGACTGGGCTTGCAATTGCGCCGTCCAACACGGATGAAATTCGGTCGATTCAACTCTGTCCCTATCCGTCAATTCTTACTTTTACAGGAGCGAATCCCAACGAGGCTTCATCATTCAGTTGTGTATAAATACTGGGTTGGAAAGGGAATATCGTGCCCCCAGCTTAGTGCTCATGCAAGAGACCCACTTGTACAATTTCGAAGACCGGACAAGAAACGATCAAGGCACCCCTTTCAATTTCGACAACCGAACCTTCTCCGAGTCGCAATAGGCGTAGGTGGAATGCATCAAGCGTCTTATTAAATGCGGTACATGATATAGTACATAAGTGTCGGAAGCATGGTGGTCGCTAATGATAAGGTATACACTTGAGGGAGGGTGGCTGATGATATAGTCAACAATTGTAGCGCATCAAACCAACATTAGTACGTATTAGCACGACTCCATGGTACAATGGTCATGAAATCAACAGCCCCTAGCAAAAGACAGCTGCAGCAACCGCTAAGAAAAAGACCCTTATCTATACAATGTCGCCCCTCATCCTGCGCCAATATCGATGAATTAATACAGATCAGGCCAACATAATGTTGCCCTCTCTGAGATCTTTTTCTGGAAACTGGGCCAGCGGATCCTTCTTGTCAAAAGCATGCATAGCGCGTTGTTTGCGCGAGAACTTCAAAATGTTGAATTTGTCCCCACCAATTTTGCCACGAGAGCCATGACTCTTGGCGTAGGCTGTGAACTGGGATGTGCGTTAGTAGTGCGTAGTCTGTTGATTAGGGGTATGCTCCTACAGTCTTCTTCCAGTCCCATCGATCAGCCTTCTTGGAACGGGCAAGGGGCTCGATGGTGCCGTGTTCATCCTCGAGGGCCTCCAATTTGCTCTTGATGCCGTAGCAGCCGGCGGCGACAAGGTCGATATTTGCCTGCTTTGCATACGCAACAATCTCCTTGCGCCAGTCAAGATTATCTTCCTCAACGCCACAGTCATCGAGGCCGTCGGCCCAGGAGAGGTATATGGACATGACGAGACCGAGGTCTTTGATGAAGGTGTCATTTCCAAGTTGCTGGACCCGGTCAAGCTCACTGAGTGTAGTCAGAAAGGATCGACCAATCAGCCCAATGGTTTGTGTAAGACGCTCGCCATCTTCCAACACTACAGACTGTTCAGTGGGCTTTCCATGTATACACTGCAGACTGACTTACTCATCCAGGGAGCCAATTGCTCTACAACAAGCCAGTGAGCCATGCCGGCAGATGTTGCCCACATTTTCTTCCAAGACTGTTCGTCCTTGTCCTTCTTCTTGAACTCCGTGTCAAGAGATGTCAGCTAGGCGGTGATGTTAGCGGCAGATCCAACCGTGGTCCTTCTGAATAAATCTCACTTGCTTACCAAGTTCTCCACGAGCTCTTGGATACCGTAGCCATTAAAGTCATTGTAAATATGCATGCCGAACATGTCCGGATTGGTATATGTAGCCAGGCGACGATATTCGCAGATCAAGGTCCAGGTTTCCCATAGGACAATCCACTTGTGATCCGGAAATTCTGCCACCGGCTTCAAGGCAACATTGCTGTCCTTGAGCATTTCATCGTAGTGTTCTTCCAGCTCCTCCTCGTCGAGTTGATCGTCCTCATCCTTGTCCTCATTCTCGTTCTCGACGTCGAAGAAGTGGCGATTGATGCAGTAATACTCGTATGGATTACGTTTGGTTACATCTTCGCCGCTTGCCTATGTTGTATACATCAGTTGACCGTCGGGGTAGCAGCCAGCGACCACGGGAGACTGACATTGCTGCTCTCCTCTCCAGCGCTCTCGGGCTCTGATTCAACAGCCTGACGCTTGTTCTTCTTTCCCTTGGCCGTCTCGGCTTGGGCATCGGACTTGCGCTTTGGTGGCATGGTAGATTGATGGAGTAGTCTGCTTGTTAGATCTCAACGAGACTGTAGATTGTCGGAGGAGGAGAACATCGTGTTGAGCTGGAGATTCCATAGAAGTGTTACCAGGCGGGAAGCTACTAGGGGTTCAAGACGCGCCATCGCCAAATTTTGGACCCTTGAGGCGCGTCCCTGACCCAGGCTAACGTCATTGTGGGCCTGCGGGGAATGCGATATCAACACGCTAAAACCACTGATTAGCGGTCATTATTGGTGGAGTTTTAGTGATTGGGAGGCGTGAAACGAGAACTGGAACTCAAATGTTCTTTCTTTTACCCGTATGTTTTTCTCTTCCACCCATGTCTGGCCTCTGTGAGCATTTGCAATCCACAGTCATTGTGGTATTTTACTTGGTAGACTGCCACAAAAAGAAACCAACTAATTCACCTTTCGCGCTGCCCCTGCATGGCAGACACATTGATGCCCAACTGACCCTGCAGTCTTGAACTTGCTTCTGCCGTGGCTTTCGTGCCGTGTTCGTGTTATTGTTTGTTTTCTCGTTCTTGGTTCTTGCATTTTTCAATCAGAAATCTGTTTCTCGGTAATTACATGCGTATTGGTAGGTACCAGTGAGCAAGACCTGTATAATACACGAGCGTAATTATAATAGATGTTATATATTACCCCTCCAATTCCTAGGAAGAAATACGTCTATGCTATTGTGCTTCAATATATTCGGCGCAAATTGTCTCCCCACGGATATCCATTACTTCGGCAATTGTGGTATTAGGCACGATGCCGACCATCCAAAGATTGTGATTCAACGTAGTCGTGTTATACTCATCATTGTCGTAGTCCATGACACTGCTGGATGGGAAAAGCCACCCGTTTGTCGTCAGGTCTGACAGCGAAGGAATGCTCTGTCCATTCATCTCTACAAGACGAGTTTCCAGGTCCTGGGACTGCCATTTCCACCAAAGTCGATCGAGGTTGGCGTGGTGCAAAAAGAAGAGGGGATCACCGGGACTTCCAGCTTGATCGGACAGCTAATGCATCGTGGTTAGATTCCTTTGTCGGCTTGACGCGATTGTAGAAATAGTATAAACTTACTGTGCCGCCTACTGCCAAATGAGCAGAGCTGTGGGGCTTAGCAACCCAGCATTGCCATGCGTCACTGTAATTTGTCGTAGCCATGCAAGCATCCGCATAAGAGGTATTTGCCCAGCTCCAGTAAGATTCATCGTACTCTCGGCTTAGACAGTACGAAGAATAGTTGGCAACTCCCCAAAGCTGATTGAGGTGCAAAGTAGTGTTGGCAAATGCGCCGTCGGTTACACAGCCGTTGGAGGCAGTTCCAAAACTCAGATCGTCCGCGCCCCAGACCGACGCAGCAGCGAGCGACGGATCGAGTGAAACATCACGCTGCTCGTCCCAATACGGTTGACCTCCTGTATAGTTGCACTCGGTTTGCAAAACCTGCTCGTATACCCGCATGTAGTAACGGTGCCAGGGAAGAAACGCGCCCACACCGTGGATTATGTTGGACTGATGAATGTGAACCCAATGCAGCTCGTCATATCGGTTCTTGGCTCCAGTGATGTTTGCTTTAGGGGGCGAGTTGAAGAGACACTTCACTGCGTCGAGGTATTCTTGCTTCTCATTGTCTTCAAGTGTATGCCTGGTAGTGTAAGTTGATGTGACTGATGTTATTGTATCATGAAGCAGCATACCATGCTTTTCTTTGACTTGGGTTTTTGCAAGTTCCATTGGAGTGCGAGATACTTGAAACACTAGGAGTGCATCTTCCGCTAGCAGGCGACACGGCCAACGCGAGAATCAGGCCAAAAAAGGCATATAGCAGTCTTAGGGATGCCATGATGGACGTGAGTTACTCTGCTCTGATCACCGAAGGGGTGGCTGCGCTGAGATAACATTTATACCCAACAACATCTACGTTGAACAATAGACTTCTTGGCACATGCAGGCATAATCAAAAGTAGCCTCTATAATATCATTAGTCTCTCAGCCACCATGACTATGGGGTATACACGTCAGCGTCATCTCCTATAATACGTGGACGGTCGCTTACTAACATGACAAAACAGAGTGGTACCACGGGAATTCATAAACTATCGATCCGAGCATGCATACGGGCCGCAAGACCCGCTTGACATGGCCGGTGCTTCCTTGATTCGGATTTGCCGTGTACTTGGCGAGCACGCCCAATTCGCAGTTGATGCATGTATATTATAGAACCTCTACCGCGGATGACTATTGCACAAGGTCACTGGCTGCGATTTGCACTAGAGTGGAGGCTCGGCTGAAATCAATACTTTGGTTCTGGGCTTAATATGCAACAAGCTTATGAAAACAACTGCTCTGTAGATAAATCAAAGACCAAGACCGATGGGGCTCGACGCGCAACATCGTGGCGGAATGCGGATGGCCAAGGCGACTATAATCACCTAAGTGGATGAAGGGCAGGAACTAAGTACTTGGCATTTCGGTGTGGATGAGAAGAGGGTAACTTACTACTCAAGAAAATGGTTCTCTTTGCCAAATGTATTGGTGGGTCACAGGTGTGCAGCAATAAAAATTTGCCAATACATTTGACACGAAAAATCTTCAAAATGGATACTGGAGTGAAAAACGGTCGCTATTTATAGAGTTAAAGCGTTGAATCTACGTGAACGTCGTTCTTTCACCTGACAGTGCCATACTAGCTCGACTACCGAGAGCCGGGAAGTATTTGTTGCATGGTGATGACTGCGCATCTCCCTCATTACGTGCCTAGCACCTAGGTGGGTATATAATTGGTATGATTAGCCAGATGGTAAAGTATTGAGACACCTTTAAATGTGTGAGGAACAGCTAAGTTCCCCCCTACTTATGGTTGCAAATATTAAGAGCATCATGCGCTCTATAGCTGCGGTTAGAATAAATAAGTATCATAGAATAGAAATGAAGAAAAGGAGAAATTAGCGGGAAAAGGAAAAGAAAAAAAAATTAAAAGGAAAGCGAGTGAAAAATATAAGAGAGAAGGAAAAAAAAAGGAGGAAAAATAAAAAGGAGAAGGAAAAAGAAAAAGAAAGAAAACCAGAAAGAAAAATAAAGAAAAAGAGAAAGAGGGAAATAAATAGAAAGAGAGAAATAAAGAGAAAGAGAGAAATAAAGAGAAAGAGAGAAGGAAAAAAGAGAAAGAAAGATAGGAAGAAAAAAAAAGAGAGAAAAAGAGAGAAAAAATGGAAAAAGGAAGGAGAAAAAAAAGAAAAGAGAAAATAGCTATTATCATGTATATATCGTTGAGATAGGCTTTTTCAACACTTTGGTCTCTGGTGCTCCGCAAAAAGGCTTATGGTGAAAGGATGCGCCCACTTTGTGGACAAGAGCGAAGATATCTGGGTGTGCCAGCCATTTATTCACCTTCCGCCAGGTATTTTCAGAGAGGGCAGAACCAAAGTTCAAAAATTCTAGGTCGTGCCCGTTGAAAATAGGGAATAATTAGCAATCCCCGTATGTTCTCTTGCTATTAAATTTCAAGATCTTTGCACTGGGGCCCCTCATAGCTTATGATATGACAGACAACACTTGTCAAGAGTGATACTCTTCCCAAGGATTGCAAGTGGCCCGAGACGATGCCGCAGCCAATAGCGTTGAATGGGACGGAAGGCGATATACAAAGTAACCTTGTGGGGGTCGAGCCATGTAGGACCTCCCTTCCTGGTTGTCTCCGGAAGGAAGCGGCGAAATGGCCGAATGGCGCGGGGAAATGGCCGAGTGGTGGGCACACCTGCCGCCAGTCACCTTATTGATTGTCATATGAGGTACACATTCGGGCCGTGGCACCCCAAGGTATCATACTACACAGCCACTGGTGCTGAGGTTCTTGGGCAGACATAGACTACGACCTTGCAACATCAATTATACGGCAGTCACAATAGCACAAGTGGCATTGCACCATCTCACTTTCCAACCACCACCGGATGACGCATCGGTTGTTTACCTACGTGGGTGTCGCCTATAAAAGGACTCGCGGGGGACAGTGCCGGCAGATCCAACTTAGCCCATTACATTGTTCTTTTGACCATCAAAACCTACCGTTGATCAATAATAACTACTCACTTTCATCTCTGATTCTCGATTGTTTCTAGCCACTGGCAAGATATTTTGCTAAGCAAATCTTTTGACTATATCCCAAGACATCACACCACCAATCATGAACATCCGCCACACTGCCAACAAGTCGTCGAACGGCTCGACTTCCCCATCATACTCGTAATTGCGGTCGAAAAGAACAGTCAAGAGTGGGATGAGGGTGTTGGCATTGCCTTGCATTGTCTCACGATTTTGCAGAAGTATCAGATCTTTGGTGTCGAGGTCGAGATTCGGGAAGGTCGATACGAACATTTCGCCGCTTCGAAGGAGATAGACAACAAAATCAATCCTCGCGCTTGGAGATGGGCTGCGCCTGAAACGAATTGACTAGTCCAGCTTTTTTTGTCATTGCCCGGATACCCCTTGACATATCACGTGAAGCTGCAAAACGAAAGTGCAACATTCTACGGTCTGACCTGTCGTCATGTGGTAGATAGCAATCGTGCACCTCACGAAAGCTACACAATCTCCGGAAATGCCCGACAATACCACGTCCAAGAAAACAATCGTGCATTCGAAGACTGTATCAAACAATTCAAAATACACGAACACTATCTCCAGTTCCGGATCAATCCACTCATAAAAAGGAAGGAAAAATGGGACATGTTCTATCAGCACGAAGAGGATATGGAGCATAAGCGTTTCACGGACGAAGACGCGAAAAACCTTGACGATCTCGAAAAAAAGGCCGACTATCACCGCGACATAGTCAAGCTCTTGGAATCGATAGAGGACCAGGATCTGAGAAAGATCGGCCATTTGGCCTACCACCCGACTTTCGAAAGCTCTATCAGAGAGCCGGGGTACGTTACAGATTGGACCCTTGTTGAACTGGACGGGGAACAGTTTCCACTAGGTCCCCAAAATAAAGTGTTTGTTGGGAGTACTGGGGTGGAGAGTATGTTACGGTTTTGTGAACTTTCGTACGAAGACCTATCACCTATTGAGGGTGGATTTCTGACGCTGAAGCTGGAAAGGTTTTGGACGACCAGCTTGGGAAATGTTGATTGTTCCGGAGGATAAGCAGATGCATTTCAAAGTGCTCGATGAAGATACTAGGTAAAGTTCAAGAAGCCAGGCTTCGATTTACATTAGGCAGATAGAGCATCAAGTTTACCTAGCATTTACCTTTCAAGCTTGAGACCGTCTTTAGTAGCTGTGAATTTGCTCAGATCAGACAGGTAACAATATCTCTTCAACGACTGGATAAGATACATTTGCGCAAAGTGACAGCTGACACTGAAAACAAGATGAATACTGCCCTCCAGCACCATTAGTGCTCACTGGGATAAAATGGTCGTAGTGGATGAGCCACTGTAGCGTAGCAGCACCCCACAGGCACGATGTGCCTAGTAGTCAACCCCTCGGGTAGCGCCCTAGGCATCTTCTTACCACTACTACAAGTGAAAAACGTGCAGAACTCAACACGGTCACTCAAATTGGGACCACCATTTCTTGCCACTCTGTTTGATGAAACCTCCACCGCCAATCGTCTCCAGGGAAGAACCAGGAAAGCGTGCTGCCACCCACTGGCAAAAGCAACAACTGTGACGCCTTCCCCAGTGTTCCTGCTCTTATGGGCAAGACATTCCCGCCAGCGCAGCAACCGCTTTGGCAGACATTCGCAGACAAAACTTCAGCTGCGGAAAGATCTCCACCCGTTTGCGCTCTCGTGGCTTCACGCGAGAGAATGGCCGTCTTGCTTCGTTGATATCCAAAATGCCGGAAAACGACTGGAAACAGCACCGCGGGGTCTACACACAAGACTTGTCCGTCTTCGTGTTACACGACAGCAAATATTGAATCACACTCGAAAATTCTCAGTTCACGATGCAGGTTCATCGGTTGGCGCATGCTTACACCAACCATTAGATCGTTGAAAGACGTCCAGGTATGGTTAAATATTGTCGGGTGGGAATGACGTGCATCCTGTTTCTCAGTTCTCTTCAGTTTTGGTGGCTAAGAGTTGACGAAGATCAACAGTTGCGGTCTTGAACTTGCGAGTCCGAGTTCGTTTCTCAAAGAGAATGTCCAACTCGGCAGCCAGCCTGTCCTTAGTTTCTGGAAGTCTAAAAAAGGCCCACACCAACGAGACGAGACAAAAACCTGCCCAGACAAACGCTCCCCGCCCTTTCAGATTCCATGCGGTAGGATTGACAAGGGCTGCCTGCAAAAAATGTGCACCCACAGCGGCGGCTAGGTAGCAGGCTCGAGCAAAGGTTATGGTCCTATTCCTTAGCCGAGCTGATGGAATTTCAGAGATGATTGTAAAACACACGGGACCTATGGTGAGATAGTAGATGAGGTTGTTGGCGATTAGCACGGCGCCAGAAGCCCAGACGAGGCCTAATCCAGCAACATTGGGGATACCAAAGCACCCAACGATGACTTCAGACAGCAACATGCCCAACAGGCCTAGTAGGTACAATTTGCGCCGGCCGAGGCGGATTGCTACGAACCAAGAGATGATGGTTCCTAGGCAGTTTAGAGCCGTCATGCCAAGGCCAAATGAGAAGGAATCTTGCTCATCAAGTCCGCCCTGCTGGAGAAAATACGTGATTTGGCTGGCGAACCAAGTACCACAGGTCACCTGGCATACCCAGGTGATGGTAGCGATCTCTGTTCGTCGCAAGTTGGTCCCCTTGAACAGACTCATGTAACCTGTGCCAGCCTGTAGCAACCTTTCATGTTCGTTGGTGAGCTGAATCAGCTTTAGAGAACTTTCAACCTCTTTATCGCTGACTTTTGATGAAGCAAGTCTGCGTAGGGTTTTTCGGGCATCATCGGGACGGTTTTGTCGCAGGAGCCACCAGGGAGACTCGGGCGCAAAATAGACTATGGCTGCAATGGGCAGGATCCATATCCACTGAACCGCAAAAGGGATACGGTATGCCCACTCATCCGTACGTTGCAGACAGGCAGTCAGAACACCCACACTCACAAACCCTCCAAATGCCCAACACAAGTTGATGTAGCTTGTGAGGAGAGAACGGAGACTGAGGGGGGCGACATCGGCACTGTATACACTGGCCATCCCCTGGAACATTCCCCATGGTAGGCCGCAGATAAGCTGCCCGGCCGCCAGCATTGCAAGGTTTTGAGCAAAGAAAACGATGAATATCGCCATGGAGATGAAAACCAGAGCCACTTGCATGGTACGTCGGAAACCGAAATATTCGACCAGCTGGCCGGCGAGGAAGAGACCAAAGAATGCACCAACTGAGGAGATGCCACTGAGTACGGACTGCCATGTCGAACTGAGTTGGTAGTCACCATTTGTCAGCGAATGGCCATACTTGTGGCGAAACTGGACTACAGAGAAGAAGTTCTGCATAAGGCTCATGTCGTAGCCATCCATGACGACGGCCAGAGATAAGCCGACTGAGTACAAGATGGCCTTGGGGTATCTCTGCATGGCTTCTCTAACCGTCATGGTGTGTTCAGTCGTGGCAGCCTCAGTCGCAGCCTGCATGAAATCATCGTTTTTGGCAGTGTCCTCTATGCTTGCTGGAGACTTTTCAATGTGGTGGATTCCAGATGACATTTTTCTCAGGAGAATTAGATCGTAGTAGCGGCGTGCGGTGTGTACAAAGGGCAGAGACGTGATTAACGCAAGCTGATGACTTGCGCTTACTAGGGATTCCTCGTTGAAGAGCCGCTGAGGATACGATTTGGCAATTGACGCCTAGGGTGAAATGAAGCAGACCGGGAACGAGAAACAAACGCCCGCAATCTTTAGATTCTGGCCCTGCTTTACCCCGTTCGTGACAGCACCTGATGTTGGGGTAAATAAGGCGGGGTCTGGGGTTGAGACGGTCACTCGGCAGATGATGCGGACGTTACACATGAGCGGCATATCGCGGCCCTCTCTGCAGCCTTTGTTGCGGTGAACCCCCGTGTAGGGCATTGTTATTTTCTAAATCTACTCAGAGGGATACATACAGTGTCCCACGGAAACAAGACCACATGTCAACCTCGAGCGACAAGGTGGATATTCATATTGTATTGATTAAACACAATACGCCATCAATTTGACCGTGCATAAGAAGCACTTTACAAGATGGAAACCTTCAGCCGCGGCCCTGGTCCATCCTTGTAAGAACGCGTGAATCCATCATACGACTTCATGTCCAGATCCGTCAAGGTATCGTCTGCTGTGAGATCAAATCTGCTCACAATCATGGCCAATGCGAGCGTGAGCTCGGCATTCGCGAGGCTATACATGATAAGAATCCCGTTTTTTCACATTTCTGACGTTAGGGCTGGGCAACACTTACTTGATGCCGAGGCACTGTCGGGCGCCTTTGGAAAACGTAACCAGATATTTGTCCAGTTGCCTCCCCTCGTCCGAGAGCCACCGTTTGGGGTTGAATGTTTGAGCATCACTTCCCCATATCGACTCATCAAAGAGAACCATGTAAGCAGATATGCTGACAATGGTCTTGAAAAGCCTTGGTTAGTCATACAGAACGTGATTTCGGACTTATCCTGAGAACTTACACCTTCGGGAATCACTTTTCCGTCAACCTCGAGGACGCCGGCCTTTGACTGTGGTGATGGCACTACACGTGGCAATCTCCCAGGAACGGCATTTGCAAAGCGGAGGGCTTCTTTCACGGTAGCGGACTATTTGGGTTTGGGTCAATGCGTGTGATCAGACACTGGAAAGTGTTTTGTCCATATATGACTTACAAGGTAAGGGAACTGCTCAAGTCGGGTCAAATCAAAGTCCTCTGGTGTCTTGAGGTCGGCGTTTCGGATTTCATGCTTCAGCGCCGCATATACTTCTGGAATGTGAGTCAACTGATACAGAGCTACAGCAAGAGTGGTTGCCGTAGTGTCGGAGCCTGCTACGAGAATGTCGGTAGCTTCGGCAATCAAGGATGTATCATCTAGCTCAGTGAGATCGTCGAACACAACTGCGTGATCGAAAGACTTGCCCGCTGACTTGAGATCCTTGAACTTTTCGACCACGGATTTGATGTTCTGATTGCAAAGGTTAGTTTGATTTATCACGTCTTGGAGAAAGGCAAACACAGTCGGGGCCATTACCTCTGTGAGACGAGCGAAATGCACAGCGGGGCCGCCCAGCCAATTTGTCAAGGCAAGTGGCATATTTCCCATCAATGCGCGAAGCTGTGGAATATACATCATGTCCCATATTGAATGGGCTGCAAGGTCGAGAGCGTGCAGAAGACTACTTTCAAACGTGCTACCTTTTGCACTGCTTAGTGTGTCCAAAGAACGTCCGAAGGCGATATCCGAGATTATATCCAGCGTCAAGCACCTAAACACGTGAGCTGGATTCTTTTTTGAGACACATCAAAGATAGATCGAGCGAGACGTACCTGGCAGCATTATAGATGTTTAGTGGTTCCTCACTGTCCGTCTCGGATCTCTTTGCTAGCAAGTTGCACAGCTTCTCCATTTGCCTGTATAAAACATTTTGCAATTCTCGTTTAGATGTTTTGGAGAAGAATTTACCGAGGAGCTTTCTTCTTTGACGGTGAAGTGCTCGATCAGTCTCCACAAACACTGAGTGAGGAGTTCCGAAAGCGTCATAAAAATATGGATCTTTTGTGAAAGCGTGATCTTGAGAGTAAATGGTATGATACAGGGACGAGTCGGATATGTGGACCTCATTAGGACCAACTCGCAGCACTCTCGTATCTTTTGCCAGTCAGCATCAATGTGTTTGGCTAACCATTGTTTGTGGTACGCACTGTATCTGCGGTGTAGTTCCTCGAAAACCTGTGGTGCTTGACCAGACTTGCTGATTGAATACAACCACCATGTCGAAAGTGCCGCTTGTCGTGGACCTCTGAAACCAGCCAGTGGATGGAGGCATAGCTGGTAGAGTACGCGTGCCACGCAGTATAGACCCGCGATGAAAGCTGCGCTTATGAGCAGCTCCCGGCCAGGGGCAGCTTCCGAGAGATTGGCAATATAATATGACATATTTTGCAAACGAGGGATGATTCAATTGACAGCTAGGAGAACTTATAATTTACATCTGCTTGAACGATTGATAGAAAGTCTTGTCCTGTAGAGATGACTTCTCGCGAAATAAATAATCAGGTCGGACTTTTCATTGTCGTCAATCTGCCGAAGTCTCTCCACCTTCAAGGAATGGTTTGTCATCCGTGATATCCCATTGGTCCTCACACTTGTCTCTACCAACTGAATATACAGCACCCGCAAGAGCCATGCGTATGTGGTATTGGGGGCTGGCTTGACTGTGTTGCGCTATACCTGAGGAATGGCAGATGGTGTCGGGATCGGTGGGGAGCTAGCCGCGGCCCGCCTGCGAGACATCCGCTCTTTTCTGTTCTGCTCGTCATTCCCCGCCGGTGCCGAACACTCCTTGCAGCCTTATAACACCCCACCGGCTTTGCATGGGTGGTAGGTCATTGGCTATACTCAGATCGGAGAAGGGGTTCTTTGAAAGCACAGCTACAAAGAGCAGAAACCACAGAATGAAGGTCATAAATCTGTTCTTTCCCCACTGAATAAAATAATAGGAAAGTCTCAACCCTTTTATTCTGAATCCAAATCCACCATCTCATCGTTTTTGATTCGCGCAAAGGCCTTGGCCAAACTTTGGCATAAGCCAGACCAGGTCGTCTGCTTCGTAAGGATCTTGACCGCATCACGCAGCACGATGTTGTGGCTATTGGGCCCTTGTAAACAGCCTATCCCGGTAATGTACACTTCAGTGTCGTCTCCTGCCAAGATCCACTCTCTCACATCCTCTTTCTTCGCAAGCTTGTCGACCCGAACTGCTGATGTCTTCGGCCCTACCGGGTTCATGATACTCGACAACCGTGACTGATCCCGATTTTCTTTACCGAACTTTGCGAATAACCAGAGAAAGCATACCGCGACACACAAGTTGAGTGTATCGTAGCATGCAAAATGCCGAGCATTACGCAGCTTTGTAAAGATGGTAGTTGCATGCCAGAGACAACGGCGAGCTGTCTTCCTGTCTTTCTGAAGAATCTTGGCAAGGCAAGACCGCGACTTTTCCATCTCTGCCTTGTCTGTCTGCCATCCGATAGCATGGTATAGCCTTACGAGAGGAACATGTCTCAAAATTGCCAGAACATGGATCAACAGATCTTGCGTGTGTATTCTACCCAGTTTTGCATATGCTTGTTCGTCAATGACCTTATCCACGATTGAAGAGGTTTCAAAGGAAACCTGCGGTGAGTTTAGAATGCCATCTCCGTGCACGTCTTCTCTCACATACATTGATTGCAGTCTCCTTGATGATCGCATGTGGTGGCCACGCAGTCTATCATCAACATAGAGCTCGAGTGGATATGTTCTCATCGCGAAAGTCATTAGTTGCGACGAATCTTGAGCCAATGCCGACTGAGCATTCGCAACAGGTTGGCAGGCTGGTGAGTCTTTGGACTGTAAGCTGATTTGCTCTCATATTACCTTTGTAAGGAACAGCATACGTACCTGAGCTCTGGTTCAAACATTGCCGCCATTCCATGGCCGTCTGGCACTGCCATAGGCTTTCGTTACAGGGCAGATCTTGGACCAAATCCGCAAGATTGAACAATGGTGGTTGGTCAAGGAACACGTACTCAAGACACTCCAACGCTGTTTGTATGAGTTACTAGTAGAAGACCAACGTTCGTTCTCCAAGCTTACCGTGAACACAATGAATAAGGCGAGCCTTTTCTTCCGACAATAGCCAGGCGCGCCAGTCTTCATTTCTTTCGCGGTCAGTTTTATCATGACTCCGTTGATTTAGGTCGTCATGATGAGCTCTATTCTTCAAGGCGTCAACGAGCATACTTCTTTCCCACTGCAACATAACGTGGAATGATTTGCTTCCTGAGAAGAAAAGTAGAACATGGCGTAGAAAAAGACTTTGTACAAAGGCAGTGTCCACTCCCTTGTTTTGTATTGCCTAAAGCTCGTGTAAGTAGAATATCAAGATAGTCTCCGTGGAACAGAATTAAAAGCAAATTATGACGGGAAAAGGTAATAAAAAATGCATATAGCGAAACGAGTCCATCACATACATGATCTCGGAGAGCCCGACTCAACAGGTCCTGAAGCACCAAACCATACTCTTTAGCAGCTGGTATTGCTGAGTACTGGCTTCCAATGGCTGCAACAGCCACTAGAACAACCCAATGCAGGCCAGTTCCTCTCAGTTTTGTGTGATGTAAAAATGGAAACTTTGGATCGAAATATTCTAAATAAAGTTCCACAAATGCATGAAGAACGTCTGTGCTAATAAATGGAGATGCTTCGCAACCTCGTTGCTGCGTGTAAAATATATGTAAAGGTTCAATGTGATAATCTGAGATCATGGCAACATGTCCAAACATTTCAGCCTGGGTAGCTTGGACAAGATCTGGTGGCGGTGGAGGGAATTCGAGGCAAGGAAGATGTTTACGTGGCGAAAGTGTAAGCGGATCGAATGGGCATTCTGAGAGGGACGTAGCATGATTAGCATCTCGAGATGCACCCATAATACTCATTTGGCTTTCATTGATTGGGTGGCTCGAAGAAGGCGTATTTCCAGGAAGTTGATGCGGCTGGCCATCGCATGTGACTGCCTCAGCATGAAACAGGTCCAGTGGTGGGCATTGGTAGACCGTATTTGCTGACAAGAAGGCAAATCCTGATCTTCCAGCGTCGACAAAGTCCAGGAATGTAGGTTCGTGTAGGTCCAATACGGAGGGCAAGCTGCTTATGGCCGACCCGTTGTCTATGTTCCAGGATTCGTGGGACATTGGCGGTGTCAACTCTGTCGGGTTTCCTATCACGAGTGGTTGATTCATCTCTGCAGGACGATACCACGACGCCTGTGGAGAAAAGTCTGGGTGCGTAGCAGTTTCGGTGCTAATCGCTGTATGTTGTTCCACATCAGAATAATTTTGCGTTGCTTGGGAACCTGGTTAATACCGAATAATTAAAGCAAGTCTTAGTTGTCCTACCAGAATCGACATCCCCTACGTCAGTTGATTGCAGGGCTTGTACTCCTTCTTCATTCAAAATCCTGTCTGGGCGGTACTCGCAAAGACTGTTTTGCCGCATGCATCGACGACAGGGACGACCGCCTTCGCATCGTTGTTTAAGTCTGGCACAGCGGATGCATGCTTGTGCAGCACGCCTGTTGTTTTCTGACAAGTCGCCCTGAGAATGATGATTGGTCCAGTGGCGCAATAGTGAGTCTCTGACGGTTCATTAGACAAGAAGTACTACAGGGATAGCAAGCTCGTCTACCTTCGTGGAAACGCTCGATTGCAGATGTCACAGCGAAATGGTTTGAGCCCAGAATGCCGGAGGGCATGACGGTCACGGTGCTCCTTGCGCAGAAACGTCTCGCCGCACTGCTCACAAGCAATGAGACCAGTGGAAGGTGACATGATGAAAGGATCTGGTTGTGCCAAGGTTCGACTCGCAAATCAACCCATTGTGGATCGCAGGGCTGCAACCCAAAGCAGACTGATTGTAAAATGCCCAGGCGGTAGCACGACCAGCATTCACTGGAGTCGACGGAGAAGACGCTGTTGATGAAGTTGGTTAGAAGACATTGACTGAGCAAGCTGTAGTGACGGGAGAGGCGCACAAAAGCCGAACCAAGGGACGCTGTAATCAAGCAACTAATTTAGCTCCCCACCGCATCCGACACGCAATTATACAGGGGTCCTCACCCCTCGGCCCCTCGGCCTCTCAGGCTACATACGGCGGCATCTAGCCTAACAAGCGCTCTAAGGAGATTGTAGGCACCTAAATCAATCCATCTGGCAAGTCACCACAGCGACTATTATATTATCATGTCTGTCTGGACAATCAATGTCACTTTTTGGTGGACAATTTTGCGCCCAGATAAGTCCAGCCCCGCGTTGGGTTCAAATATAGTATTCTTTGTCCCACTTGTCCCACACTACTTTGATCCTATCATGACATGTTGACCAAGTCCAGGTCAGTGGCACATCCAAAATCAACTGCTTTACGGCCAAGCAGCTTGCATGGACGTGCGATGGATTAGAAAGCTTTACAGGAAGCACATGAGGACAAGCGCTATGGTATGAAAGCTGACTCATGGATTGTATGCCGTGGCAGTATTAATTTGTCGTCACTGAGAATACGGAAGTATAGTCGATATCGGTATGAGTTTGATAAAGCCGAATAAATATTGCCTGTACTTCCTGTCTTGCCCATCACGAAGAGACACGCCACAGTCTTTGTTGCTTACAAATCTAGTATGCTCTGGAAATTATGAACGAGTTCGGCTTTTCTTCTGAAAGATCAATAACACATCTATACGGGCAATTATCATGACGACTTTCAAGAAAATTTATTTTTAACGCTGCAAAACTGTCTCTAGTAACAATTTCACAACAACTGGAATGGTGCAGTTACTTGGCTCTATTCTCTCAAACCCAACCAACAAGGTTCATGGTATACATGTCCGCATCGCCGGCAATTTCGTCTTTCTTCTGCAACATTTCCTCCGCATCCCAATTGGCCATGACAAGTTTGCCATTCAGAAACTTGGCCTCGTCGCTTACCAGCCAATTGAAAAAGTCGCCACTCAGCTCAACTATTCATGTCAAGTCAGTCACACATATCCAATCGACAATCTCTATTCTTGAACACTGGAGAGATCAAGATAACTTTAGGCAGATTGTTCACGTACCATCATCCCAGGGAAAGCCCGCAGTGGAGGGCGCAAACTTGAAGCTCATGGTCGATCTAATGAGGCCAGGGTGGAATTGCACAACGCGGACACCATTGCCCAGCTCGGCCATCTCGTGGCGGAAAATCTCAAACACCTTGGTGGCGCCAGCCTTGGAACCGCGGTAGCTAGAAAAGTTCGGCATATAAGGGCCGTGGATGGCCGAGGTGCTGGTGTGGACGACGACGCCGCCAGGTTGCGCGTGCGGCACCCACGCCCGCAGCAGGTTGAAGTTGCCCCGGATGTTGACCTCGAAACCGCGCCACCAGTCGTCCGCGTCGGATCCAATGACGGTGTTGAGGTCCGACATGTAGCCTGCGTTGGCGCCCAGGATGTCAATCTTGGACCCTGTGCTGTCGACAAATGACTGCAGTGCCGAGGCGATCCCGTCGGCGTCTACGAGGTCCACAGTGTAGAGGAAGACCCGTGTATCTTGGGATATCTTTTCAACGACTTCCTTGGTTGCAAGGAGCGTTGCTTCGGTACGCCCAACAAGACCAAGAGCAGAGATGCCGGACTTTGCGAGGGAAAGGGCAATTGAATTTCCGATGCCTCCCTTTCCGGCGCCGGTAATGATGGCCGTCTTTCCCCTTGTAGACAGTCCAGGTCGATTGGGACTGATGAAGGGGTACGATTTTGTGTGATAGACAGCAGTTGTACTTTTGAAGTATTTTGCAAGCTCTGCTTCGGAAAAGCTTGGTTCGGACATTTTTGGATGGATCAGGTAGTTGAGCTGAGCTGCTTTTAAGTCGTATTATTCGCAATTAAATGATTTGGTTGCATCCAAGATTTTTCACAAATATCTGAGGAGCGTCTGTCGCTTTTTATCTACAAGTGGCCATGCAATCTCCCATCAGAGACGTTCAAGGAGCGATCCAGTCATGTTTACATTTGTCAGCTGTAGGAGCAGACGAGATTGGTAAGATTCATTGTTCGAAACGGTTACTACTTCTTTGTTATTGAAGTTGTTCCGACTTTGGGAAATTTCTTTTGTGTATTTTGCAGTCCGGCTCCGGAATATTTGGTGTTGTTGGTGATGAGATACGTGATGTTACGTGATCGGACGGATTCAAGGCCGGCCAACAGGTATCCACTCGGCGTTCCAACGGGCTCAGGCGGCGCAGCAGCGGCCGAGATAGAAGCTGACAAATGAATGCCCACAGTATTTACTGAGCGTGTTCCCCCGTGTCACGTAACTGTACGTTTGCTCGGGGCATCTTTTCGAAACGGTACAATAATTGCTTCCTCCCAGACTACAGACTCGCAATGGATGCTGAACAGGAGCTCAAGGTGAGTTCATGTTCCCAACCCCCTTTATCCATCCCCCTGCATAAATATTTAGTGCATAGCCCCCTTCCCGGGCCCCGGCCACCCCATAATCGTGTATGCGGAGAATTGGAGCTGACTGGGTCCCTCCGTCCCCATTCAACAGCGGCGCCGCGAAAGGGGCAGATCGGCCCAGGCCGCCTTCCGTAAGAGACAGGCCCTGGCCGTCCAGGAGATGCAACAGGAGAACAAGCGACTTAGGGAAGCCCTAGAGTCCGTCGTCAAGATTGCACGGCATGACGACCGCCGTGATCTTGTATCGGTGATTAGGCAGGGAGCCGAGGCGGCTGGGATTGATGTTGAACATCTCCCGGCGCCAGGTTCAGAATATGTGCTGCAACCGAACGACAATTTGGGATCCTGTGGGGCGCGTGGTCAATCTGAGACTTCGGCAAGCAATGTGTCTTTAAGCAGCGAGCCATCGCGTCCGGAAGTGGATACTTCCAAAGAGGCAGATCTCGCCGTTACTCGTGCCTCACAACCGGCGTTCAAGGCGACGAGATGCATGATGTGGCTGAACCCAATGCGGTACATGCGCCTTGACAAACCGCCTGAGGATATCGTGCCATACATAGGTGACGCGGCGAACACGCTGGCCGGCCATCTGTTCTGGGCCGTCATGGAGCACGCCCGGTCTGATTGCCACCACGAGCACCACGCGCTCAGCCGCCAAGAGCTTTCGACCAGCCAGAACCCGTGCATCCAGCGCATGATGCGGCACTCGATCGCCATGCAATCCATCAGCCACGGCTTGATCAAGGCCATGGTTGAGGCGCGGCTCGAGTACCGCCACCTGGGCTACATTAGCGCCGAGTATGCGGGTGCCGCCGACCCGGACACGGTCCGGAGCTTGCGGCGCAGCGTAGCAGCAGAGTTTGGTAGTCGTGGCCAAGACGAGAGTGTCTGGGTTGATGCCATTGGCGTCGAGTCCCGCGTCCGCTCGCTCCTTGGCCCTGATTATTTTGCCACGCTGGAGAGGGCGGCGCGGAGCCCGGAGAGCGCCAAGGCGCATATATCGTTGTCGTGGGCTTTGGACCGGCTAATAGGGAGTTTTATATGCTTCGGGGATGGCCCTAGATGGAATGTACTTGAAGTGGACGATATATTCTCTTCTTGGCTATCCCACGTAGAATGTTGATACTAGATTATGAGAATGAGCCGCCGAAAGTATACATACGCACATTACCACGAACGTCATGATTGCCTCAACCATCATCCTGCTCCCAGCCTTTCTACACTTTAGATATGATCATAGTTGAGGCTAATTGATTCGATGATTGATGACGGAGTAAATGTTTATTAGTTTCATGTATAGTATCTTGACATAATAAATAGCAAAAGTCTCCGCACAAAGTCCAATTTCTATACTCTCTTCTTCTGTTTCGATCTCCTTTTTCTATTTCTATATTCTTTTCCTGCTGTTTTTTTCGGTTCTTTTTCGTAGTTCCTTTTTTTTTTTTTTTTTTTTTTTTTTTGTCATTGTAGAATATTATTGCTGTTTCTCTCTAGTATTTCACTTTTACTTTATGGAAACTACCAGGGCAAATCCTGGCAAATTCATGATATGAGCTAAATACACAGACAATTTGCATCCGTTTCATAGCATGTCAGTAGATACCATGCCATGGACTCGATATCGATCACTTTTCTTCTCATTTTAGCGCAGAATCATTCTCATCACTGTCGTTGGAGACATCACGCCCGCTGGCCAACTGTCCATCATTTTCACCGCAAATGATACTGCCAAGAAGTCTTCCTCAGCCACGGGTGTTGTTGTAGCACGGAAAGAATTTCGCAATATCAGAATGGCCAATCACACATAATACCTTGGACTTCTGCCCTTTCTCGAAGTAGCTGTCTTGTTCAGTTTTCTACGCTATTGCGATTTTCATCGTCCACGTGATCTTCTATCCATTTCTCTGCGTCTGCAGACGCTCGCCGTCGGAACATTCGGAATAATTAACTGAAGCTATCTTCATATCACAAATCATTGTTCTGGCCTTGACAAGACATGTGCGACAGCTGATTCACGTTTATTACTAACAAGTCAAGTAATGGCCTGGGGACCCACGGTGGGCAGAACCATGTTTCGTTTCGTTTCAGCCGCTCGGCTTTAGTAGTGCTTACTAGCAAGCGCACAATCATTAAGCTTATCAACTTCGGAGCCTTGTGCCCATCGCGTCCGAGGAGAGGGGCCGAGTAGGGCGAGACGGACGAGAGCCTCCGGGTCTTCATGACCACAGTATGCGTTCTTGTCAGGATGTTGGTCCTGTCAAGTTCTGACAGCCATTTCCTTTATTCATGGTTTCCTTAAAGATGCCGAGTAGTCAGTTTTTCCTGGCTTAGTTTGGCAAGCTGGTGAGCATAGCACCACCACATTTGGTAAGGGCTATGATAGAGGCACCTAGTGGGCATAGTCCGGACAATGCTGGGGAGGTCCATTATATCTAATTGGTTCCCGTTCTTTGCTGCCTGACTCACTACAATGGCACGACTTCTGATATAAGGTTTTATCGTGGCTTTCGAAGAGGGAAGGGGGGTTTTGGCAAGGATACTGCACCGCCTCTACAATACAAAAGTACCGCCTCACTGGGCAATGCGAGATGCAAAATAGCGAAATAGCATAAGATATAGTATTGAGGCCATGAGCAACGTGCCAAACGGTAAATAGACTGTCGAGTGGCAGCTGGAGTCCTCGGACACCGAGTAAGACCACTCAGGCTGAGTGTTAATCTGAAGAGCATTACGTAGTGCAACTTGCAGGGCTCCCCAGCCAGCCAGCGTCTATTGTGAATCCCCGAAAAGATTGATGCGGAGTCAATGTGAATGCCGAGATAGCGACTGGGCACTTTCAAACTCTGTGTCCACCGAGAGGTCACAAGGCTGATATCTATCTACAGTAGAGTTTGAGCCCAGCCCTCGGATGTAGGCACCCTGGCGCTGCAAAGTACTGCAAGCGTGTCGTGGGGTACATTCGAATTTGGGCCAGCTAAGAGAACCGCTGAGAGAGCTCTAGTCGTGGAGACAGTCGCAGCAATCCATTGTATGAGCTGATCACTTGGAGGAGTCGGAGACAATATAGACTACTTGGTCTATATTGGCACACTATATCTCTGAACTGTAGAGATGCAACAGCTAGATGCGAGCGCGAGTTGTGGGCACTCTGCCGAAACAGCCGGTGCGAAACCGACTGGTCGTTGTTGGGTGAAGCACTAGGACCCTGAAAACCACACTCACGATTGGCGAGTCTGCAATTGTAGCAACAAGACATGGGAAAGCTTTGACCAAGCAAGCCTATTCGTAGTAGAACGTAGTGCGCACATGGCTCGGAATATATCTGGAAGTAGGGACACGACGGGGTTTCGGAGAGCTTGCTCAAGGTTTCCTAGTATCTATATGACTCGCGAGACATGTGTCCGCTCCGAAACACCGTTGGTTGACAGCCGGACTAGCGAACAACGCGAGGAGGCGGGGAACTCGGAGGGCTCCTCGAGAGGCAGTGCCTAGTCGAAGGATCGCCAGGAACCAAGAAGCAGCGCAGCTTTTAGTGCATAGTCAGACCATAATCCTTTTGCAAGCACACAGGTTGAGAGGGGCAACCAGCATCCATCCACCATTCGCTTTGTCAGCGGGTAGTGTTTCCTGTAGCGGAATTAAGTTTGCGCGCTGGCAGTGAGTCAATGGTCATGAGTTCAGTCCGGCGACACCGGCTATCGTCTAAGCAGAGGTGCGGAATGTAGACCGTTCAGTATCTTGGGCGGCAGTTAGTAGAATCTGTCTATGATTCCTCCAGAGTCCATCAATAGCGGGTACAATGCCAACGACAGATCGACGAGTGTGAACTTTGAAGGCCCCTACGATAGGGGACCTGTGGCCCCATGTCCAAACCAGGATATCAGGAGGAGACCTGGCTTCCCTGGACGACATTGAGCTATGGGCCAGCCAAGCAGAGATTATGGTTCTTCATTTCAAAAAGCGCTGGGCGTTGGTCTGCCAATTGCGTTGCAACCATCCGGTGAGCCACTGTGAGCCTCGCAACCTCCTTGCCAAATGGCCTTGTCGGAATTTGAGGCGCTCTGGAGTCCTTCGCAGTATGGTGGAGGGCAATGGGTTCCACGAAGGTCTCGCCCAGTGTCCAGCGTCGATCCCTGCGGAAAATAGAAGTTTCTCGACTATTAAAGAGAGACAGATACGACGTGGAGAGGAACGTGCGGAGGGAAAACAAGACCCAGTAAAAAGTCAAGGGGGGCTCCTTTCACTGCCGGTCTGACGATGGACAGAATACCACGTAAATCAAAAGAAGAATGGAGAAAGGCCCAGAGGTTTTGAGGGTGTATCTATTGACAGTGTTACGGTAGAGCCAATGCATTGTACGTGTGCTGATCCGGAACGTCGCGGGAGGCCCCCCCAGGCCCCCCATGAAATGAACGACAGCGCTGTTACTGCAGCTGCATTTGCATCCTACAGGGCTGGCCAACAGGCAGGTGCCAGTGGTGCCAGATACACCGGAGCAACGCCCGCGGTTCTCCGTTCTCCACAGGCCATGCTCAATCCCCAGTTATAACTTGGAGCCTTGAACCTCTTATGATCACGTCGAATCTGATTGATTTCCCGCCTGGAGCATGCAGCCTGTTTCGAACTTTCGAGGGGTGGCTCGGGTCTAGACCGGACGGTCAAATTGTCACCAAGGTCCAAGCGAGACGGAACCAAGGAATGGAAAAGGACCATCATCATCACTTTCACGTCAGAGTTGTGTATTAGAGATATGGACTGAACAAAAGGCCTTATGCAACGATGAGCAAAGAAGGAAAAAAAAAACCAATTCGTAATGCAAGTCGCGTTTTCATGGCATGTGCTTTTCTGTATAGTGTTTCGGCACTGCTCTGCTTACATTGTATGATGCGTCTAGCAAGAACCACAACGCACAAGCTGCATCCCGGCGCAAGCATTTCGACAAGGCCTCATTTCCTCCTTGTCCCCCGCCTCCCTATGCATAACACTATGCGCCCTTTTAGGGTCCAAGGACCCTCGAAACCACCCAGGCAGCCCCATGATTTACTGTAAATGCGATTCTACCGTAATTGACAATATAGCGGTCCTGGATCATTGACCGTACTACATGAAAGGAAAGCAAAATTTCATCCACTGTGAGATACGAAATGAGTGGACTTTGGACCTATGAGAATACGCCAGCACCATCTTTTGTGTAATACTGTGCAAACACGCCCACGTTATGGTTTGATATACGGTGCCACAGAAGGATGAGTCAATGTTTGGCTGACAATGGAACCGGTAATTAAGGCGTGCACGTAAACCCAATCAGACAGTAAGACATTCAGAAGAAAAAGCAAAACAGAGGTAAACAAACTGCAGACTCCTCATCCTCAATGCCTGCCAACATGCCTGCCCTATCCGGGAGGTAGCCAGCTCTACTCAATAGTTTTCAAAAGTACACGCAAAGGCAATAGTGAAAAAGACAAAGATTTGCAGGCTTCATCAAAGTTCAGCTGGTATAGCTGAATTAGTAAACGGAGGCGAAAGAAGGAGGCGTCGCCCATTTCATATTTCATCGTGCGTGCTATCGATCGATGGGGTGGCAGCCAATCAAGAGGCGAAGGATAAATTTCCGCAGGTGGGCGTGGGCAGGTTTGATTCAAGTGACTGCCTGGAAAGCGCGCACGCAGCAGCAGCAGTGAAAAAAAGCTTTCCCAGAATGCGGTCCGTCTCCACACAGCCGACAGGTCTGGATCGAGGTTTTGGTGATGGGATCTGCTTCTTTTGAGTCGACCTGGCGCCTTACCCGAAAAAGACGCCCGAACCCTTGGGGAAGGGGGAAGCCTACTGTGTGGTACATTGTAGCTAGGGCGTAGGGGAGCAGTAGGGGAACGCCTCCGTCAACCGAAGCCAGCCAACGACGGGCGTCGATCATAGGCGTGGGCAGCACTCGCAAGCTCGCCTCCCATAACTGGAGCCGTCCGTCCGTCCCATCGAGATCAGCAGCGCGCAAATCCATCTAATCCATCTCTTGACTGGCTCGACTGGTCGGCTACCAGCGCAACGGCGTCGCAGGATGATGCTGCCCAGGCATCGAGTATAATGGCTTGCATCGCCCGTTTCCCGCGTCGCACTATTATGGCT